AGTCATGCTGCTAAACTCCTCCTTGTCTCTATTTAATTGTAATTAGCAATCAAACCACTATCTTACTTTCTGCGGCTCTTGAATTCGATGAAGGCGCGCTTGTCCAACCGCTTGACCTTGCGGATGTCAGCGTCGCGCTTCTTCCAGGTGCTCTTGCGCAGCATAATCGGGCGGCTTCCGACGTACTTGCCGTTGAATTCGCGCCAGGCGGCCAAAAAGTCGTCGGGGCTGGCAAAGCTCAGGAAGCCGTAGCCCTTGCTCTTACCCGATTTCTTCTCGACCACCACCAGCGCCCTCTGCATGGTCGGGAACTTGCCAAATACCTGCTCGAGCATCTCGGTTGTGACGTCTGGGCCCAGGTTGCCGGCAAACAGGCGGTAGTCATCCTCGGGCCACTCGGCCAATGTCTCGTCCTCCCAGACCTGGCCGCCGGCCATGCGGACCACTCGCCGCCGCTTGCTACGCGGCTTCTTGTCGTCAGTCTCATGATCCTTGGCTGGCTCGGCATGTCTGCGGCTTGCTCCGAGTACGGGAGATACGTGCTCTGTGTGTAGTCGTAATAGTAGTATTGGCCGCTTACAGTGTTGTAGAGCCATGTGTAGCCGCTCTCGTCTGTCACATACGTGTACTGCTCGCTGGCATCGCCGCCTTGCGCTGGTGGGAATGTGGATTCTGCCGGGGCTGGTTGGCTGCGGGTTCTGGCGATGTCGGAGTGCCGGGGATGCTGTCGCTGTTTGTGGCCGACGCCGAGGGCTTGTTGAGCACTGGCTCAGCGGACAGCGTGGCTGGTCTTGTGCTGCCCAGTGGCTTCCGAGCTCTGACACGGTTTCTGTTTGGTAACATGACTTTTAATTGAGAAAAGACTGAGGGCTGGCCAGGACTGATAGCGCACCATCACCATCTCGGGATATTAGAGCTATGCTGGATATGGGCATGTAATGGGAACACGCCATTACCCCAAACTCCTCCCTGACATGACATGCTGCTGCATGTGTATTTGAGGATGCTTGTATTAGAATTACAATCATTGTGAAGGATGCAGTTTTTATGCAGGAGTGGGTGTGCCTGGGACAATAACAGACTCACCCGACCCGACAATCAGCGCGACGCTCTCTGCCGGAATGCACGCCAGGCCCGGAAACGCTGGCGGCTGCACAACCGACGCTGCGCTGTCAGCCGAGAACATCGACAGCGCCGGCGAATGCACAGCACGATGGGCGCTGGCCGGCTCCGACAGAGTCGAGTCGGGAGACGCAGTGTTGAGATGACGGTACCGCCGCGACGTATGGAGCCAGGACGCTGCATTGCGTGCCGCCCGCGGGTTTGCCAGATAATCAATTGTGCGCATACCGAACCACCACAGGCGAATGTGGAAGCCCAGTAACAAAGCCAGGCCCAGCGCAGAGACCACGGCAATAATTATGTAAGCAGCCAGCAGCGTCAGACACAGAACAACGACAAACTGCGACGGGCTGCCGGAGCCGCCCAGCACCCGCCACAGCGTATCCTTGAACTCGGCTTGGCGGCCGACTGACACGCACACGACACGGATAGCACACGCCAGCAGCAGCAGGATGTGCGCTAGGGCCAGGGCTATGAACGAGAAGAATAAGCGGTAGTTGGTGTCGGCAATGCACGTGTTGAGCCAGCGACAGTGGTGGTCGTAGCCGCCGACGCACTTGTTGCAGCGCTTGCAGTGGCGAGTGCCTGGGTTCACCAGCACGCAGCACACCTGGCACACGCTGGTCACGGCGTCGACCACCGGCACACCGCGCTCAAACACATAGTTGGTGTTGCGGACTGCCGTGCACTAGCCGCACCTCAGAGGCCTCGGTGCGACTCAGCGATGTCCACAGATCCAGCGCAACCGTCGCAGCACTCAGCACTACTGCACCGGCCAGCACCGCATACCATGGGCTCGCACGATCCGCCACCCGCAGATAGAGCAGGATCGCCGAGTAAAACCCGCCCAGCAGCACGCCAATCACCGCCCAGTGGATAAGGAACAGCAGGTCCCACGGCCGCTCAAACCCGTGGGCGCCGCAACCACAGCACCGTTGCACCGTGGGGAACCGACTCCGACGCAGGCACGAGCTGGGCCGCCCGCGTCCCGCCACCGTCCAGGGAGCCGTCACCCGACGCGCCAATGAACGGCGGGTGTGAGCCTATCCGCACCAACGTGGCCGACTCGGACGCCGACAGCGCCATGGTCCGCACGCTACACGGCTGCTTGGCAAAGCCGCTGTCGTACCCGCTGTGGTCGTCCGAGATGGTTTCGCACTGTGTGCTGGCGCGCTGGTGCTCGGCCTCGCTGCTGTCGTCGGATGCGGTGCTGGGCGCATAGTCGGAGCCGACTATGTCAAAGTCATGGATTGCCTGCGTCGACGCTGTGCGTTTGCGTGAGAATATCGGCACAAAGACGCTGTACGAGGGCTCCGGGTCCTCGTGGCTTATCCGCTCGCCGCTGGCCCACTCGTGCGAGCTGCGCGGGGACCCATCCGGACTGGCGGTGGGTGTGGTTTCGTCGTGGTCTAGCGGCATTATCAGCGAGCACTACAGACCATGTCCTTGTATCATGCAAGCGCAAAGCTGGGGGATGGGTAGAGTACAGAAAAACTATAGCGAGAGTATCGAGAAAGGAAAGAGAAATTCATTTTTCAAAACCCTCTGAACTATCAGGAACGCCCCCAACTTTCGGCGATCACGTTGTTGGGCTCTAGTCCAATGCCTTTCCAGTAAGCGTGAGGCTGGGATCGAACTACAATAGTAGACGTCCTGCCTCAAGCCAGCTGCTGGCGGACCTCCTCGGCAAAGTCGGGCTTGTCGGCCTTCTCCACGCCCTCGCCGCGCTCGTACCGCACAAACGACAGAATCTCAACCGGCGCCCCGATCTCCTTTGAGATCTTGGCCAGCACCTCCTTGACCGAGCCGCCGCCAAACAAAAACTGCTGCTCCTCCAGCACTACTGCGTCCGGCGCCTCGGCCTGCTCACCAGCCTTCTGGTACTCCTCCATGGTGGTGAACCGCGGCCCATACCCGACCACCTGCTGCGCGAGCCGGCGCGTCAGCTGGCTCAGCGTGCTCCGGTGTGCGTCGCTCTTGATGCTGCTGGTCACAGCCACCAGCCCGCCGATCTTGCCCGCCGATCCACCGGCGCTGCCCTTGACGCTGCCATGCACATAGCCGCTCACCACAATGCTCTCAGCCGCAGACGGTGCACCCACCACCGCCGCCCGCCGCAGCACGATGTTTTCGCCCAGCCGTCCGATCGTCTCGGTGATGGTGTCGCTCACGGTGCGGCCATCGAGCATTTTGGCGGCTAGGTCATGTGCCTCGATCCCTGCCAGCACCGCCCCCTCCGCCGACGTGCTGGCGAACCCCATGCCGGCCTGTGCAATCTCTGCCGCCAAGTCAACAAACGACGCATTGCGAGCCACAAAGTCTGTCTCGCACCCAAGCTCCACAATCGTCGCTGCGGTCAGCGACTCGTTCACAAACACCGACACCGCTCCCTCCGAGGCCACGCGATCCTTGACCTTGTCGGCCTTCTTGGCCCCCGCCTTGAGCGCGTCCTCCTCCAGCCACGCCAATGCCCGGGTGATGTCGTTGTCGCAGCTCAGCAGCGCCTCTTTGGCTTTGCTCATGGCCACCGGGTTCAGTGTGCGCAGCTTCTTCAGCGCCTTGATGTCCACCTTGGCTGTTGTGTATGCACGCGCGAGTGTCGCCGTGGGACGTAGCCGCGGGGCGAGGATGCTGCGACGTACGGAGAGGCTGATAAACGACATTCTTTTTCTTGCTGTGAACTGAAGCGTGGTGCAATTGCGAAATTCGGGCTTGTGTAAGAGACAAAAAAGGCGAGTCTGATCCAACCACAGCTCGCCTTGGTTCCTTATCAGCTCTTTCCAGTCTTGCTTCGAGCCGAGCCGGAATTCCTGTTGGGAGACTGCTAACAGCTTGGCTGTGAACATCTCTGGTACCTAACCCGCACACGCCCTCCTTGCTGCTGCTCTTTAGTTCCCCTTGCTATTCTTTTTCCCCACTTCCTCTGCCAATGGTCAAGCAAATCGTCGTGCTAATTTCGGGCAGCGGCACCAACCTGCAGGCTCTCATCGATGCTGAGCAGCAGAGCCAGCTGGGCGGCCACATCTCCCTAGTCGTCAGCAACAAAAAGTCTGCCTACGGGCTCGAGCGCGCCGCCAAGGCCTCGATCCCGACCCACACGCGCACACTCAAATCGTACAAGGACCAGGGCAAGACGCGCGAGGACTTTGACCGTGAGCTGGCCGAGTACATTGCGGCCGAGTACTCCCCGGATCTGGTGGTGCTGGCCGGCTGGATGCACATTCTGTCGCCTGGCTTCATCGACAAGTTCCGCGGCAAGATCATCAACCTGCATCCGGCGCTGCCTGGCGAGCTCGAGGGCGCCCATGCGATTGACCGCGCATTTGACGAGTTCCAACAGGGGAAGCGCCAGCGCACCGGTGTCATGGTGCACTTTGTCATCCCCGAGGTTGACAAGGGCGAGCCGATCCTGACCCAGGAAGTACCGTGCGTTGATGGCGATTCGCTGGAGACCCTCGAGGACCGGATCCACGCCGTCGAGCACCAGCTCCTCCCCAAGGCCGTCAAACTGGTGCTGGACAAGGGCCTGGTGCCGCAGTAAGGGACTGCTTTACATTCTGGAGTGAAATAAACATTTATTTTTCCCGTTTAGCTGCTACTCTGCGCCGGTATCTTGGAGCATTTCGCCCAGAGACACGCCAGCGTCCTCAAGTTGGATTCCACTGCCCTCCCACTGCTTCCCATCCGATGTCCGCGGAATAGCCCGTGGTGTCGCCGTCTCGTACGAGATATACCCTTCCTGGTGCCGGTGCGTGAACGTCTTGTGCGTGTTCGCCGCGTAGTCGTTCTGGATCAGGTCGTAGAAGTACTTGTAAAAGTACATCAGTGCGTCGTACTCGCCCTCGTACGCCTCCCCCTTGCTGTCGCGGTACAAAAAGTAAATCGCCTCGATCGTTGCCAGATAGCTCTCGTCATACTTTTGGAACCGCCAGAACCGCGTCTTGCGTGGCTTGATCGTGACCTTGGGGATCTTGTGCAACTTTGAGTCCTTGCGCACCATACCGCGCGCCTGCTGCCACGTACCGTCGATAACAATCGCATGGTCGTACGACGCCGGGTCTACCTCGCTAATGTCGGTCGCGTCGGGTCCCGGGAACAGCAGCACCGTGCGCTCCGTGTCAATCTCCGACAGGACGTCCTCCGAGTAAATCGTGACCTGCACGTCCTCAGGCGCAATCACCTTGGCGTGCAGTGCCGTGGACTTGCCGTCGTTTTCACCTGGGTGCTTGAGCACCGTCAGCTTGAACGGAAGCCGGATCTGCGGCACCTTGCCGGCAATGTCTGCCACGGGCTTGTAGCAGTAGTAGCAGAAGAACTTCATCCGCCGCCCGCACCCGTCGCACACCTGCCGGGCGCTGCACGAATCGAGCACCTGTGCTGGGTTTACTTTGAGCGAATTGATGTCGTAGGGCTTCGCCTCGGTCATTCTTCTATCGAGCTAGTTAGAGAGTGGTCCTGGAATGGGGCACAAGAGTGTCGATAAGATGTGAAAAAGAATAGATGTGGTTACACCTCCGGATCATCTCCTGGCCTAAAATCCCGGTGGTACTATTTGGGATAGAATTCGCCAAATTATGGCCAGTGTGCACCATGGCAGTCAAGGAAAGGGATCCACCGGCTTGATACACCTCAGGACAGCTGGTAGCATACCAGATATGAGCTGCCACTTGTCGCCGTCGTCGTCAGTAGCAATACGGCTTGCCTTGATTCAATTTGAGTATGCTTGATAGATCCTACGCACTCAATTCGAGCATGAACAAATATATGCGCGAATATGCACATTGGTCACGGGGCTCTCTTGTCTTTGTCACGTAGACATTGACAACCCTTTCCACATCTGTATAAGGCCGACCTGCCAAGCAGAATCACTGTTATCGCCAGCCACCTGTTCCTCTCAGCCCCCACTTTTTTTTCAAGCCTAGCATATTTCAAAAATGTCTTCGCCCGCCCAGTACCCGCCTGTTCTCATTCTCGAGAATATATTCAGCATGCTCCTGCACGATAACCCCGCTATCACGGAAAAACGAGACCCACTAAAAAGAAGGAGTAGCGATGAGCTTCCACCCCGCCCTGCTGCCGTTGTTCATGCCCTCTCCCTGACTGGTGTCTGCCAAGCGTGGCGAGACATCGCCTTGAATATACTGTTTGAGGACGCTTTCTTCGAGGACTCTCCCAAAACCAAAGTCGATGTTGGATACCCGCAGTGGATATGGCCATCCAAAGTACTGTCGTCCCTGGCTGCTGCCCTCCACCTTGGCATCGGAGCCAAGGTCCGGTCGATGAGCGTTGACGTTGACCTCCGCCGACTGGTAAATGGTGCATCTCTGAGGGAGTGGCCAAACAATCCTGTCTACGGCAAAGTATTCAACACAGTCATGACCCTCAACATCAACCTTGTTGCTGGCGTCGGTATCGACCACAACGCACTGAATAGCGACGACAGATCCGATCAGTTCTGCAGCATCATCTCCAATGTGTTCCCCAATGCCCGTGCCATCAGACTGCTGCTGGTGGACAGGCACTGGGACATCCTCTATGGCGAATTCATGGAAACCATGTACCTCAAACTCCTGGATGGCAAAGGCAGTGTGACTCTAGGGCCGAGGGACACCCTGTTCCGTGCCACCGACTTTGACTATATTATCCCTGAGATCGACACCCCGCTCACTAAGCTCACTATTCGTGACATCCGGTCATGCTCTGCGGCGTGCGATCTTATCCGGAAGCACGCTAGTACACTGGAGGAACTAGATATCACATGCCTCTGCGAGAGGTACATGTTCTATATAGTGCAGGATATGGATGATGTTGATGTGATCTACCCACAGCTTCGCAAACTGTCAGTAAAAGATGGCAACGGCATAAACTCGCACATAGATAACACCATATGGACTGTAAACTGGTTCCCTGCGCTCGAAGACTTGTCATGCAGCACTGAATCCCCTGAAGTGCATACCATGGTCATCAAGCTCACCAGCACTACACTGAAGCGTGCAGTTCTCAAGATGTCATCGGCATGCTGCTATAGTCTCCTTTATGGAAACACATTCGATGACTGCCAGTATCCAGAAATGGAGTACTTTGACGCCACATACACCACGACCCAGGACTACTCTATGGAGACTATTGACGCATCTCTTCTCATGGGCAGCACAGCAACGGTGTTAAGGTCGGTGGGCGGCGACATTCTTGCCTACAGCGAAGTCAAGGAGGATCTCGAAGCCACCAACCCCCTGCTCCAGGTGTTTGAGACGTCAAGCATAGCCGCTACATTTGATGAGGCACTGGAGTTCGTCAAATCGAGACCGTACTTGCGCCAATTTGGCATAAACATCGTGTTCCCCGAGGAGCAATTGGATCAGTATCTCGAACATGCCCAGTGCTATGGGCGGTGCACTGTTGATTCAGAAAGGGAAACAGAGCACACCGAGGTGCTGCTTCCTGAGCTAAACGTTAGGTGCTTTATCGACAACCACATGGACATGATTTGTGCCCAGAACGATTATCTCGAGGAGATGTTCCGGAGGCACCATCCGGTTTCTGAGCGACTAATCGCATTTGAGGCAACCAGATACTGCATGTTTGCTGCTCGTGAGTCGTTGGTGGTTGCCAGTGTGGTCATTGTTCATCTGGCACTGTTGTTCCCGACCGTCAACCAGATCTACTGGGGAATGAAGGAATACAAACGCGTCATATACCGCAGTGACCTTCGGCAGCATGCATCTTTTAGAGCTATGGAAGAGCGTCTACTTGCTTTAGTATCTGGAGGTACTCTTGAGTAATTTTTGTAATGTGTTCACATTCATTCTGTTAGAGGGTTGTGAGCTTGTAACTTATTGAGGAACAGGCTGAGACATCCAAAGATATATATTGGAAGAGTATGAAAGAACATGGTAAAGCACCAAGCAGAAAAATAGTAGAAAGTGAAAGAGCTCTGCCCTGGACCAGATATATTGAATGCATGCAGTATGCTACATGAAAGAAGGAAGGAGGAGTTGTCAGGTGAGGGGGCGGGTATCTGGCTGAGTATTGGCATTACTCGCCTAGAATAGTATGGATGGTGTTGACATTCGGGCAACCCCATGCCCTTTGTCACCATGTGCAGATCCAAACCCCCACCTGTATAAACACTGTGGGCTGGAACGGCCCCATCCTCCCTTTTTTTCTCCTCAGCAAATTTCCAGTTTATTCATTCCATAAAGCTCATAACTACTGGACTCTCTGAAGGTTAACATTTTTTCAGTGTCTTAAGATGTTGGGTAAGCTCACCGATGAGCTCTTGCACAGCTTGGTAGCGCATGCTGCTTGAGTAGTTCTCCTCGTTGCGATCCATAGGGCTATAGTTTCACTGGAAAAAATGTTAACCTTCAGAGAGTCCAGTAGTTATGAGCTTTATGGAATGAATAAACTGGAAATTTGCTGAGGAGAAAAAAGGGAGGATGGGGCCGTCCCAGCCCACAGTGTTTATACAGGTGGGGACTTGGATCTGCACATGGTGACAAAGGGCATGGGGTTGCCCGAATGTCAACAGATGGCATTGTGGCCTAGGAGCCTTGATCCATGGGCTCCTGAAATTCTGTAAATTTGGAACCATACGCAGCAGGATTACCAGCACAAAATGGTTGCCAACCCAGTGGTCCTTGAGTTGAAAACTGCTGGCTTGTATGATGACCTGCCCCGACTGGCTCACCTGAAATCATTCTAGACGTGATCTGACCCAGCTCCACATTGACTGTGGGTCCATTCTAAGCCATGTACTGCAGATAGCCAAAAATGCATTTTTCCCTAAACTCCATGCCAAGCCCGGACCTGAGGTATCCACATCGAGTCGCTGGGTTCTGCATCCTGCGCCGACGACCCAGGGTAGTTCCTCTGGTAAGTGGCAGTCTGGTCGCACAGCTCATTCATACATATGGATGTGTGCCGTTAACATCTAGCCTCGAAGATCATACGGTTTATTGACCCTAAAACCATTCAATGGCTCCATACTCTTCAAGAGATGGTTATTTATAAATCGACCACAACAGTGATAAATATGTAGTCGCGTAAATGTATCCATGTTCTTGTGGACATTGCCACTCAGCCAGCCCAGGTCACAACACCAGCTCATGCAACAGCCCAACCAAAATTTTATTGACAGCACACTGTCAGTTAAAAGTCGAACTTGGTGCGGAATGCATCCAGGTCCTGGCGGTCGCATGCTTCCGCCAGCTTGGGCTCGCCAAGCAAGTACATCGAGAGCTGCAGGGCATTCCAGATTGTCGCGCTCATACCGCTCTCAGGCCGGTAGCCAGTACCCGACAGGTTAGCCTCGCGGCTCTTCTCGTCCAGAGTCTGCATCTCGCGCTGCTGCAGCGACAGTGCAGTCAGGCAGTTCTCGGCGGACTCGCGGTGCTGGCCCAGGTTTGACGACGCGAGTGCAATGTTGTACCGGGCGCGGATGAAGCTCGGGTGCAGCTCCAGAGCACGGAAGTACGCACCAGTCGCCTCCTTGTTGTTGTTGGTGTGTGCCAGCGTCGCGCCCAGGCGGTTCCACAGCACATAGTCGTCGGGGCGCTTGGACAGCGCGGCCTTGAAGCAGTCGATGGCCTTGTCGTACTCGGTGGAGATGTTGAACAAAACTCCAAGTGCGACCTGGACATCGGGATCCCAGTCCTGGCCAGGTGTCATGCGCGCTGCCTGGATGTACAGATCCTGCACGTAGTCCTTGCGCGTATTGGCGCTGGTCATGTTCTCGGGTGCGGTCGCGGGAATCAGCGACTTGTAGCGGTCGTGGTGGGCAATCCACTCGTGCAGTTCGTCGTAGGCATCCATCTGGTATCCCTCGTTGGTGTACGACACAGCCAGTGCCAGATGGGCGTCGAGTCCGTTGGGATCGAGCTGGATGGCTTTGCGCAGTGCCGCAATAGCGGACTCCTCGCGCTCATTTTCCTGCTGCTTCAGGCCGAGCTCCAGCCAGGCCTGTGCGTCCTGTGGGTTCTGCGTCACGCTCGTCTCGAGCGCCATGATGGTGTCAGCAAGACTGGCGTCCTGCGGGTTTTGGCGAATGTGCTCCAGGGTGTTCTGGAGCTCGGCTGGCGACATCTGCGAGTAATAGTTCTCGCGCTGAAAGTGGTAGATGTTAAGCGCAGGATCGGTTGCGCGGTACGCCGGCTCCATGGTGTTTAGCGACTCCCACTCCTTCTGCGTCTCGAGCCACTCCTTGTCCTGCTCGTTAAGCATCGGCTGAATGTTGTCCTTGAACTGCTCCAGCCAGTCCTTGTTAGCTTCGCCGTGGACAAACTCGTTGCTGGGCTGTTCCAGCTTGAAGTCCATATCCTGCGGGTGGCCGCTGACAGAGGTCTCGTTGAGCGGACCGTCGAGCGTCGACTCGAACTCCTCGGCCCAGTTGCGCTCCATTCCGCGCGCAAACTCTTCCGAGAAGATCTTACCGTCTTGCGGCGTCTGCTCCGATCCCTTGGTGGCCTCGCGGTTGACCAGTTCGTCGGCACGCTTCTCAAACTCCGTGGCCCACGTTGGGCCCTGCGCAGCCGTGGTCTCCGCCTGCTTGCCCTTTTCAGTCTGTACGACCTGGTCGCCGTTGATCGTGGCCTGTCCGTCGGCGAGTTGTTGCATGAGAGAGAGGAATTCGGAGTTTCTGAATTTAGGATTAGCTGTGTCACTCACTGAGTCCAGGATCTTTGCTGCCGTGCGCGCCAGCTCATCATCAGCCCTTTCCACAGGCTCGCTGGCCGCCTGCTTCTGTTCTGCGGTGACCTCGGTCTGCTGAGCAGTTCCACCTACCTGCTGCTGATGCTGCATGGGCATCATGTTGTGCATCATCATACCCGGCCCGGGCATCATCGAGTACATGCGGGCCTCGTTGAACGCCATGGCCATCGGATCATGCCGCACCACGGGCTCCTGTTGCACAGGAGCCGCAGCAGCCTGGGACGCCGCCGGCTGGTGGTGGAACTGCTCGGCCCAGCCCTGCTGGGCAGCCATCGGGCGCATCTGCATCGGTCCGGCGGGCACCATCGGCGCGGGGCCGGCCCTGGCAAAGGCGCGCTCGAAATCGGCGTTAGCAGGGCCCTGGTGCCGCTGGAAGTCCGCTGCCCAGTCGGCCGGTGCCGGCTGCTTGCCCTGCACCGTGTTGAGCTCGCGGTGCATCTCGGCAAAGTTGAAGGCGCCTGGGCCCTGTGTGCGGTTTTGCTGCATCATGAACTCGCTGGCCATCATGTTCGGCGACTGCACCGGCCCGTTCTGCCGGAACGCCTGCCGGAACGCCTGCTTCGACGACGACGCTTGCGCCGGTCCAAACCGATCCTATCAGGCGATGTGTGGGAGGTGGGTGGTGGGTGTCAGTGCCTATCTCTCCTCCACGCCTGTATTTCTGGAGACTAGCAACTTACCTGCTCGAGCGAGTGGTCCTTGTTGAATTGCTTCATAAGCCCGTTCATGGAGTTGCCCGGCCCGCATTCGGCGCCGTTGCCAACCAAGTCTGAGAAGCCCGACATATTTGCTGAAACAGTGTGCGGCGTGTTTAATAGAATACAAAGGAAAGATGAAAAGAAAACTATCTTATGTTCAAGCAGCGGTTGATAAGTGGAAAGCGAAGGAGAAGTGGCCACAAGCACCCGCAGGCCAGCAGCCATGACCGGGCTTCCGTTGCAGCTCGAAGCGGCAGGCAGCGGCGGCAGCAGCAACAGGCGGCGGGTAGCCACGCGATAACACTCCGTGCGCGGAGGTATTCTGCCCGCAAGAATCTCAAACACTCGCATGTGATTTGCACACAGCCACTAAAAAATGAGCGCTGCTCCTCTCGGACGCTCGAAAGCTCCACCGCTTTCCACACGGGCCCACACTGGCGCTTTAGACTTGGAAAATCGGCATTTATTTACAACTGGTTCTTTTACAAAACAGGGCCTATGGATCCTACTTGACGCAAATACGTACCTACGGAGAAGACAACCAAAAGCGGCAATTGTTTTCGTCAGTACAGAGTTCACTGCGTGTCGTCGACACAAGGTCAGACACAAGTGTGCTATTTCCCTCAGACGTAGAGTTGTATCATCAATGGCAGAGTGTCAGCCCTGCTATGAAAGCCATACATGTTAAAAACATTTGTGTCATCATCGGAATCTCGAGGCAGCATGTGCCGGCCGACAGGAACATACCTTCCCTCACTAACCACGGCAATAGAGTAGGAAAAACATCACGAAGCGGAGACAAAGAGGACGGCGGCTTCGTCGCACTGCGATAGCACCCTGAAATACGCCTGTTCACCAGCAAGCGTGCAGAAATTTTTTCACTGGTGCGAGCCGAACCGGGCATGGATCCGGTTCGGTGGCTAGAGTGACTTCGGCTTTTCGATTCCTGCCTATTTCCAAAGCCAGGCTCAAGCTGGATTTTAGATGCGGAGCGATTGGCCTGGTGCTGGTTTTACCGCGATAAAGACATGGCAGAATGTGGTTGCCAGGAATCGCCACACTAGCCGTCTGATGCACGGGCTTGTACAAGGCTTCCCAGCCCACCTCACAGGATATATGTGGTGATGGGAAATGAGTGTTGCGTGACAACACGTGTATGAAACCAGCCAAACCCTGCCGGCTTGGGCCATTTTCATCTGAGTGTTGGATCACCGCAAGACAGCAACTTGACGAAACGACGGCTGTTGTAGCAAGGGTTCGATAGCGCACAGCCACACCGGGTGAAGTAGAAAATGCAATTACAGCTGTTTGCGGCCGCCTAAATAACAGGTTCCCTTGACCATAAAAAGAGGCCAAGCTATCATATTCAACCTCATATCATTACCAGCTGTAACCACAGTACCTGTTTACATTTCTAGCCCTAGTGCTAATGAAGATTTCAATTTTATCCGCCATTTCCGTCAGTGCTGCAGCTGCATCTGCTGCCAGCTTATTGCAAGCTGCCAACCCCAAGTTTTACTGCGAAGCACCACGTCCCCAGGCCTCCACATACACAGCTCTGCCAGGACACACGCTTGCTCATCTTCAAGTCGTGCACCGCCACGGCGACCGCGTCCCCGACTACTACTCACCAGCTAGTCCCGCCATGGATATCTGTGGAAAGTACCCGGACCTGACGCGTCAGTGCAACGTCCCCGGCGTACCTATCGGTCGCACTGAGATCGAAATCGATAGCACTTTGCCCTATGCCAACGTATTCTGGTCCGGCAACTGCGAGTTGGGCCAGCTGACGGACCTCGCCAGCGAGAAAATGGTACGGCTGGGCAAGACATTGCGCTCGATCTACATCGACAAGCTCGGGTTCATGTCGCAAGGGTTGTGGGCCAACGATATCTACTTCCGCGCCGACTACATCTGATGCACACAGCAGAGCGGATGTAGCGTTCTGGTTGGGTTGAGCACCTGCCAGCCGCACCCAGGCGTGGTCATGCATATGCGGCCTGAGTCAATGGAGACGCTGATCAACACTGGGGAAAACTGCCCGGCATCCAGCGCTGCATTTGGCAAGGCATTCAGCACACCCGAGTATGCGAAATACAGCGCTCAAATCGCTGCGTTCACGAACCGCGCTCTCAGTATCCTCCAACCCTCGTCAATCCCAACATGGCGTGCTGGTATGAATGTCAACGACTACCTGTGGCTATCCGTGTGCTATGATAAGCCGCTTCCTTGCTCGTCAGCAAACCCCTCAGACTGCCTGACTGCTGCTGATGCTGTGACCGCCTACAAGCACTCCAGCAGGCAGAATGAGATTATCCAGGCTACAGGCAATGTGACGCGCCTGTTTGTTGGCCCATTCTTGGGTGAGATCCGTCGGTCTATTTCCAACGCTGTCAATAGCAAGGCCAAAGCCAAGTTCGAGCTCCATTTGGCGCACGATATCACCGTATACTATCTCCTGACCCTGCTGCAAAAGGAAGATATGTCAAGATGGCCCGTTTACGGTTCGAACCTGGTCTTTGAGGCATGGAAGAACAACAAGAACAGCAGCTATGTCGTGCGCTTGCTCTATAACGGTGAGGTCGTCACTGCGACCAAGGCCAGCGGCCTAGACTGGAATGCAGTGCCGCTCGACTCTTTCTTCAAGGTTGCAGATGCCAGCACCCCTGATATTGCCACTGAGTGCCATGTCTGACCCTTTTCTATTACTATTATTATTCCCTCTTTTGGACAAGAATATACTCGATGCTTCTATGTCTAGAACTGGCGCCAAAGCTTCTCGAACTCACGGCTGAAGGCGTCGGCAGTGCTCTTGTCGTTGGTGACAATGACAGACTCGTTGTTGCTGCGGCGGGCACCAACAGTCCAGTTGTACGACCCCATCCAGACAGCGCGCCGGTCAATAACGGCAAACTTTGAGTGCATGAACTTGTTCTCGTCGTTGTCGTGCTTGAACGGAATACCATGGTCCTCCTGCATGCGAATAACATCGCTGCCCTTCGACTCGAGCTGGCCGTCATCGGTGATAATGCGCACCTCGACGCCGCGCTTCTTGGCGCGAATGATCGCGTTTGCCACATCATTGTCGGTGATATTGAACACACAGATATCCAAGGTGGACTTGGCCGAATCCAAAAAGTTCATCAGCTGCTCGAAGCTCTGCTCTGACGGGAAGAAGTACGACCGGATGTATGTGTCATCGCGCTTCTGGTTGTTCTGCCGGCCATGGTTGCTCTGCTGCATCTCCCATCCGTTCTGGTCCGACCCAACAGCTGCCGCATAAGAGCCTGGCTGCATCTGCGGCGGCTTGTAGCCGCCAGACTGGCCTTCGATACTCATGGCAAATAGCTGGCCTGCCCAGTCGGCTGTGGCGCGATCAGTGCCGCTGCTCGCGAGCCGGGTGGTCTGGTTCCTCACGACATTGGCAATATGCGAGAGGTTGGCACCGTTCTGCAGGTGGCGACGGAAGATCTCGGCGAACTCGTTTTGCTGCTGCATAACGCTGGGCGAACTCTCGAGACTGCGCTCAAGGAATGCCTCCAGCGGCATGTTTGCAGCCTCGTCTGCGCTCAGGTAGGGTGCTTGGCGCGAGCCGGGGGCGTTGCTGCTGCCACCGCCAAAGCACGCAGACAGGATATCGGCGAGACTCATTATTATTATTGTCAGTACAGAGGTGGAAAGAGGGGAAGGATGTGTGTGTGAAGGCAAAGAGAAACAGGGACGGATTGTCTGTCCCTTGTGTGCAACTACCGCTTTGCAGTTCTTGTGGACCGGAGGTTCTAAAATTGGAAACCGGTCTCAACATAAAAATGAATGTATACCGGCCAATTGGATAGGAGAGCCGCTCACGTGCAGTTGATCACAGTATTCCACGATTGGATTAGCGGTCCTTTTTTTTGTTGAAACTTTTTCCCCAGTGCTTGTCGCCTAGCTGGGCATCAGCCAACAGAGTGCTCGTCGACCACCTTGGACACCCGCCTCATTCCGCCCACACACATTAACTATTACCTTATTGAAGACCATGGGAACCAACAAGTCCACCAAGCAGAAGCGGTTCGAGAAGTATGTCGAGAAGCAGGTGAAGAAGGAGCAGCGTGCGCAGCTGATCGAGAAGCTCAGCCAGTCGACATGGAAAAGCGATCTGATGAAGTCGTCAAAGAACCTGGGCCGCACCAAGGAGACCAAGCGCGAGAAACTGCAGCGTGCGGTGCTTGAGGAGAAGCTGGGCATGGCGCGTTCCGATCCCAGCGTGCGCTTGTACGTGTCAGAGCGCGATGCTGACGAGGTGCGCGAAATGGCAGATCAGATGGCGCCCCTGCCAACGCCCGATCTAACAGCATTGCCGACGCTTGGCGAGGTGAACCGGAGGAAAAAGAAGCGCAGGAATAAGAAGAACAAGAAGATCGCTGAGGCTGACAGCGACGCAGATTCAGACAACGACAAGGATGAACTGGAGAGCCGTCCTGCCAAGCGGCCACGCGAAGAGGACGTGGCTGAGAAGGCAGAGGGCGGGCTGATCGAGATGTCTAATGCCGAGGAGAAGCCCAAGGCCGAGGAGAAGCCGGTGGTGGCGGGAAGCGCACTGGCCAAGACAACCACTATTGTCAGACGCAAACGGCAAAAGAAGGGCCGTCTTCTGAGCAAGCTGGGTCTGTCCAAGAAGGCCGAGGAGAGCAGCGAGGAAGAGGACAACGAAAGCGATGCAAGGGAGGAGGAGGAAGAGTATTCGAATATGGTGGTCGGTGATAATGCAGACGCTGGTGATGAGTCCGACGAATTTGACAGCTCTGCGTCAGAGAGCGATTCAGATGAAGACCAAGCCGCTACCGACGCTCCTGCTGTTCGTGCAGAAGAACCTGCGGCAACGCCAGCTGAGCCCGAAAAAGAGAAGGAATATTACACCGGCAGCATGCTGAAGCCCCTGCTCGTCAGTCGTGGCAAGCTTGCCAACGAAGCGTCAGAGAACACGGGCGCATTCTACGTCACGGTGGAGCGGCCGCAAGCGATCACAGAGCAGCGCATGAAGCTGCCCGTGTACGCTGAAGAGCAGCAGATCATGGAGGCTATCACGGAGAACCCAGTCATCGTGCTTAGCGGAGAAACCGGTTCGGGAAAGACCACACAGGTGCCACAGTTTCTGTTTGAGGCCGGGTACGGTGACCCGAACTCGCAGAACCCAGGCATGATCGGGATCACACAGCCGCGGCGGGTGGCGGCCGTCAGCATGGCGCACCGCGTTGCCGAAGAGCTGGGCAACTACGGCAGCACAGTGGCACACCAGGTGCGCTTCGATACCAATGTGTCTGACAAGACACGAGTCAAGTTCATGACCGAGGGAGTGCTTCTGCGCGAGCTGGCCACCGATTTCCTGCTGACAAAGTACTCGGTGCTGATTACTGACGAGGCCCACGAGCGGTCGCTCAACACAGACATCCTGCTGGGCGTGCTGTCGCGAGTCGTTCGCCTGCGGCAGAAGCTGGCCAGCGAGGATCCGAAGAAGCACCGGCCACTGAAGCTTGTCATCATGAGCGCCACGCTGCGCGTCGATGATTTCGTCAAGAACACACGGCTGTTCCCAACTCCACCGCCGGTCATCAATGTACAAGCCCGCCAGCACCCAGTACGCATACACTTCAACCGCCGCACGCCTCTGCCAGGCCAGCACGTCAACGAGGCAATCCGCAAGGTCGCCAAGATCCACACCCGCCTGCCGGAGGGTGGTATTCTGGTGTTCTTGACTGGCCAAGCCGAGATCACATACGCCTGCAAGCAGCTGCGCGAGAAATTCCCAACTGCTGAGGAGCGCGCAGCGCGGGAGGAGCGGAAAATGCGCGAGCACGAGCAGATGATGAAGGCTAAGCATGGCAAAAAGCGCAAGCATGGCAAGCCGCATCACGCCAAGAACGAGGACACGCGGCTGGTGGCCAGCGGGCTCGAGGGCGATGTCGAGGATGAGGATGTTGACCTTGGAGAGGAGTTTGATTTCGCCACTGCGGATGGTGACCTCAGGGACGACTTTGAGATTGACTCGGAGGAGGACTCGGAGGAGGAAGACGAGCTCATCATGGGCGGTGAAGGCGAGGACGATGAGGGCCGCAAGCTCTTGCTCAGTGAGAACCTGTTCAATGCTGCTGCCAAACCTAAGGCCGAGGGAGGGGACGAGCAGAACCATCCTGAGCCACTGTACGTCCTGCCGCTGTACTCGCTGCTGCCAGCCGACCAGCAGCTCAAGGTATTTGCGCCTCCCCCCGCTGGCAGCCGCCTGTGCGTGGTAGCGACCAATGTTGCCGAGACATCGATTACAATTCCGGGAATCCGGTACGTGGTTGATGCCGGACTGGCCAAGGAGAAGACGTACGATGCGCAGACACAGGTGCAGAATTTCGACGTGCGCTGGACGAGCCAGGCATCGGCAAACCAGCGCACAGGTCGTGCTGGCCGTACTGGGCCTGGCCACAGCTACCGCCTGTTCTCCAGCGCAGTGTTCAACGACCAGTTCCCCCGGTTCTCTGTACCCGAGATCATGCGGATGCCAATTGAGGGTGTCGTGCTGCAGATGAAGGCCATGAACCTGGACAACGTCGTCAACTTCCCGTTCCCGACGCCGCCTAACAAGTCTGCGCTGACCAAGGCCGAGCGTCTGCTCACATGGCTCGGTGCTCTCGACGCCAAGGGCCGGGTTACTGATCTCGGCCGGTTGATGTCGGTGTTCCCTGTCGCTCCACGGTTCGCCAAGATGCTGATCGTCGGCCAGCAGCACGAGTGCCTGCCCTATATCATTGCTATTGTCGCAGCCTTGTCTGTCGGAGACCCGTTCCTGAAGGAGTTCCATTTGGACGCCGATGAGCTCGACAGCGGTGAGGTTCCGGATGAGGACCAGGCAACTGCCGCAGAGAATCGTAACCTGACCAACGCAGAAGTTGCGGCCAAGGAGCACCGGCGACTCAAGCGCCGGCAGTACTGGCGCACGCAGTCGAAGCTGTCGGGCTCCGACCCCTCCAGCGATGTGCTCAAGTGGTTGACCGTGGTCGGTGCCTTTGAGTATGCTGGCGGCACCAAAGAAGTGTGTGAAGAGTACTACGTCCGGCAAAAGGCCATGATTGAAATCCGCAAGCTGCGCGCCCAGCTAACCAACCTGGTGCAGATGTACTGCCCAGGCGTCGACCTGGCCATGGATCCGCAGATGCCGCCCCGTCCAAGCTGCAGCAATCGGTGATCCGCCAAATCCTGCTGACCGGATTCATGGACCACGTCGCCGTGCGCGGTGATATCGCCGGCTACCAGGACCCTGACGAGGAGTCAAACAAGAAGAAGCGTGGCATGCATGCCGTTCCATATGTCACCATGTGGAGCGAGGAGCCCGTGTTTGTGCATCCTGAGAGTGTGGTGTACATGGCAGCGCGCAATGCCGGGTCCATGCCACAGGCGATTGTGTTCTCTGAGCTGCAACGCACTACGCGGCTGTGGGCCAAGATTGTCACAATTGTCAGCGCCAAGTGGCTGGCCACTATCGGCCAGCCGTTGTGCTCGTTCGGCAACCCGCTGCCGTACCCGCTGCCAAAGTACAACGACGCGCGCGACCACATGACATGCTACGTCGAGCCGCGCTTCGGACCAAAGTCCTGGCTGCTGCCCATGGTCAAGGTCGAGGAGAGCCGCCAGGGCACGCGCTGGAGCATCGATCGGGTTGTAGGATAGATTCTGCTGCAAGTATTTGATTAAATCACAGTCACGCATAAACCCCGCGAGAAGAAAAAAACGCGAAACCGACATTTGCTGCCAGGAAATTCAAACCAGGCTATTCTTCGTTCCTGCTTCGCGCCTATTTTGCTTTGATACTCATGACCGCTCCTACCGCAGCCGAATTGACAAAACAGTTCCAGGGCATCAGGCTTGACTCGGCTGCCCTGAGCGAAGCGCAGTCGATCTGCCAGACCTTCGGCCAGTCTGCAAGCGAGCTCTTCTTCCGGTGGCAGTCAGTCGTTCTCAACACGTATAACGGCGACACAAGCATCCAGCCCACACGCGAGCGCCTTCTAGAGCTACGGCACACAATGCAACGCGACCACGACCGCAGGGCTGCGACACAGCGGCACAGTGCTGCGGGCTCGCCGGCGACTCCCGGGAACCGGATCTCGCGCAACAGAAACCGCACTGCGCACTACGACATGAGCTCGGTTGGTGGACTCATGCAGGACATGGTCAATGGGAGCCAGCGCAGCGTGATGACAACACCGCAAAGCACGAAGCGAGTGGGGCTTTTGAGGGGGAACGGGTCGACGGCGAAGCGCCCTGGCGTGTTTTCGCCCATGTCGCCGGGTATTGAAGCGTCGCCGATGGCTGCTCGGTTCCGCGACCGCACGAATGCTGGCGAGAGCGTCAATATAGTCAATCCTGAGCTGCCGGTGCTGAAGATGGATGCAATTGCGAACAAGCAGTTGAACATCGAGGCTATCGAGCCAGATAGCGCCAAGACGACAGCAGATTATGATAGCGATCTGGACGAAGGAGGCGAAGAAGAGGACCAGAAGCTGTCAAAGCAGCGGATGCGGTACATGTTTGAGAAACCCGGGACGCGTTCTGACGTGCTTAACCGGCGCATCGAGCGCATGGCCAGTGCTGTCAAGAAAGACTACAAGATCGATGCCCTTGCAAACCCGACGTACGCGCATCAGGACCTGGTTACCTCTGTCGGTCGCATCGTTGGATTCAACCCTGATGACCCTGCTGCCAGCGCCCACTTGGCCAACGATACGGTTTACCTGGAGACCTCCCGTCGACTCGGAAACGGCCGCCGGGTGCAGCTCGATGTTAGCTCAGCTGCGTCGTTCTCGCTGTTCCCTGGCCAAATAGTTGCTGCTGAGGGAAAGAACCTTGATGGCTCGGCCTTTGCTGTGTCGCAGTTCCACCCTCTGCCGCTGCAATCGCATCTGAGTGTTGACAGGCGCGAACCAGGTATTTCGCCCTTTACCGCGATTGTCGCGTCAGGCCCATTCACCCTCTCTGACAACTTTGACTACGAACCCTTAGCAGTCCTGATTGACTGTATCGTGAAAGACCCGCCCAGCGCAGTGTTCTTGCTTGGTCCCTTTGTCAGCGAAGCTCACCCGTTAATCAAGGGCGGTATGGTGGATATGCTTCCCGAGCAGATATTCGCGTCTCAAATTGTCCCGCTGCTAAAAACACTGCGTGATGGCCTACCCGCTGAAACCGCTGTGTTCTTGGCACCGTCTCCCGACGAAATGTGCCACCCGTTTGCCTCGTATCCGCAGCCGCCACTTAACCGCGACATGATGGCACGCCTTGGCGTCCCATCTGGAATCCAGTTCCTCGACAACCCTGCGCAGCTCACAATCAACGGTGTGTCCATCGCAGTGGCCAACACTGAGACCCTAGCGTTCTTTAATTCGTCGGAAGTCTCACGCATGCCCGATCTCATTGAGCGCTTGCCGCGTATGGCGTGGCATATGGTGTCCCAGCGCCATTTCTTCCCGCTGACACCCGGCACCAAAGAACTATGCCGGGATCTTGGCATCCCATGATGTCAAGTTGCATATGCATGTGATGCCGGATATCTTCATCACGCCGTCCAAGCTGCGGCACTTTGCCCATCTCCACAAGAATGTTGTGCTGGTGAATCCTGGGTACTCGACGTTGGGGCAGGGCGGGGGCACATATGCCAAGATTTATGTCCACGATAAGGCGGTAGCGGCGGCACATATGGCTCAGGCGGACAGCCTGATGGGAAACAATGCCGATGAGGTTTTCCCTGCACACTGCATCCGCGCTGAGATTGTCCGCTTGTAGCCAGCATTCCCCCAAACATACTTTTGGAATTTTGAATAACAGAAAAGGTAAAGACATTGCGGTACTGCTCCCCTAATGCCATCTTGGCAGACCCAGCAGGATTGATTGGCGCGCTTGGTCCAGGTTGGGAGCACGGATATCCATATCTGCTTACCTGAAAACGGCCAACAGTTGGGGAAACGCGGGCTGAATACTACAGCTGCAGATGATGCTTGAACGGGCACACCGCCTGTATCCGGGCGATTGTCCTGCGTCTGTGCATTCCCATGCCCAACATCCTTGGATGGGCGACGGGCAGTGCAATCAGGATGTCTAGAATAGTAGTTGCAAGTAATCTGCCCACATCGTTTCTTTGCAAAAAGAGTGAATATGGCCGACATATGTGCATGATCGAGCAGTCTATTTTTAGCAATAATACCCGCGATTTACATTATGTGGCTTTTGGGGGAGAGGGCAAGATGTGCAAGGGAAACCCCGGTTACAGCCTTACAACAAGAGGGGGCCAAGGTCGGGCGACCAGTCACGCACCCAATCGGCTCATGGCCACTCCTTCTGAAGATAAGGGCATATACGACAACAATTGCAGCCCAAGAAATGTCGCAACAGTTGAGCTGAACCTCACATTGGCTAAAAATAGATAAGTATTGTCCTGCGTCAAACAATCTACGGGGGTGCCATCAATATGGCTCTATTCAGTTGGCTTGGCAGCCATTCCCAGAAGCCCGATTGTGCGCAGGGCCATATTCCTATATTTAGATAAACTCTCTTGCTGAAAGAGGGCTGAGCTATGGCGGTGCAGCGGCACCCAATGTTTTGCACATCTCTCCACTTCCGGACAACAATGGCCAATGTGCAATTGATCGGAAGAATGGGCGAGAAAAAGGAAGGCTTGGCAGTGTTTACAGTTTCTGAATAATGCCCTTGGCAGCCGACTGACCGCATTTGGTCAGTGTTGTGCCAAGGAGAAAAGCGAAAATGATCGGATTGTGCGGCCGGCTCACTTTGGCAGACAAGGAAAAAGGAGTTGTGCTCATATTTCAGTGGCCTGTTGACGTAATTCTGCCCTTGAGTGGCTTTTGCCGTGTAATGACCCTTAGGGCAATCGCTCTAGAGATACGTCTGACATGCAAAGTGAGGTCATTGGGAAAACCTTAATCAGCCGGAGCCTTGGCAGCTCGGACAAGAGAGCGGGTGTTAAAAAACGTGTAACAAAAATAGCTTTTGCCCCATGTACAACGGGAGATACGGACGACGATGCCCATAGGCTGCATGCACAATTTCTCAACATCTGCGGCCACAAAGGATGTGTCTGTGAGAACTCCTCTGCTGCGATACGGGAGCAAAGGTGTAGTTTGGGAAAAGGTGCTTGGACAATCCCCCATGTATGGCTGCAGCCTTGTGCATCCACAGACGGAAAAGATGGGGGCGGGCAAAAAGCGGGTAGGGAACGAGGACCAATTCCCCAATTGTTTGTCGCTTGAACAATTGCCCGAGGCAGCGAGATACTATTCCATCCTTTTCTCTTATCCCAAGATTCGCGTGCGGCCTATTTTTAGTTTTATACGCCCGATCACCTACAGTCACGGGCTGGGCGCGAGGGAAATGAAGTATAAAAGACCGATCAAGTGCCTGAACCAGTCATTTTTTGGTCAGAGCACATTCAACATCGGAGTTCCATTTGGCATCCTATCTTTTATCCTCAGCATTGCAAAGGCACCCTCACATCAGCACACTTCTTACCAAGCACAATCTTGCTGCATTCGCATCCACTTTCCCAAGCACGCCCACACCGTCATTTATCACGTCACCACATCTGCAATGTCTCGGTTCAACTCGCGCTCACGCTTCTCGCATGCCCTGCTTGCCTGCCAAATGACAATATGGAAATGCAGCGTCTGCGGTGCGTGCTTTGATAGCGAGCCCGAGGTGCAGGAGCACTTTGCCGCCGAACACCTGTTTGCGCCCCTGGACGAATTCATGTAAAGGATTCTTTGACAAGGCTCCTTCCTGCAATCACCCCTCTGCATACCGTCACGATTCCGTGGTTTTCTATTTCTTCACGCATCACCTGTATTATCTTTATCCCCTCACTTTTTCTGGCACGGTGCGAGCGGCGCATGGCTGACCAGACGCCACATCTCTGGCGCCACGCACGGCTTCTCTGAGCCAGGCCTGTTGAGCCTATATCTGTTATCCTTTTATATTTTTATCCTCACCTCATTCCACCTCATGCAGCTGTATACTTATCTTTTGACGACTCTTCTTCTGCATCCACAAAGCAATAAACGTCACAACAGTATTTCAGTGTTTGAGAATTTTTTTACAGCTTCAGCAGAACTTCCACCGGTTGTTACAGTTGGTGCACGTAACGAACGTGGTCATCGGCTCATCCGCACTCCGCGTCTGCATCTGGTAGTATGTGCATTTGCGGCTCTTGCAGCGACCACACCGGAACTGGTCAGTCTCTGCCTCGGTCTGGCCTGCACCCTGTGCCTTGAATAGGTTTTCCTCCTTGATTTCTCCATCTGCTCCTTCAGATCGTCTGACGCCATCTCCTCCTTGGACATCGAGCACAGCCGCTCGGGCGTAAATGTTACCGTCGACCACACGCATGCGCAGGGCTGGATTCTTCTTATCCTTCAGGTTCAGGACCAGCGACCTGATGCGCGCCTTGTAGTTGGGTGTCGCGCCGCTCTCCTTTGCATACTCTATCCGCTCAATGGCCGCTGCACGCTTAGCAATCAACTCTCCGTCGGCATTACTGTCGACCGCCATGGCATTATACAGCATTTCAGGCGCACTTGTCACGCACGCTGTCGCCGCTCGACGGGATAGTGATGCCATCGCTCGCAACTGTGCGCGCACCGGCCGTGCTCGATGCCCGCCGCATTGCGGGCGGAGGCTGCTCCGCACTGGCCCCGCTGTTCGCTGCTGTGCCATTTGCTGAGCCATTGGCCGAGCCATTGGTTGAGCCATTGGCCGAGTTCTTGGCCTAGCTTCTCGGTCTTTTGGGCACTGCCTGTGCGCGCCACAGGCGTCTGCGATCCTGAATTCGATCCGGGAGCCAGACACAGAGCCGCCCTTTGCATTTGCTGCCATAACGTCCTTCTTCCATTTGTGCACCAGTCTCTTGGCCTGGGTCGCAATCTCCGCGTCCTCGTTGTTTCTCAGCTTGCCGACAGCCTGGCCAATCACCGTGGTCTAGATCAAGCAAAAAGGAGACGGGCTGCATTAGAAACACAGTCGGTACTTGTACACATGCCGTTGATTCGATGTCGACAGCAGGCCGCCTTCTGCGCATGCAATGCTATGAACTTACCCTCAGCAGCTTCTCATCGACGCGGATACTGTACAGCTGAGTCAGTACCTCTTGAATGGCCTACGTACACACCACAGCAGGCATGCAGTACATCGTCAGTATGAGGATTGCAGTGCCCCGGACTCTACGTCCAGCGTATTATGAAATTGCGTGTAAATGTGCGGAGACTCCCTTACCGTCTTCTTACCGCTGTCGTGTGCTTCGGTCAGCGCCTTGCGCAACCTCTGGAGCTCCTCTTGCTTATGTGCTACGTCCGACATGTATGCAATATGCGCTAAGCGTGTTTGGCAGCCAAAGAAAACGAGTTCAAATTGGGATTTATAAAGAAAGGGCGCGAAACCTGGAGAATAGGTAAACGAAAGAACAAAAAGCAAAAAAACTTTTGGAGCTCAACACGCGCCGAAAAAATTGTTTCAGCTAGAACGCTGAGTGCGAAAAAAAAAATACTACTGGATGAGGGGAGCCGGCTCGGGATTGTCCAGCCTACTGCTTCTTCTTGAAATCGGCGTAGAACCGGAGCATTTCAGGTGTGATGCGCTTCTTGAATCCACGCAGGCACTTGTCAAAGTGCTTCATCTCGACACAGTCGGCATCCACATTCTCTGTCATCGCCTCCATGGCAGCCTCCTGGCACAGTGAGACCATCTCGGCGCCCGAAAATCCGTCGGTTCGTCCCAGCCAGCACCTCCGCATTGACATCATCTGCGCAGGCAATCTTTTTGAACTGCAGCTTCAGAATCTCGGCTCGCGTCGCCTGGTCTGGTGGACCGACATAGATAAGTCGGTCGATGCGGTCTGGTCTCAAAATGCCAGCGTCGATGACGTCTGGGCGGTTGGTTGCCGCTACCACAGTGACGTTGACCAGTGGCTCGATGCCATCAAGCTCGGTCAATAGTTGCGACAAGACGCGGTCAGCAACCGACGTGCCGTCTCCTGACGATCCGCGCTTGACTGTCAGTGCGTCGATTTCATCAAAGAAAACAATCGACGGCGCGGCAGCCCGTGCCTTGCGGAACACCTCGCGCACAGGCCTTCTCAGACTCGCCGACCCACTTGCTGAACAATTCGGGTCCGCGGACTGCAATAAAATTGAGACCAGCCTCGGTCGCCAGTGCCTTGGCAGTCAGTGTCTTGCTGCAGCCAGGAGGACCATAAAGAAGAACACCCTTGGGCGGGCGGATTCCCATGCGCTGGAATGCCTCTGGGTGCTTCAGCGGCCACTCCACCGACTCCTTCAGCAGCTGCTTTGTCTCTTCCTGTCCGCCAATATCGCTCCACTTGACATTGGGGATCTCTAGCGTCACCTCGCGCATGGTGCTGGGCTTGATTAGCCGTGACGCAGCGACAACATCATCGTTGGCAACTTCAAGGGATTCTGTAGTGGATGCCGGATCTGAAGACGTGTGTCGCTTGATGGCAATTGATGGCTGCTTCGCGTACAAGCGCCTCAATGTCAGCTCCCACGAACCCATGTGTGCTAGCCGCCAGAGACTCCACCTGCTCCTCTGTCAGAGAATTGGGTGTCTTGCCAAGCTTCTTGAGGAGAATATGCAGCCGTGCTTCAGGACTGGGAATGGGCACTTCGATCTCGCGGTCGAATCGGCCTGGTCTGCGCAGCGCCGAGTCAACGGCATTTGGCCGGTTTGTTGCACCAATGACCACCAGCCGATCATTGACACGATCCGATACACCGTCCATCAAGGTCAGCAAAGTCGCCACCACCCGCTTGCTTGCCTCTCCCTCGCTGTCGCCGCGCTTAGGACATAGTGCATCGATTTCGTCAATGAAAATAATGCTGGGACTCTGTTTACGCGCTTCATCAAAGATCTCACGTAGCCGCGCCTCGGTCTCGCCGTAGTACTTGTTTGTTATCTCCGCGCCGTTGATGACGTGCACAAACGCCTGTGTCTCGCCGGCCACTGCGCGTGCGATCAGCGTTTTGCCTGTGCCTGGCGGCCCAAAAAGAAGAACCCCGCGGGGTGGCTGCAGCCCGTACTCGGCAAATATCTCGGGTTCCTGCAGCGATGTCTCAACTACTGGCCGCACCTCAGCCACCTCCTTATCGAGCCCGCCAATTGCATCGTATGTCACGGACTGTGCTTCCCTGTTGGTGCTCTCAGACTCTTTGACTACAATGACGCGAGTTTTGTCGCGCGACACAATGGCCGGATCGCCTGCTGAAAGCATGCTGCCTGACTCAGCTTCGATGCCGATAATACGAATCCGGCGATTCTGTCCATTGACCATGATATCAACTAGCTGGTCTGGCGTAATGCACCCCACGTCAACGAGCACCTCCTTTGCATAAATCTTTGTAAACTCATCTGACGACATCGGTGTAGCGAATTGAACCCTCACTGTCTTTGCCTCCGTTGGCTGATCACCAATCTTTTCTACCAGCAACCGAGCTCCGACTTGCGCTTGGCAGTTTATCATGGCCACGCTCGACAGCTGAACCTCGTCAACTTCGCCCAGAAACGACGGCCACGCCATTCCATATGTAACTGGGCCTTTTCCATTCGAATCGGCCAGCTGGATCCGAACTATATCGCCGGCAACATACGCGCTCTCCTGCATTTTATCGATGCTGATCAGCACCCTCTTGTTGTGTCGCGGTCCGATCCGACTCCTTTTTCTTCCTCAAAACAGCCTTTAACTCCATTATAACAGTATGTTCACGGCAAAAAGGAGAGCGAGTATAATATGCTTGGGTAGCGACGATTCGCACCATCAATTTTTGTGTATATCGGCTGGTGTAAATAAAACTATAATGGGCAGTGACTGCAGATGCAAGTTGACTCCATACCATGTGCGATAGATCTGTGTTTGGTACCAGTAGGATAGATACATTCACCTCAGTATGACCATAGGGGTATATTGAAAACCTGCTGTCAATAAACTCATCATAGAATGAAAGTACAGTGAAAGACCCTTGCTGCATCTAAACCCCTGCTCTAGACATGTTTAGGACACGGCTCCAAATTAAATTAATCGCTAACCTCAACATACTTTGCAAAGCTACGCTTGGAAAACAGCTGCTGAGCCGAAACTACAGGAGCGGTAGCCGGACTCTGCATCCCTCTGTGCTCGTGGCTGAAATGGCTGTTGAGCGTGACCCTGTTATCACTAAGATACCCGCATACCGTGCATTTTAGCACCTTGGTGACAGGCAACGAAGGGATCCTCGATATTGCCTTCCCCTTGCAAGATCCAAGCCATGTCTTGGCTGACTCTGTGCTACACACCCTGTATGGATATGATTTGAGGTACCTTACTGCAGCATCGATATCGCTGTTGGACTGGAATCTTTTGACGTAACGACTTGGCGCTGGCAATGCACTTGTAAAAATGAGAAGCGGGCTTACGATTGATAATAGCACGCTCGCACATGCAGCAAACAAGCAAACCATGTGGTGAGTGCAGGAATAGCCCGACGTTCCCCAGGGGACTCCTTTCGTTCGACTCCTATATGTGCAGAATTCACTATTAGTATTAAGATACGCACAGCATTAGGTAGCGTAAATTGTATGTAGATAATGTGGGGAAATATACCTGAATGATGGACTCTGTCGCAGGTAAGATAGCCGGTAAACCGCTGGTGTTACTGCTAGATGTAGTCGTTTCACTACCATCACTCTGGCCTTCGGTGTGACTCGGAGATTGACTCTGTGTCGGGCTCAGACCTGAAGGCTGTGTGTTGCATGGGGTACTGACACTACTCCTAACAATTGCGTATGCCTCGGTGATGCAGTCGCTACAGGTCTGTGTGTGCTGCCTAGACTCTATACCAACAGCAGGCATTTTTCCGCACCGGCAAATAATGTGGTCATCGCTAGTTCTTACAAAAGACAATACCACATCATTGTAGTATATCGTTTGGTACATATCATCGTGCGTGTGGCTATGCCGATGTAGCTTCTTTCTGACATCGAGCACGTCTTTGCATATTCCATACAAACGGCGGTGTTCTGGAGCAGAGTTGTGGCGCCGCATAATTTTTCTACGCAGCTCCTCTAGGCAGAGGTGCACCATTGGCACAGTCTGAGTAAGTGCGCTTCATCAAAGCCATCATGATACTGTCACTAGTGATGCTGGGAAAAAAAAGAAAGCAGTCTATAACAAAAGTGAAAGGTACGATAATGTTTGAGATGAAATAGGAATCTAAGACACGGTGCCACCTTGGGTGTTGACCTACCATTTATAATCTCAGAGCGAAAGGAGCCAATTGCCGCCTAAGTCTAGGTATTACCAAAGACTTGACTACAATGTGGCAAAGAGGTGTGGAGTATTGGACCTTGCTCATTGAGCAGCCGTTGGTGAGCATGCTCGTTCTGCAATGATACAAACACCACTCTTTTATAAAGCAGCCTTGAATAAATCAATTTATGCCATGAATATCCGAAAATGCCGATCTCAAGGTTGGCAAAGAAATGGATACGATTCATGAACAATAAACAGGTCACAAAAGGGTTTCTACCTTCGGATACTGGTCTGTTCCATGTACTGCATACCAAAAGGGAAGAGATATAAAGAGCTCAAAATCTTATTCTGTAATGGAGCTGTACGGAATTGCAGCAAAGAATTCTTGCACCGCTGCAATCTACACATGTACAATGAATCTATCTCTCGAAAGGGAAAAGTATCATGAGCAAACATCTTGAATAATATCCGGACCATTAGTACGTGTTACTGACATGATACATCTAGCATTTTATTGGAAAGGTTGCTGTATGATCGTATGGCTGACAACATAATCGGTGTTGCAGAGAAAGTGAATTTGTTGACATCCGGAGTCGGGAATCTCCCTACGCCGCCATGGGCAAAGCTGGAACGCACACATAAAAGTTCGCACAGACTATCAGGTCTCTCCCCTCAGTCATATTTTTGAAAGGTTATGCTTCCATAGACCCGATAACCACCCACCCCTTAAGTAAACAAACCCAACCGATAAGAACAGAACGTACCAGCCACCTTCATCGACATGGTAATACTGAGTATTATGCTCGTTTGTGGTTATGAAGCTTACGGATTTCAACACAATTCAATATGCTACTGCTGGCCAGCTAAAGCACGGAGCTCGCTCAGCCGCTCTAGCTGTTCGTCCGTGACCATGTGGTCGCGACTGAGCTCGGATAGCTTGGTGCCAGGCACGACATTATACTGTTCAAAGTCGGTGACACCCGATTCGCGCAGCACCAGCTCATCAAGACAGAAGTTGCCAGTAAACTGTCGCGAGTCCTGGGTCACAATCCAATACGCAGCGTCGGCCATGATGGCGGGCTTGCGTGGGCGCTCCTGGAACTCGGCGTTACCGCACTCTGCCAGACCATCGGTATCGATGGTCGAGAAGGGCCACAGGGTGTTGGAGGCAATGCCAAACACGCGCTGTTCTGCCGACAGACCGAATGCCATCAGGCCCATAGTGAACTTGGAGGTCGAGTACGCCAGGTTGCGGCAGAACCAGCGCTCATCCAGCTGCGGCTTCGGGCACATCGTGATGATATGTCCGTTGTCACTCTTCTGCAAATGGGGCAGCGCGTACTTGACGACCTGGAATGTGCCGCGGGTGTTGATGCGGGTCATCATGTCGTACTCATCCATGGTAATGTCTGTCGTCTTCTTGAGGACCAGGATGGTAGCGTTGTTGACCAAGAATATCGATGCCACCAAAATCCTGGACTGCCAGGTCAACAGCGCTCTTGACTTGCTCCTCGTCCTGGATATCGCACTTTGATGGCTAGGGGACGGCCGCCGGCGCTGGCAATCTCAGAAACAATAGGGCTCTCGCTTGAGGCGTTGCGTGCTATGACGACAACATTGGCGTTGTCCCGAGCACACCTTAGCGCTATGGCACGGCCAATGCCGCGGGTTCCGCCGGTGATGAAGACGGTCTTTCCAGTAAGAGGTGCCATGAAGTATCGAGTGGTGTGACAGAGGAAGAAGCAGAAAAGAGCAGGGAAGAGAAAAGGATTGAGCTCCTGAAAATATCCTGCAGCCAGAAACAATCCTGCCCGCTTTTATAGCCCAGGTTCCCCTGCTGTCCAGCATCTTTCTGCTAGTGGCTGGATCAGGGGCCAGTGGCAGGCTATGGCACCAGCTATGACATCGTCAAGGGTCGATCTCCTCAAACACAACTCTCATTTAGTCATTTGCCGTGAGAATCGAAGCGCTTAGAGTACCATGGCTAGAAAATAGAGGAATGTGAAACTAGAAATTACTTAGAGCTTGGCGCCCTGCTTCTTGCGCAGTGCATCGAGCTCCTGGAGCTGCTTTGCGTCCAGGAAGAAGTCAGGCGACAGGTCCTCGAGCTTGGTGCCCGGGGTGTTGTTGTACTGCTCGAAGTCAGTGACGCCGTGCTTGCGCAGCAGCAGCTCGTCGAGGCAGAAAGTTGCCCGAGAACTCGCGCGAGCTCTTGGTCAGAATAATGTGGGCCGCATCGGACATGATCTCGACCTTGCGCGACTTGCGGTCGTTGATTCCGTCAGCCGCGATCTTTAGCGCAGCGGTCTCCACCATGGTCAGCGGCCACAGGCCGTTGACCGCGATACCGTACTGGCGGAACTCGCCGGACATACCGAGCACACACAGCGACATGTTATACTTGGCGATTGAGTACGCAGGGAACGGCGCAAACCACTTCTCCTCTAGCGACAGCGGCGGGCACAGGTTCAGGATATGCGGGTTCTCGGATTTCTTCAGGTACGGCAGCGCCAGCTTTGACACGAGCCAGGTTCCGCGGCCGTTGATGCTGTGCATCAGGTCGTAGCGCTTGACGTCGGTCTTCTCGGTCGGCGTCAGACTGATCGCCGACGCGTTGTTGACCACAATGTCGATCTTGCCGAACGCCTGCAACGGTCTTCTCCAGGGCCGCCTGCACCTGCTTCTCGTCACGGATGTCGCACTGAATCGGGAGCGCCTTGCCGCCAGCAGCCTCGATCTCCTTGGCGGCCGAGTAGATGGTGCCAGGCAGCTTCGGGTTCGGGTCGGCGGTCTTGGCGGCAATGGCGACACAAGCACCGTCCTGGGCAGCACGGATGGCGATGGCCTTGCCAATGCCACGGGAGGCGCCGGTGATGAAGAGGACCTTTCCTGCAAGCGACATTATTCGAGCTTTGGAATGGATGGAGAAGAGGAAGAAAAAGGCTGAGGATAAGAAGTGGTGGCTGTATTGATGAACAGGTTGAATTTGTCGGGCAGACAGCTGCTGGTGCTTTTATAGCCAACAACGAGGCGGGGGCGTGCGGGCAGCAATCCTGGGCCTGTGACTTTTTCTCGATATCTCACACGTGAAAGCAACATTAGCAGGATATGAACGCGGCTGGCACTCGTCTGAAAGTTCTATTAATTGGATTTCAGGTTCCTCGCTGCTTTTGGCGACCGTGTCCGTATGCCTGTGCGAGGTGGAGGAACGGGCAGCAGCTACTGACGGCACCTAGGGGCTGATAGAATCGGAGCAGGCTAAACAGTCATGTGCATAGATCTTGGGCCAGCTCCGCAGTTGCATTGGAGGTCGGGTACCCGGCCATGTCGGCGCCGCCAGTATGTCTGGGGTGTGCCGGGTGAATGCAAGTGCGGTGCATTCGATGTAAAAGAATATAGCCTCCAGCAGGCTTCGTGGCACACGGCGGACACAGCGATCGGCTTCTGAAAGTACAGTTCGGAGCCGGCAACCAGGAGTGTTGGACCGAGCCACGAGCTGCTGAGAGCCGAGCCGCATACTGGCAGTCGAGCGCTGGGCACTGTCGTCACAGCCGCTGCATGTTTTTCCGGCTCTGCACAGCATTTCTCGAATTTCAAATACGTTTACACTATTCATAATCTCCTTGACTGCAATGGTTTTAGTGCTAGTGCTCGGCGACATTCACATTCCACAGCGGGCAGCGGACATCCCCACAAAGTTCCGCAAGCTACTGGTAAGCAACAAACTAGCCTCGGACCTGACCCAAGGAGCCGGGAGCGGGATGCTAAGCCGGAGGGGGAAACGAACCACAGCTAACAGCGACCTCTCGCTCTTGAACTATGTCTATTGCTTCTCCTGCAATGTAGGTCCCAGGGAAGATCCAGCAAATAATCTGCACTGGCAACGTCTGCGACCGGGCTACATACGAGTATCTGCGGAGCGTATCGTCGGACCTGCACATTGTGCGCGGCGAGTTCGACGAGGAGTCGTATAATTTCCCCAATACCGAGGTGATAGAGCACGAGGACATCCGGGTGGGCGTGATCCACGGGCACCAGCTGGTGCCGGCAAACGGTGATGTGGATACATTGGCGGCAGTTGCGCGGCAGATGGACGTGGATGTGTTGCTGAGCGGCAATACGCATAGGTTTGAGGCGTATGAGGAGCAGGGCAAGTTCTTTATTAACCCGGGCAGCATCACCGGAGCATTCAGCCCGCAGGAGCCGAGTCCGATTCCGTCGTTCGTGCTGATGGACATTAAGCGCGGACAGGTGGTTACATACGTGTACCAGCTGGTCAACGACGATGTGAGCGTCGACCGGATCGAGTACACAAAGTACGAAGAGTAACAAAAACGGTTATGTAATATGCTGCTCAATACAACAGATATAATCTTGGAGGCGACTTAAAGCTTGGCAGGCGGGGTCCGCTGGCCGCGCAGCAGGTGGATGCGGTCGTGGATCTCCTCGCTGAGAAAGCCGTCCAGCAGCATGTCCTCGTCCTTGGTTCCGGGGGTCAGCGCATACTTGCCCATATCGGTGATGCCGGCCTCGCGCAGGACAATCTCGTCAATGCAGATGTTGCCCGTGAACGATGCGGGCTTCTGCAGGATCTCCAGCGCAGCGTCGGCCATGATCTCGGGCGTGCGGAGGTTCGGCCGGCTCTTTGCGCGGGAGATCATGTTCAGGGCAGCTGTCTCAATGACCGTGTACGGCCACAGGCCGTTGACTGCGATGCCGTACTTGGCGAAGCTCGGCCGAATGGCCCAGCACCAGCATCGACATGTTGTACTTGGCCATTGTGTACGCCGGGTTGGTGCCGAACCACTTCTGCTTGATGTCCAGCGGCGGGCTCAGTGTCAGCACGCGCGGGTTCTTCGACTTTATCAGATGCGGGATCGCTAGCTTGGTCACCAGCCAGGTGCCACGCCCGTTGATGTCGTGCATCAGGTCGTAGCGCTTCGGGTCGGTTTCCAGCGTGCCCTTCAGGAAGATGGCTGAGGCATTGTTGATCACTACGTCCAGGTGGCCAAAGGTCTCAACCGTCCTGTCAATGGCCGCCTTGACCTGGTGCTCGTCGCGGATGTCGCACTGCAGTGGCAGCGCCTTGCCACCGGCCGCCTCGATGGCTTTGGCAGCAGAGTAGATGGTGCCGGGCAGCTTTGGGTTCGGGTCGGCGGTCTTGGCCGCAATGGCGATGCTGGCGCCCTCCTTGGCGAGACGGATGGCGATGGCCTCGCCGATTCCGCGCGAGCCGCCGGTAATGAAAACAACAGTGTTCTTGAGGCTCATGGTCGATTGAAGGGTGTGAGTTGTGGAAGAAGTGGAAAGTAGAGAGGCGAAGAGGCAGGTGCGGTGGGTGAATTTTTATACTTGCTTTTTTTTGTTCGCATGAGGCACGAGGGACGAAGCTCCGGACGCGAGCTGGCCCGCGTCTCCGAATCTGCCGGGGAGGGAGAGATCACCCTCCTTTCCTGGTGAAAGATAGGGCGCGGCATGTGCTGCGAGTGAGGGCTCGGGATTCCTAAGGCAGCAGCTAGAGACGCCTGTCATTGTGCCTGAGAGGGGATGGCGTCATCGCAGTGCTCTTAATCCCAGCCTGCGCTATGAAGCAAGGGGGCACACGCATTTCGGCTCTTCTTTTTAGTGAATTGACCTCCACCAATGACCACCAATTTCACACCCAAGCCCGAGGCGACAAATTCGCTGGTCGTCACCTTCGACCACTACAGCAATACAGCAGCAGACGCCCTGCACGCAAAGCTCTCCGAGTGCGGCACGCTGTGGCATTTCGCCAAGCTACCGTCATTTGCGCGGTGTCTGGCGGTGTTCACGGAGACCGGCAATGCGCAGACAGCAATGCGCACTTTGAACCGCACAGCGGCCCTGGACACAAACCACATGTACATGTATTATTCAATGCACACGTCGTTGCAGCAGGCGCAGGACAATTTTCTACATGTACCCGCGGAGGAGAAGCTGTGGCTGATATCGCCGCCGGGATCGCCGCCGATCGACTGGCGGCAGACGCGGGAGGAGCCGCCGAACAGCAGGCATCTGGAGAGGGGACTAGAGCGGGCGCTGCGGGAGCTGGGGTCGGGTGGGTTTGTGCTGGATCCGCAGGAGGTGGAGGACTATGAGAGTGCAGAGGAGGGGCTGGACGGGTTCAGTCTGGATGGGCCGCGGCAGCAGATCAGCAAGGGCGGAGTAGACGAGGAGAGCGACGAGGAGGAGATTGCAGGGGCGATGCAGCGCAGCCGGATTGATGGGCGGGAGGACCATCTGCCGACGATTTTTATCCAAAACTACGATACGCAGCAGGATGGTGGCAGGCTGCAGAGTAGCATGCTTATTGCGGATCGGCCGCCAACGCCGAGCTGTGTTGGCCGGATGTACCAGCCCACGGCGCGACCGCCAATGTAGGGTGTTTAGAGAGGGTTCAGTAAAAAAAAGGCAGTAGATACAATTTATGTACTCTCAAAAACAGTTGCGGGTACTTAGTCCTCGGGGAGCTCGACCTCGTCGTTGGGCTCCTTGGGCTCCTGGTCCTCGCCCCACTGGATGGCGTTGTCGGCGTGGGACAGGACGTAGGCGACCGAGTCCTCGTCCTTGATGTCGAGCGGGAGGAAGCTGACCATGCTGAACTCATCGATCAGCCTGGCAATGGCCTGGTTGAGGTCGTTGAATTTCTCGCTGGTGGCCTGGTTGGCGTCCTCAGCCAGCAGCAGGGGGTCGGGATCAAAGAATCGGTCCATGTTGTTTTTGACGTCGTCGGAGACAAGGTCCATCTTGGTCATGACGTTGATGTGGGGAATCTCCAGCATGCTCATAGCAGACGTGGCGCTCATGACGCCGGCAAAGTACTTTGCAGTGTCCTCGATGAACTGGCTCTCGAGGCAGTACACACCGACGACCTGGAAGCTCCACTGCTGCAGCAGCTGGGCGATCTGACGCATAATCGGAATGTGCGTGTAGAGCTCGATCTGGCCGGGACAGTCGAGGATCAGATAGTCGTCCTCATAGTCGCCGAGCTGGTCCTCCAGCCAGTCGAGATTCTCCATCAGAAACTCAAAGCAGTAGATCAGGCCGCCGTTCGGGCCATAGCCCAGCTCGTCCATTACGTCCTCCAGGGTGATCAGCTCGCGGATGTCAATTGTGGGCGGGTACTCGAAGCGCTCGGCGGCCGGGTCAAGGTTCACCAGGTGCACGCGGCGCTTGGCGGCCTCGCAGTGCTGCATGATTGTCTGGCAGTAGGTTGACTATGAGGGATGATTTTTTTGCTTAGTAATAAGCAATAGACTCGGGGAGATATCCAGACGGCTGACTCTTACCTTGCCGCTGCCGGCGGGGCCCATGACGAGTTGGCAGTAGCGTCCCCTATGCGAAACGAAAGAGGGCGGTTGTCTGAAACAGTTAGCATCCAAGCAAGGTGCGTTCGTTGTGCATACAGTGACTGCAGTTTCTCGGGCGCATTTACATTTTCCAGAGTCTTGAGTGGCGGCGACGAATTGAAATGCAAGGAGGTTAGAAGTGAAAGGAGAGCGAAGTTAGGAAGGTTGCGCGTGCATGGTGAACAAAAGGCAGCACAAGTGCTGAGCCGATCAATAAAAATTTTTATCGACAGCAGGATTCGTCACCGAGAAGCACAGCCTTGCGACAAAAAGATGTGTTTGTTTTTTTTTTTACTTCGCCTTCACTACTCTACAGTTTTTTGTTTACTAAATTCAGCATTTATTCACTAGGCATGGAGTCGCAGATATTCGAGGTATTGCAAGGCAGTTTGTCGGCCGAGCCCAATACGCGCATGCGTAGCGAATTGGCGCTGAAGCAGCTGGGACTGAGTGTCGAGTTCCCGGTGGCAGCAGCAGCAATAGCCACAACGGAGACAGTGGACGTGGCGATTCGGCAGGCAGCAGTAGTGCAGATTCGTGTGTACGTGGGGCAGCACTGGTCGATTGGCTCGAACAAGTACGAGCCGGGGCCGATTCCCGACCAGGCGGTGAAGCAGCAGGTGCGGCAGCAGGTGTTCGGTCTGCTGTCGAGCAGTTCCCGCAAGATGCGGATGGCAGCGGCAGCGGTAGTGTCGAGCATGGCGCGGTACGACTGGCCAGACGAGTGGCCGCAGCTGTTTGCGCAGCTGGTGGAGCTGCTGCGCAGCGGGGCGCGGGACCAGGCGCACGCAGCAATGTGTGTGTTCAGCGAATGGGTGACACAGGAGATGTCGGAGCAGAACATCGACCAGCTGGGGACATTGCTGCCGGAGCTGCGGCGGCTGTTTGTCGATGGCGGGTATGACATGGAGACGCGGGTGATGGCGGTCGGGGTGTTTGGCGACTGCATTGAGATCATCTCAAACATGGCGTTTACGCAGACCGAGTTTGTGGACAGACACACGCCGCCGATGCTGCAGGAGTGGATGGAGCCGGTGCTGGCGGTGCTACGAGAGGCGGCGTCGGGGGAGAACCTGGCGCTGAAGAGCGAGTGCGTGCGGGCGGTGATCAAAATGTCAGAGGGATTTGGCAAGCACATGGCGGCGTATAATGGCATGGTGCTGGAGGCAGTGTGGGGGCAGCTGCAGGCGCTATGCGAGCCGTTTGCATTGGCGTTCGTGTATGACGAGGGAGAGCGGTCTGAGGCGGCGGCTGCGCAGCTCGCGAGCAGCTCAGGGGACGCGGTTGTGGACGGGTATCTGCTGGGGATGTTCGAGTGGCTGTCGAAGGCAGCAGAGCGCAAGGCCATGCGCAAGTACTTTGTGGAGCAGGGCTCGGCGACCGGGTTCTTTGTGCAGCTGACAGCAGCCTTGATGAGTTATGCGCAGATCACGGGCGAAATGCTGGCGGACTGGGCAGACGATCTGGATCTGTTTGTTGCCGATGAGGACGAGGAAGGGTACCGGTTCAATGTGCGCGTGTCGGTTCAGGAACTGGTGCAGTCGCTGATGTATGCGTTCCCGCGCACCTTGCCGGCGGCGCTGTGGCAGGCGGCTCAGCAGCGGCTCGAGCTGGCGCAGCAGTGGCGGCAGCAGGGCAGTGCCCACTGGTGGCTGGTCAGCGAGGCAGTGCTGTGGACGGTGGGCATGGCGGGCAGCGCGCTGGTGGAGCAGCAGGAGGAGGGCCAGGCAGCAATGGAGCAGATGGATCTGGGCGCATTGTTCGAGACAGCCGTGTGGCCGTTGGCCCGCAGCGCCGAGTTTCCGTTCGGCCAGGGCCGTGCGTTCATTTTCGCGGCAACCTTCGCCAAGGTTCTGCCCACGGGCATCGCAGAGGCGCTTGTGGAAGCCAGCAGCACGGCGGTGGCCGGCGACATGCACGCGGCGGTTCGGCTCAGCGCGGTGCGCGCCATCGGCAACCTGAGCCGGCACCTTTCGGCAGGGCTGGTGCAGCCATACCAGCGCACGATCATCGGCGGGCTGGCAGATCTGATCCCGCAGCTGAGCGAGGACTCGGCGCACATAGCGCTGGATGCACTGCAGGCGACGCTGAAGGTGGATGCGGCGACGACGGCGGAGCTGGAGCCGATGGTCAGCCAGGCGGTGCTGGGGATGTGGCAGCGGTTCCCGGGGGATGTGCTGCTGACCAGCATGGTGATTGACATAGTCGAGGACCTGGCGCGCAACGAGCTGGCGTATGCGGGGTTCTCGCAGCGCGCGCTGCCTATGATCGGTGAGGCGATGGGATCGGGTGAGGGCATGGTGGTGGCGTCGGCGATCGACCTGTTGGCGGGGCTGGTGAAGGGTGGGCCGTCGCCGATGCCCGATGGATACACGGCGACGGTGTTCCCGGCGTTAATGCAGGTTCTAGCGAGCAGCGTCGACAGCGAGGTTCTGCAGAGCGGGCAGGCGTGTCTGAAATACCTTGTGCAGAAGGACGCCGATCGCATAGCGCAGTGGCAGGACGGGTCTGGGGTCTCGGGTGTCGCGCTTATTGTGCGTCTGGTAGCGCGGCTGCTGGCGCCGGATGCGTCTGAATCGGCAGCACTGTTTGTGGGCGACCTGGTGACCAAGCTTGTGCAGAAATGCGGGCTGGGCGGGGCAGCGCTGGCTGAACTGGTGCATGTGGTGACTACTAGGCTGGCGACCGCGCGGACCGCATCGTTTGCAGCATCGCTTCTGCCTCTGTATGCGCAGCTGGTGGTCCACCATGCGGCCGAGGTTGTGGACCTGCTGGCTGGCATGCAGTGCGGGCCGCAGACGGGTCTGCAGGCAGTGCTGGGCATGTGGTGTCGGCACTACAATGACGTGTCGGGGTACTACAGCCGCAAGGTGCAGGCGGCGGCATTGATGCAGCTGTTTGCGTTGCAGGACCCGCGTGTCACTGCGGTGCTGGTGCAGGGCGACCTGGTGCCCAACTCGGTCAATGCCGGGAAAATCGTCACCAGATCGATGGCCCGCTCCAACCCCGACCAGTACACGCAGGTGTCGGCGCCGGCCAAAATCGCCAAGCTGCTGCTGGGCGAGCTGGGCGCGGATCTCGAGGCTGCCTATGCGCGCGTGGGTGTAGCCGGCCTGGATGCTGCTGAGGACGACGACGACGATGAGTGGGACGACGACGAGGATGTGTTGAATGAGCTGGCGCCGGCCGACCAGTACGGCGATCTGTCCGATCTCATCGACGGGGGATTCGACGACGGCGACGACGACGACGACGACCAGGACGTGCGCAACGACCCGATCTACACGCAGGACCTGAACGAAGCCCTGGCCGCCTTCTTCCGTGCCGCCGTCGCCTCCAACCAGGGCGGGTTCCAGGAATCCATCAAGCCAACGCTGACTGCCAGGGAGCTCGCAATGCTGGACAAGATCCTGCCGCACTAGAAACCAATGCCTTTTTAATAGTTGTTGTGGCCAAAGGAGTTTTATTAATCTACTTCAATTCCAGCTGCTTGGGCAGGGGCACCGAGAGTGCTGCCTGGACATTGGCTGTCAGTCGGCGCCGCTCGGCAAACAGCTCGCTGGTCTGCCGCCCGGTCTCCGCCACCCACGTCTCCAATGCCTGCGCATCCCCCAGCACTCTCTGTGCACCGGTACCGGACCGCGGCAGCACACACGCTGGCTGCGCAAACACCTCACTGGCTGGACCCGAGGGAACATTAAGCAAGGCCGCCGCCTGCGCGTCCTCAGCCATCTGCTGGCACGCCTGCGACATTGCTACTAGTTGCGCAGCGAGCAGGGACGGTGGGCCCTGGCCGACCTTGTCCAGGGAGTCAAAGAAGGCTGTGCCGCTGCTCTCCAGCTTGTCGAGCAACTGCAGGAGTGCGCTGGTGCCTTGGTACTGGACGTCGACTGCGGACTGCTGGCCGCCGAAACTCATGGTGACAAGAAAAAGTGAATTATGCGGATCGGGTGGAGCGCCAGCCCCCGCTTACTGGCAATAATGGCCGCACAGGCGCATTATCCAAGAGTATGGAGCATAAATTTGTACCGGTGGTAAAACTATAAAAAGATGTAAAGGAAGAAAAGGGAGCCTACTTGGGCCCCGACGGACCCTTGAAATCCACAGTGGCTGGGGTGGCTAGCTCGCCGCGCACAAACACGCTGTCCACATGCAGGTCGTCAGTCAGCAGCACAATGTCGGCATCGCAGCCAAACGCCAGCGACCCCTTGCGGTCTGCTATGCCCAGCATCAGCGCCGGATGCAGCGTCGCAGCCTCGATGGCCTCGACCACCGAGCACTGCGTGAACTTGTGGAAGTTGCGCACACACTCAATCAGCGTCACAATGCTGCCGGCCAAGGTGCTGGTGCCCTGGATCACCGCCGCACGCGGGCCGTCCTTGACGTCCTCCATGGGCTTGACATCTACTGACATGTTGCCCAGCTTGTACTGCCCGTCCGGCAGCCCCATGGCGCCCATGGCGTCGGTCACCAAAATGGCTCCCGCCGGATGTGCCCGGTAGGCAATCTTGACTGTGTTCGGGTGCACGTGGATGCCGTCGCAGATCAGCCCGTAGAATGTGTTGGGCGCCGATGCCCCAGCCACGCCGTCGGCGTCCAGCGCCTGCTTGTCGGCAGCCCCCAGAAGGCCGATGACGCCCGGGTCGCGGTGGTGGAAATCCGTCATGGCATTGAACAGGTGCGTGATCATGTGCGCCCCGCTCTGGCGCGCCCGCCGCGCCGTCTCGCCCGAGGCCGTCGTGTGGCCCATGCTGATCCCGACATTGCACTCGCGGATCAGCTCCGGAATCGTCTCCAGCACCCCGGGCATTTCGGGTGCCACCTGTGATAGTATGCCACATGTCTGCGCAGGTTCTCCAAACCATAGCACTGGTCAAAGTCCGCCAGCCCAGCGCGGCGCCGCGCGCAGACACGCCAGCTCATGTGCGCCCTTCTTCTTCGGGTTCATGAACGGGCCCTCGATGTGCGCGCCCAGCGACTCGGCGCCATTGACAAGCGAGCCGCGACGTGGCCCCAAATGCGGAATCACTGCATGGTACGTCTCCGGCATCGAGCTGACCGTGGTCGGACAGAACGCCGTGCACCCCTGCAAAAGCACACCGCGGCTCACCACATCCATGCACTGGTCGATGTCTTCCCGGTTAAAGCTAAAGTCGTATCCGAACGCCCCGTTCAGCTGCACGTCTATCAGGCCCGGCGCCACTATCAGGCCCTTGCCGATCAATCCGCACGTCCGCAGCCCCGCAGCCCGTACAGGCTTGTCGGATTGATAATCTTGCCGTCCTGGAACCACACGTCGTCGTATGTCAGCGTGTGGTTGCGCAGCACACGGCAGTTGTGGATTTGGGTGATTATGCCGCCCTGGAGTATCCCCAGCTCCCGCGACCCGCGTGTTGGCGACGATACCGGCGACACCAGCCCTGAGGGCGGGTCCGGCAGAGAGAAGAACCGACGTGCCTCATATGCCTGGCCCTTGTGCGCCTTGTGAGTGCCGTTGGGGAGCACCAGAGCCGGTGCTAGCGACGGCGACGGGAGCTGAGATGCCACCCCGCTGTATCCTGACTTGCCTGCCAGCAGGCTGTCGTCGGTGGCCAGTGGCTGACGAGCTCAGGGAAAGCTTCTCGAGGGACAGAGTGTCGACGTTGACCATGGCTTTGGTTTGTTTAAGTTATTAAGAGCAGTGTGCACTATATATGCAAAAATACTATGTGCAAGTTGTGGCAATAGAGAGGTATGCTAGAATAATATACGCTGAACAAAAATAGAATACCTAAAGACGTGGTAGAGGAGCAGCTGTGAATATTGTTGAATGGAATGCACACCGACTGCCAAATGGTGTGGGGGAAGGTGGCGGTATTTAAAGGAAAGAGGAGAAAACAAGTACTTGGTAATGGCCAACAAGTAGGTGCGGAAAAGGAAAAAAACACTTTGTATATGACTAGTAGGTGGGAAAAGAATTATTCTGTGGCTATCCAATATATGAACAGCTACTCGCTTAGTACTTCGCAGAAGAGCAAAACTATCGTAATCTCGTATTAGTATCTGGCTATTAAACAAGTAAAAGGGCGCGGTCGGTACAAGAAGGACGAAAAATATTGTCCTCTGTCGCTTAGTAATAAAGGTGAGAAAAACACCCGACAAAAATGGCGAAAACAAATGAAAGAAAGAAGGTAGGTTGGCGAAAAGTTTCAGGACGAGCCTAGGTGTGGGTTGCCAGGAGGGGCGGGGCATCCCCTGGGCGTATTTAAGGCTTTTTCGCCTGCCGCGGAATCCCTCCCCTCCCCCCGGCAAATGCTACTTTCCCTCGAGCACAACCGAGGCGCCAGTAGACCCCGGCCCTTTTGTCGGCGATTACCAAGGATGTTTACCTTTTCCTCCCCTCCCTCCCCCTTCTATGCCCGCCTCTCACTCCTCCCGCCCCTCCCATTCACTATGCAGCTGTATTAGAGACCCAGAGACAATGCACAATTAATGACATCTGCTGCCCCTGTGGTCCCTCTTCTACCGAACGATTTTCTCTCCGGCAATTGCCCGAGTACGCCAACTTTCTCCCTCTTTGTGTGTGTGTCTGCCTGTGCCGTACCCGCAGAGCCATGCTGAAAAAGACTGGCTCTCGCTCTTCCCTTGTAGAACAAACCAGTGTCCAGAAAAACAGGGGACAGCAGAGACACATCTGAAGTACCATCACTACTGTACATCCCGGCCCCCTACTTTTGCCCCTGCAACAAACCTGGTCCTGTCGCCGCGGATCTCTGCCCCCGCCGCTCATTCACAAGCCGTGTCCATCGCTATCAGGGCCATAGCTCGTTGATATCAATCACCAGCTAGATCCCTCCTATTGCACAATCTCTGCCCAAAGCCCATGACTTTCTGCCCCTTCGTTCCCAGCGATGCAGCCAGCAGCAGAGTGACATCCCGGAACAACCTTCATTCCAATGTTTTGGTCTATCCCTCTCCACACATCGCCGAGAAGGATAGGCCGCATACTGGGAAATCGTGCGAACGCCCATTTCCATTTCTTTCTGTAAACAAAGCCCGACTCTGAAGCACCTACGCGTTCGATGGAGAGCCAGATGCAAAATAAGCTGGTCAATGAAATAGGCCAATCTTGATGAGCAGCGGGAGCAAACAGGCTTTTCCACCCCTCCCAATGAGGTGAAAATAGCACATGATGGCTCTTTTTCTCTCCGCAGAAAAGAACGCCGCATTGTGCCAAATTGTTCGGCCATAAAGCAGCGGGAACCGCCGCGAAAAGGGACATTTTCGTGTAGATCCTCCTATGTATGATGCAAGAGGAGGGGGAACTGTGCAGCTGAGCACCTTGCCCCGAGACACCGCCCATTCTTTCTTGCCTCGCTGAACTTGCTTCCCAATGGCCAACATGTAAACAAGCGTGGGATTGCCCACCTCACCTATGCCTGTACACACCTGCCCGCTCCTCCTGCGGCGCACTTGCCTGGAAGCTGTCTCCCCGAACGGACAACCACATTGGCCAGCCTGTCGAAAACACATATCGCGACAAAAGAATCACGATTCCCTTTTCCGCCCCTTCCACCTGATCTTCGCCTCACAGCGAGCCTCGACGCTGCGTGCCTCCTGGTCTGAGCCTTGCTATTGCTATATTTAGCCACACATACCGTGCCCTTTCTAGAGGAGACACACTGCACGATATACCGAGCACACCTTTGTTCCATGTCGAAAAGTGCTCTCTGCCAAAATTTAATCCATGCCACTCTTTCTCTCGCAGTGCATGCCTTCACTACCCCCGAAATCTGATGTCCGCCCAAATGCCTTTGCATAGGAACCGCATGCACCGAGTAATGCGCAAAAATAGCCTTCATTGAGCAGAGCACTAGCTGGGGAGGCGTGGCCTCAATTGTAGCACGCAACAGCATGCAGCGATGGTATTAGAGTATGAATTTATGCAGACACCACAATGACCAATGCCTGCTACACATTACATCTATCATCTATATAAGCACACCCTCCCCTTTTCAACTTGCATACCGCCTGACACATTCCGCATCCTGCCAAGGTCTGGCACCACCGCCTGCTTGCCACGGGATCAAATTTGGGGGCAGGCTTAAGGGGATGGCCGGGCCGGAATTCATGGCGTGCCATTATCTGGTGCATCGGAGAACCAAACAAACGACATGCTGTATGTGCATGAATGGCGGGACCTAAAACAATATCTGCCCACCCTGACCGAACCATGTCCCAGCAGAAGCAGCCTGCCGTGATAATGCAGGCCATTTAGTGCATCCCCCTTTGTTATTTTGGACAACAGGCATCCTCAATTTAAGCTTCACGCTCGCACATAATGACCTGGATCACATGTTCAGACCACCAGTGCTGCGACTAGGACTCCTTATTGGAACCTTTAATTGACTTTCCTCCTTATAGTCCGTGAGCACAATGATCTACTGATGCCGGGTCTCATGGCAGGCTCCCCAGTGCAATAAGCTTGATGCTAGCAACAATTAGTGTGGGTGAGAGCCGGATATTGGTAGCCAAGTAGTGAGCAGGCTTGCTCGGGCTGGTATGCGCCTTTTCATACCTTTCCATTTGACGGGCCATTTTATCAGGAAAATCTCTATTCGCTCGTGCCAGCCCGCATTGCTAATTCAAGAAAAACCTGAATAGCAAGACCATGTACAATAGAACAGCTAGTGAAGACAAATGTATGCTGCCCCCTATAGCTGTGTGCCAGCACGCAAGACTCGCGGAAAAAGCTGTTTCTGCATATCAGGTCGACACAGTGTTCTAATCGAAGTTCAGCACGAGCCTTGGTCGTGCCATCTCGAGGTTGGAATTGATAGCGCTGACTCCAGACCATCCAGCTACTTTCTACAGAAGTGTGAGTGCCTGCCATAAACACGTCTAGTCGGGCTATCGGAACCATCAATAAAACTGCAATCTCCGAGGATGAAAGAATAAACCGCCGACATTTCTACATTATGCCTCATTTGTAGATCATAAAACATGGATGTTCTAAAGGTCCCGCCAAATGTAACCCGGAGCCCCTGGAAAAAGTCGACGAATCCATTGTTGCAAAGCAATGTCATCCAATTGCTGTACCATCGTGAGCAATTGCTAGTCCCAGCCATTAGGCTCCATTCAGAAACAGGTGGCAGTACATGAAGCTGCGCTTGGCTAACATATTTATACCATTGGATGGCAAGAGTGCGTGTAGCTGACTTGGATTATTCACCACAATGCTAATCTAGGCATGTTATACCGGCAGTAGCAGTTTTACGAGAAGCACTGCACGCTCCTCCCGAAGTCTATTAAGAAATGTCCAATTAAATCTAGTCGTCCCAATCAGAGTCTGACTCATCCTCGTTTTCGCTTTCGTCCTGAGTCACCAACGCGGCTCAGCATGGCCGAGATAGCGTCCTTGGTGTTGTCCTCCTCTTCCTCCTGGATCTTGAACGACAGGTTGGGTCCGCCGGATCACTTCAGGCGGCGCCTGCGACAGCGGTACCATTCCTGATGGGCACAGGTCAATGTACTGTGGCTCAGCCTTGGTACCGTCGACCCATGACGCAGCATCAATCGACGGGGTCTCACGATCGACGGTGGGCGGGAAAATGTCGTCCTGGAAGAATTCAGGCCGCTTGCGCGGCACCTTGAAGCCCATGGACTCTATCGTCTGGGCATTGAGGCGGTACGTACGCAGCAGCTCCCTTTTTGCCACATCTGCATGCCTCTTGGGCAGAACTGCCAAGCACAGGCTGGGTTGCGAGGACTCGTACTTTGGCAGGTCGACGAGCTTGTCGCCCAGGACCTCGAACGCGTGCGTCAGCCGGCTGCCACGGTCATCGAGATACAGCACGCCGCAGTCGGGATCAAAAATTGGGACCAGGATGCCTGGTCCCAACATCAATAGTCTTTTTGACGACGGGTTTGGACAGATCAGCGATGTTGTGGATCGAGACCATGCGCTGACTGCCGATTCCAAAGCCAGCAAGACAAATGCGCTCGTTGTCGAGCCACTCGATGCGGCACGGACGGATGCTGTCCATTGATGGGCCCTCGGCGACCAGCTCGCTTGTACGCACATCATAGACACGCAGCTTCTTGGTCTTCTTGGTTGTCAGCGCAATAGACTCGCCATCGGGCGACCAGGCAAACGAGTGGATGCCCTCGGCAGTCTTGCCAACGATGAAATGAAGCATCAGGCCATTGTACACATAGATAACGCTATCGCCAGCGTCCGTAGCCAGCACCGAGACCACCCCCTTGGCGCATGGATGGAACCGGATCTGGTGGATCCGGTCGGCAGCAATGTGGATATACTCTTCGATATCAAAATGCGCCTCCTCCGTCAGCGGCATGTCAGGGATTTGCCACATCTGCAGTGTCGAGTCGGCGCCCGCCGTCGCAATCACTGACGGGTTGAACGGGTCGAACGCAATGTCAGTGACAGTGGCGCCATGGACGACAGTGGCCATCTTGGCCGGCACGCGGCCCGGTGTGTCACGCCGTACAATGCCGACCTGGCCACCGGCGCCAGTTAGTGCAATAGCGATATACTTGGGGCTGACCTTGAGCGCATCGTTCTCGGGCGGGAACCGCAGGTTGACGTCGTGGATCTGTGTGAAGTGCTCGGTCGGCTTGTACATGTACCCCTCCAGGTACTTGAATCGTGCGTGGTCAGGAGCGCCTGAACACTGCCGGCTTCTTGGCAACACGTGGCGGAGGAGAGCTCGCCGCAGAGTAGCCATTTGTCTTGCTTCGACGCTACCTTTGGGGATTGCTGCTGCTCGTGTGGCAGATCACCACCACATGGCTCGGTGGTGGCTTGGGGTGAGGTTGGCTTACTTGCAGGCGGACAGCGGCGATGTGCTTGAGGCCACCGGAGCCTGCTGGACAGGAACAGGAGCAACTACAGCTGCAGCGGGAGCAGGGCGGGAATGGCAGGATTAGGCGCGGACACGACTGCTGGTGTGTCCGCCAGCGGGGACGACTTGGCAGACACCACTGCAGCTGCTGCCGGTGGTGGTGTAACTGGCTTGACAGGAGCCGATTCCAACACCGTTGCTCCTTGGCTGCGCAGGTCTCGTCCTTGGGCTGGGTCTCAGTCCCCTGGAACTTATCGCCATAGATCTTGCGAAGGCTGGCCAGCGAGGCATCGCGCTTTGCCTGGATCCAGCGACATCCTGGGCACTGAGAACGGCTCGTTCTTCAGCCACTCATCAAAGGTCTGCGCAGGCAGCGGGGCACGGGTATCCGGGAACAAATCGCTGTGGAAGTCCAGATACGTGCGACGTGGTGCAATGTGCGTCACAGGAACAACAGCCGAGCCCGATCCAGCACCAGCGTTCTCCAGCACAACCATCAGCCTAGCAATCTCGCCAGTCCATTGGCCTGCAGCTTGCGTTTGGGTAGCAGGGCACAGCCCGAAATCTGCGATGGCAGGGCCACAGCACCAAATTCAGTCAACGGTTTGGCAGCTGAGGGATCGGCATCGACCCAGCGAACAATGTTATCGCCCTTCTCGGCCAAGTAGGCAAGCTGCGTGTCCTCGTCGTAGAGCGGGATCAGCGGTTTTGTTGACGGTTGCAGCTGCATCGAGGTGATCGGCTTGGCCAGATTGCGCTGGTCCCAGATGGCGGCCGACCGCTCGCGCATACGAGTCTGACCGGTCGACATGAAAAACGGCTTGTCGCCTAGCCACAGCACACGCGTGGAACGGCCCGATGCGTGGAATGCTGCTGTCGAGCCAACAGACTGCTTCTGACGCAGGTCAAACAGCACGCTCGAGCCCACATGCGTGCTGGCTGCTACTAGCTGGCCGTCGCCGCGCACCGAGATTGAGTCAATCTGGCCATCACTAGCCGACTCCCACACAGGCGCCAAGCTCTGGGACAGGTTTGTGCCGCACTGACGTTCCACAGCTTGATTTCGGTGCTACTGCTGGTTGCGATTAGTCCTGCCACAGTCGGATGGAACGTGGCATTGACGCATCCGGATGAGTGTGCGCTGAAGGCACCTGCAGCGGCATGGTCCTTCCACAGCGTCACGGTGCCCTGGTCGTCGCCAGCAATTGCCAGCCCATCTTCGAAGCCAGACACATTCCAGTCCTGGACCCGACCGCCCGTGCTAGACAGCACCTTGACCTGTCCGCCGACCTTGCCCTGGGCCGTCGACACCGACAGCCTGCAGTGCATTTCCGCTGACGGTCTTTAGGTACAACGAATCGTCGCTGATAGCCAGCCCATTTGACCCTAAGGAGGCGGAGGCGTCCAACGATAGCTCGCTGTACCACGTCTCGCGACCAGTGACCGTGGCGACTGCGTTGCGGTATTTGTTGACTTTGGCGAACCGCATCGCTTCTGTGAAATTGCAAAGAAAATGGCGACCTGGCGACGGGCTGAAGAGAGAGAGAAATGGAGAACCCCCAAAAGAGGAAATACAGCGCACCTACTATGACCGCTCCCCCGCACATGCTGTGCAACCCGCACGCTGGCTGCCAGCGAGGAGGGGCCAGCCCACAGCAGTTGTGGAACCGCATCTCTAAGCCGCACTAAGGTCCTGGTCGCATATTCCTGCAGCCGCGGCCGGCAGCGTTTGGCTGGGGGATGAACAGGCGCTGGTGCTGGTCGCAGGCCATGTTTTGGTTTTTGAGTGATCTGCGTGTGCATGCAATCGACCAATGGGAGGCTGCTGGATCTGCTGTCCTCGTCAAGGAGATGCGTCCTGACGTTGGCCTGAAGCATGCGACGACAAGCCCTCCATAGTGCTTGCGGCTGCGGGCCATCGCGCTGATGCTGCTGGGATGGGGGAGCGAATGGCACTCCTTTGGGCCTTGCACAAGTTAGACAACAGCCCCCACCGCCAGCCTGCTTTGCGTGCTTTTTCAGCTTCCGAATATGACGAGTTGTCCGTTGTGCGCAAATTGGGCGCATTTTTCCTAGCGCTCCAGCAGGGAGACGAGCATTGGCTAACCGCACTCTCTCCTCCAGTTGCGTCTTTTCGGCATCGTTTTTGTTTATCTCCCTTTTCTTCTATCAGCGCAGACACACGGCCATCTTACCTCCCACCTTCCATTTCCTATTGCAAAGGCGTAGCGCCAGGCGCGCATTTCAAACACCCCCCCAAGTGCAGTCACTCGCCGTCTTTGTCATACGGTTATTGTTTTGTAGACCGCGGTCTGGACCTCTACAACCCGCCGCCTCATACCCTGATACATCGGCACCCTCGCCCGAGGAACCGCACCGAGCCTAATTTTCCAGCCTTGGCTCCACGGGCTCGCGCTTGCATTCCCTCCAGGCTCTGATCCATCCGCATACTATTGCTGGGAATCGCACCCTGTATTGCAATCCAGCGACACGGAATACAGCGCGCTGGGCCGAAGAACGACGCTCGCTAGAACTACCAAAACCAAAATCTGCTGTGCTTCATCGAGGCGATCCCTCTTGCGAGTCCAATCGCCATACTATTTCCAGTCTATATTTGAGGTAGGTGAAGCTTTTTCTCTTGCCAGTTCTATGTTGTTGCGTTTACGTCAGAGCAGCTGCACAGACACAAGGTTGCACCAGCGTGGGGGGCTGCACTATGGCAGAAAACACCCAGGGAGCAAAATGCTGGTGGCTGTTGTGCGATACCGCCCGGCTAGCCTAAGCATTGAGCAGCAGATGCAGTGCTCTTTTTACGAGCGTGGGCTTGTAAAAAGGGGAGGTGCCGGCTTTTGCGATACTGAAAGAGGGAAAAAAGTTTTAGGCATATTGTTGTCCTTTTCTTCTTTGCGTCCCACTGCTTCCTCTTTTCTTTCTGTGCTCTTGTTGCATTAATTATCGCTCCCTTTTGCGTTTCCGGATATCGCCCAAGAGCGGTTCTAATTTATTTCCAGTGTACATTTCAACCAAAAACATAGACCCGACCCGGGGCCAGTCCGTACAAAGAAAACAGAACGTGCGACAGCGGGCTGTGGAGCTTTAGCGGGCAGCCAACCAGACAGCTAGACCTACCAGACCGAGCTAGGAATAGCCACAGACGGGCGGCATCTCAGTCACCCCAGTGAGCGGTCAACGAGGAGAGCTTGGGAGAGGGGCCGCTTATTTATTTTCTGCTTCTGTTACTCTGGCATTTGATCCTTCTATTTTTCTTTCCACCACATTTGCAACGCGGCTACACACGACACATAACCAGCCATGGGAAAGTCGAAAGCGCTGCACCGAAACACCCCAACAGCACAGGCAACAAACAGCGCCGAGCGCGACAGCAACAAAGATGTTTCTCGTCCACGCACCGCGGGCGGTGAGAAGGGGCTTCTGCGCAAGTTCCGGTTTGGGCGTATTTTCGGATTCGGCGGCCCAACCACCCACGAGGGCGACGACGGTGCTGTGCAGGCGGTAGCGCCGGCGATGCACAGCACGCTGCCGCTGAAGGCACGTGGGCTGTTCCGCACGTCGTCGGTGCAGGCGCCGCAGTCCGAGAATGGGCTGCTTTGGATCTATTTCTGGGCCATCCCTGCCCCCGCCCATGCCCGCGATGGCCAGATTCCCAGACTGCCGGAACGATGCCGCTCCCCCGCAACGGGACGCTGCCGCGCGCAGGCATCCCACCCATGACGTTAGATGCAAGCACAGCAGAATTCGGCGAACAGCGCAGCCGCATGAGCATTCTCTCACGGCGATCATCTGCGCCAGATACCAGTGACCTTGGCGGGTCACGCCTCAGCAGGTACTCGATGGATCAGCGGGCATGACATCGCCGGGCTGCTGCCAATGGGCCCGCCGCCACCACAGTTCCGCTCACCGCGGCTCGACGATGGCCAAAAAGACGACGACCGGCGGCGGCGGCGGAGCACAATCGACGGACACGTGCTGAGCAGCCCCGGCCTGCAGCGGTCTGGGTCAGAGACGTCCGAGCAGTCGCAGTTTTCGGAGCACTCGAGCGACACAGAATGCCTGGCTAGCTTACTACAGCGCACATCGCACTCTGCGCTTGCAGTTGATACTGCGTTCGCCAAAACAACATCGATAACAAGGGTGGATGAGGATAATGAGCACAGTGGCAACAACAATGGGCCGAGTGTCGACGAGAACGTGCTGGGCCAGTGCCACAGATACTGCAGCAGCAGCAGCAGCAGCAGCAGCAGCAGCAGCAGCAGAGCTTTCTGGACATTGGCTGTTCTGACAACGACGACACGGCCACAGTTCAACATGGTTGCGATCGGTGACCATGCCTCGCCGACGGTCAATCACAGCAGCGAAAACAGCAATGGCCGCAAGGGTAGCGGAGACAGCGAGACACTGTCGCCCAAGGTACGCACGCGGAGCTGCGCAAGCATGTGTTCTGATGACGACAACAGCAAGCGGCAGCTCCCACGATCGCCAGCACGCGACTCGCTGCCGCCGCTGCCTACCGCGACAGAAGCACCGCCTGCAACTGTAGCGGATCCACACAATGACGCTGCGAGCACGGCAGAGATGGCAGTGCGGCAGTCTGGTTTGGAGGGCCGTGCGGGCAAAAACGATGCGGGGAGTTTATTTAGCAACCATTCTGTCATCAGCAGCAGCGGATCCCCAGACTCCGCCTCTGATCTTGAGGCTATTAGCGATGTTGATGACGACGACGACGACGATGATTACATGGGGGAGCACAAGGTATTGGCAGTTGTCCATATGGAGAATTCTGGGTTCGATTTGGATAGTGCCGAGGCTACTGCTAACCGCTCGCAAACAAAGTTGCCTGGGGCGCGGCGGAAGCTGCGTGTTTTTGTGCCAGACGAAAACGATGAGGCTCAAGACATCGAGCAGCGCATGCTTGGGTCAGGGCTACTCTCTTATTTTCTCTCCGCAGCGCGTGCGGTCGCCAAGCATTTCGCCACCACTGCGGCACTCTCATTCGACTAGCACATTTCCGGAACCGCTCCGGCACGCATCCATATACGCGTTGGACACCAGCATGCCGCCTGTGCCTCCAAGGGTCAGCCGCGGACACGCGTCTACAGCGCACGGCCCGCCAATGGACTACCACGCGTCGTCATCAGCCACCTCGCCGCTGTACCCGATGACGTCTGACATCTTGATGATGGGATCGGTCAAGGCACGCAGCGGGGACAAGCACCACCACCAGAGCCCGGTGAGCGCAGTCAACAGCAGCACGCACAACATGTTTATCACGAGCCGCAGCCGCAGCAACTCGAGCGGCCACAGCAGCTTTGTATCGAGCAACTACAGCACGTCGAGCCGCAACACGCAAATCTTCCACCCGATAAACACGACGTCGCCGGCGTACCTGAGCAAGCCGCTGCCACTGCCGCCGACAGAAGACGGATTTGTGCCGCTGCCCAGCACATCAATGTCGACATGCATCGCAGTCGTCGTACTTCCCGGCACAAAGGCCAGAGTCGCCGCCGCTGCCACCGCTGCCGCCTGAATGTGGTCCGGTCTCGGCGCCGGGCACGCCCGGTATGAGCATCCGGCATTCGGCAAGCCCCATCAGTGAGCTGGAGCGCGAGGGCGTGTTTGTGCTGCCGACGGTACCCGAGACGGTTGGCGGCAGCCGGGCCCGCAAGATTGTCGAGCGGCTGAGCTTCTTCGACAAGAAGAAGAAGTCGCGCACCCAGAGTATGCCGACGCAGAAACGCCCCAAGTCTCTGTACGAGCAGCCTGTGCACAAGTCGTATTCGACGTCCACGTACAAGTCGCACCAGTCCCGCAAGTCGTTCGCCGGCGATGGCCGGAGCAGCACGGCGTCAGATGCGCTCTATCTGGATGACCTGCATACTCTGCCCATACCGCAGAGCAGTACTAAGCTGAAGTCAGCTGCCGCCCCAGCTGCGTCGGAACACAGAGAGCTTGCTAATCAACACCCAGGTCAAGGCCCGGCGGTCTAGCGCCGTGTCGCTGACTACCAGCCCGCTGTCGATAATCCCGAATGTCGGCGCCAGTCGACGACACCCATGAAGGCAAGGAAGGCAGCATCAACTCGGTGCTGCTTGGGTCTGCAAAGTCGAGCAAGGCCCCCAGCATCGACTCATTCGCTCTGACGGATGTCCATGGCTCGCAGCGTATGCGGTCCAAGCTGGAGTCGATTGGCATGAAGCGCTCGTCGGACGTATGGCTGGGGTCGCTCCAGCATGTTTCTGCGGTCGCCACCCAGTGTCGAGGACCTGAATGCCAACGAGGCACAAAAGCCCAGCGATAGTGCGGCTGATGACAGAGTAGCAATGGCAGCCTTGGCCGCTACTACCACTGCAGGTGATGACCAGGCAAAGGAGAACGGATCTCAGCCTAGGCCGTCCAAGGAGCAGGAGAGCGACACGACTAGCCCAATGATCCAGCCAGTAATGATTGCAAAGCCCGTGGCGCGCAAGACACCAGCGGCGATGCGGATGCACTCGGCCCGCGAGTTGGTGATTACCGAGAAGAACTTTGTCGACCACCTGTTTGTGATCAAGAAGGTGTGGATGGAGCCCTGTGTTCTCTTCAATCAACTCGCCAAAGCCGATCATCCCGTACCAGACAGCGCGCATGGTGTTTGACGGTATTGCGTCGCTGCACTCGCACGCCAGCCAATTCTACCGCGAGATGGACGCAGCGCTGAGCAGCTTTGAGCACCATGCTCGGGCACACGCTAGCACCACCGGCAAGGACTTTGACGACGGCATGCGGATGGGCCGGTTGTTCCGCAGCAGCGAACGGCACTGGAGCGACTTCATCACCTATGTGCGCAACTACGGCAAGGCGGTCCGGTGCCTGAACCAGCTGCAGGACTACAAGCCGTTTGCGCGGTACCACGAGGAGTGCATGCTGCACAAGCGCACGAACCGCCAGTCGCTGAAAGGACCTCCTGATGCTGCCGGTGCAGCGCGTAACGCGGTACACGCTCCTGCTGAAGAACATCCTGAAGCACACGCCGGTGACGCATGGCGACCATGTCGAGCTGTGCCGTGCGGTCAAGAATGCGTCGCGGCTGGCGTCGATCGTCAACGAGTGCAGGCGCAAGCAGGAGGAGAGCGAGCGGGTCATGGAGCTGTTCCAGGCCATTGCGCTGTGCCCGCCGATGCCGTACGCCGACTCGCGGGCCTTTTGTGACCGAATTCATTGTTCGCGAGCTGATTTCGCGGCAGCCGACTCGGCTGATTCTGTTCAACGACATGCTGGTTGTTGCCCAGGCGCCTGCGCAGGCCAAGATCGACGTTGTAACGGCGTCGGCCAACGAGACTGCCGAGGCACATATCGAGTGGACGTACTATGGGTCGGCGCTGCTGGACCAGGTCGAGGTGCAGAATGCCTGACGAGAGCACCAACACGCTGATCACGATTCTGTCGCTGAACAGGTCGGCGACCGTGAAGTCGTCGATGGATGACTCGAGTCTTGGCCGCCGGTCGCTGCCAGGCAACGACGACGCGGGCTCCGATGACGTGGTGCTGTCGCCGGGTCACCAGGGCGCTACGATCTCGAATTCGCCCGAGGCGCGCCCGCGCACCAGCGCCTGGTCGCCATGCCCAGGACGGCATGTCGATGCTGTCAGAATCCACGCTGCGTGACGCGTTCTCCAGCAAGAAGAAGCCCAAGAAGAAGGGCAAGATCAGAAAGGGCATTCTGCAGTCAAGCGGCTCCGGCGACGCGATCCCCGACCATATTGCGGCGCTGTCTCACTCGACGTTCCCGAAGCCCAGTGCCGTCGACGATGTACTCTGATCTGGCGGCATCCCGCGCGTCGTCGCACTTTGCAAGGACAGTTCAGCCGAGGCAGCGATGGCTGGCGGCCAGCAAATGACTCCGCCGCTGCAGCCACAGCGCCCCAAGACATCGCAAGGACTGCCGCAAGCACATTCGCTCTCGTCCGGCATCGACGCTCCATCTGAGTGGTCCACAATGGCTCTGTGGATGGCCTGCCGCCTGTGCCTGCCTTGCTAGAATCTGCAAACAGCAGCACAAACATGCTTGTGCAGAGCCCGCCGAGCATGGCGCCGTCCAAGGGCGTCCAGCTGACGCTGGTGATGCAGCACACATCCTCGTTGGAGCGGAAGAAATTTGTCATGGCCCTCAAAGACGCGTCGACCAGATATGCCAACGGCGCCAGCACTGGCGTGTCGGCCATGGATGACCCCGAGGTCCTGGCTGATCTGTCGCTGGATGCCGGCTTCGGGCGACGTGCTGAGCATGCACCCTATGTGAGCCAAGGCCCGCCGCCCCTGCCTCTTTCCTGTAAATGGTAGAATTGTCTGCTTAATATCATCACACATATCCCCGCGCCCATGATCAAGTTATTAACGCCAAATTTCGCGACGCGTGTTTGCATGGGGCTCTTTTCTCTGCCTGTCTGAGGAATTGGGTCTGCGCATTAATCCAGCATATGCTGTCTGGCCTCCTTTTCCTCTCCTCTCCCCTCCTGAATTGTTGGCACCTGCTTTTTTATTACACTTCCCTCTCCATTACCCTCCAAATTATTCCAATTTCCCTGTCCCCTTTTCTGTTCGCATTGCAGCTCGAAGGGAAAGGACCATACCTACACTTACCTCGCATAGACACCCCTCCGTATTAGCTTTGAAACAAGTTTGCTTCCAGGCGATGGCTTCAGAGGACCTGCCCCCAAACATCGACGCGAGTTCCGAGCTGTCCGAGTCTGTTCCGGCCAGCGGCTACATCACACCGCTCGAGCCTGCGAAGCCCCTCGACCCAAAGCAGGTGAAGCGGTTTGCCTTTCTGCTGAGCCAGACCGATGTGTTCTCGCACTTCATCCAGGATTTCATCCAGGACGACAATCTGAAGGCAGAGATCAAGCGGCAGCTGGACACCAAAGCGGCCAAGGCGGCACAGGGCAATGTGTCGCGGCGGCACCGCAAGACGGAGAAGGAGGAGGATGCTGAGCTGCTGCGCGAGTCTTCGCCTGAGGAGGAGATGAAGGTGCAGCAGACGTTCACCGGAATCGCCGACGTACGTGACTGGCGGCAAGATGCGCGACTACCAGCTGCGCGGCTTGAATTGGATGATCTCGCTGTTTGAGAACGGGATCAACGGGATCCTGGCCGACGAGATGGGTCTGGGCAAGACACTGCAGGTGATTTCGTTCATTGGGTACCTGAAGCACTTCCGCGGGATGCGCGGCCCCCATCTGGTCGTGGTGCCCAAGTCGACGCTGCACAACTGGAAGGCCGAGTTTAACCGCTGGGTCCCTGATCTGGACGTGTTTTTGCTGCACGGCGACAAGCACGCGCGTGCCCAGATCTTTGACGAGCACCTGAACCCCAACACGTTCAACTGCTGCATCACCACGTACGAGATGTGCCTGATCTGCAAGACCCAGCTGCGCAAGGTCGACTGGCAGTACATCATCATCGACGAGGCACACCGTCTCAAGAACGAAAACTCGATGCTGTCCAAGCTGGTGCGTCTGTTCTCGTCGCAGAACCGGCTGCTGATCACAGGCACGCCACTGCAGAACAACCTGCACGAGCTGTGGGCACTACTGAACTTTTTGCTGCCCGACGTCTTTGGTTCGTCGGACGTCTTCGACGACTGGTTCCAGAAGGGCGAGGGGGATCAGGAGCATGTCATGCAGCAGCTGCACAAGGTGCTGCAGCCGTTCCTGCTACGCCGTGTCAAGAGCGATGTCGAGCACTCGCTGCTGCCCAAGAAGGAGGTTAACCTCTACGTTGGTCTGACGCCGATGCAGCGCACCTGGTATAAGCGTATTCTGGAGCGCGACATTGCAGCCATCAACGGCGCGATGGGCAAGAAGGAGGGCAAGACGCGGCTGCTCAATATCGTGATGCAGCTGCGCAAGTGCTGTAACCACCCGTACCTATTTGACGGCGCTGAGCCTGGACCACCGTATACCACTGACGAGCACCTGGTGTATAATTCGTCAAAGATGGAGGTACTGGACAAGCTCCTGAAGAAGATGCAGGCGCAGGGCTCGCGTGTGCTGATTTTCAGCCAGATGAGCCGCATGCTTGACATTCTCGAGGATTACTGCATGTTCCGCGGCTACAAGTACTGTCGTCTGGACGGATCCACCGACCACGAGGACCGCGTTGCGTCAATTGACGAGTTCAGCCGGCCGGGCAGCGACAAGTTCATCTTCCTGCTGACAACGCGTGCTGGTGGGCTGGGCATCACGCTGACGGCTGCCGACACTGTGTGCATCTATGACAGCGACTGGAACCCGCAAGCTGACCTGCAGGCCATGGATCGTGCTCACCGCATTGGGCAGACCAAGCAGGTGTACGTGTATCGATTCATTACCGAGAACACAGTCGAGGAGAAGGTTCTGGAGAAGGCGATGCAGAAGCTGCGCCTCGATCAGCTTGTGATCCAGCAGGGGCGCCTGGCGCAGGCCACCAAGGGAGCCACGCGCGAGCAGCTGCTGGACATGGTGCAGTTTGGTGCTGAGGGCATTCTGAAGAGCGGTGGTTCGTCGTCGCGCGCTGATCGCTCGGGTAGCAACACGGCATCGCGTGCCACCAGCAACGAGGGCACGCCAGCGCTTTCAGAGGTCGAGGACGATAGCAACTTTGATATCGACGACATTCTGCGGCAGGGCGAGTCAAAGACGCTGGAGCTGCAGAGCAAGTACGCCGACATGGGGCTGGACGACCTGAACAAGTTTGCCAACGAGTCAACATCGACGACCCAGTGGGAGGGCGAGGACTATGCGCAGAAGCGCAAGGCTGCGGATATCGCGCAGCTGTGGATCCAGCCTGCCAAGCGCGAGCGCAAGGTCAACTATGCAGTCGACGACTACTACCGCGAGGCGCTGAGGCAGAGCACCTCGCGCTCAAACAACGCGCCCAAGGCCCCGCGCCCGCCCAAGCAGATGCACATCCACGACTTCCAATTCTATCCGGATCGGCTGCACGAGCTGCTGGAGAAGGAGCTGCTGGCGTACCGCCGCGCAATCGGCTACAAGGTGCCCAAGCAGGACTCGTCCGACGACGCGTCCAGTGTCAGCAAGAACTCTGACGAGGACGAAGGAGGCGGTGCGCAGGCAGGAGCAGGCCAAGATCGATGCTGCCGAACCGCTGACTGAGGAGGAGGTCCAGGAGAAGGAGCAGCTGGCAAACCAGGGCTTTGGCAACTGGAACCGGCGCGACTTCTATGGCTTCATGCGGGCAGTGGAGACACACGGGCGCGGGCACATGGAGATGGTGGCCAGCGACGTCGAAGGCAAGACGCCCGAGGAGGTGCGGGCGTACGCCAAGGCATTCTTCAAGCACTACCGCAAGCTGCCCGAGGCCGACCGTCTGACAGCGCAGATCGAGAAGGGCGAGCAGAAGCGTGCGCGGCGCAACGAGATCCAGCAGCTGCTGGACGCCAAGCTGAGCGAGTGCAAGCTGGACCCGGTGCGCCATATCCAGATCCCGTACAGCTCGGGTGGCTCAACGGCGCGTGGGCGTGTGTATACCGAGGAGGAGGACCGGTTCATCATTGTGCAGCTGGCCAAGCTGGGCGTGGGCACTGAGGACGTCTACGAAAAAATCAGGCAGGAGGTGCGCGGGTGCCCGATGTTCCGCTTTGACTGGTTCATCAAGAGCCGCAACACGCACGAGATCCAGCGCCGGTGCCAGACGCTGATCGGCCTGCTGCAGAAGGAGGCCCATGGCAACCGCAACGGCGCCAGCAATGGCACGAACACGCCAGCGGCCGGCACCGACATTGAGTGAGTATCTCTCTCAGTGCCTGTGCGCCTGTGTGTGCGTGTTGGAAGGAGTTTGAAACCTCGTCCAAGTGGCGAGATTACCCAAATCGCCGAAAAAATCCCCCCCACCCACGCCCTCTCACTTTCTCTCTCCCCTGATGTAATTTCCTCTATACTAGCTGCTCTTTTAAAAAAAAAACCCTTTATCGCAATGGCCGGTTTGAATGCAACAAGATTTGCTTTTGCCGCACGGGCTCTGAAGCGGGCGCAGACCCGGTTTAGCACACGCCGCCTGGCCACTGCGGCCACTGCCACAGAGTCTGCTGCTGCTGCGCAGCCTGTCGAGCGCTACGACATTGTGATCGTGGGCGGCGGGCCGTCTGGCTGCACCTTGGCCAGCGCGCTTGGATCGGCCAAGGCCCTGGAGCACATGCGCATCGCACTGCTGGACTCGGGGAAGCTGACCGAGACACGCAGCTGGGAGCCGACCTGCTGATACGTTCCTGAACCGCACGCTGCAGATCACAGCCAGCAACAAGCTGTACCTGGAGAAGGTTGGCTCGTGGAGCATGTGTAATACAGAGCGGGTCCAGCCATACGATCGCGTGGTGGCTCTGGATGGCTCGGGATCGGGCAGGATCGAGCTGAACACGCCCAGTGGAGACGTCACTGCCGCGTACATGATTGAAACCAAGAACCTGGTCAGCGGGATGCTGAAGTTCATTGACGCGCAGGGTGCCAACATCGATGTGGTCGAGAAAGCCAAAGTGGCAAACATTGCGCATGAGGCAGGCTCGGTGGACTGGCCAGTAGTGACGCTGGGGAACAAGCGCCGGCTACAGGCGCGGCTGCTGGTAGGCACAGACGGTGGCAACAGCAGTGTGCGCAAGTTTGCAGATATCGGCACCTATGGCACCGACTACGAGCAGTACGGGCTGATTGCGACGCTGTGTCTTGAGCAGCTCAACCGCACGGCGTACCAGCGCTTCCTGCCCGAGGGCCCCGTCGCTGTGCTCCCGTTCCCTAACGGCTTTGCCAACCTCGTGTGGTCGCTACCGGCCGATCTGATGCGGGCCTTGAAGACGATGCCTGAGGACGCCTTTGCCTTGCTTGTGCAACGCAGCACTGCGCCTGTCGCCAGCCGAGATGCAGTACCTGTACGGCCTGGTGGGCAGCGGTGCCAGCGAGCGAGAGATCATGGACGAGACCAAATGGCGGCTCGACGTGTTTGCCAAGAGCAATGCCAGTGAGGAGAATTGGCTGCCGCCCAATGTTGCCGCTATTTCGCCGAAATCACGCATGTCGTTCCCGCTGCGCCTGCGCAGCGTCGATCGACTGGTCGGCAGCCGTGTGGCCTCTGGTTGGCGACGCCGGCCACGTCATGCACCCGCTGGCTGGACAGGGGCTGAACATGGGCATTGAAGATGTGCAGAGTCTGGTGCAGATCCTGGAGCAGGCAGCGCTGGCAGGCGAGGACATCGGCACTGTGGGTGTGCTGGAGCGCTACAACCGCCAGCGCTATGTGCGGAATCTGGCGATGCAAGGCGTGGTGGACAAGGTCTGGCATACTTTTAGTGCTACTGCAGGGCCGATTGTCAAGGCCCGCTCAATGTTGATGAACGGTCTGGACCGCTTCCCGGCCGCCAAGGACATCTTGGTGAAGAACATGATGATGTAGGCATTTAGGTTTTGGGCACAGCGCGCTTTTAAAATGGCACTGTTGTGGACGGCTTCACCAGAATAGACGCTAATGCGGAGGGGCGGCTTCCACGTGGAATGTGGTTTGAAAAGGAGCGGCGCTAGCTTTGCAGCAGGAGTATATCCATTCATTTCAAAGTCTTGCAGCGGCCAAGCTTTTCTCTCTGTTTCCAATTTCTTTTCTGCATTTTCCTATACTTTTCTTCAAATCACCTACATTTTACCCAATGAGCGACGAGGGTGCTTCCAACAGTAAGTACTTGTCCTCCACACATGCGCGCACGCAGTCTGTGCTCGCGGGAGAGCAGTAGGAGTCCAGTCCTTTTGTGCTGGCGAGCAAAAGGAAGCAGGGGGGCTGAATTTCGAATTTATTTTGTAGATGAGCAGCTGCTGGCCGCGTGCAAGCTGGACCAGTCCGACATGGTCGAGGATCTGCTGAAGGATCTGGGCTCGGTCGATGTCAACTGTGCCGACGGTGTTGGCAACACGCCGCTCCACTATGCGTAAGTATATCTATTATTGGCTTGGCGAGTACGCTTGGCATTTTCCGGCTTGGCCAGCAAAGGGTATGCGCACCGTCCACTGACACTTTTGAGAAATAGTGCGCAAACTGGATCGGTGGACTGTGTCGAGCTTCTGGTGGCGGTGCCTGGTATTGATGCAAACAAAAAGAACCGAATCGAGAACGACACGCCGCTGCACAAGGCGGTGATGAACCACTCTGGAACCGGAGGGAGTCGCTGGAGATCACACGGCTGCTGATCTCAGCTGGAGCCGACCCGCGGATTGTCAACCGCTTGAAGCAGCGCCCAATGGACGTGACTGATCCCAGATGCCTCGCAAGTGCGGCGTCTGTTGCTGCAGGCGACATTGGCATTCAACATGCCGCACCAGCAGGCTGTGTATGAGGACGGCGACGACTACTCGAGCGACTAGAAGCAGAAAATACTATTTTTTTACAGGATCCAACATTCAGTGTTTATCATGTGCTATGGCATATGACAGCCAGTTTAGGCGAACCAGGCAAACGAACTGGCTGCGCATTGACATAACAAGCTGTCTTGCTGAGGGTGTTTTTGAATGCTTTGTTATTTTGTTGGAGAGACACAGCTCGGTGAAGGGAACTGTCGGCCGTTAGATGGGAGGAGCAAATTAAGACCGCCAAAGCTGTGGAGGAATAACAAGATGTGGAGGAAAATATGAAATGCTGCTACTTGGGATAGAAAATAAATGTGGAAAGTGGATGACAACTACTTGGAAATGTGTTCATGCGCCGGGGGATATTGGGACAAATGAAGCAAGGCATGTAGCGGAGGCCCCTTTCAATCCAGGGGTCGAGTGGGTGGTACTGAGGAATGCAGGCACCTGGGGGGTCAGGAAGCGAGGACAAGAGCCATTCTGCGCAATGGCCCCTAGCTCGCTTGCCAAATCAAATAGCGTGCACCACCAGCACCTACCCAACCCTGCAACCAAGCCGCTTCGCTTAAGGAGAGGTAGGGAAATTAGCATGAGGACGAAGTAGCGCAGGCATTAGCACCGGTGTTGACGACACACGACGCCTCGGTGTAGACGTGGGTGGTATAGACTGTCTGAGCACAGTCATCACCGCCCGACGACTTGTGGCCCTTCTTCGAGCGCTTCTTCTTGCTCTTGGAAGAGCTGGACGGCTCGCACTCGCAGCTGCTGGTCGGCGCGCACGAGTCCGAGGCATCAGACGAGCTCTTCTTGTGGCCCTTCTTGGACTTGCTGCGCTTCTTCTTGCCACCCGATCCATCGTCGCACGGCTTCACAGTGATTGTGATGGTGGGCTCGGGCTCGGGCTCACAGCCACCGTATGCCGGAGTCGAAGCACCGTATGCCGGAGTCGAGGCACCGTATGCCGGAGTCGAGGCACCGTAGGCAGGAGCAGGGGCAGGGCCAGCGCCGTACGCAGCCGACGATGAGCCACCACCATAGGCGGGAGCGGGGGCAGGACCGGCTCCGTAGGCAGCAGACGATGAGCCACCACCATAAGCGGGGGCGGAGCCAGGGCCTGCTCCGTAGGCAGCAGACGACGATCCACTGTCACCGTAACCACCACCGCCGCCCGACGAGCTAGCACCGTAGCCAGAACCACCACCTGACGAGCTAGCACCGTAGCCAGAACCACCACCCGACGAGTTAGAGCCATAGCCGGAACCACCACCCGACGAGCCACCACCGTAGCCAGAACCACCACCTGACGAGCCACCACCCGACGAGCCACCACCATAGCCAGAACCATCAGCCGACGAGTTGGCACCGTAGGCGGCCGGAGGTGGCTGACCAGCGCTGTAGCAAGTAGCGGTCTGAGCAGGAGGCACGATGGTCACTGGTCTTGGTGTCACCAGGGCGGATGCATGACAGAGTGACAGCCGGCAGCTGGCTGGTCTTGGTGATGTATGTCGGGGGGTCAGTCACGGTGGTGAAGACAGTGCTGCCCGGTGCGTGGATGGTACAGGTCTGATCTGGATCATGGACAGTGTGCGTGACAACGCTACCAGGGAGGGTGTTGGTGACACAAGTGTCGGAGCCATGCGCGGTGTGCGTGACGGTGTTGCCTGCAGCAGTGACAGTAATGGTGCTGTCAGCGCCATGGACGGTGTTGGTGACAGTGGAGCCAGCAACATTGACAGTCACAGTGCAAGGGGGAGGCGTGATAGTGACTGTGGTGGTGCTGGCTGGTGCCTCAGTGGTGACAGTGACAGCCGGCTCAGCGGAGCCGTAACCAGCCGAAGAACCATAGCCAGCAGCCGCAGGGGCGGCGGCAGCAGGAGCACCATAGCCAGAGCTCGAGTCAGCAGCAGGAGCGGCAGCCGCGGGGGCAGCAGGGGCAGCGGGCAGCAGGGGCACCATAGCCAGAAGCAGGGGGAGATCCGTAGCCAGAGCTCGAGTCAGCAGCGGGAGCGGCGGCCGCGGGAGCAGCAGGGGCACCATAGCCAGGAGCGGCAGCCGCGGGGGCGGCAGGGGCAGCGGCAGCAGGGGCACCATAGCCAGAAGCAGGGGGAGATCCGTAGCCAGAGCTCGAGTCAGCAGCAGGAGCGGCAGCCGCGGGGCAGCAGGGGCAGCGGCAGCAGGGGCACCATAGCCGGGAGCAGGGGGAGATCCGTAACCTGAGCTCGAATCAGCAGCGGGAGCAGCGGCTGCGGGAGCAGCAGGGGCGGCGGCAGCAGGGGCGGCGGCACCATAGCCAGCAGCAGGAGGAGGGATTGGCACATTGTCGCTGTAACCGGAGCTAGCGTAATCGGCAGCAGGGGCAGGGGCAGGAGCAGGAGCAGGAGCAGGGGCGGCTGGCGGGGCAGCAGCACCAGGAGCACCCTGGTACGACAGGTTGAGGTCAAAGTCGAACGGCTTGCCGACAGTGGTGGCCTGAGAGTCGGCCGGGGCAGCATTGGTCGCAGCGATCAGAACAGCAAGGATACCAAAAGTGACCTTCATCATTTTAATGGATGGTAGAGCGGAAATTAAGGGAGAGGGTGTGCGTAAAGGGTATTAGAGAAAGGAGGGAAGGGCGGAAGGGAGGGAGAGGGATTAGGGAGGGGCGGGAGAGGGAGGGTATCAGTAAGTAGCAGTTGGGAGGAAAATTGAAAGTGCGCAGAACACTAGATGTATAACCCAAGAAGTTGATGATAGAACTTGTTGGTAAGGGCCCTGGATGGAGACTCTTATATACCGAAATATGCCAGAGTTCAAAATGCCAATGTGCCAGCACGATCAGCGGAATTTTTTGAGCATGGCAGGCGGCCAGCCAACGCCGGCTGCGTGGGGAAAGCCAGAAGCGTGTATTCCCTCTAGGCTATTTCGGCCACCTAACACACTATGTCTCAGGCAAAAATAAAACCGTGCACTCAGGGCAGCCGTGTGAACTACTGCGGTCCCAGTGTTTGCTTGAAATCTGGCAGCGGGATATGCCCGGAGACTTGCATTGTTGATGGCATTGCAGGGCTAGTTTCAAAAGCAAATGCCAGTAACTGGTGGTCAAAATGAGGAACCGCTGTGCTCGATCTCAAACATTGTGCAGTAAAATGCGGGATGGTTGGGTTGGCAGGCAGGAACAGACTCCATACTCAAACAAAAGTAGCCTGCAACCGCACAGAAGAAGAAAGCGAGACAAGGGAATGTATTTTTCAGACATCTTGCCGAAACTAGAGAGAAGTAGAGTGGGTAAGAAGAGGCCGTTTTAGAGGTGTCGGCCAAAATGCGCTAGAGTGCCACTATTGGCTTTATATTGCGTCCCTGAACATATGCGGCCCAAGTAGCCCACAGTCTGCATGAGCACAATGCCATTGCAGTCCCAAGATCACGCCTTAGACGCATGTATGGCTTGATGGAAATAGTTTATTTATCAGCTGGCCGGAAATTAGTAAGCCTGCAAGCGCAACGCAGGGAGAAAAGCTAGGCAGAGTTGACAAACTTGACAATGTTCTGCTCTTCGAAGCACTCCTCTTCGACCAGGCGGCTACCAGGACCAGCCTTGGTCCACTTGAGCAGGGTCGGGATGGGGCCCAGCTTGATATCCTCGCGGGTGCGGAAGACGTTTGTTGGGCTCGCAACACTACAGAGTTGGAAAGAGAACAGGGGATGAACGTCAATATAATTGCGCTTTTGAAAAGAGCCAGTCCGGCACGCTGCTGCATTTTGCAAACACTTACTCAGTCTTGCGGTCAACAGGGGACCTCGAGCAGAATCGAGTTCGGGATGGTGTTGACCACCTTGCGCACGGTCGGGTCGGCGATGACACAGTCGGGGCACCACGACTCGTTGGTCTCGGGTGCCTCGCGGCCAAAGAACAGAACAAACACACTTTCGCTCTGGGCAAGGGCCTCGTTCACCTTGGCATCAAACTCGGCAGGCTCAAGCACACGGACACACTTCATGGTATATTGGCTGAGTAGAAAAAAGTAGAAGCAGGGATATGAGGGATGAGGAAAGCAACGGCTTGGATCGCCCAGCTGGCCAAGTGCAAACCAGCAGTTTTTCTCAGCTCGAGTCTCCCAACAGCGGCGCGGCTCGAGCCGGTGAGCGGGCTTCCTGCTGGCCGCCAAGCGGCTGGGGGCTACGTCAAAACTGCTGGCACCAGAGGTTGCCGCCTTCTTGGCCTCTATCACGCTTCTGCCTTTCAGCTTCTACATCTGGACTTCCACAATGAGCAGAGATTACAACTACGAGAGAATTCTGGGCGAAGGCGGGATGGACCCGTACGGGTCACGGCAGCCAATGCAACAGCGCCCGCCGCAGTACCGCTCGTCGCCGCACCAACACCAGCAGCTCCCACCGTTTATGAGGCCTGGCGATGCACGCCAAATGAGGGTTGGCAAATGCCCCGACAACACATTGGCTCTGACCAACTTGCTGGCCGTCAGCTCGCAGGACTTTGATGCCAGCACTCACTATGTTCGCATCAACAACGACTACATTTTCAACGTGCATCCAGTTGACGCGCTGCCATCCGGCATGATCGGCCCGTCGCGTATCCAGCGTACCTGGGCACAGTTCTCAATCAACCAGGAGGTGCTTGTCGAGGCCATGTCGAACCCAGGCGCTGACCCAAAGTCGAACGTATTTGCGATCAGCATGGATGTCGACATCTCTTTCCTGTCGCCAAACCAAGAGACAGCTCTGCGTGTTGACTCGGAGGAAGTCTCACAGCTTCTGCGAACCAACTTTGGACAACCAGATCTTCAGCGTCAGGCCAAGCCATTTGTATTTGACTTCCGCGGATACAACCTCAAGGCCACTGTAACCAGCCTGGCTGTTGTCCCGCTCGACGTCCTGCAGGACAGCAAGGGTGAAGGGAGCTCGGCCTATGACAGCGCGCCAGCAGCTGAGTACGGTATCTTGACGAGCCTGACCACGATCAATGTGTCAAAGGCCCAGGGCTCAATGATCGATGTCAGAGGGTCGGCGGCCAGGCACAAGGCCAATGCCATTATCCAGCCCGACTTCAAGTTTGAGGACATGGGCATTGGTGGCCTAGGACAAGGAGTTCAGCAACATCTTCCGCCGTGCGTTCGCCTCGCGCATCTTCCCACCCGAGCTGGTCGACAAGCTCGGCATCCAGCATGTCAAGGGCATTCTACTCTACGGCCCGCCTGGATACTGGTAAGACCCTGATGGCCCGGCAGATTGGCAAGATGCTCAATGCCGTTGAGCCTCTGATCGTCTCGGGACCCGAGATTCTGAACAAATACGTCGGCCAGTCTGAGGAAAACGTGCGCAAGCTGTTTGAGCCTGCTGAGAAGGAGTACAAGGAGAAGGGGGACGAGAGCCAGCTGCACATTATCATCTTTGACGAGCTCGATGCCATCTGCAAGCAGCGAGGATCAAAGAACGACGGCACCGGAGTCGGCGACTCTGTGGTCAACCAGCTTTTGGCCAAAATGGATGGCGTGGACCAACTCAACAACATCCTGATTATTGGAATGACCAACCGTAAGGAGCTTATCGACGACGCGCTGCTGCGTCCGGGACGTCTGGAGGTTCAGATCGAGGTTGGACTGCCTGACGAGGGTGGCCGTCTGCAGATCATCAAAATTCACACAGCCAAGATTCGTGACAACGACATTCCTGGACGCGGACGTTAGTCTGGAGGAGCTGGCAGGTCTGACGAAAAACTACAGCGGTGCTGAAATTGCTGGCCTGGTCAAGTCAGCATCGTCGTTTGCCTTCAACCGGCACATCAAGGTTGGAAGCATGTCGCAGTTGACCCAGGACATCTCGGACATGAAGATTCAGCGTGGCGACTTTTTGAACGCTCTGGATGAAGTCAAGCCAGCGTTTGGAATTGCCTCGGAGGAGTTTGACCAGTGTGTGGCCAACGACATCATTCGAATTTGCGCCCAGTGTGCGGGAGATCCTTGACAAGGCGCACCTGTTTGTCGAGCAGGTTCACCAGAGTGCGACGCTCAGCCGCTTGTCAGTGTCCTGCTGCACGGTCCGTCGGGCAGCGGAAAGACAGGCGCTGGCTGCCACAGTGGCGATGCAGAGCGCGTATCCGTTCGTCAAGCTTGTGTCGCCCGAGAACATGATTGGATACACCGACAGCCAGAAGATCGCGGCTATCACCAAGATCTTCAACGACTCGTACAAGTCGCCACTCAGCCTGATTCGTCATTGACAACATCGAGCGGCTGTTGGAATGGGTGCCGATTGGAGCGCGATTCTCGAACAGTGTGCTGCAGGCGCTACTGGTGTTGGTCAAGAAGCAGCCGCCCAAGGACCGCAGGCTGTTTATTATTGGCACCACCAGTGAGCGGCGTGTGTTAGAGGAAATGGACCTGGCGAATGCGTTTACCAACGAGATTTATGTGGACAGCATCAAGTCGCTGGAGTCGATCGAGGCTGTAGTGCGCCATGTTGGCCTATTTGACAGTGACAACGAACTCGAAGAGCGTGTTTGCTGAGATTTCTCAGACTATCGGTGACCGGGAGGTCAGCATCGGTGTTCAAGAAGCTGCTGCTGCTCATCGAGACAGCGCGCCAGGACTCTGACAAGCGCTCAAGATTCAAGGTCGAAGTAATGTCTGCAATTTAACTTTTGCTGGCACAGTGTCTTTGATGCTTTGGCCTTCCCTTTTCATATCTACCTTCTCGGTTACTTTTTACTACATTGCCACTTCCTGAAATATATCTTTGCCCATATATCGGAAATTTTCATTTTGCTCGCTCTACCCTTGTGAATATCTAATGTGTATGTGACAGCCCTTCTATTATAGTGTTCCACCGCAGAATATATATCCTATGCCAATATTGCCATCTACGCCATAGTACTTCTCATTTCTGCTAGCATATCTCAGTCATATCCCCTGCGAGGAAATGCACATCATTCCATACTGTATACTAGAATCCATGCTATGATTATCATAAGTACAGGCAGTGACAAAGGCAACTCAGGAGCTGGCTATATGTCAATCGCCATGCGCTTCTTTGTTTTAACGGTAGTTAACAGGTACACCTTCCTAACAACGGTCCATGTTTACTGCATGCTTATTGGTTTTTACACAGCGGCAGAAGGACGCACACCAAACATACTGCTCGGACAACAAACCTGATTAGCTGTAAGTTGGCTGTAGAAAAAGCTGTACTATTTCGAATACCATACCCTATTGCCTTGGGTACCTCAGTAGCTTGCATGCAGTCCTTACCCACAATTTTGCAGCTCCACTCTCGATGTGGCTTGAAAGTGATGTATTTGTACAAGGACTCGGAAGCATATCTATCATCCAGGCTGTTTTCTATAATGCAAGCGACATCCAGAGTTTTAGTAAGTGCAAACGCTTTTGTTTCGAGTAGCGTCAGCAAGCCGCTAGCAAGTACCTGTAGCTGCGCGATAGGCCCCAGAACAGACCACCTCGACACTGTATGCTCCGTCCATTGCCTGTCGGAGAAGCAAGAGACCAGCAATCGTATTGTCCTGGTTCTCGCCGCTCAAGGCTCCAGGTGGTCTATACAGGTGCGTGTTCCGTTGTAGTGACGGCCGGAGAGTACCACGAAAAGCACAAGAAGCACAGATAAAGACGTATGCGACAGAGATACAGATTGTTTCCAGGTTTATTTTTACTCAAATACAAACACGTCACCGTCTAGGTTCGGCACCGTACAGTCCTGGCAAAGGTGTTTAGCGAGGCACAAGTAGGTAGGCACGGGTGCCTTGAGTAGGCGCTTGTGAGGGGCACCCAGGTAGTCATTATAAAGAATAGAGTGTGTTTGATTGAAGAGTAGTATTATAAACGAGACATGGGAGTAGGACATTAAGTGGTGTTAGTGGAAGGCTCCACTTGTTGTGGGAGCAGTGCATTCGTGGGGGTTTTTTACTCAGTGGAACTCAAGCCCTGCTTAGATCCATTTTGAACAGGTACAGCTCTGGTTCACTTGCAGGTGTAGCAGCAGGCGAACAATAATGATGTACCTGTTGACATTCGGGTCCGGAGTCCTACGCACATAGACAAGCCGAACGCATACGTACAAAGCCAGACAGACGACCAGCTTCTTTTTCAGTCATTTGAGGTTATTTTTCATTTTTTAACTATTAGTTACCAGTACTTTATATTTCATCACTGCATACTCCCTAGCAACCACTGATTGCACGATTGCTAGATTTTTGAATCTCTCGCCATGTAATGATACCATCATACCCACAAGTATACCTATCTTTGGGGTACACAACATATACAGCTAAGATAGTATTTGCATATCAATCGCCACATATAGTTATACATGGCATTCCAATATTTTATAGATATCGCTTCGATGCATATACCAGTGATGGTTGCAGTTATTAATATTAGCTTGTATCTATTATATTGTAAGACTGTATTATAGAAAAGATCCTAAGCTGTTGAAGAAAAGAGGGCTACTGGAATCACCCATACAGCTTGCTGCTCTGCACCGACGGGAGGTATTGCTGTACCAGCGTGGCCATGTGTAATGGTGTGTTAGCAAGTGGTGGTGCGCTAAAAAGTGGCGGTGTGCTCCATGAGGGGATGCAAATAAGAAGGAATGAAGAGCACCCTGGTTGGCAATAGGATGCAGCACAAACTGCATCAGTGAAAAATCAAAGACTATTAGCCCCATTGCTATCAGCTGTTGAAGTACCGCCGTTGTTTTTGCTTCGTTTACCAGAGCGGCAGGTGGGGGCACCATATGAAAACACAAGGGTTCTGCTGGTTGGGACTTTGCCACAATTGGATAAGATGCAGACAGCTGGTGATTTAGTATGTCCACCTGAAGAGTCTGTAACTGCTCCTGGTCAAAGTACGGCACGTCTGGGTAATTGCTGTATAGCCTGCAGTTCTGCCTCGTCGAGGTATGTTGTGCTCAGTACTTGCTGCAGATGTTGTAGCTGAGCCTGATCAAGGTACGGTGCATCCAGTGATTCCGGTGCAGCGATCCCTCATCGGATTTCGCAGCGCCAGTAAGTGTGTTGTCTGGGACTGTCACTTTGGGCTCTGGCCGTTTGTACGGATGCGACTTCTGTCTGGCTTTCTTGCGCAGCTTTCATGGCTTTATCCTTGCTGCCGCTTGCGTGAGATTTGTCAACATCGAACTTACCGTTCGGTTTGAGAAGGATCCGACGGTCCAGTTTGTGCAGTTTGTAGTATAGCCCACATGAATTGCAGACAGAGTTCAAGGTGAAAGCATGTAGCCGCCATGTCGGTGACTCGTATGCATGGCAATTAGAGCACATCTTGAGCGGGTTACCGTGTTCGTCGCATTTCGGCAGCGAAGCAGCGCGCTCCTCAAAATCTTGCAACTCTGCCATATCGTCTGAATCCAGTGATCTGCTTGAAGGGTCGATGAGTGGTAGACAGTTCATACCACCTTTCAACCTGGATCCTGCATGTGTGGCGTCCTTGATGTGTGCATTCACTGGAGGTGCACTGCCTGTGAGCTGCTGAGCGATAAGCTTGCAGTAGGCCGATGAGGTATTGGTCAGGGATACGAGAAAACGCAGGTGGAATGACTGGGAACGGCACATTAGATTTATTGACTCCATCGCCAGGCATTGCAGATGGCTGAATTGTAGAATATTGCAGCGTAGTCTCACTAGTGATTGCGATAGTAGGTTCGTCATTCCAGCCCTTATTCATGAGCAGGGTGGTCGATGAGCAAGGCAAATAGATGGTGTTGTTGCTGCACATGGCCCAATAGCGCCTAAAGAAAAGTATATGAAATGTTGTAGCTGCCAAAGTGTTGCGGATGGATAAGGGTAAAGCCAAGGTAGTGATGATGGTAATAGCCAATAGAACACAGTTGCTGCCTGGGTTCAAATGCTGAATGACGAGAAGAGCTCATCCAATTTATACTACAATATGACATACCGCAATGGACTGCCCTTGCTCTGCTGCCTTCTTCTCTATCGATTCAGAGTAGGGCCAGGCTGCCACAGGGAGAGAACAAGGAAAATTTGTACCTTCTCTCTTCGGTCTGTAACTTGGCGTTGCATTCTCGCACTACATCTACCCATTGCATTCGTTTTGACAATGGCCAATTTGGCCCGGTCCAAAATCAAATACCAGAACGCTCGCCAGGGCAGGATTTGGAAGGCACAAGTGCAGTGACAGGGCTCGTGGTTGCCTGAATTCCATTCGTTGAAGCACATTCACGCTCCAAACTGCTTTGCTGACACTGCCAGACGTGGTGGTAGAGATCAAAGGATTGTTTGGTAGCAAACGGTTGAGAATACCGTGCTTCAAATAGATCCTTTTGATATGCATCACGGAGGTTGCTGAATTTAATTTCTATGTTTGGCAATGATGTAATGTGCGGCTCGCTATTTGCAAAGTATTTTTAAGCACAATTTGACTGATCAAACCTACGCCCCGTTTCATTCTCAAAGTGTATACGGCGTGGCTACCAATTGTGAATTTTCAGTCTTGGGCTTGAGGAGAGCGGCAAGATACGAGTGTACCCTGGATTGCGGGCTCGGATAGTGTAATCACGAGTGCTTGAGGAGCCACATATGTTCACATGTGCTTATTTACAAATGTGTCTCGTGAATTGAAAGGAAAGTATTGAATCCACAGTCACTAACTATATCTCAAGCACATTTACCACGACATATTACAATATAATGCACAGGAAACTCGGTTAAGAAGACTTGATATTTAGTGTTTTTAATGAGCAATGCGTGGAGTTATGTTTTACTCTATTCTTCATCCAAACTTGTCTTCAATATCTCAGCATAGACTTTAGATGCCATGAGATGCACATCTGAGATGAAAACTGAGTTTTGCCCTTCATTATTAACTAGCAATCATCAGAATATATGCTGACAGGTTGCAAGCGCATGTATTCTCTGGCTACACCACTCTGCTGCATTATTTAACTGGGAATTTGTTTTATTTAAATAGAGCTTATTATCGAAAGATGTTTAAAACGCACCGCTATTACATAGATCCGATTTGTAATCTCGGGCTACAGGTGGCAGAAGCAGGATGTATACTAACGGCAGTGGTAGCACTGGTGCTTTAGTGGCATGCACATTTATGCACTTTTCCAATTGCATCTTTTTTACAGCTGCATTTTCTGCTGGGGCCATGTACAAGTATTTCCAAGGTGTGCGCCCATTCTATAAGTACCTTCTATGAGATAGGGCTGTTTAGTTCATAGAGCGGTCATGCAAAAACTCCGAGTTCAGTTTTATAAATTAAATAGTTTTATGAGCATATGTAAGCGATTCCATTTGGGCTGTAACAGACTCAGTCTGCATGTGGCCTGATCCGAGAGCCCGTATCAGTGCTGACGGCCCTTAAATCCGTGTAAGCCAGCACCCCCAGTCCTTGTACGCAGCCTGGTCAATGGGATTGCACAATCTGTGTGGGATGTGTGTAGCCGGATTGCAGATCTAATATCAAAGCCATTTAAGGTGCATAGGAGATAGAAAATTCCATGGAATAGCAACAATGGACGGCGTAACGATATATATTTTGTTACAAAATATGGTGTCTAAGGCTGATATCACCATATATTTCGAGGCTGCAGGTACTGATACCGCGGATGCCGATACTGTAGCCGGCTGTCGCTAAATTCACCAGACCCCAGCGCTGAAACGCCTGCGCTGAGCAGGACCACCAAGATGGGGACCTGTCCATGATCGCTATTGCACCAACAACCATCCGACACGTTCAAATGACCGGTTCGCCGTGATGCTCTTATCGACGTGTCAACCCATGCTGACTAGCAGCCGAGCTCGCATCGCAAGCAGAGTAACTATTATTATTTATTCCATTGCGCATTTCACTTTTTCAGCATACCTATATACACCGCTATACTACCCCTTAGCTTTTGCTATATTAGCCACCTTGAAACGTTTCCAGCATGCAATTCTGTAACCTCTGCCTAAAAGCTATTGCCCATTCCCAGATATCAGCTGCCAGCAGTAAGCCAGCCCACGGAGCTAGTAGTAGCCCAGGCGGCCTGTGCGTTTGTCTACCAAATTGCAGATTGGGACTGGTGAGAGAAAGAGATATATTTGAAGGGGGAAAAGCACAGGGAAAGGAATATTTAATGGTCAAGCAGACGCAGATCGCCTGAGACGACCTTGTCGTTGAGAACAGCACCGCGGGGGATGTCGATGTGGGCACCGTGGTTGGCGACAATGATGACGGTGCCCTCGAGAGTGACGTCAGCACTGAAGCACACATCGCCAGTAACGGTAAGATGGTCGAGCTCCAGGATCTGGGGCGGGGTCTTGAAGCGGGCCAGGTAGTCATTGACCTTCTTGAAGTGGTCGCCGAGCTTGACAATGGGCACGGTCTGGAACGTGCGCTTAGGGTTCATCCGCAGCTGGCCATTCTCAAGCAGGTACAGGTCCGAGGTGACCAGGAACAGGTCCGAGGTGGACTTGACAGGCAGGAAGCGCGAGCGCGGGACATTGACACCGTGCGAGTTGCTGAAGTGCTTGATGGCAGCACCAACAGCGGTCTCGAGCTGGATGACAGCAGTGCCGTCGTCGGTGGTCTTGTGGTTGACAATGAGGTCGAGCTCGAGGTCGTGCTTCTCAACAAGGCGCTTGATGGCCTTGAGGCTGATCCACAGGTTGTTGGTGTTGAAGATCTTGAACTTCTTGACGCGCTTGAAGTCGTCAACGTGGGCCTTGGGGACCTGGGCAATCTCGAGCAGACGCACCTGGCCGTCGTAGTCGATGATTGTTCCACCCTTGATATCGGCCTTGGTCTTGTCGGTGACCTCCATAACGAACTCGGCGCCGGTGTCGGCCATGTGCTGCAGGATGGCAGGGTCGACGGTGGCACCCAGGTTATCGACGTTGGACACAAACACCCACTCCTTGCCGTCCTCCAGCAGCTGGTCGAGCAGGCCAGAGTTGGCGAAGGCCTCGTACAGGTCACCGTGACCGGGCGGGTACCAGTAGCCAGGGCGGTTCTCGGGCGTGTGTGCCAGCGGCAGGTTCGAGTCGGTCTTGAAGCGCGGCCAGCGGCTCTGGTTGAAAGTGCAGATGCTGACGTTGTGGGTGTTGTACTTTTGCACAATCTTGCTGGTGTCCTCGTCAGTGTTGAACGAGTTCATCAGAATCAGGGGCACGTCGGCGCCCGAGACCTCGTTGAGGTACTCGATCTGCTGCACGGTGAGATCGAGGAAGGTCTGGCTGTCACGCACCTCGATGGCTGACTTGGGCCCGACGCAGCCCATGGTGGTTCCGAGACCACCGTTGAGCTTGAGCACCGCAAGCTTGTTGAGCAGCGGCGACACTTCCTTGAACTCCTTGGCCGGCAGATCCTTGTATGCGATCACGTCCTCAGGCTTGGGGCCGCGGACCTTCTCCCAGTCCCTACACAGCGGTTGGTGGTGGTGAGAGTTGTTGTGAGTAAAAAAGGTGTTTTGTTGTTGTTTTGGTGTCCGGATCAGGGGCGATGCGCTCACACTGAGACGGTCCGACGGTCGTTCATTTTCATCAGCGCGCCCGCAGGCAATCAAAACATCGGGGGCAGACTTGCCTCTAAAAAGGCAACAGCCCATGGCAGAGAGCCGATCCTTCAAGGCATGTGGTGCTGGCGGCAGGGTGGTACTTACAGAGGCTTGCTGTGCTTCTTCTCGTGGTGGTAGCGCTGGAAGAGACGGTAGAAGTCGTCCATCTCCTTGGAGAACTTGTCCTTCTCGGGGCCCTCGGGCATCTGCTTGACCAGGCCATCGAGCTCGACACGCACAGCGTGCTCGACGCCGCCCGGGGCGGAGGTGGAGCGGATGTCCTGCGAGTGGTGGCGGGTGAATGAGGTGCGACGGTCTTGAGCCATGGTAAAAAAAAGTGGTCCGATAGCACGGGAAGGAGGGGGAAGGGTGTAGAGAAAAGAGGGTGTGTGGTTCTAGGCCTCCTGCCCCCTCCCCGCCCCACTCGCCCTTTATATATGGGGCAGGGGCTGCAAACCCGCGCCCGAAAAAGAGCACAGCATCAATCTTACTGTCTCAGTGACAAAGAATGGAAAAACAGAAAAGGCCGTGCAGCCCGTGGTTGGGACATGCGTTTAGACGAGCACACCTGCCGACTCCTGGCGCTGCCTAATTTGGGATGCAGCCTGAGATAACGTAGGCCCCCGGCGTTTATTGCGCCAGTTGGGTTGGGGGCTCGGGCGCTCGTGGTCTGGGCAAGAGGGATCCACATGTCGCGCCAGTCACACCTGGGCGCAGCTATTCGATGCAGCAGGCCCAGCAACATCAGCGACATCAATGAAACCTCTCGCCCAGCGGTCTCCCCCGCCGCGCAGACATCACCTCATGACTTTGATAGCCGACTGGGGGCGGGAGGCGGCAGGCTGTTATCGGCCCCATCCAAAGATACCAGACCACTTGGTGCGCATTGCATTGCCTCTCAGGCTGTCCCTTGATCCACACCACCTTGGCCAGAGTGTGCTTGGTGGGGCTGTCAGTGGTAGAGGCCCGGAATCCCCTCAGCTTCTTGAACAACACTGGGCGATGGCGTGCCCCCAAACCATCAGGGCACGAGCTTTTATCTCCCAAATCCCGCTTTGGCTGTTGTCCTACCAGCGCTGAGCACGAACCAGCCCAGACAGCACACCATTCCCCTGAGTCAGGCCTCAAAAAGGAGCCTGTCCATGTTGTTGTTGTCGTCGCTGTTGTTGTTGTTGTTGTTGTCTCTGCCTCTATGCCCGGAGGATCTCTCCTCTATTTCTGTCCAACAATTGTACAGAGAGAGAGCGCAGCGCAGGCGAGGATCGGCGCAATCGGATGGGAAACCAGTCCGGACAAAGAACACCCAATGTGATGACGGGAGGGCTGAGGTGATGATGAAAGCGACGGGTGCAGATGATCACTGCTGCCTGTCTGTTTTGGCTATCACCTAAAGAGTACCCGGGGAGCTGCTATCCTCAAACACCAGAGTACATAGACACCCATTTGTTGCTTTATTCAAAAATAGCGCACTTTATCTTTAGAACCGCGGCTTGCGCTTGCGAGCAGTGTATTTCGAGTCCAGCGGCACATCCTCCTTGCCCCGCTTGCGCGCCAGTTCCTTCTTGTGCAGCACCCAGTTGGCATCCTTGACCGGCCGGCGGCTGCTCTTTCCCCGCGCCTTGTTGTGGATCCTACACAAATTAATGCATGTCAGCAGCGATGTGCGTGTGTGAGATGTTGATAGCGCACGATAAACAGAAAACTAGTATCCAGGCTGGATGTTCTACAGCCCACCTTCAAAAAGCAGTTGGGGGCAGCAAGCACGCAAGTGATATCGGCAGCCAACAAGGCGTCGTAGAAAGGGAGCGACATTGGGCGTACATATCGAACAATGGCAAGATTTACATACCTGGTTTCCGTGTACGCGACGCCGGGAGCTTCATTATCAAGGCCCTGGGGCAGCTCGTGTTTCTGGCCCGGTGCTGCCTGCCCTGCAAACAGGCACAGGTAGAATTTGCGTGCCTTCTTCGAATTCGGATAGTCCACCACCAGACCGCCTGTGAACCCGCACTTCATCGCTGTGCTCATAATCATGTCCACCTGCTTGTCGTTCTCGGGGTAAAACTGGAACACGGCGCGTGCGCCGCGCTGCAGGGCCATGAACAAGGTCGAAAAGAACCGCTGCAGCCGGTAGCGCGGTTTGTTCTCGCTCTTGTCGGCATTGCACAGCCACTGCAGCACGGACACGCTGATTGCCCCGTCAAATGCGCCGGGCCGGAAGCCGAGGCCCTGGCCGATGTCCTGCAGGAACAGATCGCCCTCGAGTTCCTTGTCGACGGCGATGTCGAGCATGGCCGGTGCAATGTCCATGCCCACCCACACGTGTCCGTCCTCTTCCAGGATCTCGCCGCTGAGCCCTGATCCGCAGCCAATGTCCAACAAGTAGCAGGGGACGTCGTCAGTGTCGGGCAACGCCAGGAGCTCGACTGCGCGCAGGGTCATTTCGGCCTGGATAGTCGCAATGCGTGAGTTGTTGGTGTACTTCTTTGCCTCATCGATCCCGTAGAAGAGCTCGGGCGGTGCGATGTGCTCTGGCCTCGACATTTTGGGTGAAATGCTTGTGTAAATAGAGTGAGAAGTCAAATAAGCGGAGTCTTGAAAAAAAAAAAAGCCTGCATTGAGAGCGCACCAGTTTTTTTCTTCTCTCTGATCCTGCGTGATTGGCTGATCCCGTGTCGTGATCATCTGGGACCGTGATGTGGGGCTTGTGGTGTTTCGCGGGTAGAGCCGGTCTGCATTGTGTGGGTATTTGAGTTGGCTCTTTCTTCCGCATTCTATCTCAGATATCAGCAGCACCATCTAATTTCCCTGTCTTTGTAATCGTAACATGGTAGCCTCTATCAGCCCAAAACCGGTCGGCCTCTTGTCCTGCCAGCAGCAGCCGTTCCTAAAGACGCTGGACACGCACGTTGTGAGCTGCTCCGACGGACCCAATGCTGACGGCCTGTACGAGGTCGAGCTCGAGGACACTGTGATCTTCCCCGAGGGTGGCGGCCAGCCTGCCGACATGGGATCGATCAGCGGCATCGCTGTGCGGTTTGCCAAGCGGGATGGGCTGCGCGCCATCCATTACACCGAGTCGCCTGTCGCCACTGGCGCTGCCGTGCAGGTCAGCGTAGATTTTGCACGGCGGCTGGACCACATGCAGCAGCATTCAGGCCAGCACCTTTTGAGCGCCGTTTTGGAGCGCGAGCACGGGCTCGACACGGTGTCATGGAGCATGGGCGATAGGTCGTCGCACGTTGAGCTAAAGACGACCAAAGACTTTGTGCTGAGCCAGTCGGCTATCGACGCTGTTGAGGAGCGCTGTAATCAGATAATCATGGAGCAAATCGTGGTCAATGTGCGGGTGTTCGAGCAAGGCGCCGGCGACTGCCCGAGCTCGGTACCGGAGGATTATGTTGGCGGCGTCATCCGCTATGTGGACATTGGCAAGGACGGAGAATTCGACAGCAACGCGTAAGTATCGGCTGCTTCCGTGGGAAGGCGTGGGCTCAGTGCTGCAGAGACTTTCTTGGCAGAAGCCCGCGCTTTGTCTGTGCAGCCACCGTTGCTGGTAGTGCCAGCCACTAATTGCTAGCTGGATGCAAAGCACAATATGCCGTGTGTGATGCCGCGCCCTGGGGGAGGAATATGGTTTTTCTTCCGGTGCTTCGTGTCATCCCCCTCCCCCATTGCATTCTGCGGCTGCTGCTGGTTTCTAGAATATGTTCGTGTTGGCATTATCCGCTGCTGGCGGGAACATGGCTTGGCGAGGCAGACGGCCCGTTTTTTGTGTACCGACGCCACCGGTAATATTGTGCGTCCATTCTCTGAATCGCTGCTGCCTGACATTGCAACTGGGGCTTCTAGGCAGAAGATCCAATGACTACTGCTGCTGCAGCAGACAATGACGCGCTGACACTTGATGCCCTGCTGTCCCTCTCTGTAGGTGCTGTGGAACGCACATCACCAACACATCGCAGTTGCAAGTTGTCAAGCTGGGCGCCACGGACCGCATTCGGGGCGGCAACACGCGGCTGTTCTTTTACGTCGGCGGACGGGTGCGGCAGTACGCACACGAGTCGCTGGCCAGGGACAAGAAACTTACTGAGCTACTGTCGTGCGGGCCTGAGACACACGGTGAGGCAGTAGATCGGCTTCTGAAACAGTCGAAGCAGGCGAACAAGTCGCTGCGCAATCTGCGCCGCCAGCTGGCACCGCTGGTGGCCGCGGACCTGGCCCAGCAGCTGAATGGATCCGACAAGGACGGATTGCGCACATTGGTCTACCACAGCGAGGATGGTGACGGGCAGTTTGCCAACGGTGTGGTCAGCGAGCTGGTCAAGCGAGTGAAGGATGTGAGCTGGCTGGCGGTAGTCGCGTGCGGGACCAAGGACCGAGGGCGGCCCGCTGGTGGTTGCAGGGCAGCTCCGAGGAAGCCGTTGCCCAAGCGATCGACCAGCTCGGCTCGCTGCTCGGCCAATGCAAGGGCGGAGCCAAGCGCGGTGTCTGGCAGGGCAAGGCAGCCAGCTTCAACAAGCTGAGCAAGTTTGCCATGTAATTTCTTTACATGGCAATAAACGGCATGCCCGTCTTATCTAAACGATGTGCGACTTTGGGGGGAGGGTGGGTGGGGGACGTGTTTCATGTTGTGGCCGAGAAAGCATGTGTTCTATAATTTGCCACATCAGCTGGCCATCCTCGGGATGTCTGGGATTGGGTGCAGCATCAACGCCAATGATGTTCAAAGTCAGCAGAGGAGTCCGGTACATGGATGATTATGTTCCCGGAGAATGGCACAGATTCCAGGGGTAACAGAGAAAGGATTGGGTATCATCTGGGAAGCGTCCGTGAACGAAACAAGGCAGATTGTATGGCGCGATTGGGGCCTCGGCAAGCTGCAGTTCCATTCTTCTGCTTGGAATAGTTCGGCGGGGGTGCTGTGCCCTCACTCCTGCCAGCAAGTCCTCTCACTCCGCCGGCCACGGCTGGCTCAGTGATCCAACCGCAGACGATTTGCGACTGCATCGATCCCTCCACCACGGCAGTGGGTCGTGGAGACATGCCAAATGGGCGTTTACTGTTCCCGCGTTAGCAGGTGTATGCGGGTGTGGCGGAGATGGAGACGAGGGAGAGAGGCGCGGTGCAGAGATGTACCCAGGTATAGCTGCAAGTCGAGCATTGACGGAGCCAGGCATCCTTTTTGTAGCAAGGCTGGCTGGAGCAGATGTCGCCAAGGAGAGAAGGGCCATCCCGCACGCCGTCTTGCATATGGCTGGAGCAGATCTTGCAGGCCTGCTGCAACGGAAGCCCTCACGAATTCGCATGTCCCGTCATCGCGCTTTTTCGCCCGCAATGTCTGAGAAACAAAGGAGGGGGAATGCAGTGACGGCGTTCGGTGGATACAGGGACTGTTTCTGAGCAATTGCAGTCGGGCGTCTGTACTATCCCTCCCTTTTATGTTTGGAAGCGAAAAAGTGGGCTCGACAGATTCGCCTCTGGCCAGTCAGAGAAAATGATAATTGCGATTGCCCGTTTTTCGTCGTTCCAATAAAAAAGTTCCCATCCCCGCCGGAGCGTCGCTTACGGCATGCAGCACAGACAGGTCTCCGGGACAGCGAGAATCCCAATCTGACCGCCAGCAATCAGGGATTCAGACTGGCTGCTGGTTCCGGAGAGCACACAGTAATGCAAATCCGTCTGACCTGCCGATCGCTGGTGGTTGTGAGGGACGCCCTTCTTTCCCATCCCTCCCCCATTGCACTGCCGTCTCCCAACACAGCTGGCCAGACAGCCAGTCCAGTTAGCCAGCCTGCCAAACCAGCCAGCTGGACAGCAGGCCGGACAGAATGCCGGACAGGCTGGTCTACTACCTGCCAATGAGCCACCAGCCCTGCTTTGATACAGGTCCAGCATTCCTATTTAATGCGCGACTGGTTCGGGCTAGCAAGCTCAGGGGCACGAGGCTAATGAAAAACCGCGGGGCAGAGAAAGGGGCTCGAGCCAAAGAAATCTACACAATGGGCGGTATTCCAGCCACCCGCGGAGTTATAGTGCCATTTAGCTCATGCAATTCGCACAGGTGCTAGAAGCTCCGGGACTGAGTAATTGCCGACCCGCAGAGCATGCATGCCAACTCCTGCGCAGAGGCGCTGGAGTGCGGGGACTCCCTCCCCTGATAAGGCAAAAGCATGGCAGGCTGCACCCGCTTTGGCCAGCGTCGATCTCTTCATCGGCCCATGTACCTGCCACCGCTGGAGCCATCCTCTTTTTTCTGGCGACTGGGCCATGCCTCATGCTGGCCACACTGAGCACCGCACTGATGCCCCCGGGCCACGACGTACACATACTCCGATTCTCCTGCTGCCCGTCTCTCGGACGTCCAAACAGAGCCCAGCGCAATGATCCCGTGTCGTCATCGGCACGTTCTCTCCACCAGCGGTTGCCGTGTCAGGTGGAGAAATTACGAGAGCCGATCAGCTGGAAAGAGCGCGCCCACCCAACTCTAAAGTCCGAACGGCTGATTTCCGCTGAATATTTATCCCGAATTTTCCGGAAAGTCCTTTTCAGCATAAATGTTCATGTGTCGCACAGGAACTTCAGACAAAAGCTAGTGCTGCTGGATTTTCTCTCCCCTGTATGTTTCCGCCTGTCTGCCAGCGAGAAAATGGGGGAGGCACGGACAGGAGCGAGAATAACAACAATATTTCCCGTAGCGAATAAAGGGGGTGGGTCAGGGCCCGGCGGTCGGAACCCACCCCCTCTTTTTCTATACAGCATTTGCAAGTAGCCCGTTCGTTCCATGCTGCAATAAATATCGCACCGCGCGCGCCGCCTCTCCCCTTCCTCGTTTCTCATTCCAACCGAAATGATAAGTTCGTCCACCTTATTTTCCGTCTAGTAGCATTTTATCTTTTCTCTCCACAGTTGTTTCATAATTTTTCTCCGTGTTGCTGCATCTGGGCGAACACCTAATATTCACCTCCCCTTCCTATAGCAGACAGTCTCTCCTCTGTCGACTTAATATCTGCCACTTCATCAACAGCAGGCCCAACCACTCTCTTTTGCAATGACTGTCGACGAAAAGAAGGGTCTCGACGAGAAGGCCACCGAATTCGAGGACCACCATCATGTCGAGGTCGCCGAGGAGCTGGCCCCGGAGCTGGAAGCCCTGCTGCACACCGAGCCGCTCAAGGGTCTGACCAACGCTGAGGTCGAGGAGCGCCTGGCCCAGTTTGGCCTGAACGAGATCTCCGAGAAGAAGACCAACCCCTTCCTCAAGTTCCTGTCGTACTTCACAGGGAGCCATTGCCTACCTCATCGAGCTGGCCTTCATTCTGTCCGGTGTGGTCGAGGATTGGATTGATTTTGGTATCATTGGTGGCCTGCTTATCATCAACGCTCTGATCGGCTTCATCGAGGAGTCCAAGGCCGATGCAGCCCTGGATGCGCTCAAGAACACGCTCGCCGCTCAAGTCCCGTGTCTTCCGCGATGGCCAGCTCATCGAGGTCGAGTCCAACACACTGGTGCCCGGCGACGTCATCGCCGTGCGTCTCGGTGATATTATCCCTGCCGATGCGCGTCTGCTCGGCATTGGTGTCGACGGCTCGAACGCCGAGGTCAACCTGCAGGTCGATCAGTCTGCGCTCACTGGTGAGTCGCTGCCGGTCGAGAAGAAGAAGGGCGACACCATCTACTCGTCGTCGATCTGTAAGCAGGGCCAGATGCTGGCTGTCGTGACCAAGACCGGTGCCAACACGTTTATCGGCCGTGCCGCCAACCTCATCTCCATCACCAACGAGCAGGGCCACTTCCAAAAGATTATCAACCAGATCGGCAACTTCCTTGTCATCATCACTGTCACCATGGTCATCATCCTCTTCATCTACCTGCTCCTGCGCAAGCGTAGCGACCTAGGCTATCTTGACAAGGATGCCGTGTTTGAGGTGCTGCGTGATGTGCTGGTGCTCACGGTTGCTGCCATCCCGGTCGGTCTGCCCACTGTCATGTCGGTGACCATGGCCGTCGGTGCCAAGCAGCTGGCTGCCAAGCAGGTTATCGTCAAGCGCCTGACTGCCGTCGAGGAGATGGCCTCGGTCTCGGTGCTGTGCTCCGACAAGACTGGTACTCTGACCCTGAACAAGCTGACCTTTGACGAGCCGTACCTCAAGCCTGGGTTCACCAAGGAGGACCTGCTGCTGTACTCGTACCTGGCGTCGGAGCCCGGAGCCAACGACCCCATCGAGATGGCCGTGCGCACGGCCGCCAAAGAAGGACGTGCCTCTGCTGTCCGAGTGCGTTGGGCACACCATCCCCGGCTTCAAGGTCACCTCGTTTGTCCCGTTCAACCCGGCGAACCAAGCTCACCCAGGCCACTGTCATCGACCACAACGCCAGCGAGACCTTCAAGGTGGCCAAGGGCGCCCCGCAGGTCATTGTCAAGCTTGTCGGTGGCGACAACGAGGCTACCCACGCCGTCAACATGCTGGCCCGCCGCGGTCTGCGTGCCCTGGGTGTCGCCCGCACGGTTCCTGGCTCGCTCGACGAGTGGCAGCTCATTGGCATGATCTCGCTCCTCGACCCGCCCCGCCCCGACTCTGGTGAGACCATCCGTCGCTGCGAGGAGATGGGTGTTGTGGTCAAGATGGTTACTGGCGATCAGCTCATCATTGCCAAGGAGGTCGCGCACCGTCTGGGCATGCAGCGCGCCATCCTCGATGCGAACAGCCTGACCGACCCCGAGGCCACGGACGCCCAGCTCGCCGACCGCTGCCTGCACGCTGATGGTTTCGCCCAGGTCATTCCCGAGCACAAGTACCGCGTGGTTGAGCTCCTGCAGTCCAAGGGTCTGCTGGTTGGTATGACTGGCGATGGTGTCAACGATGCCCCGGCTCTGAAGAAGGCCAATGTCGGTATTGCTGTCCACGACTGTACCGATGCTGCCCGCTCGGCTGCCGATATCGTTCTGCTGGCTCCGGGTCTGTCGACCATTGTCGACGGTATCCTGACTTCGCGTGCCATCTTCCAGCGCATGCGCTCGTATGCCCTGTACCGTATCACTTCGACCGTCCACTTCCTGATCTTCTTCTTCATCATCACCCTGGTGTTCCGCTGGCAGATGAAGGCCGTGCTGCTCATCTTGATTGCTGTGCTCAACGACTGTGCCACATTGGTCATTGCCGTCGACAACGCCCAGATCTCGCGCCGTCCGGACAAGTGGCGTATTGGCCAGCTCATCACGATGTCGGTGGTTCTCGGGTGCTTCCTGACCATCCTGACCTTTTCCGTGTACTTTGTTGCCCGCGACGGTTTCAATGTGCCGCCCGATGAGAACATCTCGCCCGAGGACGACCACCACATTGGCAAGATGCAGACCATCATCTACCTCAACGTGTCGTCGGCCCCGCACTTCACCATCTTCTCGACCCGTCTCGGTGGCTTCTTCTGGGAGAATCTGCCCTCGATCACATTCACGGCTGCCATTCTGGCCACCCAGATCTTCGCCATGTTCATTTCGATCTTCGGTATCGGCGACTTCATCATAGCCATCGGCTGGGGCTGGGGTGTCAGCCTTATCTGTCTGTCGCTGGCATACTTTGTGCTGCTCGATGCGGTCAAGGTGTTCATGTTCCGTATCTGGAGCTTTGAGCTCACTGTCAAGCTGTGGCCCACCCGTGCTCGTCGCGAGAAGCTGGTCCAGAAGCGCGAGCGCCGCGCCATCGAGGCTCGCGTCGGCAAGAATATCGAGAAGGTTCGCAAGGTGTCCCGGGCAATCTATGCTGCCCAGGCTTTCGAGCAGGCCGCTCAGAAGGCCTTCTAAATACATCAAATTTCCCCTCGTGTTTTTTTATAACATCCTCTTTCTCTTGTCAAGGCGAAAAACTATATATCGCAAAACCGTTCCCTGCCATGCATAGTGAGTCGACGCAGCTTTTCTGGGCAGTGAGCCGAGTCGCGGCTCAACCAGTTGATTCAGCTGTGGGTTTTATTTTGTTCGCGAGCATTTCCGTCCTCTTTTTCGAAGCCGCTCTTCTTTCTTTGCCCTGCGCGTCCATTCAAACCTGCATTTTAACAACTTCTCTTTCCTGCGAGGATTGCGCACACTGTTCTTACTCTCCAAACGTGTGCATTCCTCCCTTCCTGAACAGTAGCACGCGTGTTGCTTCTCTAGATTTATTTCCAATTCACACCTGTGCAAAACGACGTGGCTATGTGTGCTGGTCGGTTGGAGCCGTTTAATGCACATTTACCGGACAAGACTACCACAGGTGACTATCTCTCCATGCCCAGCACACTGTCTGTGCTTGCTCTCGTTGTACAGCTCTCCCCGTATTGACAGCCCATGTGTTTCCTTTAGCCACAAAGCCCGATGTCGGACGGCAGTTTGTAGATAATATAGCCACACATCACCAGACCCGAGGCGATGCATCAGCAGGGTACTTGGCTACGCCGCAGAGCTTGGTGTCGCCGGCATCAGCACCAACACCAGCATCGGCCAGCGAGCCAGCAACATATACATACGATGGCGAGTGACCGGGATCCGCGGATGGCGCCGGCTATGCATGCGTGGCGGGCAAAGCAGCGGCGGATATCGCAGATGCCGTGCATTCTACGCATGCCGATGTTTGAAACCGACTCGCGTTCGGTCGGAGCGCCTTCCGTGTGTGCCATTGCAGTGACAGGCATGTCGCCATTGGTGACTACCGACCAGCTAAAGGTGCATTTTCTGAACTTTGGTCGCTGTGGGCAGTGTGCGGCTCGGCTACGACATGTCTACTGGCTCGAGTCTGGGAATCGCCCGGTCGAGTTTGTGGGGGCACCCAATGCACCACACCCGCGGATGGCAGCCAAGGAGGCAATTGAGTCGGGAGGGTCGATTAGGGCTGGAGACAAGCCTGTGCAGATACTGGTAGATGTCGACGGTACATTCCAGGGCATTTACGATGGAATGCTGCGAGAGATTGATGAGGCAGAGCGGCGAAAGCAGGACCTGATGGCTCGAGCACCGCAGGTTGCTCCCTTGACACAGCGCAGCAGCGGTCCCAAAGATGACACAGGCGCAGTACGAATTCCTCGGTCCAGCATATCGTTTTCAGCCAATTCCGAGGACACGGTGTTTCGGTTCTTTGAGCGGTACCGGCCCACAGGCGTGGTGCGTGATGGCGGCTACTGGTTTGTTCTGTTTGCTGCAGAGCGTGATGCACATCGGTGCCAGCGGCTGTGCGATAAGAACATTTACCAGGGCCGGGCAATTGACGTCGAGCTGTATGAGCCTGCAGATCGATCGCGGTTATCTGAGCTGGCAAAGGGCATCAAGCGCCGTGGGACGGTCAATGACAGCAGCGCAGGCTATCCGCGGCGACAGGAGCCAGGGACTAGAGGCACGGCCATTCGAGATGGACGATCCTCGGCTGCACGAATTGGTGCATGAGATGATGGTGCGCGAGCTGTCGAGCGCGTTTGTCATGGACGTTCAGAAGCGGCGAATGCACACGCTGGTCAAGGATTTCATGAATCCGCCGCCTGTACGTGCAGCAGCAGCACCGCTGCATACACTGCGACCACTGGGCGATATTACGGAGCGGCTGAAGAAGCTAGACCGCAAATCGGTAGTGGCGCGACCAGCGGCAGCAGCAACAGCGGCAGCAGGGATTGACACAGCGGCCATGGTAAAGCAACTTACTCACAGCAAAAGCAGCAGCAGCACGCTGTCGCGACCGGAATCAAGTCCGCTGTTCAACTCTGTGCTGTCGGACCTGCCCAGCTTCCGGCGTGGCGGCGGAGTAACACAGACAAAAAAGAGTCGGCTTAGAGCCACCGAGCCCCAGCGAAATGTCTTGGACAGCGAGTCTAGCGCACACGAGCTGCCAAAGGTATCCTCGACCGAGTCGATGAGGAAGCTGGGGCGCAGCAAAAGGAAATTCAGCGATTCGGAGATGGCCGGCGATTCAGATGTATTGTCAATTGCCGACAAGCCACGGCAAAAGCGTGGTCCAGGGCGGCCGCGCAAAAAGCCCTTGCTGCGGGCAGTTGACAGCGACGTGTCTGATGCGGCCGCTACCGACGATGACGGCGACGAAGATGACAGCGACGAGTACGAGATAGAAGTGGATGAGCTGATGCGGCCGATCAAGCCCAAAAAGACGCGTGTGCCGGGGGTCAAGAGCAACAAGAAGCCCCGACGCGATAGCCAGCTTCTGGACCTGTCGTCGCAGCCCGGAACTCCGTTAGCGCTGACGCTGACCGAAGAGTCGGCTGATTCTGTGGAGGTGGCACCAGCACTGCCGGAGAACTCAACAGGGTCGGCCAGAACTCAGGGATACAGCGCAATCTCCAAAGAGCTGAAGGCGCTATATTTGCCGCAGCTGCATGCGCAGCTTCACTGGTCGGCTAACTTCTTCAGCGGCATGGACATGGCAGTGTCGGCGCGTCTGCGTGGGTTTGCCGAAAAGGCCAGCAACGGCGAGCGCAACGGGCGGGGCAAGCGCGGGGGCATGTCGAATGTCAGCGACGCGAGCCTATTCTACTCGCTGTCGCATGCGGCGGCCGGGTCGTCATCGTCGCGGACGCATCGGGCAGCCAACCGCAAGCTGCGGGCAGAGTTCAGCCTGGGCGGCAGCAGCAACAGCCACGGCGGCGGCGACGGCTCGGATCTGCTGCGGTTCAACCAGCTTGAGTCGCGGACGAAGAAGCTGCGGTTCTCCAAGAGTGCAATTCACGACTGGGGGTTGTTTGCAAGCGAGCCGATATACCAGGGCGAGTTTGTGATCGAGTACATTGGCGAGCGGTTCCGCGGGGCATTGGAGGATATCCGCGAGGCACAGTATGAGTACGAGGGCATTGGCAGCAGCTACCTGTTCCGGATCGACAGCGAGACGGTGCTGGATGCGACCAAGTGCGGCAACGTTGCCCGGTTCATCAACCACAGCTGCGACCCCAACTGCTTTGCCAAGACCATCGTGGCAGATGGCACCAAGCGCATCGTCATTTATGCAAGCCAAGACATTAACGTTGGAGAAGAAGTAACGTACGACTACAAGTTCCCGCCAGAGGACATCAAGATCCCGTGCCTGTGTGGATCGGTCAACTGCCGTGGCTACCTGAACTAGTAGATTTGCTGTTACTACGTGTTCTTTTTCAGAAAACCCTTCGTTTTTATTTTGCTTCGGAAAATAGCAGACTTCTGAAACACTGGAGAATCCAGACCTTTGCATGCATCCAGCTTATCGGAATGTGCGTGTGGGGGGCTATTTGGAGTTTCAATGCGCGTAGAACAGACAGCGGTACTGCCAGTGCAGGCATGGCTTGATTATCTGTGGCTAGTGTGTGGGTTGGTGGTGGCGCGCTTGACAAATGCGATAGGCAAGTCGGATTCCGTTTAGAAGCAGCAGCATCAGCAGCAGTTTGTGTACCGCCGTTGACATCATGCCGCACCCATGGCATTTTGGCTGGGGCAAGCACACGGTTGAGCAGCACGAGAGGGCATTGACATGACCACACATATGTGCCTACTTGCCAATCGCTGATTATTTTGCTTGGTGCGCCAATCGAGCAGCCCTGGCTCGCTGACAAGAGGAAAACCAGAACTTGGCGAGAGCATGGTGGTCAAAAGGGGGGTTTACTGCAGCATCAGAGAGCGATCACTCCGGAAGCCGGCAGTCGCGCACAGAGCAAAAAGGAAAACAAAGAGCGGGGTCATCCTGAATGGCGAACAGTGATATATCGGCGACGCAGAAGACGACAGTGGGCATAGAAAAAAGGTGAATCACTTGGGAAAAGCAGTTATTGTGGTGGCTGGTTGGTGGGCATTCTGTTGTTTTGGCGCTTGTGCCCAGCACCAAGCAGCAGCAGGAGCACATCTTTCACACATCCACCGCCTGGCCCAAGACACCCCTTTTTCCTCCTTTTCTATTTTTTTTCGGCAAGCATGAGGTAAGAAATATGTCAACCGCTCTGCTCCACGGGGTTTGCGGATGCGAAAAAAATATTCTCCTATCATGCATCATCTGCTTCGTTGTGTTGTCGTGATCGATTAACGATTTGCACTATCGATGGTGTAGCGAGCGACTCCTCCGCATCCCGTACGCGAACCTGGACGCAACAGTGGGCTCGAGCCCCATCGGGGCGCTGTTTGACACGCCGCGGTTTGCCAACACGGCTCCATTCTACCGCATGCAGCGGTTTGGTAAGTAGAGGGGGACAGAGAGCCAGAGAAAAGGTCTGCAGGTCGCGTGCAGAGGGACAGAAGTGATCGGCGGAAAAGAATTTTTCAGCAGAAATTGGCGGGGGTGGGGCGGGGTCAAAACGGACACTAGTTTTATGGCGATTTTCTTTTTCGAGCCCACTAATAGCGCGTCTGTGATTATTGACCCGACGGAAAAAGGCCAGTGCTGCCGATTCGCTACTTTCCTTCTGCTTACAAAATTTTTATATACTATGCTTGTATTAGGACACGGAGACGCACACACAGACAGCGACCACCGGCTGGTGGTGGTGATGGTGGGGCTGCCGGCGCGCGGCAAGAGCTACATAGTCAAGAAGCTGAAGCGGTACCTGTCGTGGCTGGGGTTCCAGACAAAAATCTTCAACGTGGGCGACCGGCGGCGGCTAGCGGGCACCATCGAGGACTTTGAGCCGGCTCAGAAGCGCATGGAGGACGAGGCATGTGCAGAGTGCGAGACGCCGCAGAGCGCCGACGGGTGCGCGGGGTGCGCGACCCGGCACTCGTCGGACTTCTTCGACCCCGACAATGCGCGGGCCAGCCAGCTGCGCGAGCAGGTGGCAATGGATGTGCTGGACGACCTGCTGCGGTGGCTGCAGGCAGGCGGGCAGATCGCGATCCACGACGCGACAAACTCGACGATCGCGCGGCGGCGGGCGCTGATCGAGCGCATCGGCGGATTTGCCGACGTCAACCTGCTGTTTGTCGAGAGCATCTGCACGGACCAAGGCCATCATCAACCGCAATATCCGGCTCAAGACGCAGAGCCCCGACTACCTGGGCATGGACCCGGCAGTGGCCGAGGCAGACTTCCGCGCGCGGCTGCGTAACTACGAGCGCGCATACACAACCTATCGGCGTGGCCGAGGAGAAGCAGGCGGTGCAGTATTGCAAGATTGTAGATGTGGGCACCAAGGTGATTGCATACAACATCCAGGGCTTCCTCGAGAGCCAGGTGGTATTCTATCTGATGAACATGAATCTGCAGCCACGCGTCATCTATATCACGCGTCACGGCGAGAGCCAAGACAACGCTGCCGGCCGCATCGGCGGCGACGCGTGTCTGTCGGACACCGGCCGCCAATATGCACAGGCGCTAGCGCGGTTCATTGACCGGCGGCGTAGCGAGTTCGGCGCCGAGGTGGCTGCGAGCAACCAGAAGATGGGCCATTTCGCGGGCAGCAACGGGTCCTCGGCAGCGCCGGCCTTCGAGGTGTGGACCGTCGATGCTGCGTCGCACAATGGAGACGGCCGAGCACTTTGACGCGACGCAGTACCGCATCAAGCACATCCGGTCATTGAATGAGATCTATGCGGGGAAGTGCGAGGGCATGACATATGCTGAGATTGCTGCCCAGTACCCCGACGAGTTCGAGGCGCGCCAGCTTGACAAGTTTTACTACCGCTACCCGGGCATTGGCGGCGAGTCGTATGCCGATGTGGTGCTGCGCCTGCAGCAGGTCATTGTCGAGCTGGAGCGCATCCGCCACTCGGTGCTGCTGGTGACTCATCGCGCCTATGGCCCGCACCCTGCTGGCCTACTTCATGGACATCCCCACCACACACATGCCCGACATGGAGCTGCCGCTGGGCTACGTCTATGCCTGCGAGCCCCGTCCCTTTGGCAACTTCTTGCGTGTCTGGCGCTACGTGCCTGACATTGACGACTTTGAGGAAATCGATGCCGCATCCACCCTGAAAATCAGGTACCCCGAGATTCTCATGCCCGACCGCACTGCCACACCGCCACTGCCATCGCCTGCCGAAACAACATGTTCTGCCAGGAACACCAAGCTGCTGTAGCCCCAGCATCCACTTTTCTGTTGATACAATAAACGCCCTCGTCAGTTCCGGCGGCTATTTTTGGCCCTCTGCACCGATGTTCTATGGAAACGGCGTGGATTTGTGAGTGACGCGGGAGTGCCAAGAAGCCCTCGTCCTCATCTGCTCCAGCATGGCCCCTGCTGCTGCCTAGTGCAACCACCTCTTCTCCCCTCCCCCTGTGGAACAGCCGATGCGCTAATCCGTAGGTGTGCTCCCTTGGGTCTTTTTTTACTCGGAGTTCTTCTCTTCTCTTTTCCTCCCTCAGTTATTTATCCCTCTAAACTACCAAGTATCTTTCCTAAAAACAGAAATGGCGCCCCGACCGAACCGCATAATCGCCGCGGTTCTGGTATCGCTGTTGCTGCTGTCTCTGCTCATGCAGGGCCCACCAAATCAAGCACTTGCCAGCCCTATTTCGACTTCCCTGCCTAACCTGGCTGAATTCAATGCATTTCCCACAGAACCCGTGGCCCCAAGCATGACTGCCGCATCCGGGCCCGCTGTCTCGTCCAACACCACGCATTCAGTCGGCAGAGGCGGCCCGGAGGGCGAGTGCTGGCGCGCAATCCACGTCAAGCCGATGACATGCAAGGGGATCCGTAAGCACTGCACAGGCTACGGCAAAGGTGCCCTGGACTATATCGACATATACTATTGCTCATCGGCGTCATGGCGCCCAGCGCTGGTGGTGCTGATGGCTGGGTGGGTCGCGCTGCTGTTTATATGGCTGGGCGTGTCTGCCTCCGACTACTTTTCGCCCAATATCAGCACTGTGGTCAAGCTGCTGCACCTGCCCGAGAGCATCGCCGGTGTCACCCTGCTGGCCTTTGGCAATGGCGCCCCCGACCTGTTCGGCACGTACAGCGCTGTCAAGGCCGGCAGCGGCGCCCTGGCTATTGGCCAGCTGATCGGCAGCGCATCGTTCATTACCAGCGTCGTAGTTGGCGCAACCACCCTGGTCGTGCCCGCGTATGTCGTCAACCCAATGCCATATTTGCGTGAGCTGTGGTTCTTTGTCGCTGCTGTCGCCACCATGGCTGTTATCATTGTCACTGGCCGACTGACCCGCGTGCTGGCGCTGTGTATGGTCGGGTTGTACCTGCTGTATGCTGTCACTGTCGTCATTACTACGTATTATGAGCACAGGCTGAGCAACTACTTTTACGGCAAGGCAGCAATAGACGTGTCTGAGGACGACGAAGTGCCTGACGTAGCTATCCAGCTACAACACAGCCCGATCGCAGCCCCGGCCCTTGTTGTCAGCGAGCCAGATGAGAGCTTGAGCCTGGACCACGCATCGCTGGTTCACAGAGGCAACGATGCATTGACCGAGAGAGCGCTGTCTGTTGCTGCTGGGAGTAAGGAGCATGACTCTGGGGACGACGAGAACCCCGAGCAGGCATTTGAGGAGTTTTTGCTCTACCATCGCCGGTCGATGCTGACGGCTGTCGAGTTGACAGATTTCATGGCCTGCGCTGAAGGCCGCACGGGAGGAGGCGCGCAGACAGACCCTACAGGCTCACAACTCGATGCCTATGCTCGGCATACATTCGGGCTATCCCCCAGCCCATACTAGCGACCCTGCTGGTGCTGCTGAATCGGATGGTAGTGACGAGTACCTGGAGACTGCCACGTCCCAAGCTATCAACTGCGTGGACCACTCAGAGTTCAGCACACCGACACCTACCCCGCCATGGTCAAACTACACGATGCTTCCGCATACCAACATCTTGATCGAGAGGTCGCCGTCGCACGACTTGGAGATGAGCGTGAGGCCAGACAGTGATTCGGTACGGTCGATCCGTCTGGCCAAATCGCCCAATCTCCATCTGTCTCCATCTGTCTTCCGCTCCGAGCCTAATTTGCTGAAGAAGTGGATTGCAGGGCCAGTCGGCAGCCCAGCAGGCACACACCGCAGTGCCGCCCACACCGCAGATCCAGATCCGTCCTGCCTCGGCGAATCCGCCAGACCGGCTAGTGAGCAGAGCTGCTAGTCCTGAATCTGATACGCCGGTAGAAGTGGAGGAGCTAGGCCAGGCAAGGTGCCAGGACAGCGGCCATTCGGAAGCAACGGCAAGAGCAGGCTGCTATCCCGACTATCTGGGTGCAACCGCCAACTCCCCTGCCACCACCGCGTCGGAAACTGCACCACCTGCAGGATGCAGCCGATAAATGTCCATCTTCGCCAAAATCGGCCTCTGACCGCTCGTCGCACAGCTCAAGCATTGCCAGCTATACCAAGCTCGATACCCAGCCCGCACCTGAGCATTGTCCCGCATAGCTTTACCCGTCCTAGCTCCAGCTGGAGCTCGGTGTCGGCGCGTATGAGCAGAGGATGGCGTGGCCGGGGCATTGCACTACTGCGCTGTTGCATCCCGACCCTGCGCCATTGGCGGGCAGACGCGACCATGCTTCGCAAGTTCTTTATTGTATATAGTGCAGTTCCTATGCTACTGCTGACCTTGACCGTACCCGTGTTAACCCGCCCGCCGCCGAGGCCAGCCAAGACATCGAGCCCGGCTGTGGCCCCTGCGTTTAGAATGCCGGCCACTGTTGATGACGACCAAAGCCCGATGATGGAGCAGGCGATCCACATGGGTGTCCAGCGGCAGCTTCAAATGCCGCATTCGCCAAAGCGCACATCGTCACCGGACAATCGGCTGCCCTGCCACTCTGAGTCGCCAGCCTGCATTCCACGCCGCTGCTCCTTGCCCTCTGACTGCCCGGTGCTGCTACAGCCCGACGAATCGGCGCGCCTGCTTCCCGAGCACAGCGATCTAGTGAGCTACGAAGCCAACAACCGCCAGGAGCACCTGGAGCTACACAGCCGCCACATGAGCCTGGTTAGCAACCGCAGCAAATTTGTCGGCCATAGCTTCCCGACCGGTATCTCGCCGACGCAGTCCTTTAGTGCCGCCAGTGGATTCTCGTTCGAAACAAACATGTCTCAAGGCATGTGGCTGGCAGCCGTGGATCCTCACCAGATCGTGTGGGCCAAACGTGTCATACGCTATGTGTGCATTGTCATGACCGCCATGTTCCTGTACTGCATGCTGTGCAGGGCAATGCCGCAGCTACTAGTCATCATGCCGCGCGCCATCGGGTGTGTCGGAGTGAGCATGTTCCTTTTGCTGTCCATTTGTACATATGAGCACTGCGTGCCAGACTCGTATGTGATCCGTGTCCTACCGTGCTTTTTTGGGTTCCTGAGCGGTCTGTCGTGGATCTATCTCATTGCTGACGAAATCGTAGCCATCACACAGACGCTGGGTCTGGTCATGGACATTAGCGAAGAGATCCTGGGGCTGACTTTGGTTGGACTCGGCAACAGCGTTGGCGACCTGGTTACCAACGTCACTCTGGCTACCATGGGCTATCCGACTATGGCTCTGGCCGCATGCTTTGGTGGGCCCATGGTCAACATTTTGCTGGGCGTTGGCACGGCAGCCGTCAGCGCCATGTCACATAGGGGCTCGAATGGCGATGCAGTCGAGATACAGATCTCGTCGAAGTCGATCATGGTCAGCACCGCGTGCCTGCTGTTCAACACTCTGGTGTATGTCGTCATCGTGCCGCGCCAGCAGTACCGCATGACTCGTGCAGTTGGCCTGGCAGCAATGGCCGTGTATTTTGTGGGCATGACGGTAAACGTGTACTCCGAGTTGTAAATGCAGTTAATAATATGGCAGTCATTTGTTGCATGAGAGGTTTTGATATGTGAAGTGTCAGTGGGAAAACATTGGACATGTACTGCCTGGAATATGCGCGGGTTTTCCTGCTGCCTGCCTCTGCTGCCTCCGTTTTCTGCCTGGATGCTACTGCTGCGCGGTAGAAGAGCTGGAATTGCCTGTTTGCGTCGATTTTTCTAGGAACCTAGCACTATTGCCATTCAAACACAGCAGTGTCTCGCTTGTCGCAATGTGGTATAAAGTCCATGGTATCTGCACTATCCGTCATCTCAACAGCAACATCATCAACATTTTCTAACAACACACCAACAGCAACAGCAACAGCAACAGCAACAATGAACACTTTCGCTACGCTTGCTTCTCTTCTCGTCGCCTCATCGGCCGTTGTTTCTGCTACTCCTCAGATGGGCGGTGGCGCTTCTCCCCAGGGCTCCCCCATGGCTGGTCCCCAGGGCTCTCCGATGGCTGGCCCACAGGCCACTGGCGCTGGTCCTGAGGCTGCTGGCATGCATGGCGCTGCTGGCCCCGCTGCTGGCGCTGCTGGCCCCTCGGGCACTCGCGGCAAGGGAATGTGGGCATACCCGTACTATGGTGGCATGTACGGTGGCTACGGCGGTCTGTACGGTGGCTATGGCGGCTACCCGTACTACGGCGGCTACGGCGGCTATGGTGGCTACGGCGGCTATGGCGGTTATGGCGGCTACGGCTACCCGTACTATGGCGGCTACTGGTAAACTCTCACAAGAGCCTCTGCCTGTTTTTACAACGTAATATCTCTAGCGTCCTGCGCTGTGCGCCCGACTATTCTCATAAAATGAATCATTTTACAACATTGAAAGATATTGTCATGTGCGCTCATACACTAGTGCTGGAAGACAAACTCGTCGATAGTCTCGCCAGCAACGTTGCGTGCGACCCAGTGCAGCTGCTTATTCTCGATGTCCAAGCTGACGAAATGGTGATCAAAGTACGTGACATTGTACATCTGGTAGTCCTCAACCCTTTTCAGATCCAGGCCGCCACCAGCACCACCAACGAATGGCATATGTGATTGAGTCGTTTGGTGCATACCCAGGGCCCCGATGCACCTGTAGACCTCTGGTAGTTGTGCTGGTGGCCAGAGATGACCAGGTGTACACCGTGTTTGCGGAATAGCGGGTCATACTCTGCCCGGATATGCTCGTCCCAGTGCTTTTCACCCTTGTCGTTCCACGCATATGGATCCCAGAACTCGACGTAGGGTGGAACATGGATCGCAATGATCTTGAATTCAGCGCCTTGGAACACCGCTGACTGCAACTCGCGCTTCAAAAACATACTCTGCTCCGGGGACGGGCATTCTGCGTCCAGCACAATGATGCGTGCTGTGCCCACGCTCACGCTGTGGTAGAACTGGTGGTATGTGCCGTTGGCCACCAATGTCTTGCTCAGATCCTCGGAATCAAACAGCCCATGGTACATGTCTGTGTAATAGTTGTGGTTGTCTGGTCGCCGGCTTTTGTCGTGGTCGTGGTTGCCTGGCACGAATATTATCGGCGAACGGTGCTGCAGGCCACCGACGTCTTCCAGTGGTGCAAAAAACTGGTTCTGCCAGTCTTCCAGCTTTTCGGGCATCTGGATAACATCGCCTGCATGCAAGGTCATGTCTGGATAGACACCAGGGCCGTAGAGTTTGCGGACTCTGCCCAGTACACGGCGGAAGTTTGCGGGTTCGTTCTGGTTGTCGGCCATCACCAGGACGCGGTGCAGGCTATGTTTAGCTGGTCTATGGATCCTGTACTGCTGTGTGCCTTGGCGGTAGTTGCTGACCTTGTAGAACACATCCGCAGCATTGCCAACTGGCCCGAAAATCGCCGTGTATCTGTGGTGGTTGGCGTCGATGCGCCTATACCTAGGCTCGACAGTTACACGCCTCGAACCCTTAGCGTCATCCACCCACCATTCAACTACCGGATTCCCTGACGGGCATGATGACTCCCAGATAACAAAGTAGTGCGCATCGCCGTGCTCGAATATCATTGGGAGCTTGCGTATTGTGCACGGATAGAACCCGCTGTCGGAGAGCCATGTGCCCACTGTCGCGCGCAATGTCTGCACGCCTGGGTTGCCCAGAATCTTGATTAGAATCCAGAACGCAAGTATCTGGGAGACCACCAGGAGTGCGAGGCGCCGATAGTACAGCCTCATCCTATGAACCTCCTTATTCTGTATTCCTTCTACGTCTTGTATGGCTGACCAAGCTGCGGTATGTGGATCAAAAGTCAGCGATATGCAAGGGAATGAGAGGGCAAACTTAATAGTGTAATAAATGATACAAATGAAACGAACAAAGCAGAGAGGCCTGTGGTCTAGGACTTTTCTAGGGCAGCAAGTCTGCGAACTATGCTCCAACCAGCAGCCATAGCAGACGAAGAGATTGACAGCAGCGACTTTTTTGTGTAGACTTTTCTCGGAGGTATGTAAATCCTTGAGGAAATTCCACACATGCCAGCAGGATTGATGTGCCCCAATGCCAGCCAATGGTACCATTCTCCTGATGTGCAAGCAAAGCGCCTTCATTCTTCGTCCGGCTAGTGCGTAAAGGTCCATGCTATCTACATTTGGCTGAGTGCACTAGCGCTCTGCACCATAGGTTAAGCTAATTCTGCCCTTCTCTCTCTCTTTTCAACGACAAGTGGAATCGGTGCCTCCAAACTATACTACCCTTATACATGTCAATATTCTCAGCAAGAGTTTCAAGGTGAAAAACACTAATTGCTGATTAGCTTTAGTGGTGGTAAGGCAGCTGTCCTGCTTGGGGCTTACACCATGTGCTAGCTGGCTTAAGCTCTACCGTGTATGTTGCTTATACTCCGATGGTATACGGTTTTATTGGTACCTCAACTAGTAAAAATGTAGATGCCAAACTGAACATGACAGTGCAGCGATAAGAGGAATGAAATCTGATGAGCTAGACCTTGACAACACTGCATCCGAAACTCTTCCCATTAAACATGTTCAGAACTGTCTGAGGAGTTCTTTCCAGTCCAACAGTCTCATCAACGCGATACTGGATCCTGCCTTCTCTGTACAGCACACTGATCTCGTCGACGAACTCGATCTCCACTGGAGTATTGTAATGGTTGTAAACAAGCACAACTTGCAGAGTGGCAGTTTTAGCCAGGATATTGCCAATATTCTTCACACCGTACTTTTCCTCAGGCTTGAGGTTCATTTGAGAAAGAACGCCGCACGAGATGGTGCGCGCACCAGCATTGATATTGGCAAGAGCAGCGTCCAGGAACACGCCACCGACGTTGTCAAAGTAGATGTCAATGCCCTCCGGAGCAGCCTCCTTGATCGACACGACAGAGTTGCGGGAAGTCTTCTAGTTGAAGGCAGCATCGGCACCAATGCTCTTGACAAACTCGACCTTGTTGTCTGAACCAGCAACACCAATAACACGCAGACCACGGGCCTTGGCGAGCTGAACAACCATCTGGCCAACGGCACCCGATGCCGAAGAGACCAAGATGGTCTCACCGGCCTTGAGCTTACCAATCGTGGTCAAGCCGACAAAGGCTGTGAATGACGGCATGCCCAGAACAGTGACGTAGTCGCGAGGGCTGATACCATCATCCCTGTGCAGCTTGTGTACAGCATCAGCAGCAACAACTGACTTGTTTTCCCAGGCTGAGTTTGGATTAGCAACGAGATCACCAGAGACAAAGCCGGGGTTGGCTGATACCTCTACAACAGCGACACCATCGGTGGTAATTGGCTCATTGATAGTGTATGGCGGGACGTATCTGCCAGTATTACCATTCAGACGACCACGCTGGTACGGGTCCACGGTGTGGTGGAGATTGCGGACAAGGATTTGTCCTTCTTTCAGCGAGTCCTTGGTAGGAGCTGGGGCAGCCACAACCTTGAAGTTGTCAAGGGTCAGAAGGCCGGTAGGGGAGTACTTGTTGACCAAGATGCGGGTGTTGATATCGGGATTCGACATGGTGCCTAGAGTAAATTTGCTGAGGGATTTGGGGAGATTTCATATGGTAGTGTGTTTTGTGGGGAGATCGAGCTCCTGTGAAAGACGCTCGTTTTAAATATTTATGTAGATACGCCTGTTTAAATAGTCTCTTCTTGACGCATTAGTGTTGCCCAGGTGCGTCTTCTGAGTATATTACTAATCCAACTCCCGTGGTTCTGGTCTCTGGTAGCCGGTGTGTCTCTGTTTCTGGGACGGCATTCCCCTCGCATACAAGTGGAATCGGCTTGGATTAAACAATATCACGAGATGTAAAGTCCACAATGGCACAATCGTGTAATGGGTGATGACTAAGGTCATAGACACCTGCTGGCCCATGAAAAGCCCCACTAGACACATGAACGCTAACAGTGGCACCAACCGCACCGAAATGTATGAGCAGAGCCTCGACTAAACATTCCCGTCTCGCACACACATTCGCCATTGTCAATCCGTAGAATGAATTGGTATTGTGAAAATGTTCGAAAGTGTAGTAGAGATTTCAGAAAAGTATTTGCGGCATGTGGAAACGCCGCCTGTGTCTATGCGAAGCAGCCAAACACGCAATTTAGCTGCGCTTCTGCAGCTCTTGGCCAATGCACTGGTTGATGAAGTCGCGGCGGGCCTTGGCCTCCTCAGCCTGGATGCCGAAGCGGGACATGATCTGCTCGCGCACCTGCTTCTTGGTGATGGTCATCAGGTCGGCGGTGGCAATGATCTCGGCAACGTACCCCGAGATCTGCTCGTCCGGGATGCCCGACGGCCAACTCTGCTGGGCCAGCGACGATGCGGCAGTCACGCTGGGATCAGATGCTGGGAACATGTTCAGCACGCCGGTCTGGTCCATGTTGGCGCTGACCGGCACCGGCTGCTCCATCATGGTGGCCGGGTGCATCATCGGCTGCTGCATGCCGCCCATCATCATCTGGTTGGCGGCGATGTTTGAGCCGACCGAGTACGCCGACATGCGCGGGTCCTGCTGCACGAACGGGTTGCCGCTGACCTGGCTCAGGCGCGGGTCAACAGCCTGCGGCATAACCATGCTGCCGACGCGGGACTGCGGGCCAACGCTGCCCATCGGCACCATCTCGTAGGCGCTGGATGTCGGCATTATCATCGGCGATGCGCGTCCAGACACCGAGCCCAGGTAGTCGATGCCATTACCGGCCATCGGGTTCACAGTCATGTTATTGACGCCCATCGGGTTGTAGCCGTAGCCGCCGTCGTTGTACACCGAGTTGGCATTGTACATGGACTGCGTGTTGGCGTAGCCCAGCATCGACTGGGGAACGTTGCCGATGGCCGAGCCCGAGCGCACGTTGTGTGCAGCGGCCAGCTTCGAGCCAGCGTCAGACATGGCACCGCCATACTGCGACCCGCCGTCGTGGTGGCTGGCAGAGTGGGCCTCCCACAGCAGCTCCTGCTCGTAGTCGGACCACTTGCGCTGCGGAATCGTCGTCGTGTCAAACTTCTCGTTGTCCACCGTGTAGATGTGCTTGCGACCGGACTCGCCGACCACGACACGGGTGTTACCCCACGAGAAATCGTCGAAATGCCAGAACGCGTAGATCGGAATGAGGAACGAGAACAGCGGGATGGCAATAATGTACACGATCATCCAGCCGATATGCTGCCACTGGCGCTTCAGGATGAAGATCAGTGCCTGCATACCGTAGATGGCGGCCAGAAGGTACAGCGAAATGTACGAGGTCGTCGAGTCGGGGTTGGTCAGCTGGTAGATCAGGTACGCCAGATACACGAGCGTCGCCGGCATGATAATGGTGGTGATCAGGTCGATGAAGACAACGAAGCGCATCGAGAAGCAGCAGAAACCGCACAGCTGGGGGAGGAAGATCAGCTCAAACAAGTTGTGCACTGTCGAGTTAATCCAGCGACGACGCTGCGACAGCAGAATGCTGAGCTGGTCGGGCGCGTTGGTCATGCACTTGGCATCAGGCACAAACTTGTTCTTGTAGTACGGGAAGTGCTTCAGCACCAGCGTGGTCAGATAGCGATCCTCACCGAGATGCAGCAGGTTCTTCTCGTGCAGCGTCTCGACCCGGTTCGTCGAGTACTCCTCGATGATCTGGTTCGAGATCAGCAGCGGGCGGGCGCTGTCCGCCGTGCGCATGCGGTACATCGAGAAGCATCCAGGCAGACACGACACTGAGCCGAACAGCGACTCGAAGGCCTTGGTCAGATGGTGCGAAATGAAGTACTCGTAGACCTGCATCATGGTGATCCACGAGCTCTTTGCGTTGGCCAGCGTAGTCTCGCCGCAAATGCCGAGAATCTTCTGGTCGTGAGCCATGGCGCCCACAAGACGGTTGAGCGAGTCGGGGAACACCACAGTATCGGCATCAATCATGAGCACGTGCTCGTAGAAGGCCGGGTTGACGCCAATGACGTTCTTGACCTGGTGGTACATCTCGAGCTCGAGCGGGACCATGGGCAGATCAAAGAACACCTTGTTGAAGAAGCGCATGAGCATGATCTGCGAGTCGCGCTTACCACGGTTGCCAGGGCGGTTGCGCTCGTTGGGAGTACCGCACTTGACGATGACCAGGTAGGGAACGACATGGCCAGCAATCTCGTACAGACCCGAGTAGACCTTGGCCATGTTGTGCTCCTTTGATCCCTCGCCCAGGGCAATGTAGCTGAGGGCCTCCGGCTCCTGGTCGCGGTCGACGCCGAGGATATCCAGCACGATGCGCGGAGTCGGGCGGTCGTTGCCGGAGCCCATGATCATACCGTCGCACACGATGAACAGCAGCTTGCGCTTGTCGTCGTACTTGAGGCGGGCCAGCGAATCAATGGTGTTCTTCAGCGAGTCTTCGCCCTCCGTGTAGCAGGGAACGTTGCACACGATAAAGTTGTCTCCGGGCTCGGGCTCGCGGCGGCTGCCAAACTGCAGCGCAGCGATGAACTTCACAAAAATGAGCAGAACCAGAGCGATCGAACCAGCCAGGAGCAGGTAGTTGGCGGCATAGCAGCGTGCAGACTTGCGCAGATCGACATCGCCAATGTAGAAGGCGCCGCGCAGGCACTGCTTGTGGAGAGCCTTGCTATCAGGCTTGTCAGCAAAGTAGGCATCCCACTGCTCCGTGATATCCTGGCCTCTGTTCTGATCGAACATGGTAAAGACATCAGGGTCCAGGAACAGCTTTTTAGCTATCGTGTTCGTCGAGTTCGGCTGACCGACGGGCACAACCATGTAAGACGCACCCTGCGAGTTGATGTAGTCAGACAAATCAAACACCTGCTGGTGGATGATGCAGCGGTAAACGGTCTTGTCGGATGTACCCTTGCTATGGCCTTGGGCCTCCTTCAACAGCACCTTAGGATCGAACGCGACATGGCCCTTGTGATATTTTTCACGCATCAGCCGCATCAGCCGCATCTGGTAGTAGTTGTAACCCTTGTCAGTCGGATGGCGCCACCAGCGGTGGTCATGGAAGTATGTGGGGGTGTACAGCTCGGGTCGGTAAGTCATGGACAGGCGCGGATCCAGGTCCGGGAACGGGCACACAAACGAGAGCTGCTGCGGGAACAACGCAGTCTGGTCCCGGCCCAGGAAGTTGCGGTTCTTCAGGTAGTCGACGTTGATGTTAAAGTGGTTGAAGTTCTTGACGTCAAAGACCTCGCCGCGAATCGCAATCAGCGCATCCTTGGTCTCCTGGTGCTCGGTCAGCTCCGAGAGCGAGTACACGTGCTGCTTCGGGCACAGAATGAGCCCCAGGCCGACGATCCAGAACACGACAAAGATACAGCTCCAGAAGATGATCAGACATAGGGTGAGTTTCTCGCGCCACGCCAGCCGCTGGTCACGGCGCTTAATGCGTCCGCAGCACTTTAGCAGCGGCGACGGAACCCAGAACGTGTTTGCCCACACGCAGCACAGCCAGTACTTGCGCGCGCGCGTCTTTGGGTGCTCGGGCTCGTCCTCATCGTCCTCATTGACGGCCCCCGACACGCCCTGCTTCAGCGAGGCAGCGCGGCTAACCGACCCGGGGGTGGTGGTATCGTAGCCAGGCGCAAACTCGCGCTCGCTCATGATTTCCGAGCCGTTGACGCCCATGTCCTGGTAGCCGTCATCGTCCGAGTAGTACGACCGTGTGTCGTTGCCACCGCCGCCGAGCATGCGGCCCTTGAGAGCACGCGCCTGCTGTGCCGAAAGGCCGCCGATATCAGCAGCGTTGTGCTGGCCCAGCGGCTGCGCGTTGAGCATCAGATTGGCCTCCGACTGGCTGCCCAGCGTGTCCTGGTAGCCATCGCCGGCAGTAGCATCGTAGGTGCTGCTGATGGCACGCGACTCCTTGCGGTCACGGCGCTTGTTGCCTATCTCCATGCGCTCGATACCGCGGATCGGGTCGTCGATGCGGCGCCAGGCTGAGTAATTCAGGAACACCTTGCTCTCAGCAATGATCATGTCCGAGTCGGACAGCTGCAGCGCCTGCTTGAGCGCCAGCACCTGGGCACGGGGGTCCTCAGGGTCGACGGTTGCGACATAGTCTTCGATCACGCTGGCGTAACGCTGGCAGAAATCGCTGATGCCGAGTACGGCTGAGAACTCTGCGCGCTTGCGCTTGACGATGGCATCGAGGCTGAAGCAGTCGGTCTGGGCCTGCACGCGACGGGCATCGGTCCAGTGGGGGCGGCCCTGCTCGTTAGGCTTGATGCAGAGAGCGAACCATGGCAGCGTGTCGTCGAGCGTCGCAATTAGGTCGTTGAGGGCGCGCTGGTACTGCGTCACAACGCAGGCGACCTTGGCGACACGCGAGTGGCCGCCCTTCTTCGAGCGCATCATCGACGGAGCGCGGGTGGGGACTGAGGGCGCCTGCGCCTGGACCACGGCCTTCTCGTTGCGCGGGTGCACCTCGGTAGCCAGGGTCTTGCTCGAGAACAGGCCGGCGACGAACCCGTTACCGGTGCCCGGATTCTCGCCGGTGCCGTCGCCGCGGAACACAGCGACGAAGTCGGCGCTGAGCTGATCCAGGTTCTTCTCGACAAAATCGTCGACGTTGTAGCTGACGCTGCCCCAGAAATGCGCAACCGTGAACGAGTTCATCTCGTTCTTGCTCTCGCCCGACGAAAAGTACGGGTTGCTGTCGCCGGTGCGCGAGTTGTGTAGCTTGTTGAAGGCGCTGAGCAGCTGCACGCTGGCCTGGCGGTCCGATACAGTCGCATCGAATTCGCGCGGGCCGGCGCTCTTCTTGCCCTTCTTGCCGGTCTTCTCGGGGCTCAGGTACTCGACTGCCTGGCGGTCCATGGTCGCAAACAGTCCGGTCTTGCCCTTCATGAACAGATCCAGGCACATGGTGCGGTCCGGGAACTCGACGCTCGGCAAAGCATCGACGATTCCCTCGGCCTCGTACTCAGCATTGCCGGCCTCGAAGATCTGGTGGAACATGAAATGCTGCAGGCGCTCGCTGGTGTAGTTGTTGACCATCTGCTCGTACGTGCTGCTGCGAATCGTGTACCAGCCGGGGAAGTCGACCAGGCCGATGAAGTTGTGGCGGTCGGCGTCTTCCTTGCACACCTTCGAGTTGATGAACTCGATCATCCAGTTGAATAGCAGCGAGTACAGCGACCGGGCCAGATCGTCGCGACGGGCCACAGCGCCATCGCTATCCAGATACACCGTGTACTTGTCGTTGCCAACCTGCTTGGTCTTGACCGTAAGCAGATTGAGCAGGGTGTCGCTGCCGAAGCCCAGCAGCCGGCTGGCGTGCTCCAGCACCTCGGTGTTGCGCACCTCAGCAGCGCTCATCTCGTCGACCTTTTGGTACGTGAACTGGAGGTTGCCCAGGGCAAGGATCGCCGACAGCACCGAGAAGATATGGTGCTGGTACTTGTGGCCGAGCCCGACCTCGCTCATGGCGCCGATCAGCTCACGGAACCGCTCGACGTCACTGAATCCGTGGATCCGCTGCACGGTGCCCGGGCGGTTCAGGTACTCGTACTGCGTGTGCATCAGGCCGAACTTCTCGCGCTCCTCGGGCGCAGCACCGTTGGCCAGGTAGTAGAACGCATGGAAGTTGCGCTCGTCCTGCGGCACATGCGTCACGCGCGCCTTCTCCAGCAGATACGTCAGCGTCTTCAGACCCACGGTGCGGCCGCGCTGGTCGAACTGCAGCTCCGAGTACGTGCCCACGCGCGAGGCGTTGTTGTGCGAGACCGTCTTTGCGTGCGAGAACGCCTCGAGCACAATGTCCGCGTTTTGGATCCGGTTGTACAGCCGCGTGTCCTTTTTCGACTGCGAGCGCAGTAGCGAGTAGAAGCGAATCGCCAGTCGCCGCTGCTCTGTCTTTCCACTTCCCGCCGCACCACTATAACGGCAGTAGGAGAAAATGGCCCCCACGGAAAAAATGCAGCGATTTTTTTCGGTGGTCCAAAAGAAAAACGATTGTCAGCAAAGCTGTGCAGACTAGAATAAAAACATCTGAGTGGGGCCGGTTCTTTCACCAGCCAGGATAAACGCTGCCCAATTTTTGAGCCAAAAAGCACGCTATTCACAGTGCCGACTATTTTTAGCGTGCGCACCATGGGCGAGATTGCTCTTCTTTTCCTTGGTCCACTGTGGGCAACAGGGAAACGACGAGTCCAGTCTCCACCCGTCATTTGCATGCATCGCCTAGCTGCCATGGGGTGCGTGTGTATACTTACATGAAGACGATGCTCTGGTTGAGACCAGTGCGGCGCATGTGGAGGTACGCCTCCTCGGCAGTCTTGAAGATGTGCGGCGGCAGCGGCTCGCGGCCCACAGTGGTGTCTCTGTAGTCATCGATGTATGTCAATGCGGTCTGGTCCGAGTGCATGGGCTGGCTCTCAAACGGATTAAAGGCCACCAGCACGCGGTCGCCGATGGCTGTGTACGGCTGCGACTGGGGCCGCTGCTCGTAGCGGCTGATGAGCTCGTCGAGGATCTCCTCCTTGGTCACATCATCCGCGTTCTTGAGCTTCGTCAAGTCGTCGTTTCTCTGACTGTTCATCGGCAGTATTCAGCAAAACCTCGTGGATTAATTGAAAAAAGGATAGTGCACCCCAGTTCCTCGGGTTCTTTTTCTGTTTAGGTAAACAGGGCTATTGTGCTAACAAGAAATCGATTACAAGAAGTGAGGAGAGGGGTTCAGAAGAATAGGTGCGAGGCTTGGCGCACGGGGCAGAGGGGATCTAGCGAGGCTAGTAGAAAAGATGGAAAAGAGGATGGAAAGAGGTATGTGATGAACTGGGAGAAAGAAAGGACGGTGAGGTATACTGGGGAGGAAGAGAAGGAGAAAGCACGAAGACCTGTCCAGCGTACAAAATAGAGAAGATTGAGTGCGAACTGACAACGCTGAGAATACCGTGTTGCAAAGGGGCGATCTGTTTTGCGACAACAACACTATTGGCCCGACGAATCCCCAGTAGCGTGCTGCTTGTACTGCCTTTCCCCAAAAATAAAAAATGCGCCCTCGCAGCCAGGACATGCAGGAGCTTCATAAATAGATTCGGGTATTTGATGAACAGCGGGGCCGGTCACAGGTATCTTCTGCATGACAAGCCCGGCGGTGCTGGCTCACAATGGCAGGGCTCCCGTCAGCCAGAAGGCAGGAACGTGCCAGCCGGTGCGCAGACGAGCCATTGTTCCCAGAGAGCTGAACAAAAATAGGCGCTCTGCAAAAATAGATTGAATTCCCGCCCCAGCAGCGGCGGCAGATGAGCCATGCAGCGCGTCTATAAATAGAGTCTGTGCGTGACAGAATGGCAGAGCACCGTTCAGCCTGGTGAACAAACTCGCGGTGTATGAGTTCCAAAGCAATTCTTGATGAAAGAAATGAAGAGAGGATAAAAAGACTAGGAAGAGAAACGGAGACGCTGCACTCACAGGCGCTCGTTGAGGACCTCGTCGATGCAGACGTTGATGAACGACTTGCGGGCATTGAGCTCGTCCATGTCCATGTTGCAGTCCTGGGCGACCTGCTGGCGCACCTGCTTCTTGGTCACAAGCATCAGGTCGACCGAGCTGAGTATCCGGCGCACCGACTGCATCAGCACCTCGTTGGGCATTCCCGACGGATACGGCACGGGCCCGCTATCAGGCATAAGCGAGCCGCCGTTGCCGCCCATGAACCCGGTATTCAGGCTGAACTGTGGTATATGCAAGGAAATTGCATCACCCATGAATCCGCCGCCCTGACCGCCGCCACCATTGCGGTGCATCATGCTGGTGCCGGCGATTGAGGCCGCATCGCCGCCCATATCGCCGCCATGCACACTCATGGCCGGAGCCATGCCCATATTCTGGTTCATGATTTGCATGTTGGCGCCGCCGTCGTGGTAGTACCCGTAGTTGTTGACAGGATAGACTGAGCCGGCGGCCGAGCCCGGACGCGGCGGGCCAAAGTACATGCTGGCACGGCTGCTCATTTCACTGCGCATGTCATCCATGCGCGCCTTCTCGGGCTGGCCGTACAGGATCTCCTGCTCGTACTCGTCCCACTTGCGCAGCGGGATCACCGACGGGTCGAATTCCTCGACCTCGGCCACAAACTTTGGCTTCTTGCCATCGCCGACCACGACACGGGTGTTGCCCCACGAGAAATCGTCAAAGTGCCAGAAGGCGTAGATCGGGATGAAGAACGAAAACACAGGCAGGGCCAGCAGATAGACGATCATCCAGCCGATATGCTGCCACTGGCGCTTGATCACAAACAGCATTGCCTGCAGGCCGTAAACCGCCGCTAGCAGGTACACGGACACAAGCGGCGTATCAGAGGTGCTGATGGCGAGCTGGTAGATCAGGTATCCGAGATAAACAACTGTGGCGGGCATCACGATGGTCGAGACGAGATCGATAAACACAATGAAGCGCATCGAGAAGCAGCAGAATCCGCAGAGCCGGGGCAGGAACACAAGCTCAAGAAGGTTGTGCACAGTCGAGTTAATCCAGCGGCGACGCTGCGACAAAAGCACCTGCCAGGTATCCGGGGCATTGGTGCGGCACTGGGCATCTGACGTGAACTTCATCTTGTAGTACGGGTGGTGCTTGAGCATCAGCGTAGTTAGGTACCGGTCCTCACCGAGGTGCAGCAGATTGCGCTTGTGGAGGGTGTCGACCTTGTTCTCGGAGTAGTCCTGGACCATCTGGTTTGCAATCAGCAGGGGCTGGTTGGCTTCGGGTGTGCGGATACGGTACATGCAGAAGCAGCCGGGGAGGCAAGTGACAGAGCCGAACAGTGACTCGAACGCCTTGCTGAGGTGGTGCGAAATGTAGTACTCGTAGACCTGGATCATGGTGATCCACGTGTCCTTCTCGTTGGCGAGCTGAGTCTCGCCACAGATACCCATCAGCTTCGAGTCGTGCAGCATGCATGACACCATGCGGTTGAGCGAGTCGGGCGACACATACGTATCGGCATCCACCATCATGATGAATTCGTAGAAGGCCGGGTTGACGCCAATGACGTTCTTGATCTGGTGGTAGATCTCCAGCTCCAGCGGGGTCATGGCCAGGTTGAAATGCACCTTGTTGAAGAAGCGCATCAGGATAATCTGCGAGTCGCGCTTACCGCGGTTGCCTTGGCGCGTACGCTCGCGGGGCGTGCCGCACTTGACAACCACAATGTAAGGGACCACGTGGCCCGATGCCTCGAACAGCCCAGAGTAGACCTTGCCCATGTTGTGCTGCTTCGTGCCCTCGCCCAGCGACAGGAAGCTGAGCGGCTCCGGGTCAATGTCTGGATCAACTCCCAGGATATCCAGCACAATGCGCGGGGTCGGGCGGTCGTTTCCGGATCCAACGATCATTCCATCGCAGATGATGAACATGAGCTTTCGCTTATCATCGTAGTGCAGCGTCGCCAGAGATTCCAATGTCGAGCGCAGACCCTCCTCACCCTCGGTGTAGCACGGGACATTGCAGATGATGAACTTGTCGTGCTCCTCGGGCTCGCGCTTGCTGCCAAGCTGCAGCGCAGCCAGGAACTTGAAGAAGATGATGCTGGTCAGGGCCACAGAACTGGCGAGCAGCACGTAGTTGGCAAAGTAGCACTGGAATGACTTGCGCTTGTCGATAACACCGGCGTAGAATGCGCCGCGCAGGCACTGGTAGTGCAGGCGCTTGGCGACGGGCCGCTTGGCAAAATGCCTGCGCCATTTCTCGGTGATGTCCTGGCCCGGGTGCATCTGGAACATGGTCTGCACAGCGTCATCGAGGAAGGTACGCGAGGTAGTCTCGTTGCTCTTGCCGTCGGGTGCGACAACGAACGGTGCGCCGCGGCGCTGGATGTACTCGGTCAGATCAAAGATCTCGTTGTTGACGATTGACCAGTAGCGGCGCTGGCCGTTCGGCAGGCCAATGCCCTTGCCCTCCATCTCAACGCGCTGCGGCTCGGTCGCGATCTTGCCCCGGTAGTAGTTCTCGCGCATGATGCGCATGAAGCGGTACTGGTAGTAGTTGTATCCGCCCTCGACCATGTCGGGGTGGCGCCAGAACCGGTGGTCGTGCAGCCACGTGTCGGTGTACGGCTCGGGCTTGGGCGACAGCGCCAGGCGTGGATCCAGGTCCGGGAACGGACACACAAACGAGAGCTGCAGAGGGAACTTGTCGCTCATGTCGCTGCCGGGGTAGTTGTTGTCGACCAGGTACTTGGAATTGACGCCCATGTGGTTGAATCCCTGGATGTCAAACACTTCGCCGCGGATGGCGATCAGCGCGTCGTCGGCAGTGTTGTGGCCACGCATCTCCTCGATGGTGTAGACATTCTGCTTGGGGCAGATAAGCATGCCGAGCACGGCAATCCAGAAGATGATGATGCAGCAGCAGAAGAAGATCATGATGCACAGCGCTACCTTCTCGCGCCATGCGATGCGCTGGTCCTGGCGCCGCAGCTTGCCGCACCACGACAGACATGGGCTGGGCATCCACCACGTCAGCAGCCACACGATGGTCAGCCAATTGCGGCGGGCCGGCGTCACCTTGTCCTTGTCGTCGTCTTCCTCGATCTCAGCGCTCTTGCGCGCCCCCTTCACCATCTTGTCCTTTTCGTCCGCTGACCGACACCTCGTTGATGGTCTGGTCATCCTCGCCCTGGATATTCTCGTCGACCTCTATGCCCATGCTCATGGCCTGCTGGTGCTCCTGCAGTGCCTGGCTGTATTCGAGCAGACTGGCGATATCGGCCTCCTCGCCGGCATTGCTGTCGGGGAACAGCTCGATCTCGTCGTCCTCGTAGATCGACTGCAGGTCCTCGGCCTGGATTGACATTGCGTTCTCCTCCTTGATGCCACACACCAGCAGGCGCTCGCGCTCGCGCAGCGGGTCCTCGAGCGTGCGCCAGGTCGTGAAGCTCAGGAACGCCTTGGTCTTTCCTATCGCCATATCGTTGTCGTCCCACCCCATCGCCCGCCTCAGCGCCTCGCAGCGCTCGACGGCGCTCGACTTCTCCTTGGTGCGCACGTACTTTTTGAATGCAATGCTGTAACGCGTGATCAAGTCGCTGTGCAGCAGCGAGGCAGTGAACTCGGCGTTCTTGTGGTGTGCGATTTCCGCCAGGCCGTAGGCAGTGATCTGCCGCTGGACATGCTCCTTGTCCCACAGCCGCGCCTCCTGGTGGTCGTTCGGGTTGATGCATAGGATGAACCACGGCAGCGTCTCATCGAGCGACGAGATCAGCTGGGTCAGTGCGCGCTGGTACTGGGACACGATGCACGTGATCTTGCGCTTCTTCTGCGGCCGCGGGTGGCTCGTATACGGGCTGCGCAGCGGCATCATGACCTGCTGCGCGTCAATGATCGCGCTCTCCAGACGCGGGTGGCCCTCGGTGACAATCACGCGGTCGTCGAAGATGCGTGCAATGAACGGGTTGGCGGTGGCCGGCAGATCAGACGCCTGCATCCCGCGGAACAGCGTGTAGAAGTCGACGCCCAGGTAGTCGATGTTGTTGTCGGCAAAGCTGTCGATTGCGTAGCTGACCTTGCGCGCAAAGTGCCGGATGCCAAACTCGCCGTGGCGCTTGGACATGGCATACCACGAGACACCGGCCTTCTTCTCGTCGCCATCGCCATGCGTCTCGTTGAACTGCTCGATCAGCTTGGCGTCGCCCTCGGGCCCAGTCCGGGCCACGCGGTCCTTGTCCTTCTTGCTGGCCTTGGTGGACCTGTCCATGATGAACAGCAGGCCAGACCCAGACTTCATGAACAGATCCAGACACCCCGTGTTGTCGTTGTAGTCGGCCGAGTTCAGGATATGGTCGACGCCCTCCGACATGTACTCCTCGCTGCCAACATCAAATATGTGGTGGTTCATAAAGTGCTGGATGCGCTCGCTGGCGTAGTTGTAGATGAACTGCTCAAAGTAGTTGCGCTTGGTGCTCTGGAACCCGGGCAGATCCAGCAGGCCAATGTGGCTGCTGTACACGTTGGCGCTGCACTCGAGCGTGCTGTTCACCTTCTCAACAAGCCAGGTGAACAGCAGGGCATACAGATGCCGCGCCAGCGAGTCGCCGCGCACACGCGACCCGGCAGCATCCAGGTAGACCGTGCAGAGCTCGCGGCCGATCATACGCGTATGGTAGGTGATCGCTTGCTGCAAACTCCCAGGGTCCACGCCCAGCAGCAGCGCAACGTGGTCGAGCAGATCACCGTTCTTGACGTACGCGGCCTCAGCCGCCGTCGTGTCCTTCTGGTCCTCAAGCTGGATGTTGCCGATTTCCAGCACGGCCGCCAACGTGCGGAAGATGAACTCCTGGTACTTGTCGCGCAGCCCCAGCGACTGCATCGCCATGCGCAGATCCTGGAACTGCGCGGCGTCGTCGATGCCCGGCAGCCTTTGGATTGTGCCGGGCCGGCACAGGTACTCGTAGTTGGTCTGCGTCAAGCCGAACGTTGTGCGTTCCTCGGGCTGTGCGCCATTCACCAAGTAGTGGAGTACATGGTAGTTGCGCTCGTTGTCGGGGACATGTGTCACACGCGTGCGCTCAAGCATGTAGTCGCAGCACTTGGCGCCGGCCACACGGCCCAGCTCGTCGAACTGCAGCTCCGTGTAGATGCCGACGCGGGAGGCATTGGCGTGGAACGTCGTCTTTGCGTTGCCAAAGGCCTCGAAGATGATTTCAGCCTCGACAATCTTGTCAAACAGCTGCGTGTCGCGCCGCGCATGCGGGCGCAGGAACGACAGCATGCGGACAGCCAGGCGCTTGGCTTCGGACTTTCCTGTACCAGTCTCACCACTACAATGCACATCTATGTTAGCACGCTATCTGCATCATCCTGTGCGACAGGGAGCCAAAAATAGAGACGCCTACATCAGGAACGCTCCCCTCGTGTCCGCACTATGTCCAACCAATGCCCGACCCCACCTCCTGCTTAAATACTTACGCAAACACAAGCGACTGGTTCAGCCCTGTCTGGCGCATATGCAAATAGGCATTGGCTGCAACCCCAAACACATGCGGCGGTGTGCCCTTGCGCTTCCCTGACGTGTTACGATAGTCCTCCGCGTACATCGCTGCAGCCGAGTCATTCTGGGACTCCAGTGCCTCATACGGGTTAATGGAGATCAAAAAGCGACTGCCCAGGTACGTGAACGTCTGCGGCTCTGGCTTGGTCACAAACCTGGCCTCGAGCCGCGCTGCTAGACTCTCGGTGGTAAATGCCACGCCATCATTGTGGCGGGCGAGGTCATCGCTGGACTGCGTATTCATTGGCATCCACAAGCTCAGCGATAGACCAGGTGGATATTATAATGATATGCAGGCAATAAATTTAAATGTTATGCAGACGTAAAGTAATGTATATATGCAAGGCTAGTGTCACTGCGAGAGGGGGGAGGAGGGAATTGTGGCCGTTTCTTTGTAGGCTCAGTGGCCTCGTACGGGCTGGAGAAATGCCAGGCATATATGATATCCCCAGTTTGCAATTGAGCAAGATAGCCGCCGCCAATGTTCCCTTTTGTCTCAGACGCTCAAGCAGAGAGCTGGATCACCGAACACATGGAGAAAGTTACCTGTGGCACCGCCACGATGGCTACCCACATGCACACATGTCTCGCGTACATCATTGTTGCGCTTCAGCGCTTCGAGCAATACCACAAATACGCTGGGTCTGCGAAATATATTAGTGTCGATTAGAAAAGGGAGACATAGTTCGTGGGTTTGAGACCATGTTTTCATTATGAAACGACGCCTGCTGCCGCCACTGGAGAAATAGCGACAGCTAGCCGTCAAGGGTGCTCATATCTCCTTCCCCAGTCGCACCCATGCTACTGGTCTCCACGGTGCTGCCACTCATCCCCTCGTAGCAGTCGAGAGGGGTGGGAGGCGATTTGCGGAGACATAGTCGACAGAGGCGTTGATACCACCAGCGGCGCTGCGCAGGGATGGACACAGCGCATGGGCAGCACATGGCGAGTGTGGAGGTTGGCCCCTCTCTCCTTCACAGCACGCATATGCATGGGTGTGAACGGGCCACTTTCCCTGAGCCATTGCTAGCAATGTGCAGTGCGCGAATGATTTCCACCGAATGCACGAATATTGCAAATGCAGTCGGAAGCAAGTATCATTTTCTAGTAGTTGCATAACGCCGAACCGCAGCTGCATCTTCCTGGTGTGGAAGGGAAGGAACTAGTGTATGAGTATTGTAGAAACAAAGGAGCAAACAGGAAAAGCTATTTATGTTGAAAGAGAGGTTGAAGACACCACGATACTGAGTGGTGGAAGTGATACATGGCAGCCGTGGGCGGCTGCAGAGCAGAACGTAGGTGTGCGAGCTGCTGCCGTGACAATGCAGTACAAATGATAGTGGCAGGGGCCAATCCACTTTCTGTCCAACAGCGCATGATGCCTACGCAGCAAGGGCGGTTGGCGCCCGTGCAGCAACCATATGGCGGCGCATAGTGACAGGCTCCTCGATGCCAGCCGACGAAATCGACGACGACGAGGTCAGCGACACACAGGTCTTCTCGGCACTAGGCGACATATCGCTGCTGCCCAGAATGCGGCTGTCTGCGGGGCTCCCCGGAACAACAGTCCCCTCAGACTTGTTGCTCGACGAGATCGCCGGCGAAGAAGCAGTCCGCGATACGTTCGTCGAAACATCGGTTGTCTCAGAGTTGCTCCGGATACTCCGCATTGACCCAGATGTATTTGCCGACGCCGGAATTGCCGGGACCGGCGGATACATGCTGTTAGCCCGCGATGCGTTGCGCGATGCCAGTGCCTGGGAGAGCAAGTCGAGCTCCATCTCGACGGCCGTGTCCGCGGCCAGTGCTGCCATTTCAATCACCGACATGCGGGGCTTCTGCCGGAGCTTGCCGTCCATGCTGTGCGGCCGCGTGCCGTCCGAGTTCTCTCCCCACGACACGCGCCGCCCGGTCTGCAGCGCCTGTGCCTGCGATTTGGTGCGCTTGTGCTTACTCTCGTGCGCCTCGGCCGACGTGTCCGAGCCCTGTGTCGATTTTGTGGTGCTCCTGCGTGTAAGGGTGCGCGACAGACGCCTGCTCTCAGACTGCGCCCCAGGAGCGCTGGTTCGCCGGTGCCGCGATAGGTTCATCTGCGCTGTCCCACGTGCAATGTCGCGATTGCCGTCGAGAATGAGGCTGGGGCTGGCAAAGAGCTGGCCAAACGAATACTACAGAGCAGTGGCGCGCATGCCAAAGCGCAATGGGAAATTAGCGTGCGTGGGTGGGGGTGGCAATCCAATTGCCGGCAATAAAAAAAACCATACCGCATGCTATCAAAAATAGTAGCAGAATGCGCTCGGATCGATACTGGCCCAATGCTGGCCGACGCGGTATTTTTGTCAGCAGGAGGATCACTCTGCATTGGACCACACAGCCCACAGCCCAGCACTTCAGGTGCTGCTGCCCCGACCCTGTCGCAGGATGAGCGCGGTTGGGGAGCAGCGAGGGAGAAGGATCCATGCTCTTTTTGAGCACCCAGGCCAGACACAGCGACGACAGGTCAGCGCCCACAAAGGAAAAGGGAGATGGAACCTCCTATTTTTAAAAATAGGACTGCTGCCAAGGGCAAATGACCCGGAGTATGCGCCAGTACGTTCGCAAATGAGCCAGCTCTGCAAAACAAATATGCCCGCTGCTTTTAGGCAGAGCAGGTTCTATTGGGGGCGGGAACGAAACAGGGAGAGCAGCCAGAAATCAACAACATCAAGACCTGAAACCAGATCCCGCCAGCAGAAAACAAAAACATACCTTCATCTTCCCGCCGAATCGCCGCATCCAACCGCGGATCACGCTCGGGCGGACAACCCGCTGCGAGTTGTTCTTATACGAGTACTCCTGGTAGTCCTGGTCTATGGTGATAATCGACAGCCGGCAGGACGAGCTGTTGAGCGTGTTGAGGCTGTGCGGGCGCTGGCGCATGTGTAAACCCTCCATCATCTGGTGCGGGTGCGGCAGCATTGTGTCCTCGTCGCTGGATCGGTCGATAAGATGCATCAGCGTCGGCTCGTTCAGGTTGCGCAGCATCGGTGTTGATGCGCTGGTAACCAGCACCGGCGACAGCGATGCAGCGGACATTGGGGGGCCTGCCGCTGGATCTGCTCGCTGGTGCTGGCATCGACACCAGTGCTGGGAGGTACCTGCGACGACAAATAACCCTCCGAATAGACAGCGCCTTCGTCCGGCTGTTTCACATCCTTTGCCGCCCCGACCTGGCTGTTGAGTGTCTCAACACTCCGTACATCGACAACCTTGCGCAGCGTCGATGGGACCCGCGGCGCAGTCTTTAGCAGCGTTGATTTGCGGCCCATCAAGGGCGATACCGCAGCTACCACCGGCTGCTGCTGCTGCTCGGCAATGGGTACTGCGGGAATCAATGGACCCTGCTCGGTGGGTTTGAGGCTTGCTGCGGCAGTAGCGGTCTCACCAGGGATAATTAGTAACGGCGCTTCGGGAGGTGGGCTGCACCGAGGGGCTTGGGCATTGTGCACAGGCGACTCCATTGGCGGCAGCTCTTTGACCTCGAGCTCGGGTGTCGAATACGGCGTCTCCGAATCCATGTAACGCGGCGTGTACGTGTATGTGTATGTGTATGTGAATGTGAATGTGAATGTATATGATAGTATATGGAAATACTGTGTGAGGGGAAGGAGCCAGGCTGAAGGAGGCAGAGTGATCGCTCACGATTCAAGGACTAGAATATAGTATTCCAGAATACAGGAGGGGCTTTGGATCAGGTCGCAGCAGCAAACAGCACTAGTTGGCAAAGAGTATGGCTACAAAAAAGAAGGCGCTGGGGAGCTGAGAGAGAAGAAAAGGGCTGCAGGAATGCGAAGGCGCTTTTGGTGAAGCAGGACTTTGCGAGAGAGAAAGAGAGGGTGCTGCCAGAAAAAGCCGTAGTGCACGCTAGCAGAGAGGACGAGCGGAGATACCCGAAAAATAGAAGCTTGCTAGTGATCCTCCTGGAATGCAAAATTCTTTGGGGACAAGGGACGCTAAGAACAGACACATTCCTAGCGTGAGTGTGGTCGTATTTTTCGGCTCTCTAGTACTCACCCCCTCGTTCCTGCGCGGCACAACAAGCCGTGCGTGGCCAGCATCACGCCGTGCATGTGGAGGAGAAGAAGAGGACTGGGCGGCGATCAGAGGTGTTTGAAAGAGACTGACATGGCGAAATTTATGCACAACGTCATAATTATAGCCTGCACGCATGTGGGTAGTCGCAAAGGGGCATCGACGCTATCGATGGCGGCCACGCTCTGGAGCTGCCTTTTTGTTCGCACGCATTGTATCTCTCTGCAGCTGGAGGGGGGATCTAGCCAGTGCTTACACATCATCTCCCCTCAATGCTGACTCTACCTGCAGTACTGCCTTTTTCCTGCACCGCGAGTGAGAGAGATACGCTGCGCCTGTGCTATTTATGTTACTACCGACTGAGTTGGCATGGTTACACGTGCTCCAAAGTGCTCTGACTTTGGCCCAGAATAGCCACCGCGGCTTGGGTTTGCCAAACCCAACCGCGTGTTTCACAAATGCCCGGGCTGCAAGCACCGCCCGCACGCACTCCAGCGTGCCCTCGCCCACTCTCAGTCGCTCATCTAGCTGCGGCGGATGTGCTCCACGGCTCAAGAAGGGCCTAAGCTGGTCTACAGCCCATCAGAGGAGCGCTCGTGCTGCGAGCTCCACGATTTGCCGCTCGATAATCGAGTGAATGGGGCTGCCAGTCTGCACGCGATTTAATACCGCTTCTGGCCCTTTCTTGCCATTTTACACACTAGCGCTCTTTCGAATGATTGGAATTCCACAGTACATTGAGCGGTTCCAGGAAAAGAACAACGCCAAAGACTGCACAGGCAAGCATGTCGTGATCATAGGCGGGACACGCGGACTAGGCGCCGCTACAGCAGAAAAGTTCGCCAAGCTGGGCGCGTCCGTGACCTTTGTCGGACGGTCGCAGAAGGCCGGCGATATTGTGCTCCGCAACTGCCGTGCAAACTCGCCGCTAGCAGCCAAGGCAACATTCAGCCATGTGCTCGGAAACCTGAGCCTACTGAGCGAGGCTGCGCAGGTTGCCGATCAGCTCGATACAGCCATTGCTCAGACGCACCGAGGAATCGATGCCCTGGTGCTGACTGCGGGGTGCTACGGCAGCTCGTCGACGTATTCGATTCTGGGCGGCACAGTGAAGACACAGGAACAGCTGGACCAGTGGTTCTCGCTGCTGTTCTTGTCGCGATTCTTGGTGATCCAGCGGCTCATGCCGTGGCTAAAGCAGCGGCCCGGAAGCCGGGTGATCAATATTCTGCGCGCTGGTAGCCGAGGCAGCCTGGATATCGACAACCTGAGCATGGACGGTAAGAGCAACCTCGAGACCATCTCGTCGATGGGGCTGTACCTCGACGCCACGACTCTGTCGCTGGCCGAGCGCCACCACGAGCAGGCGTTCTACCATATCACGGCTGGCCCCATGGTGCCGCACCCTGTAGTCGAGGATACTGAGCACTTTCCACTGCTGGCGTGGGTCGAGCGCACATTGCGGCCGTGGCTGTACTCGCAGTCGGTCTCGGCCTACGATGCTGCGGAGGCAGTTGTGTACGTGGCAATCCAGCCTGAGTTCGGGCCAGCACACTCGGGCACCCTGATGAGCGAGCGGCTGGAGAACCTGCCGCTGACTGAATTCATGCGGTCGCCCGACACACACGACCGGATCTGGCGGTACGCACTTAACGAGATCAGTTTCAAGCTGCCAAACGAGGTGGCCAAGTTCCAGTATGCGTCACTGGACGGCGACGACCTGACAAACGAGATCCAGATTACACACGAGATGTATTCGCAGTAGCATGTCTCACTCCTGCAGAGGATTCTGGCGAGAGGGCGCGCCTCCGCTTGGCTTCTCTCTCTTCCCCATTGCTGCGCTCAGAGGCGTCGATGGCAGCCAGCCTTACTTCTCTTTTCGCTTGCACATTCAGCAGTCAGATGAGGTGGCTAATATAGCCAGAACGTTGATTGTTGTGGTGTTGTGCTTGGAGGGAGTGGGGAGGATCCTGCTGTCGCCGCTCGAATTCGCAAAGGTATTAATGGCGGCCAGCCACGCTGCTCAGATGGAGCATAGATGGTGGGAGAGGCACCTTGCCTTCTCTGCTGTACACTACTTTCGTCTGATATTCCAGCTACCCCTCTATCAATCCGCCCGATATAGCTTCTAGTATCTGCAGGCGATAATTCTGCAGTCAACTATAGTAATATAGAGAATCACAAGACCCAGTCAGAAAGGATGACCGCAGCCAGAATAGAGGAAGCGAGCATCGACCTTGCATACCGGCCATCCGTCGCCGGGTGGCCACAGTACAGCTCCTCTAACCCACGAGAAGCCTGAAACCTCCGAGGCTAACCCCGCGGACGGCGACAGGCCGGCCTGGGACACTGTCGAGTTTGTCGCCCAAGCCGATCTGCGCGCACAGGAAGCCACTGACAAGCCGCCCAACGGCGTGTACGCCTGGCTTGTAGTAATGTCGTGTTTCTTCTCACTCATGCTCTCCATCGGCATCAACGACGCATACGGCGTCTTCCAGCAGCACTACCAGCTCAATGAGTTCCCGGACGTCTCGACATCGCTCATTTCGTGGATTGGCACTGTGCAGTTCCTAGTGATGACGCTTGGCGGCGTGTTCTCCGGATTCCTGTGCGAGCACTTTGACACACGCTTGCTCAATTCGGTCGGCGCGCTTATCATGGGGGTTGCGTTCATCGGGGGCTCGTACTGCACGACCGTGCCGGGGCTCATGATGACCCAGGGGTTCCTGTACGGGCTGGGCGCGGCATTTCCGTTTGTGGCGGCAACTGCAACGCCTGCGCAGTGGTTTACAAAGCACCAGGGCCTGGCCACGGGCATTGCACTATCCGGAAGCGGGGTTGGCGGAATGTGGATGACATCGGCCACGCAGGCCGATGATCGAGAGTCTGGGCAGACCGTGGGCTATGCGGGTGACCGGGATTATATCGATGTGCGTAGTACTGGCAGTTAGCCCCTGGATGCGCGTGCGCCTGGTGCCGCACAAGAGTGAGCAGATCATCGACTGGTCGTTGCTGAAAGACGCCCGCTTCAACATGTTTTTGTGCGCTCTTGTGTTTGCCATTGCAACGTACTTTGGCCCGTTCTTCCAGGTCCCATCGTACAGCGTCGTGGTCCTGCATCCAGTCGCAGAACTGGGGGTCAAACATGGATACGCTGATGAACGGGCTCAGTGTCGTCGGCCGGCTGGCTGTCGGGTTCTTGGCCGATATCACAGGCCCACTGAACCTGATGATTTTGAATACTGTGCTGGCTAGCGTTGCGCTGCTGGTGTTCTGGCTGCCGTTCGAGTCTGTTGCCATGCTATACGTCACCGACCTGTTATTTGGTTTCGCCATTGGCGGCATTGTCAGCGTGATTCCAGTGGTCGCTGCTCAGGTTTTCGGATTGGCACGTCTGCCATCCATCATGGGGCTGCTGTTCATCGGCTACTTCATCGGCGGGCTGCTGGGGGTGCCGCCTATGAGCGCTTTGCTGGACAACGTCGGCCACCGCACAAACTACACAAGCTCGATCTGGTACATGGGTGCGTTGCCCGTCTGCTCACTGGTATTCCTACTGCTAATGCGCGTGCTGATAACCCGCAAGCTCAGGGTGAAGGTATAGAGTCATCCTGTAAGCATATCAATACCATGGTACATTTACCATCACCTCAGAAATATGTAATTTTTATCTATTTGGTGCAAATAAAGGAAAAACCGACTTTTTGTAACATTCACAGAAGCGCAACAGCTCTCGTGAATCTGGTAACGGAAATGGGGGTTACAGAAGAAAACCAGAAGCGTATAAAGGGCGGAGAGGAGGTGGCAAAAAGACTGCTGCACATAGCAGCATCCGCGCCAGCTCCTTCCACGTCCATCAATCCAAGAAAAAGAATACGACTATGTAGCGTCCTACCACGACTTGAGCGCATCCTTGCACAGCTCGTACGACCAGAAGCTAACGCCAATAGCAGGCGCAACCTTCAGGTAGTTGGGCACCAGGCCACGGTAGAAGCCCAGCACGCCCTCAGACTTGATCATCTGCTTGACGGCATCCCAGGTGCTGGAGTACCGGTAGTTGATGCCCGACATAGATGTGACCTGCATGCGGCGACGCAGCACATCGAACGGATACGTGATAGTCTGCGCACAGCAGCCAGCCAGAGCACCACAGACCAGCTTGCGCAGACCCGACGGCGCGCTCTCGCCCTCAGGCGTGAAGAACTTGCGCAGCACCTCGTAGCACTGGAAGTTCAGCGCAATGTACGGAGCAACACCGGCCAAGGTCGCACCGAATCCACGGTACGTTGCACGCAGACCGCCCTCCTTGGTGTAGATCTCGACAAAGGTCTTCCAGATGCCGGGCATCTTGGGGATCACTGGCCGGCCGCGCGCGTCCTTGGGCAGCTTGTCGATGTTGGCCAGAGCCTGGGCCGTCTGCACGCTGATCCGCGTGCGCACAATGTCCAGCGGGTAGGTCGCCGCCACCGAGGCAATGCCAGCACCGGCGCCCGCAGTCAGTCGCCGCGGCGTATCGAGCTCCGTCTTGCCCTCCTCCATCAGCATCTTCTTGAGCTGCTCATATGTCGCAAACTGCACTGCACTATACGGCACTATCCGCACCACGTTCGTGCCGTTTCCGCGCATGTACCCAGCCAAGCCCTCGTCGCGCCACATCTTCGCCAGCGTGCCCACCACGCCCTTGTAGTTGGTTCCTGATCCCTTGCTTTGCACCTAAGAATTGCACAATGGGTAGCCGGTATGGCGTGGAGTATTAGCTGTATGTAAAAAAATGGCCGCACATGATGCATGTGGTGACAAGCCATGGGAAACAACAGCCGCTGCAACTCCTGATCGGAGGATGCAAGCGATTGGGAGGACGGCATTCACATCCAAACAGGCACCATCCGTGGGCTGCGGTCCTTGCCAGTACACGGAGGGCGGCCGATCATAATCGCGGATCCATACTGGTATCCCCCACACCTGGGCATTTCGGAAACCGCAGGACACAGCAATATCTGTCTATCACCCAGCAACCTCCTTTGGCCAGCCATATCCCAAGAAAGCATGGAGAGGCTGGGCAAAATGCAGCGGTGCAGTAGCCAAGGGAGCCAGCCCTCCCCAGCCCCCAGACCAGACGAGTCATAAACACCTTTGACGTACCTGGAAGAGAATCTTCATGCGCTCCAGCGGGCTGACGACGGTGCGCGACACTGCGCCTGAAATACCGCCAGCAATCAGATGCTTGAGCCAGGTGATATCCTGGTTGCCGAACCAGTACCTCGAGCTCCACTTGGGCACCGACTGAACTTCAGAATTTACCAACACGGTGGATTCGCCGGCCATTATGAGGTTGAAAGAACGAGAAGAAAAAGGAGGGTGCACCGACAGGGCGTGTGGGAATAAATTGGGGGTTGCAAAGAGGCCGAGGTAGGAATTCTGCAGAAGAGAAAGAGAGACTTTTAAACTGTCCAGTGCCAGAACGGCTGATTGAGATAAACGATTCAGCACAAGCCCTGTTTCGTTTAAAGCTGTGGTTGCCCAAACAGCGATCTGCGGGAAGATTCGCCTTCCCCACCCGCCCAGCCAGAAAACCCAGTCACACCCGACATAAAAAATTTTCATTTGTGGCTCGGGAGAGCGCCGATAAAGGAAGCCTGCTTCTCGGATCCTACTGAGAGGCATATGAAAACCATCGCGATGTTTCACACAGGCGCGGCGCATACCGACGCCGGAGGACTTGGCAGGTCCTCCCGCCCTCAGTTGCTACTGCCTGATCGGAGCAGCTGCGCCCGAGCACACCAGGAACAAGGTCGGCGATGTTTGCCATTGAGATGTAATCCGTTAGTCGATTACCGGACCCAACAGATCAAGGCTGGCAAAAAAGTGCCTGAGCCAGAGCCTGCAACAATTTTTCGTCTTTTGCCACCTCCACAACCTCCCCCCTTCTATACGACGACACAGCAATCCAGAATGGCACCCAAGGAAGAGCACAGGCGGAAGCGGGTCAAGGTCGACCAGAAGAAGGCGAAGAAGACCGCAACAGAGCCCAAGACAGCTGACATCGACATCCCCGCGCTCGGCGAGACAGCACCCGCCAAGGACACGTTCCTGATCACAGCTGGCACATACGAGCGGATCCTGTACGGCATCGAGGCGCGGTTCGTTGGCAAGCTGCTGACGCTCTCCCCGCGGTTTATCTTCCCGGCGCACATTGGCTGCATCAAGGCAGTCTCGGCTGGCGGCCGCTTCCTGGCGTCCGGCAGTACCGACGAAATCGTCAAGCTCTACGACCTGAAGAAGCGCGTGGAGCTTGGCTCATTGCACGAACACAAGGGATCCATCACCTCGCTGCAGTTCCATGGCCACACGCACCTGCTGACGGCCAGCGACGACGGCGCCATTTGCATTTTCCGCTCAAAGGACTGGGAGCCGCTCAAGGTGCTAAAGGCGCACAAGGCTGCCGTCACCGATATCGCGATCCACCCGTCTGGCAAGCTAGCACTCTCGGTGTCGCTGGATAGATCGATGATCCTGTGGAACCTGCTGACGGGACAGAAAGCTAGCCGCACGCGCACGCCCCAGGCGGGAGAGCTGGTCGAATGGTCCAAGTCTGGCGCCATGTATGCCATTGCGTATGCGACCGAGATCCAAATCTACCGTGTTGGCCAGCCCGACGCCGTGGCCATGGTGACGTCGCGCCAGCGTATCACTTCGATCCTGTTTGTCCGAGTTTAACGGCAACGATTTCCTGCTGGTCGGATCGCAGGATAAGCGCATGCACATCTACTCGACCGCTGGAGACGAGCTGGCAACAGCGCAGCTGCACGACAACCGCATCAAGGGTCTGAGCGCTGTTGAGGTGACGTTCCCCGACGAATCTGTGCACACGGTCATTACGTCAGTGTCGTCAGATGGGTACATCAAGGCGTGGAAGCTCGATGATCTAGTCGGTGTGCTCGACCCGAAGAGCAAGCCTGATCCCAAAAAGGTGCCTGAGCTTACGGCCGAGCCCCTGGCCAAGTACAACGCCGACGTGCGACTCACCTGCGTTGCTGCGTCTAACGATATTTACTGAGTGCTGTAATCGAGTAAACAAATTTGTCGGATACATGTTTGAAGTGACAACCAAAAAATGTAAAAAGAAAGCGACTTGCAAATGCTGCCCTATTGAAAAGCAGCGGGGGGCAGCTGGGCGCGCGCTTGCTCAAATGTTGCCAGCGCCTGCTGGTAGTTCCAGCCGCTCTCGGTCAGGCACTTGACAGTCCACTCCGCGTTCATCTTGGTCTGCGTCTGCAGCGCCTGTGCCATAGCCAGCTGCTCGCCTGCCAGGCCACCGAACTGGTCCACACCTCCACCAGCAGCCGGAGCCGCTGCTGCCGCTGAAGTGGCCTGGTCAGCGCCAGACTGCCAGTTCTCGAATCCGTTGTAGCGCCGCACTGTGAGCTGATCGTGCAGAATCGCACACGGCCACCCAGCCATCGCAGCTGGCGACCCCGGAACCGCCGGAATCAGTACAAACACGCGGTCAAATGAAAGTGTGTTCGTCGCCGCCGGCTCATCAAACTCGCCGTGCAAGTTGACAATGATCGCTGCCTGCGATCCAGTAGAGCTCGGGACCTCGGTCTGCCATGCCTCAAAGCTGAACTTTTGCGCGTCCTGCATCGGGTGCCGCGTGGCTGGCAGCTTCAGCAGTGTCTGCCACGATTGCCTGGTTGCCGCCAATTAGCGAGTTGATTCGCTTGCTCGCACCTTTGACCCGCTCCATGTTCCGGCTAATGCTCAGGTACGACGACAGCTCCACACGCTTCTGGCTGCGCGGGTCGTTCTGTGCTGAAACGCTGGACGGGTGCGTCGTGTCGACCATCAATGAGAATTGCGCGTTGGCGTCGTAGATGTTGCCAAGGTCCGCGCGGCTGCCATCATACAGCCCAATGAAGCCGGCAATGAAGCCGTTCGCTAGCTGCTCGATCTCGCTGTTTTCCACAAACGACGGCTTTGTAGGGAATGGCAGCTGTTTGTTCTTGGCTACAGCATTGCTGCCACCGTTTCTGGAAGCCGATCCAGGCTGGGCCACAGGCGTCACCGCGTTCATATCCAGCATGCTGACCGTCGGGAACCGCTCGTGGACCTGGTTAATGTACGTTGATCCGTCGGGTACCCGCGACAGCTCCTGTTCACGCATCGGATTTCCGTCCAGGATGAGCTCCACGAGCTCCTGCAGTGGATCTGTCGAGCCCTTGGTTGACAGGCAGTCCAGCTCGCGGAAGTTAGATAGCGCATTGTTGGCCAACGACAGGTTCCGCAGCTTCGGGAACTTGAATCCGAGATCCGCCACTGGCTTGAGTGAGTGTAGCCCGTTGCTGGCCAGGTTCATTGTGATGATGTTTGGGAACATCTGCGAAGCAACGGTTAAGATCGCCACATATATCTTGCCCGAGTGCAGCGGATCGGCACCCATCGATATAATAATCGGGTCGGACGCCAGATTCGACAGATCCAGTGCCACACCCTGCCTGTCAACGCGTGTCTGCAGCAGCGCAACAAGCTTGTCCTTGATGTCCGAGCTGCTGCCGCCGGCCGATGCACCTCCTGCACTCCATTGTTCCGAATTTGACCGGGTTCTTTGGTATCTGCAGCGTCAGCTTGTTGCCTGCAAACCGGATCCCGCTCAACTTCAGCAGGCTCTGTGCAATAGCCTGGTTCGGCACTGTAATGTACATGATGTCGTTCTGGATGTGTGAGTCCATGATCTGCGCCGGAGTCGACAGCTTGCGGTCCAGAAACTTGTACAGCGAGTCCTGTGTGCCGCCCTGCCAGCCCTTCATTGACACCTGCACAGGTCCATCGGGCTGCCCACCAAAGTTGCCGCCATGCGACCCGAAGGCTGGGTTTCCATTGCCACCTCCGTTATTCATCGTGAACATGCCAGGGTTGTTGTTGCTGAACCCGCCATGGCCATTATTGAACCCGCCGCGACCACCACCACCGCGACCGCGTCCGCCTCGACCACGAATTGAAAAATTGCTCATTTAAACCGCAGCAAACCACTGAAACAGGCAAGGTGAAATGTATGTGTCTGTGAAATCAAGAGAATAGACCCGCTCCCCCAGCGTTGACACAAATCGCACTGAAAGAAGAGGACTGAAAATGAAGACTAGCGGGAGAAAAAGCGAGGTGTCAGAATTTCGCAGTGCAACACATTCTGTAGCGCCAATTCGCCTCGCACAGGCGTTGAACAGGGCTGATCGGCTGATTCTGGGATCCAGATCTGCTGCTAAGCCTGACACGCACATTGTGCATTTGGTATTGGTATGTTGTCACCAGCCCAATCTGCACTGGTGCTGATGCTGGGGCTGCTTGGGACATGGGGGTATTATTGTCTTGGAAGCAAGAAAGTAAATGTTTCTAACAGATAATTATTAGTTGGACGCAAGTTTGAAAGTAAGTAACAGATGCAGGTGCTAGAGTAGGAGATTGTGTGGGTGAATAATGTCGCAAAAAAAGAGAGCGTGGGGCGGTGGAAGGAAAATGAAGAAAAAACGCAAGGCAGCCTAAATGTTTCACTTGGTATCGCATTCCACATCCTTCTCGAAAACCGCCTTCTTCTTGGTCTTCCAGAAGGTGACGCCTGACGGGAGGTCGCCAGACAAGATGAGATCCGGTGGGTGGCTGGGATCCTTCAAGAAATAGACGGTCCCGCGGTACTTGCGCACCGTGATGACGATGCTGGCAAGGTTGACGACGATCAAGAGGGCGCTAACCAGAATGATCCAGTCATTGGTCCACTCGATGCGCGTGCTCTTGGTCGATGCGTACGACGTTGCAATGTACACCATCCAGAGTAGAATGAGCAATGATAGGACAACCTGTAGCGCTATGATCATCCGGAACTTGCGACGCGTCTGGCGCAAGGCGCATCGTGCGCATTACCTCAACGTCCGCTAGCGTGAATGGGTGCGATGGGTAGAGCTTTCCAGGGCTGCTGTCCATGATGTATGTGGTATTAGGTTATATTAATTGTATTTACGAGGCTTGGTGTCTGGCCAATTTCGACATACAGATTCTGTGCTGCCCGGCATTGGATTCATTTATAAACCAAGCTGCTGACTGCTGTTGCACCGTGGTTTTGTCCTTGGCATTTCACCCCCTGTCAACCAGCCGCAGTTCTGCGCCCGAGGATTACTGCTCTGCACAAATCTCTTTGGGAACTGCCAGTGGGGAGGTTTCTCCTGGCACTCGCCAGACTACTGCACCCTCTCAGACACTCCAAAGTCTATATTAACGTCATTTCATATCCCAGTCAAATTAAGCGAGCACCAGTGCGGAGCTATGGAGCGATGATTAATGTATTCTATATTGTGGGTGTGGGACTCCTCCTTTCACATATTGTCCCTTGGTGTGCCGCTGCCAGCTAGAGTGGTTCGGAGAGCTTAAACAGTAGCAGTCTTTATTCGCTTTAATTATCAGGGGTTATAGAGGGAAATCAAGGCGCATTCCGCCCTTTTGCCAGCTCTTTGCGATGCACATCAAGCTAATTTTGGATGCTGCCAACCATTGTCGCGGTGCCCAGCTTTGCTGGCTCGTATGTGCGCTGCCAGGCGGTTAGTGCGTGACTGGCGGCGAGCCTGCTCCTCCCGCGGCCCCCGCACAGGTGGGGTCCCTTTTCATTGCTGATATGACCAGGCAGCGCGCACATCGTGACGACAACTTCTCAACTCTTCTCAACCGCCGTCTCCTTTTCTTCCACTTGCCAGTATACTGCATATACGTTTTCTCTTTTTCGGTGTTTGGAATTTCGCAAAATGACCACGTCAGCCAAAACGACCTCGTGGTGCGGCGGGCCCGCCAACGAGGCACCGCCTAGCAGCACCCCGCAGCACGCTATTTCTCCGACGCTGGCGGATATTCAGGCAGGGTGTCACAGCAGCGACACTCAAAAAATAAGCGACAGTAGCAGCAAGGATAATTTGGGCGTCGCGCAGCATGAAAAGCTCCGAAACCCAGACCCTATCGCCACGCATAATGATGATGCTAGCACCGGTTTTCTCGAGAGCAGGCCTGCAACCCAAGCCTGCCGCCGCCAGTCACCGCAGCCTCCACGGGGCTATCGCGACGCACATCGCGAAGGTCAACCAGGCAGCGCACCCGGTGGCAGCGGCTGTGGATGAGCTTTGACATGCTGCCGCTGTTTTCTAAATTCCGGTTCGCCATCATGGTGTTCTTTGCGATAGCCCAGGTAAGCAGAAACATCCGCCGGACCTGTGCACGTTTTTCATGTATGCGCAAGGTGTCAACGCTAAATTTTCCTATCACTCGGCGCGCCATTTATTGTTTTAGATTCTCACTGGCATCATTATCCTGGCGATTAGCGCGAGCGATAACGAGCGCTGCGACCGCCCGCTGCGCGCGTTCGTGATAGCATATATCTGTCGGATGGCGATATATTATCCACTATATGTCATACACCGGACTGTTTCCAGCCGACGAGCTGTGGGCGTCGGTGGGCGTTGGGGCGTGGATGAACCGGTAAGCTTCCATTCATATGGCCATACATGAGACATTTTTAACAGCATTAATTCGCCGCCCGGCCCGTTCACACCAGGGACTACCGCACGCCCGGTGCGGGCCGAGAATGGAGAGGGGCGATATTGCACGCGTCTCCCTCTTACACTGCAAAACACAGCTTGACCGGGTGAATGGGAGAATCGTTCGCGGAAGCTCAAAGCTGGCCCCTTACATTCCGTCAACCAAGCACTGGACGATCACCCACATATCTCCGTCTATCACTCCCCAATCGGCAGGCCCGCCTGCCGTGGTTGGGCCAGCAACAATTTCGCTGGGCCGACGGATAGCGGCGAATTTTTGCATGCCCATGTTGTTGTTTCTAGACGGTAGATAGAAGCAGCGTCCTAAGGAGTTTGAGCACACCCGTCACGCTCCAGCCGGCATCCCGCTTTAGGATACTCTGTCGGGGACTGGCGCGACCGATGGGCACGCTGGAGCTAATGGAATTTAGCGCCGTCATGCCATTCCGCAGATGGGCTGCGATATTCTCCGACGTCCTGCGTCTGACACCTGCGGCAGCAGCCGCCGTCCCCTCGAGACCAGGCCTGCTTCTAGCCTGGTGGTGGTGATACTGTTGGGTGCCCTGAGTCACAGCGCATCCCCAAACTAAAAGTTTTCCCATCCGCTGTAGGTTGCGCAAATTACTCGACGTTGGTGCGTTGGTTGTGTTTATCCTCGGCAATTACTTTGTCTTCACCAGCTCCAACTGCGCACGGGAGGCGCCGCTGCTCTACCACGTTTCGCTGGTCTATATAATCCTGGGATATCTCCTCCTGGCGACACCGGTTCTCCTGTGTGTTTTACTCATAGTCTCCTTCCCCCTTATTCTCATCCTCATGCGCCACTTTAGATTTGGAATTTATGCTAAGCGCGGTGCCGACTTTGGCGAGATCTCAAAGATCCCCCTTGTCAAGTACACCAGCCCGCTCGCTGAGCCCGCCTTCCCAACAATCTCGGCTTCTTCGCCGCCGTCTTTGCACGGCGTGCAGCTCAACAGCCAGATTGCGGGCAGCGAGATCCACGAGCACTCCTCTCATGGACCCATGCACACACAGTGCCCGCAGGCATCGCACTCTGCGACCTCCCTGCACTCTCTGCCTGCCGAGCAGTCGCACCATAGGCGGTACGGCTTTGGGCGCATCCACCTCATGAGCTCGTTCTCACGCCTTGCCAACCGGTTCTCCAAGAACCGCCGGCAGCGCATCGAGGACATGGATATGTACAAAAAGCAGCTCTCCGGCCCCATCCCGGAGTTCACACCACAGAATGCCAATGACGATATGTGTGCCATCTGCCTTTGCGAGTATGAGAATGGTGATGTGCTCCGTCTGCTGCCCTGCGGTCACCACATGCACCAGTCGTGCGTTGACGAGTGGCTGCACATCAACCGGACCTGTCCGCTGTGCAAGCGGGTGGCGACCCCCGGTGCTGAGAGCGAAGAGGCAGCCGCTACTGCTGAGCACTCGGCTCAGACAGACCCTGAGCCTGCTGCCGGATGCACTGCCTCGCCCGCGCAATCGCCACGCCTTTCGCCCATGGCCAGCTCCACCAATCCCGATTTTACGGCTATCACTGTCGGATAAGTTCTCAGTGACCACCACCCTTTGTGCCTGTTAGTCTCTGGCCTGCTACCACTCTTACCACAATGTTGGCAGGTGGCTTGCCTTGTGTACATAAATATACTTTTATCTTTACCATACTACTAGCTACATGTCAATGTAGCAGGGAATGAAATGGCAAGATTGCCAGCTGCTTTCAGAAACCATTTCATGATACGATGATCTTTGCTGCATCAGCATGCTTGCACTCCAAGCACCTGTGTCCAGAAATTATACCAGTTTTCTTCAGCACTACCATATACTCTCAAAATGATGCCCCTCATAAAACCACATGTGTCGATTCTTCCGCAAACATGACTTCCTGTCTCAGGCGAGTCTGCGCATTTATAGTGCCCTCCCAGCAAGTCTTTAGGTGGGTGATGCACTGTGTAAGCAGCTACACCAGTTGCAAATTAAACCTACCAAGTACTATTTGCTCTCGCATCAAAATCCTCCGGCTCGCGAGTACAGGTAGAGGTGAAGGTCCCATTAGAGACATCGAATCCTAGAACAAGAGAGCTTGGGCCGGACAGTTGAGAGAGCATTATTGAATTTATGAGAAGGTATATGGATGAACGATACTATGAGGATAAGAGGCGAGAGGAAAAACCTCTTGACTCGATACCCTTAAATCGCGGCTACTCAGCAGCCTAGCCTCCCTTCTCCTTCGCCCTCCATGTGGACAATTTATACTCTGGGATCTGCCACATCATCATTCCTCAAACAGCTGCTCCGTGTTTCCTTTGCCTGCTCTAGTCAACAATGCCTTTCGCTTCCCACTTCATTGCCTGAGATTAACCAGCATGGGAATCCTACTTCTGCTCCCTTGATACATCGAGGCGCGCTGGCGCTTTTATAATGCAAACTCTATCTCTGTTGCGTGCATTGCAGGCACGTGTTTTTCAGATGATGAAGGTGACGTTTGGCTGCATGATGGCTGAACTTCGAGGACTTTGACAGCCAGTGCAGAGTCCGTCGAAAAATTTGCTAAGAACCTCAGCATCTTGAGTGTCTTGCTGCAGTTGACATGGGTGGTATTGAATAAATTAAAAGATGATACAGATAGGCGGTAATATATACTACCGAAATGCTATGGATCAAGCCATCTGAACTCCTGAACGTTCCGGATCTTGGACCCAATAGTTTCAACAAGCCTTTGCCGCACAGCACCAGTGAACTGTCGGCTAGTCTGGATTAGCTTCAGCTTTGGATAATGCAGCATAGGGTCGCAAATTTCACCAAGAACTGTGCTATCGCCCCAGGTCACAATATCAAAGAACCTCATTACTCCGCTTAAAACTGGAAATTTATCTCTTTAAGCTTCTTGAGGCTAGGTGGCTCATCGTCGAGCAGTGATCTGCGCATTATATACCCTTCATTCCATCTCGCCATATCCGCTGTATGTGTGACCAGGTGTGCCTCCGGGTTAACCTCCCAGGCGTACTCGCGTGTCCTGAGCCACCTGTGAGACTCGTACATGAGCCAGAGGTGGCACAGACGTCCCTGATTTGCTTTGTGACAATTGGCATTTGATTTCAAAGTCCTTCGCCGGAACTTGCTTTTAGCTCAAAGAGTGAGTTAATCCTTTTTCTCTTCTTGACGCACTCACAAGCCAGGCACCGGTTCTCGAGACCGCCCCTGAACAAGCACAGAGCGAGTGATATATGCCATACTATACAACGTTCTGCCAACACAAGCACACTAGTGTCCAGTTCTATATTATCACTTGCCAATAGCCTCTAGCTGGTCCAAGTGTGGGCAAGGCCACGGAAGCTGCGGAACCAGCTTGTGGCGAACCCGTTCCACCAAACCGCAGCCCTTATTATGAGGGTCCGGCAAAATATTTCTAAACATCTCTCTAGTAAACCTACAAAGAAAAGGAGCTTTTGTGATGGTGCGGATATGTATGGCAGACATGCTCACCACCAGCATAAACAGCCTACATGCGAAGAATCAGTTGATCACAGCGGTAATCGATGATCTTGGAAAAAGTTCACCTCGATCGGCTGTAAAAGCAATAGAGCAAACTTTTTTTTTTCTTCTGAAGAGCTTCCACAGTTTCCCTTTCACTTTCAGCATCAATTCCAAAAAGCACAATAAAATGGTGAAGACATATCTTCGGTACGAGGCGCGGCGGCCATTCGGCGTCATCAGCAGCCCGAGCGGGAACGCGGTGTTTGATAGTACAGGCAAGCTGTCGGTGACATCGGCGCTGGAGGATGTGATTGTGTGGGACGTGAAGAAGGGCACGCAGGTGGCCCGGTGGACAGACAGCGACAACCGGGCGGAGGTGACATGCATTGCCCGCAGCCCCAACGGCACGGACTACGCGGTAGGGTACAGCGACGGGTCGATCCGGCTGTTTGACCTAGAGAGCAATGCGGTGCGGGTGGTGCTGAACGGGCACCGCGGGCAAGTGTCGGCGCTGGAGTTTGACCCGACGGGTACGGTTCTTGCATCCGGGGCGCGCGACACGGATCTGATTGTCTGGGACGTGGTAGGGGAGGTGGGACTGTACCGGCTGCGCGGGCACACGGACCAGATCACGGCGATAGTGTTCCTGGGCGGGTCAGGCAAGGCAGAGTCGGCGCTGCACGCCAGCTCCGACGGGTGGATTGTGACGGGCAGCAAGGACACGCTGGTGAAGCTGTGGGATCTGCGTGCGCAGCACTGCGTGCAGACGCTGGTGGCACACCGCAGCGAGGTGTGGTCGCTGGCGCTGAGCAACGACCAGCGGTTGTTGGTGACGGGCACGGCGGACCGCGAGCTGCGCGTGTGGACGGTGGATCGGCAGAAGCTCGATGCGATGGCAGGCGAGCCTCACAACGAGTCAGCGGAGGAGGCGGCGCGGCGGTGGGCGGCAATCAGCGAGTACGGGACGATTGAGCGGGCGAGCCGCGACCGTGTGGTGAGCCTGAAATTCCACCCGTCGGGGCAGTACCTGGGGTGCCTGGGCGGCGACCGGCAGCTGGAGGTGTTCCGGGCACGCTCACACGCCGAGATCAAGAAGAAGCTGGCAAGGCGGATGAAGCGCAGCCGCGAGAAGCGCAAGGACGGCGACGACGCAGCAATGGACGACGAGGCTGAGCCGGAGATCACGGCGGCCGACGAGCTGACGGCGTTCAAGCTGGTGCGGACCAGCGCCAAGGCTGCGTCGTTTGATTTTGCACCAGGCGAGGCCGATGCGGCGGTGCTGCACCGGCAAGGGGCACTGAATGTGCTGGTTGCTCAAACGGACAACCAGCTGGGCGTGTGGCGCGTGCCGGTGCCGCCGCCGGGCACAACAACGAAGAAGGCAAACCTGGCCGATCCGTCGCTGGTGTGTGCAGTGGACATGCTGGGACATCGAGCCGAGCCGCGCACACTGGCGCTGAGCTCCGACAACGAGCTGCTGGCGTCGGCGGCCGGGCGGTCGCTGCGCATCTGGAACGTGCAGACCGGCGGGTGTGTGCGTACGCTGGAATGTGGCCCGGCGCTGTGTGTGGCGTTCCTGCCCGGCGACCAGTTTGTGGTGGTGGGCACCAAGACCGGTGTGCTGGAGCTGTACGATGTGCCGGCGGCAGGCGCTGGTGGAGACATTCGATGCACACGAGGGCGCGGCGTGCTGGGCAATCGACGTCAAGCCCGACGGCAGCGGGCTGGTGACCGGCGGTGCCGACAAGAGCGTCAAGTTCTGGGACTTTGAGCTGGTGCGCGACGCGCAGGGCGACTCAGCTGTGGTGAGCCGGCGACGCATGACGCTGGAGCACGTGCGGACGCTGAAGATGTCGGACGATGTGTTGGCAGTCAAGTGCTCGCCCGACTCGCGGCTGCTGGCAGGTGTCGCTACTGGACACCACTGTCAAGGTGTTCTACGCCGACACGCTCAAGTTCTTCCTGTCGCTGTACGGCCACAAGCTTCCGGTGATGTCGCTGGACATCTCGTCCGACTCGACGCTGCTGGTGACTGGGTCGGCCGACAAAACGGTCAAGCTGTGGGGCCTGGACTTTGGCGACTGCCACCGGTCGCTGCTAGCGCACCAGGAGCCCGTCACATGCGTGCGCTTTGTGTGGGGCACTCACTACTTCTTCTCAGCTGGCAAGGATAAGGTCGTGCAGCAGTGGGACGGCGACAACTTCCAGCGCATCCAGCGCCTGGACGGCAGCCACGGCGACGTGTGGGCGCTGGCCGTGGCCAAGTTCGGCAACTTTGTGGCGGCCGGATGCCAGGACCGCTCGCTGCGTGTGTGGGACAAAACTGAGGAACCGCTGTTCCTGGAGGAGGAGCGCGAGCGCGAGCTGGAGGCCCTGTATGACCGCGGGCTGGAGGAGGCTATGGACCGGACCGACCACGCGCCCACGGGCCAGGACGAGGACGGCGAGCCCGAGACCGAGCGTGCTGGCCGGGCCACCATGGAGACACTGAAGGCCGGCGAGCGTATCATGGAGGCCCTGGACCTGGCCGACGCCGAGCGCGCCAAGTGGGACGCGTACGCCGAGCAGACGCGCCGCATGCCCCACCTGGCACCGCCGCCGCCCGACGTCCACCCGGTGCTGCAGTTCGAGAAGCTGACGGCCGACGCCTATGTGCTGCGGACTGTCGAGCGTGTGCGGGCTGCTGAGCTGGAGGACGCGCTGCTGGTGCTGCCGTTTGCGCGTGTGCTGGCGCTGCTTGCCTATGTCGATGTGTGGGCGCGCCGCCGCTGGAACACCCCGCTGACCAGCCGCGTGCTGTTCTTCCTGCTCAAGACCCACCAGAACCAGCTCGTGGCTACGCGCACCATGCGCCCGCGGCTCGACTCGATCCGCTCCCACCTGCGCGCCGCCGTCGCTGCCCAGCGCGACCAGATCGGCTTCAACCTGGCCGCTCTGACTGCCCTCAAGACCGAGTGGGAGGCCAATGCCACCGCCGAGTTCTTCGACGAGGCCCAGATCCAGGCCGTGCTGGATTCCCAGCTTGCAAAGCGCAAGTTCACGGGGCTCAAGGCCTAGTTTTTCTCCTCTGGCTTTCTTGCACTTTTTGCTTTCCTACACTTTTTTCTCCAAATGAACACTACTAACCCCGACGACGAGGTCCCCATTTACGGCTACGACAAGGAGCTGCGCGACAAGCTGGAGGCGAAGTACGATGTTGGCCGCGAGCAGCAGGCGCGCGCATACATAGCCGACGCAATCGGTGCACCGGTTGACGGTGAATTCATGGACGCGCTGCACGACGGCACAGTGCTGGTGCACCTGGCAAACGCCGTGGTGCCTGGGCGCCTGAAGCCGAATGCCTCGCGGCTGGCCTTCAAGCAGATGGAAAACATCAACAGCTTCTTGACTGTGGCCGCAGAGCTCGGCTGCCCGTCCCACGAGCTCTTCCAGACCGTCGACCTGTTCGAGGCCAAGAACCCCGGGCAGGTCGTCGACGCCATTTTCTCGTTTTCGCGCCATGCCGCCAAGCGCGGCTTCCGCATACCCCCATTGGGTCCCAAGCTCGCCGACAAGCAGCACCGCCAGTGGACTGACAAGCAGCTGCGCGAGGGCGACAAGTACCAGAGCCCGCTGCAGATGGGATATAGCGGTGGGGCCACCCAGTCAACCGAGAAGGTCGTTTTTGGCGGCCACAAGTCCATTGTCAGGAATGCTGATCCGTTCCACCGGTACCAGGGCTGAGCTTACTGGTTTCTGAATATATGCGTTTATTTCTCTTTGCCATCATCGTGACATGTGTGGCGAGAGCATGTCGGAAGAGCTGCCGGGGTGGGCGTGAAAGCGGCCATTGCTCAATGGGTTGTTCCATCGAGACCTTCCAAAGCCCCGCCTCCCCACCAACTCGTGCCATGCACTCAGTGCATGCTACATGGCTATCACTAAAAAAGAATGAACACCACTACTTGCGGAAGTGGACGTCGCTATGGTCGACCTGGTATGCGGCCCTCTCGAGCTCGGCGCGCTCGATCTTGAGCTCGCCCTGCTCGCGGTTTCCGAAGCGCCTCTGGATCTTGCCAACTGCGCTGTAGTAGTTTGCGCGGTACTCACTGGCCTTCTTGACATTGTACTTGTTCAGGAACGCGTCCTTGGTGCGCTGCCGCACCGCTGCCGGGTCCTCGTCACTGGAGAGCACCTGGATGTAGTTCTGCGGGTTGAGCTCGCCGTCCGTCGGAATGTGCTGTGTGGCCGGCACCGGCGCGCCGGTCTTCGGGTCGCGGTGGCCGACGCCATGGCCCTTGTACATCGGGTCGGTCCAGTCGGCTGTCAGCGGGTAGCCGGCTGCCTCCGTGCGCCCGGTCTCCTTGTCCACGTCCGTGGCTGCCGGCTGGCCGGTGCCCGCGCCGGTTCCTGAGAGCTTGATGTTTAGTGCGTTGCTCATGGGTGTATTAATGCCTAGCGAAAAAGTATGTATTGTAGGGAATAGGAGAAACAAGAGAGGTGCCAGGCATGTCCTGGCCTCGCTTTTTACGCTAAAACGGCATTTGGTGATTGTGTCGAGCTTCCAGCCATTCTCCTCCGTTTCCCTTTCCCTTTCCCTGCTGTTCATCCGACATTGCAAGATTGCTCGACACAAGCACCTGACGCACAGATTACGCCCTCCTCTCCCTTCCCCAGCCTTTTTTTCTTTCTTTCCGATGTGCTTGAGCTGCTGAATGTATTTCCTGTCCGAACAACACATACAAAACCAGTTCTGCCACAAACTCCCAAACACTGGGCCCGCTCAGCACGCTTTTATATCCTCCGATGCCATTGTACCGGACTCACAAACAAGCGCCTATAAAAGCCTGGATAGGATGAATGTTCCGCTGAATGCACTGCCTTTCTCAGATAGTACGTATGCGCTTCTGGAAATACTAGATCGAAACCAGGCGTGGTGCATGTATGTTGCCTGTCGCCTATTGGGCGTCTGTGGTTTAAGGGGTCAGAGTGGAGCGACCTGAAACAATGTCGGGTCGGAACACAAGCACAGCCCAACATGTAGAGCACACATAAAAACAGGGGGGTCTGGTGGAACCCATGTGCATGTCCGGATGCGTGTTCTGAAAAACGACAGCAATCACCATGTTCGGAACCATGCATGCCGCATTTCTGGATCTCTGCTGCGCTCTGGATTCAGACATACCGAGAATCTTCCCGGAGCCTGTAAAATACGGGTACAGGAAGATCAGTATGCACATTGTCTGAATTTTCCTGCTGATTGACAGTGCCCTTCCCAAGAGATGTCCAGCAATGCCACAAAGACACCATTTTTCCCATGCATGACATGGGTTTTATTAGCGAAGTCCGTCGGAGCAAAAGGACAGTTCTTTTAACCTCCCCACTTGAAACCCGAAATTGTCCGCGACGGACATCCGCAGAAGGGCAGCAGGATCGGGCACGACGCAATCGCCGCAACAAGCCCAGCCCATTGGCGGCTGAACCATCTAGGCACCCCCTCCCGCCTGATGATACCAGGATCAGGCAATCAAAATACGCCCTACGTGATCAGACACGATACCGCCAGTATCCCAAGCACCATGAGCCTGCCGGCTGACACCCGATACGACCCATTGTGGACCCCGCCGTCTCTCTCGTTGTTTTCCTGCACGGGTCCGATCTTGACGCCCGGGCAGTTGTATCTTCTGTAGTCGCGGCACACCTCGCTGGCCAGGTGGATGTGCGTCGTGCGGTCGTCTCGTGTGCACACTACCTCGTCCTTCCAGTTGTGGTATTTGACAAATTGTGTGTTGTACAGCTTGTGGCAGAAGCACTGCATCAGAAGCTTCTGCTGCCGCTGTGTGATTTGCGCGCATGTACGGTTGCCTCCATATACGGACATTGTTGTGCTCCTATATTTAGTCGAAATGCAGCTTTTGCGTGCAGAGCGTGTGAAAGTGGATACTAGCAAACGGTGAATGCAAAGAAACGAGCAACAGACGCTGCTTGCTCAGCCAGAATGCGCTCGGCTTATATCGCTATCGCGAGCATACTTGCCAGGGATATGAGACATGGGTCTCTTCAAACAGATATCTACGACTTGTGCCCCTTGGCTCATGCCGATCATACATACAGTGCGCTGCTTCAAAACCCAAGCCGTCCTAGGCACCCAGTGCGTCTGAGATGTAAGATCGGCGGGATGTTTTACAAATGGGAGACAATATGCACGATGAGGTCAGTGCTAATCCGATCCACAAATCCGATCACAGTGCCGTTGTTTGCTGGCTCTGAGCGCCCAGATGGGGCTGAATCTGCATGGCGTAGCTGTTCATGTACCGGTGCCAGTGCGCCCTATCTGGGATGCACGATATCAGCCCGCACAATATGTGATAAGGAATATCCGGCAAGGCGCCTGGGGTATTAGGGACTGCAGCGTCTATCACGGCCGCCAAGATTCCAGTCCAAAAATATAAGGTTCTCCAGCGGTCTATAAATACCAAAGTACGAGGTTGGAGAATTGCTTGGCAGCTTCAGATCAAGCCAGATGCCCCCAGGGCCGACAGGGTCTCTAGGAAGCTCCTTCCTAGGCAGCTGGCGGGCTCATCTGACGAATGACACCCTGATGCGGTCCAATAAAAGCACGTATCGAGAATGCCCAACTTGCATATTCTAAAAATACAAGCACGTCAATGCCAGCCTTTGACATGGCAGTGTTGGGCGATCCCCGTTTTCTAGTTTGCAAAAATCGCTCTTGCGGTTCGCCCTCCGCTTCGCAGCGCTGCCTACCTTTTCTGTTAAATAGCTCTACTGCAAGGCGCTGTTTTTGCCTGCCCCTTATTGTCGCTTTTCTCTTCGCTGCTGTGCATTGCATTCTCTCTCTCCTTTTCATTTGCCCACACTGCCTTTTCTACCAAATAGTAAAAAACCTGCCACATCCATCCATCATGAAGTTCATCTCATTTGCCATCGCTGCCCTCGCTACCGCCACTGCCTACGCCGCCGACTCGTCGGTGCCGACTAAGGCTACCGCTGACCTGAAGGGCAAGGCAGGCATCTCGGCCAAGGTCGAGTTCTCCCAGGCCAGCAAGGGCGTCAACGTCAAGCTGACGGCTACGGGACTGAAGACCGGGGTGCAGTACCCGTACCACATCCACGTCAGCCCAGTCCCCTATGACGGCAACTGCACGGCCACCGGCGGGCACCTGGACCCGGCCAAGATCAAGGTGGCCGACAAGCCGTACAAGTGTGACGCGAAGGACCCGGCCAAGACGTGCGAGCTGGGCGACCTGGCGGGACGGCACGGCAACCTGACGGCGGATGCCACGGGCGCGGCCTCGGTTACGTACGTGGACTCGATTCTGGCGTTTAGCGGCGTGGACACGATCCTGGAGCACTCGGTTGTGATCCACGGCGCCGACAATGCGCGCCTGGCGTGCGGCAACATTGTTGTGGCCAAGTCAGGCGAGGCATCGTCCGAGCTCCCGTCGTCGGGTGCCATGCACGAGAGCGCGTCGGACGAGAGCAACTCCGTTGCCACTGGCGTCGAGAGCAAGACCGGCGGTGCCTCGTCCATCGCCGCTATCTCGGGCGTTGTCGCTCTGGTTGCTGCCGGCCTTTGCCATCTAAGCCCTAGCATCGGGAGCTGCCTGTGCGCAAGTCTCCATGACTCTTTGTGGCTCTCACTCCAGCCTTCACCCCCTCCCGCTTTTGCTGTTATATTCGCTTTTTATTCCTTTCTCTCCGAGCAAGCTGAGCACCCCTTCTATCCGGCCTTCATTCGTTCTCATTAGTTTTCTACAATAAAAGCCGATTTGTGCAAGGCGCTACTATTCTCATACGAGCACCGACAGAGATGTGGTGTTCGCTTGCCGCGTCTGTCCGCCACCTCCGTTTTGCTGCCATTGCCTTTGTGGGTGGAATCGACAATGGCAATGAAGAATACACACCGGCTATTGACTAGCGCAAAGGCTGCTTGGGCAATCAGCAGACAAGGTTGTGCCAAGAACGCCTTTCTAAATCCCCCCTATCTCAATCTCCGCAATGCCTTCGCTGAAGTCGACGACGTGTGGATCCTCCCAGCTTCCTACAGAAATGCGTTTACCAGCAGCTCGCTTCCCTCCCCAATCCAGTGGGAGGTTGAAGGAATTGCATGCCGTGGACATGTCGATTAGTGCAGCATTGGCAGTAGAAAGGGGGACTGGTGTACAAAGAATGCCTGGTCCCTCGCTCAAAAGGCAGAATGGCACCTGTCTGTCCATCCAGGAAGCAGAAAGTGCAGTAAGCCTTATCTCGCCTCTCCAAGTCCAGGCAGAGCCGCTGGATCATCGAGGTATGAGCCAAAAGAAGGCTGAGCCAATGATCTCAGCGTGCATCGGTGTCACCAGCAGCGCTGTTATGTCAAAAAGAATGTGAAATTTGCATACATACCGTCATCGCTCATGAGCACAAAGTAGATCTCCTGGTTGTCTGCTAAGCCGCTCTTGCCGACAGACACCTTGTCCGCAACTTCCGTGTACTGCTGAGCCGACCCGTCCGGTGTGCCGACCAGCAGCTTGACCTGGTCGTCGGTAATGCCCTCATACTCGCCCTCGTGCCGGTGCAGGAGCTCGACCAGCTGAGACTTGACTGCCGCCAGTTTCTCGCCCTTGGTTGTTTCGATGAACAGCGTTAGGGTGCCGCGCTTGAACCGAAAGTACGGCCGAGTTGTGCGAATATCGCTCATGGTTTCAGTTTTCCAGGTGGTGGCAGGTTCGAATGGAGGAAGTCGATGTTGCTCACCAACACTGGTGGCCGGGCGGTTCTACTTGCTGATATACCGCATACCAGGCATTGGCACCGTTATGGCCAATGCCCAGCATATATGCTAAAACATCTCCATATTGACTGGAGCTAGTTGACAGAAGAGTTGTTTTTATGGTGAACGGAGCACGTAAATAGGCAAAACTAGGGTATACCACAAAATTGAACTGAGGAAAAAAATGCTTGGAACAAGATCGCACTAGAAGTCTGGTGGTGGCGTTAACAATAGGAGAAATGCAACATCTTCTAGTGGTTCAGAGTGTCAACCGGCAGGTTTCTGCTCTGCAGGGTCTGGCTGCTGCCGTGTCTGCTGAGTCGCATCATCGGGTCCTCAAACGCACTGTCATCGTCGGTCTCGCTGACGGCGTCGGGAATGGACATCTGCTGCTCCTGGCTGATCAGCTCGTGCGGCGCGCCAACAAAGTACTGCATGCTGTTGCGGTTGTTGCGACCAGGCGACTCGCGATTCGGGACTATAATATCCCTGCTTTGTTGCACTTGCTGCTGCTGCATCTGCTGCTTTTTCTGCTGGAATTCGTTGAACGACTCGTTCACAGCTGCGCTGGGGTTCTTGTACCAAGGTGCATCACCCACCGCTGCCATGCTGAGCGTGTTGTCCAGACGGCGGGCGTTGCTGCCATCGCCACGCGGACTCGAGGGACGGATCAGAGCGACAGTGTTTGAGGTTCGGTCTGCCTTCTTGGAGCTGGGCGGCACCACCACTCCGCCAACCTGGACCAGGCGTGGTGTCGTCATTTGATCTGGCTGCGAGGCACTGGTGCTGTTGCTGGGCACGTGCTGCAGCTGGCGGTCGTCGCCAAAGCGGGCTCCCTGCGGAGCACTGCTGCTGCTGGGCTGGCCCAGCGATGAGACCTCGGTGGCATCGTCCATATCGTTGTCGCTAGACGACGACAGCGAGCGCGGCTCAGGCGAACCCTTGTCGTTGACCCAGAAGATGTACTCGAATTCGACCATCAGCAGGCTGAACACGCCGACCGGGATGCCCAGCGATGGAGAGAACACAATGCCAATGTTACGGAGCGTCATCTTGTTGATTGGCGCCTTCAGAACGACGCGGATCAGGTGTGCAGTGAGAGCCCGAAGCAGCGTGTAGTTGGCCAGCGGAAGCAGCGACACCAGACGGCCAAGCTCCATGACACGGTCACGGCGCTCAGCATAGTCAACGACGCGCACAAAGTCCTGGTGCAGCTGCGATGTCAGCACGCTCTGTGGCAGCTCACGCAGGTACGCCTTGAGCAGACTGGCAACAGCGTGCACATCAGGCGGCAACGATATCTTGAGCAGATTGAAGTCGCGGCACGTATTAAACGACTTGCGTAGCGAGTCCAGAGCAGCAAAGCTGCCCGACATCCGGTAGATGCCCTCCTCGAGCCACGCCTTCTTCACATCAAGGTACTCGATGCACCGGTAGACGACAGCCGGCAGCTCATAGTGCTCGCGCACCTTGGTTGCCTGCACAGCCATCTCGAGCGGCAAGCCAAACACGGGCACCATCGGCGACTTGTGCTTGACCGGCGGAGTCAGTGTGTCGTTGCTAATCGACCCACGCCGCAGTCGCCGCGCCATAGACACCGGCCCGCTGCTCTCTTTCTCGCCGTGGTCGCTGCCAAGGCTGCTGTTGCTTCCCTTGTACGTGGGCATATCGGGGTGCGAGGTGTCGGGATCAACAGGCTTGCGCTTGCCCCACATGAACGTGATGCGACCGCGCTTCTTCTCCTCGCGCGTCCGGTTGTTTTTGTTGCCAAAGATGTTGGTGCGCGAGCTCGAGTTGTCGCCAGAAGAGCCATCGCCGTTGGCTGATCCATACTGCCGGCCGACTCCCAGGATATCGTCAGTCACCCGGGGTGTATCCAGAGGCAGCTCCAGGACCGTCTCGTCCTCCTCGCGCACTATACGACCCGTCGAGTCCTTGGTGAATGCTGCCTTGCGCGACATAGACTGCAGCAGCTGGGTCGACGGATCCGCGGCCTTTTGCGGCAGATGACTGCCGGAGCCCAGTCCCTGGAACGTCAGCGTAGTCGGTGGCGCCGTCGCTGGCGGCTCAGACATGCCACTCTGCCCGGGCGACAGTGCCATAGACACCCGCTCATCATCAGCATCGTGCGGCGAGGTGAACGAATCGGGCAGGCTCAGCACTGACTCGCGGTTGTCGATAGTCGGATGCGAGGACAGAGTGCCCAGGCCATTACGCGCGTCGTTCTCGCGACTCATCGAATACATGCTCGAGTCGATGGTATATTGCTCGGATGCGGAGTCGTCGGCGAGAGGCGAAAGGTGCTTGCCCTGCTTCTGCTCCGACGCCGGCGTGCTGAACTCGGCAAAGCTGGCTGACAGCCGGGTGGCAATCTCCTGCGGCGACAGCTTGGCCGCCAGATGCTGGGAGGTCTTACCATCGCCACCTTCGCCGCTGCCGCCGTCGTCGCCATTCCCAGTGTAGCGGTTCTCGTTGGGTGGGAACGAAAGTGATCGTGGGCGCGCATCAACTGGAAGATGCGGTGGCGGCGGCTCCAGCGAATCCGGCGGCCCCAAATTATGCGGATACGAGGCACCAGGGTTTTTGACGTCGGCGTAGTCCCTGTCAGCATTTTGGCTGTCGCACCGATCCATGTCGCCCATCGAAGAGGATGCGGGCCACACCTGGTTTGTCAGAGGCGAGCCAATCGAGCCCAAGTTTGCCGTGGCAGTGCTAGGACGCCGCTGCAGCGGAGATGCTGTCTTGTGGCTGACCGCGCCGTCCGACATCTGGCGCTGCTCCTGGCGCATGCGGTTGTACTCGAGCGAGCGCCGCGCACCCTGCTCGTGTGTGATCGAGGTCTGGATCTGCTGAATCATTGGCAGCTTCTCCTTCTTGTTGTTCAGCAGCACTGCATACTTGGCAACCTCGTCGATAGCGCGCTGCGGACCCTCGGCGTCGCGCACAATCACGTAGCGTAGTGCGGCAACCCACTCGTCGCGCTCGCGGTCCGAATCGGCCCACAGCGGATGCGCGATGGGCTCTTTACCAGCGCGCTTCGGCACCTCCTCGATAAGGAATGCATGGCGGAAGATATCACTGTCCTTTTGGTTCGGCTTTGACCGATGCATGGGCGTGCTTTCGGCTGGTGTGCGGCCGGTTTTGACAACCGCCCCGCGCAGGTTGATTGAGCCAATCGGCGACCCCCCGGGCGTTTCAAAGTACTCGAGCACCGGCTGGTTCGACTTGCACACATAATATCGACGCTTCCAGCCGCCAAAGTTCTTGCCCTTCTTGACCAGGAACCCTTCCTTGTGGCCAAGCAGGATGGGCATCGCCGAGGCTGGCTCTACCATGATGTTGGTCGACAGGAACTCCAGGATCGGCGAAAGGTCGGGGATATTCAGCGTCAGTGCCTTCTTCAGGTATTTTTCGAACCACAACTTGCGCTTGTCGTTCTTGTTGGGCGCGTTGGCACGGAAAATGTCCTTGTCAGGAAGACGCTCGAGGCGCTCATCAGCCTTGGACCGCTGGATCACATTCCGCAGCTTGCCGTTCAGATTCAGGAAGTCAGAGTACCGCTTCTCAACCGTCCACAGTATCTTCTCCTTTACCTTTGCTGTCTCTGGAGCCTCGCGTAGCAACAGCCCGGGCGACTCGAACCGATACTTGATGTGGATCATGTACACGTTGACTTCCTTGCCACGTTCATCGATCTTGACCTTCGAGTCTTTGATCTCCAGATCAATGTTGTGCAGTGACCGTAGCGGTGGTCGCTCAGGCACGTCGTGGTGCTCCACCATCGGCATTGGCGTCCGAGCAGATGCCGGCGTGGGCGCTGACTTTGGCGGAACAGGCATTGTGCTGTGCTCGTTGGGCGCAACCGCGTGCAGGTTATTTGGCACCCACTTTGGCTGGTCCCCGCTGGTCGGTGGCGACATAGTGCGTGAGCCCATCCCAGGCCGAGATGCGTCCAACCCGTGGGAAGCCACATTGCTGGGTGCTGCCTGTGCATACGGGTGAAGGCTGTGGGATAAGCCCAGAAACGACTCTGTTTCATTAATGAGGTCGCGCGGGTTGGATACCTTCCCATGCTTACCAACAGGCTGGATGGCTATGCCGATACTGCCACCAGTGCCGTTCGTAGTAGCGCCAAATGATGGGCTAGCAATCTGACTGCGCGCTGGTGGCTGCGAGTCGGTCTGTGCACCGTCGTACTCATATCCCGAGATTTCGGCTGCCTTCCAGTCGTTGGCCGCCAAGTCACGCTGCTCCAGCTGAGACCGCTTGATATCAGGTGTGCTCTCGGGAAGATCCACACTTTCTATGGTCGAGATGGGCCGCAGCACCAGATGGTCCATCTGGCTTTGATCGGCAGCCTCGTCAGTACGCTCCTCGGTCGCCATGTACGGAGTCCGCGGTGTGCCGACGTTGTTTTCGATACTGAGCTGGTCGTCTGAGTACACACTGCTCTTGGCGTTATTGATCGCCAGGAGTGAATGGTTTTGCATCTGTTTTGTCGCTGGCCCAGACCCCGCCTGTGCCGAGCGAGCAAGCCGATCAATGCTGTTGACATAGTCATCTGGAACCTCAGGGGGTGCGCTGTTTGGTGTTTCTGCGGTGTCGTCCAAGGTGACAGGCGATGGCGCGCTATTGTAGTTGCTGCGCCGCCGCATATCGTCCAACGACATCGATCCGCCACGCGACGACATGGCCGCAAAGCTGCTTATCCGACTGTTGTCGCTGCCATACTCGTTGGCAGCCAGACCAACCCAGTCGAGGTGTTTTCCGGCTCCGGTGTGTATATGGTGCGGAGTCATCGCACTGACTAGTCCGTTCGAGGCATCGGCAATTGGCGGCATGTCAGGGACCTTGCTAATCGAAGCTGGGTGTTCAAGACCAGCTGCTGCCCAGTCAGACCCGCCGGGCCGTAACCCGGCGCCTACTGAGTTGTGCCGGGCAGAGTAGTCGGCGTAGATTTCGCTGAGCCGCGTGCTTTTGGCCCACGGCCTGAAGTTCGATGTGTCCTGGTCCAGCTCTGCATCTGCAGCATCATGCGCGTCGCTCAGCGATGTCAGGCTAGCCCCTGAAACCCGGATTTCATCGGTCTGTCCCGCCGGTCCAGCTGGCGACGACATGCTCAGGGACTCCAGGCCCAAGGCATTGGCATGAGGGGTCTTTTTTACTGCGTCACTGCTGTCAACAGGCAGATCCAGCCTCATATGCGTATCGGCCGGGTCTGGTGTTGCTATCGAGTCCGTCAGCGACGGCGTGTTGCCGGCCGACGAGTTCTGTCTCCGATTAATCTGGCTCTGTAGGCTCTTGATGATATACCGCTGCTTCTCGATGATTTTCCACAGCTTCTCTGTCTCTTTCTTGTATGCATCGCGTTCCTGGATGATGCGTACAATGTCTGTCTGCTCAAAGTCGCCATCCTCCGCGCCAGCGGCGCCGTTGGCTAGCAGCAATGGGTGCTTCTCCATCGTCTGCGACTGTTACTAGAATTGGGTTGTTTGCTGTTCTTCACAGGCTCCGCTTTTGAAGTTTGAATATTGAGAGCAGTCCAGGATTGAGAAGGCTGGGCTGCTGGCAAGCGTCTGCTGTGTCGGAAAGAGCTACACGCAACAAAAAGAATAACAACAACAAAAGAATACCAAGTTTAGCCTGCAAAGCAGTGTCTCCCAATAAACAGATTCCCGGTAGCTGCCGCAATGCAAACAAAATGGAAATGCAAAAGGCCAAGCAGCCTGATGTGACAAAAAGAAAAGGGGAGGAGAGTAACCAAATGGCCTACCCCCTCCCTTTCTGGCACACAAAGACAGAGAAGGGCGTATATAGTGGACAAAAAAGAAAGGGAAGCCTTGTTCCGTACCGTAAGCGCCAGCTCCTTTGTAAAGAGTGTTCGAAGTGTCTCTGGGTGGGCCCGACGTGAGCCAGTCTGTCAGCAAAAAAAAGTCCGTCCTGTCCAGACACGCTGCTGCCCGTAGGTAATAGTACAAGGAGGAAATGAAAGAATGGAATAAATACACGAACGAAATTGCAAATGGACTGGAGCGAGAGAGAGGGAAAGAGAAAAGGCACCCGAGAGCGAAGCAAAATAGAGTGAGGCAAAATAGAGTGAGGCAAATAAGGGCTTTTTTGGAATCGCAAGCAGAGGTAAAAAGGCGGCTTGCAAGCACTTTGGCTGTGGAGGAGCGAATAAAGCGGGTGCAGTGGTGCCGAGAGTAGAAATTTACCTTTTTGTTTACACAGCTTTGTTCCTTCGACAAGACCAGGCAAGCACAGGAGGACACGATGCTATATACCAGGGGGTGGGATAATATAGAAGGCGAGGAGGAAGTTGGTGTGGGGGAAAAGAAGCAATAAGGAGTCTTCGGTTTGTGCGGACCGTGTGGAGACTAGGCGGACCGTTTGGCCTTTGCCAGGGGCGTCTGCCATGTGTCGCATACCTGGTGCAGATGACAACCCGCTCCTGGCCAGGGCGCACCAGCAAGGGCGCGTCTGGAGCCGCGAGCCTGAGCCCTAATGCGTGGCCAGTTCTACACATGCAACAATTTGTTTTTCCTCCTTCTAGGCGCTCGCGGATTGGCGGTAGATCTACCAAAACAACACTGCTAGCTTTCTTGCGCTGAGCTCCTGGATGTCCTGCGCGAACCGGCCGTCACACCGGTATTGCCTCGCTGCTTTCCCAGTGTCGTCTCGGAGCATGGCGTGTGCTTAGGAGCCACTGGCATTTGCTGGCGTCACTTTTGCACCCAATCGCTGATGGCGCTGCACGTGAGCGGCGATATTACTGACATACAGCCTGTCGTGCCGACTCCACATTTGGTGAAGCACTTGCCCCACAGCGCCTGGGGAGATAGCGGGAAGGCGCGAGTGTTGAGAACTGTCCAAGGCCTTACCGCTGTCAGGCCAGCACAGGGGACCGCCAACGTCGGCCATCCATCTCGGTTTGCTGGAGTGCTGATAAAGCAGGTGGGGAAAGCAGGCCTCAGAATTTGTAGGGATTGCCGCCAGAAAGCCGGTTTTCGCATGTAGGGCTGCCAGCCATTGCCGCTCCTAGCTCCCAATGGGAAAGGGGGACGCAATGTTGCCCATGCTCTACATGTTTCAGCTGAACATGCCGGCGGATTCCATTTGCAGCAACTAATGTACACCTGCGAGGCATTCAGAAAGCAGTCAGAAAGCAGCAGCATAGAGAGGTATCCAGAAATAGATCTGGCGGATGTCACGCGAATCGCCATCGGTGAAATGTAGCAATTATTGCGCGCATCCCAAACAGCGAGCAAAGAGACGCTGCATTTCCCATCTAGCAACACCGCATACATGGAGGTGGTTCCCACACAGCGGCATCCCTGCGCGTGCGAAGCAGGCACTGCTCGACTTGGCTCCGCATGCGCCCTGGCGCTGTAGATTTTTTGATACTGTGATTTGGACAAGCGAGAATGAGAGAAAAACAGGTGTTAAACTTAGAGGTTGCGGATGACGGCCTTGGTGAAGTCGGTGGTCGACGAGTTGCCGCCGAGGTCAGGGGTCTTGATGCCGTCGACGCTCAGGGTCTTGCTGACTGCCCGCTCGATCTGGTCGGCGTGCTCGTTGAGCTGCAGGTGGCGCAGCATCATGACCGACGACAGGATCAGCGACGACGGGTTGGCGGTGTTGCGGCCCTGGATGTCCTTGGCGACGTGGCGCGATCCGGGCTCGAAGATGGCAAACTCGCGGCCATAGTTGGCGCCCGGCACAATACCCGGACCGCCGATCAGACCAGCGCCGATGTTGCTGACAATGCTACCGTACAGGTTAGGCATGACCATGACGTCAAACTGCTGCGGCTTGCCGACCAGCTGCATCGCAGTGTTGTCGACAATCATGTCGTTGTACTGAATGGTCGGGTACTCCTTGGCAACCGCGCGGCACGTGTTCAGGAACAGACCGTCGGCCAGCTTCATGATGTTGGCCTTGTGCACAATCGTCACCTTCTTGCGGTTGTTGCGCAGCGCGTAGTCGAACGCGTACCGCGCAATGCGCTCGGTCTTGGACTGCGTGATGATCTTCAGCGACTCGACAACGCCCGGGAACGACTGGTGCTCGAGTCCAGAGTACTCGCCCTCGGTGTTCTCGCGGATAATGACAAAGTCGACGTCCTTGTGGCGCGCGTCGATGCCCTCAACGTTCTTGCAGTGCGCAACCGACGCGTAGATGTCGAGCTCCTTGCGCATGGCGACGTTGAACGAGCTGTGGCCCTTGCGGATCGGAGTGTACAGAATGCCCTTCAGACCGACCTTGTTGCGGCGCAGGCTCGACAGGGCCTCCTGCATCAGGTTGTCGCTCTCCGAGGTGAATCCGGACAGATCAAACTGCTCAAACTCAACAGGCACCTTGGCCGCCTTAAACACCGACTTCACCGAGGTGGCGGTCTCCTGGCCGATACCGTCTCCGGGAATCAGAGTGACGGTGTAGGTTCCTCCGTAGCACTTCGGGCCCTTGGCGTCCTAAGGAATGAGAAGCAAAAGGATCGTTCCTATCAGTTGCCATCGATCGCGGTGATAACCGGGCGTGGTGGACACAGCACCCAGCCCTTGCTCATGTGGCCCTCTCCCGCCTTGCCAGCTGCCTCGGCCTTGGGCCCTGGCCCATTCGCTCCAGCGCCTGGAGACTGCGAGTGAGTAGCTTGACAAGGGCGAGAGGGGCACGCCCCCGACCGGTGAACTGGCAGCCAAAGGCATGCATGTGTTGTTATCGGGCCAAGGCGCTCCCTTGAAGCCAAGCACAGGCCAGCAGCGCGGCTTCTCTTCTTACCTCAGCAACGGTGCTCATCGAGCGAGCAGACAGACGAGCAGCAACCTACACAAACAAGAACACAGGGGTGCTTTAGCTCCACGCAGCCTCGTTTCTGGCCGTGACGTGCCTGCGAGTGCGAATTCAGCGAGCAACAACATACCTGCTTCAGGGTGGGCTGGCGAGCGAATGACTTGAGCATTGTAACGTTGTTGTTTTTCTCCTCTAGGGGAATTCAAGCTAGAAAAAAGCGTGTATAGGAGGGGCTGGAATAGCAGGTTCGGAGAGATAAGGAGAAAAGGAGAATTCGGGCAGTGCGTGGGCCAGCAACGGCGCTTATAACAATGCGGAACAGCAGTCCAGTCCTTTTCGCCTGCTGATAAGGAGGACCAAAACCTAAGGCCCAACAAAAATTTGCTTATCGCGCTGTGCTCGGCAAAGCACGGCGAGGCTGAGCTCACAGGCGCTCGCGCTTGCATCCTGGTCAATCTCGACCCGCACAAATGTGTGGCAGGCTCGGACTTTAGCAGGCTACTAGGAGCCAACGATTGGTGGTGGGGGAGAGGGAGTTAATGTGGGGCGAAGCGGCGGCGATCGCCGTCAGGATCAAGGCTGGCAACCCTCCGAGGAATTGCCCACGGCCTGCTGTCGTCATTCCACGCGGCCACATATCCACATACCGCACTGGCAACACAGCCAGCGAAATGGGAGATACTGTGTGGTTATAAAAATAAAAAAGATGGGGTTAGAAAAGGCTACTAGGGCGGCTCAGGGGGTACGCGAACGGGAGGGTATGTGGCAGGCACCAGGGGGACGGGTGGTGGGGCGATTGCCTTACTCCTCATCCTCCTCCTTGTCCTCCTCGGCAGGGCTGGCTTCGTGGAACTCGTCGTCATCGTCAGCCTCGACTTCAGCCTCGACCTCAACCTCAGCCTCGGCCTCAGCCTCGTCAGCCTCAGCAACCATTGGCGATGGCTGTGTGGCAGGGCTCTCCTGGCTCAGAAGATCCCGCAACAAGTCGTCCTTGTGCGCCGGGTACTCGCCGGCAGCTGCCAGCGGCTGCACCGGGTCGATGGTCAGGGCCTGCTCAAACTTGGGGAACAGGTTGGCGTACTTGTTCGGGTCAGCAATTGCCTCGGCAGCCTTGTGCTTGCCAGCCTCCTCGAGCAGCTCCTTCCACTTGGGCACAACCTCGCCGACCTTGCTGGGCAGGTAGGTGCGCGCAAACAGCGCCGCCTCGGGGATGCGGTCGGTGTGCAGCAGCAGCTCCAGGCACTTGTCATTCTGCTTCAGCGACTGGTAGCACGCGAACGCAATGTTGGTGGCGTTGGCCTCCTCGGCCATCTTGGCCAGCTGCGCCATGCCCTCGGCGTTGCCCGACGCAGTGTGCAGCAGCAGCAGGCCGCTGAGATCCTTGGCCTTGACCATGCAGTTCTCGGCCAGCTCAAAGTTCCATGTGTTCAAGGCACAGTCGCCGACGATGCGCCACTTGGCCTCAGCACCGCTCTCCTCGGCCAGCTGGTAAGCAATGTCCAGGTGGTTCAGCTGCACAGCCAGGTCGAAGCGCTGCTCGGCGTCGGTGGTGACCTCGAGCGCCAGCTCCTTCATGTCCTCGGCCTCAAGGAAGCGCGCAATCTTGGGCCGCTGTTCGCTGGGAATCGACGGCAACAGCTCGGCTGCAGCATCGAGATCACCACGCAGGATAGCGGTCTGGTACTCGATCACCGGCAGCGGCAGGACGTAGCTGACAATGTTGACATCCTTGTCGGCTAGGTAGACGCGGTTGTCGCGCGCAACATAGCCGAGCAAGAACATCGACGCATCAAAGTGCGAGATCGTGAACACCTGGCCACCGACGAGGTAGTTGAGGCGGTTGGCTGAGTTCGTGTAGATGAAGCAGTCGCCGATCCAGCACCCGCTCCTGACCGTCTCCTGGATCTCAGTAATGAACTCGACTGCCTCCTCAACACCCTCCTCGCTGGTCTGGTTGCCGTTCTGCTGCGCAGACTCGAGGAACGCGTCGCGGTTATAGCGCAGCACAAAGTACGAATCCTCGGTCGCAACAGCAAAGAATTCGCCGCTCTCCGACCAGAAGATGTTCTTGGGCTCGACATCGATCCGGCGCACAATCAGCTCTGTGTCCCAGTCGTACAGCGTCAGAGTGCCGCCAGAGCCACGCACTCCAAGGAGGCTGCCGCCAAAGATCTCCTCGGCCGAGTACCCCAGGCTGACCAGCGCCGATGCGGCTGGCCGCGACCGCTCCTTGAAGCTCTTGAACAGGCGGATCGACGACGACGACTCGCGCACTGCGTACTCGTTGGAGTTCTGCGCCCAGACAAACTCCAGTCCGGAGCCAAACGACTTGTTGCGCCAGGCCAGCGCCGTGTAGATGATGTACTCGCCATCACCGCACACGACAACGAAGCGGCCGTTGGGGCTATGCTTGAGTGTGTATGGATACACCTCGCAGCTGCCGAGGTCCTTGACCGACAGCGGCAGACGCTCGCCGTCTTCAACTCCCGAGTCCATGCTGGACTTGATGTTGGAGCTCTGAATCTCGTTGTGCTTGGACCAGATAATCCTGCCGTTGGTATCCATGCTGACAGCCGGGTCATCGCGGCCCAGCGACAGAACAACCAGGCCCTCTTCGTGGCCGATCGCAACCGTGTTGTTGTTCTGGCTGTAGCTGATGGCCCACACGCGGTCCATGCCGTAGTTGAGCGTCGTCTCGAGGCGATACGTGCTCGAATTCCACACGCGCACTGTGCCGTCCTCACTACCCGTCATGATGATCGGCAGGGTCGGGTGGTACGCAACGGCGACCACATTCTGAGAGTGTCCCCTCAAGGGTCTGCACGCACGAGTTGTTCTGGTAGTCCCAGACCTTGGCCAAAAAGTCATCCGCACCGCTAACAAGGTATGGCTTGTCGTTGCCGTGGTAGTAGTCGACAACATTGACCCCCTTGGTGTGGCCCTCGATCGTGTAGTTGGGGACAGGGGAGCCGAGGTTCCACACCTTGATGGTCTTGTCCAAGCTGGCCGACGCGAATGTGTTGGTGTCCTTGGGGTTGATTGACAGGCCCATGACAAAGTACGAGTGACCCTCGAACATCTGCACACACTTCCAGTTCTTCTCCCAGTCCCACAGCTTGATCGACATGTCGTCAGAGCCCGTCAGCACATACGGCAGCGTCGGGTGCACGGCGAATGCAGCGGATATAGTCCTGGTGCGCATCGAATGCTGCAACGCGCTCGTGCGTGTTGTAGTTGTACACACGCAGCTGCATGTCGTCGGAGCCTGTGATGATCCAGTTCTTGCGCGCAATGAACTTTGCCGCACGCACCGGCAGATCGCACACCTCAAACGTCTTCACCTGCGTCTGCGTCTCGTAGTTCCAGATGTACACCTGTCCGCTGTACAGCGACGCCAGCACCCACGGCTCAGTGGGATGCATGTCCAGCGACTTTACACGGTCTGTCCGCGCCGACAGCTTTTTCTACATGTATGCAAGAGGTTGTCTGAGTTCAAATGTCCAACAAACCCGCATCTGCCGCTGCCGCGCGTCCAATCTGCAATTCGCGCCAGTTCCTTACTTTGATATCGAGTCTCATTCCCTACAAATGCGAAACCCATCAGATGGGCCAGAGTTGCAGTTAGTGACCAGACGGAGGACTCCGGGCGTACATATGCTACTCTCTCCTGGCGACTATGCATCCGCACATGGCTCTACTCTTGTCCCCGTCCTCTTACCATCTTTCTTTGAAATTCTCAACAGCTGATGTCAAAGGTATAAACACTGAATTGAGGGGTCTGGTATGCCAAATGAGATGGTAGCAAAAAGAAGAAAATTAAAGGCTCTGTCGTAATCGCTCGGTTCCAGGGGAAATACTGGAGGCCTGATGCGCTGGCAGCCCGTCCTGCTGGCCCGCCATCAGTGGCCAGTTAGTTGCTGCATGCAGCGCAAAATATTTAATTCATAAATCAAGGGTGGTGATTAATGTACAAACAGCCGTAGCCAGCCCACGTCGTTACGCGCTCTCGTCGTCGCTGGCGCTGGCGGTGCTGGCCGCGCCTGACGCGATGGCATCCGAATCCTTGGATACCTGGTCGATGCAGCGCTGCACCTCGTCGTCCCAGTCAGCGCGCAGAATTATCCAGCATTGCATGACCACGGCCAGGGCAACGCCCGAGAAGATGCCGTACCACAGACCGAGGACCCCAATCTTGGGCGGGCCGTAGGTCAAAAAGAGACCCAGCGGGAACCCAAGGATGTAGTATGACGAAAAGTTGATCCAGGCACCGGCGTCTTGTCTCCCCATGCTGCGCAGAACACCAGATCCGACGCTGTTGATTGCGTCCGCCAGCTGGAACAGCGCATTCGCCGGCATAATCAAGGCGACGATTGCAATGATCTGTGTGTCATCCGAGTAGATGCCGCCCCACCAGCTTCCAACAGCCAGGCCCAAATGCAAGACTAGCCACGCCAAGCGCAACACCGAGAGAGAGGCCAACCATTGCGCACACCTTGGCACGCCGCGACCGGCCTTGGCCCAAAAGATTACCAACATGATTACACACAGCAACGCTCTGACCATCGGCAAACTGGTATGTCAGTGTGCATGTGTTGATGACGATCGACTGCGCCTGCTAGCGTGACGCTGCCCAGGTAGCTGGCAGCCTAGAGCCAGAAGATCCAGAATCCACCACTCCGAGCAGATCATGATCATCGATGGAATAGCCAGCTTGAAGTACTGTGGCATCGTCCACAGCGCATGGACATTCCAGCCACCCCACGCGTTGCGTGCATCCGACCTTGCAGCATACACCGTGATCAGGACAAACATGAGCCAGTACGTAACCACATTTGGCGAAGGCTGCACCAAGGAACCCCATTCCGACCACCGGCGACCACACAAACATGCAGTTGTTAGCCACATGGATAGGAGCGATGATCAGCAGAACGACAGTGCTTGCGCGCATATGGCCCTGTGCCTGTAGGTACCGCTTGATGCACTCAAAGTACATCCACGCCAGCGACCCGAGCAGCTGCACACGCATGAAGTGGCAGCACATGTGCGAGACAGTTGGGTCCTGCTTCAGCCAGATGAACAGCGTATCAATATTCCACAGCAGCGGCACAATGAACAGGAAGTGACCAGTCACGGCAATGATACCACGCTGCAGGTGGAAGCCAACTAGTGTTGTATCCTGTGAAGCCGTGAACGCCGTCGAGCAGTAAGTATCCAGTGCCGACGCAAGCCCTACGGCTGGTGCATTGACAATGACAATGATGGTCATGTTGGCAAGCGCCGCCGCAGCCAGAGCATCAGCGCCGATATGACCCAGCACCAGCAGGTTAACAAACGTGAAGCTGTACTGGAGGAGATATGTCAGGACAACCGGAATACCGGATCGCAGCAGCAGCGACGCCTCTTGCTTGACCATGACACCCGTGCTGACTGAGTCCTTGAGCTCATACTCGCTAAAGAGTGTTGTAGCTGACAGGGATTTGTTTAGCGTGTCCTGAGTCGATTTCCGGATTCCTGGTTGCTGGAAAGCAGCGGCGTTGACTCTGTTGAAACTTGATTTCTGGATATCGACATCGTGGTACGTCTGTAAATAAAGAAGGGGCGCGTCTAGTGCTTGAATATACTGGGTTTCTTGCGCTCTAGTGGAGAAGAGAAGGACAAAAGGTTTTTTGCTGCTGCTTTTTTTGTGGCCAACAAAGCCGGTGCTTTTAAAGGCAGAAAGCACAAATGCGCTATTTTCATTTGTTGAATTGCAAGCTCAAAGAATGTACCCAATGGTGCCCCAATGTGCTACGCCCGCGCGCAGCCAGCGGCAGCAGAGCCGATCAGTTGCGGGCACGACTTCACCAACCCGCTGAGGTACTGTGCCGATCGCCGTTCTGAGCCGACATTACGTTGGTCACTGCTGGAGAGCCAGGCGACCAGATATTCAGCTGCTATTCCGTTGTTCAGGGACCACATCCACTGTTCACAAACACCTGCTGGATATCTATTGATGACACCCCTCCAAATCCGCGGCATTGGCGACTCGTTGCTGAGCAGGTTGAGAACATAGCATCTATGTCACTTTTGCTTTCTTATCTCGATGGCTATGGTTTATATCATGTCTGTGCTGGTGGTGAGGTTTCTACAAAGTTTGCTCGTGGTACCTGGAGTGGGCTCGGCCAAGCTAGCAGAAGGTGAAGACGGGCATGATATTGTCTCAATTTGGCGTTGTTGTGAAGCGAAATGAAATGAACTGGATGCTGCAGCATGCGATTTCAGGCTATTGATGGTTCAGTCCATCATGCCCATCTCCGCTATATTGCACCCAGAAATACTCCGATGTAGTGGACACAACATTGAATACATTCGGCTATACACTAGTCGTGCCACTATTTGGGACGGTGTTAAATGAGTGTAGTGTGATCCAGTCAGCATCCTTCTGATATCTGGCCGACACTGCGCTGCACCTCATCGTCCCAATTGGCACGTAGAATTATCCAACACTGAAGGAGAACGGCAAGTGTGACACCTAAGAATAGCCCGAACCACAGCCCGAGAACGCCGGTCTTGGGCGGGCCGTAGGTCAAAAAGAGACCCAGCGGGAACCCAACCACATAGTATGCGACAAAGTTGATCCAAGCCCCCGCAGTCTGCCTGCCCATACTGCGCAGAATGCCAGACCCGACGCTATTGACAGCATCAGCTAGTTGGAACAACGCATTCGCCGGCATTATCAGCGCAACGCACGCAACGACCTGCTCGTCTTGCGAATATACCCGTCCCCACCAGCTTCTAGATAGGACGCCAAATACCTAGGCATATAACCCCTGTACAAACGCCAAGTGACATTCCAACCGTTGCACATATCCCAGCATGTCTTGGCCGCTCCAGGCCCTAAAAGATTGCCAACACGATTACACACAGCAACGCTCTGACCATCGGCAAACTGGTATGTCAGTGTGCATGTGTTGATGACGATCGACTGCGCCGCTAGCGTGACGCTGCCTAGGTAGCTGGCAGCCTAGAGCCAGAAGATCCAGAATCCACCACTCCGAGCAGATCATGATCATCGATGGAATAGCCAGCTTGAAGTACTGTGGCATCGTCCACAGCGCATGGACATTCCAGCCACCCCACGCGTTGCGTGCATCCGACCTTGCAGCATACACCGTGATCAGGACAAACATGAGCCAGTACGTAACCACATTGGCGAAGGCTGCACCAAGGAACCCCATTCCGACCACCGGCGACCACACAAATATGCAGTTGTTAGCCACATGGATAGGAGCGATGATCAGCAGAACGACAGTGCTTGCGCGCATATGGCCCTGTGCCTGTAGGTACCGCTTGATGCACTCAAAGTACATCCACGCCAGCGACCCGAGCAGCTGCACACGCATGAAAGTGGCAGCACATGTGCGAGACAGTCGGGTCCTGCTTCAGCCAGATGAACAGCGTATCAATATTCCACAGCAGCGGCACAATGAACAGGAAGTGACCAGTCACGGCAATGATGCCACGCTGCAGGTGGAAGCCAACCAGTGTTGTGTCCTGTGAAGCCGTGAACGCCGTCGAGCAGTAAGTATCCAGTGCCGATGCAAGACCAACAGCAGGCGCGTTGATAGCAATCATCGCCGTCATATTCGCCAGAGAAGCAGCCGCGAGCTCACTGGCACCAATATGCCCCAGCACTAGTAGATTAACAAAAGTAAGGCTGTACTGGATCAGGTATGTCAAAATTGCTGGTAGGCTTGACCAAAGTATCAGGGCTGCTTCCTTTCTTTCTGGTGTAAAGGCATTATCCGAGGTTCTCCCGCATGTGTTCATCAGATGCACCTTCGTCCAAAGATGTTCTGGTTAGCGGCCTGAATTCGTGCCCAAGATCCTCCTGAGATGCATGATTCGCTGTCTCTTTGCATAGCATCTGTGCTGGCAGCCACATTGGTGGTTGGAGTATAATGTATATGGGTGGGAGACTGGTAAGAATACCCGGTAATGAAGAAAGATTCAGTTATTAGAAAACTGTAGTGGTCATATCTAGTTAGCAAACCATTTTGAAACTCCTGTATTCCACGGTCCAGAACATCACTGATCACCAAGAGATCGTTAATGCACAATCTTTTAAACAAAAACGATTTTCTAACCGTGTTTCAGAGACTAAATACCCGATATGATAGCCAACAGGTGCAATTGGTGGATAGGATATATGGAAACGTAGTAACAATGATCTGAAGGGCAGCTCCATCACGGTACAACATGGCACTGAATGCTATGCCAAGGACCCGTAGTCCTGGGGGCTTTGTTGAATATCGCTAATGGCGATCACCTGGGAATCCTATTCTGCACCGCCTGGTATTTAGTCGGTCTGGATAAAATCAAACGCCGGATGCAGCGCTCAACCTCCTTGTCCCAGTCGGTGCGGTAGATGATAAAGTACAGCTGCACCACAGCCGAGATGACAGTGCCGATGCACGTGCCCCACCACAGCCCCACCACCTTCATGTCCAGCGGACCGTAGGCAAAGTACAGGCTCAGCGGCAGCCCGATCAGATTGAACGACGGCACAATAATGCATGCGCCGAGCTTCTGGCGGCCCAGCCCGCGCAGGATCGCGCCGAAGACCTGGTTCAGCCCGTTGCAGGTGAGGAAGATGCCAGCCACAGGCATCAGGTCAATAACCACCTGGGTGACCTCGGGGTCGCTGCTGTAGAGATTGCCCCACCACTCGCGCGCCAGCACAAACGACAGCGTGGTGGCAGTGCCCACAACGATGGTCATGATGGTGATGATGTGCGACGATATGCGAGCACGTCTGGCTTTGCCGGCGCCCAGCAGGTTTCCGATACGCGGGGTGGCAGTGAAGCCCATGGCGCTCGGGATCTGGCCCGACAGCGAGATGATGTTGAGGATGATTGCCTGCGCCGCCAACTGCGCTGCGCCAAAATACGAGGCAGCCAGGGACAGGCTCTCGTATGCCCACCACTCGCCGCACGTGGTGATCACAGCCGGAATCCCAAGCTTGTAGAAGGCACCCAAGCCATGCAGGCACTCGCGCGACCACCCGCCCCAGCACTGGCGTGCGTCGGCATTCATGCTGGCATACGCCCAGATGCCCAGGAACATGAGCCAGAACGTAATGGTCAGGTTCAGCGGCGCGCCAAGGTACCCGATCCCAAAGGTCGGCGACAGAATCAGCAGGTAGCTGTTGGCCCAGTGGATGGGAGCCGCAACCAGGATGACGATGGTGCTGGCACGCATAATGCCCTGCGCCTGCAAGTACCGCTTCGTGCACTCGTACAGCGCCCATGGCAGCACGCCCGGCAGAAACACCAGCATGTACTCGCCGCACAGCCTCGCAATCTCGGGGTCCTGGCCCAGCATCAGCATCAGCCATTCCATGTTCAGAAACACGATGCTGACCGGGATCAAATGCAGGACCACTGCGACCACGCCGCGCTGGAAATGCAGCCCCACCAGGGTCTTGTCGGTTGAGGCAGTGAAGGCGCTCGAGCAGAATGTATCCATGGCCGACGCAAAGCCAAGCGCCGGCGCCAATGCAAACACACCCGAGACCATGTATGCCAGCGATGTGGCAGCCAGCTCCTTGGCGCCAATGTTGCCGATGGCCACAAAGTTTGCAAAGCCAAGGCTGAACTGCAGAAAGTACGTTGCCACAATTGGAACCGACGACGCGGCGAGCCACTCAAACTCCTGCTTGGCAACTATCCGGTACGGCTTCCTTCCGCGGTACTGCGGCTGGTACTGAGTGTACTGTGCAGCTGGCTTGAGTAGACGCATGTCTTCACTAGCAAAAGTGAAGCCAGCAGTATCAGCTAGTGTTGACTGGGATCCAAGACGCTTCGAATGAGTTGGTGCCATTACACTAAAAGGAATGCGATGAAAACAAGGGGTGGGGGGATGGCAGACTGCTCTTTGCGTGCTCTTGAAATTCCTCCCAGCTAGTTCCTCTTTTATATCACAGAACCGAAGCATATTACTAGGCTTGCTGTCGAACAGGCCAAGGGGGAGAGGTTTGTAAATTACGAAACAAAATGGCACGCCAAAATACATCTGCAAAACGTTGTATATTGCGAGAACAACCCACGTTCAGCAGCCAATAGTGCTAGCTTTGTTGATGCTCCTTGAATACCGAAACATTGCCTGAGAAGGCTAAAATGTCAGTTTGCGTCATCCACTACGACATGGACGTTTCTTGCCAGCCAGGGGGAATTACACATGTCCAGGGGGGAGTGCAAATGTTTCAATTCAATCGATATGCATCGGCAGCTGTATAGTGGTGGATATCTCGAGGATCTTGTGGTCAAGTGACATTACCACACCAGAATGCGTGTAGATGGCAAACGATAACGCAACGTGGAATTCTAACTATAAACAAAACAAGGCTCTTCAAGACGCTTAGAAAGGAGGCATGGCGGCAGCCTCTTTTTCGATTCGTAGGAACGTCCACTGCCAGCGGCGGTAGATTTCCAGGACATTGAGCCATAGGCCACCGTACGGCATGGTGTCAATCTGGATATGCGGGCTCAGCTTCATTGCCCACGCAACGCGCAGCAAGAAATCTGTGGCCATGGCAAAATAGTACAGCATGGGCGGCGCAAAACACAGGCGAGGCCGCAAAATCCACTCAAAGCTATTGCTCCTGCTGGCTTCCTCCTTCAGAGCGTCGGCTGGCGACAAATGCGATGTCGCTACACCCTTCTCCTCCTGTTCTGCATCGCCACCGTCGTTGGCTGCATGGTGTGTTCTCACGGCTGCCTGTGGTGCGATCAGGTCGGCAATCCGCCAGCCAGTCGTCCTTGAGTATCCGAGATCCCAGTCAAACGCAATGTCCCAGTAAAACGAGTACAGCGAGTTAAAGGCAACCGACAGAATCCACAGCCCAAACACAAACCCAATCGACCAGTCCGACGACTTTGCGCCCAGCAGCCCGCGCACCACGACCTTTTTCTGCGTCGCTGACAGACAGATTACCGGAAACGACGACGCGTATTTCACAGCATTCGCCAAGTGCCGCTTGGCCTCCGAGCTGTGTCTCGGCGCCTTCATGTACTCGTTTACGCACTGACGCAGCCGGAACGCATATGGCATCGCAACCACTAGCGCTCCCAATGTGCCTGGGTCCACGCACATGGTCCCGGTTTCCTTGGACCGCACAGCATCAGCCAGTCTGCCAAGCTCGCTGTCCGTGTCGTTAATGTCGAGCGGCGATTCGAATGTGCGGCCACAGCAGGGTGGAAAACTGGCACATAACCAGACACAGGTCGGCCAATATCCGTGCGCAGCTGGTCAGGATATCCGCCATGATAACATCCGAGAGAAACACCGGGTCAGACATGCTCGGCTTGACAATGCGCACCAAGGACCGGAACCAGCTGCATGCGCGTCGCATGGAACAGGAACCCGCTGCGGCAGGACCAGAATCGCCAATATCAGCAGGTACGTGAACAAGGTGATGCCTGTCTGCACACTGGGTGCGGCGGCATTCATCGAGCTCAATAGCCAGCCGAGAAACGCAATGGCCGCCCAAGAGGGCTGTGAGACGGTACACGCCCTGGTGAAGAGCGTCGCCGCGGTGCTGTCCAAGCTGCAGAATCGGGTGCACGTCGATGCTCTTGCGCGCCAGCAGCTGGAGGTTGACGGCCCACCCAAACGCAGCGAGGAATTATTAAGAGTAGGACCTGGTAGGCTATTGGCAAGTACATGGTCGGGCCCGGAATTAGCACATCAGTTAAGAAAAGTAGAAAAATCGAGTTCAAGGTAGAAAAAGAGCGTTCTGTTTTGGATCTCGACAAGCACAGGGCGAGACTGCTCATCCCCTATTTTTAGGCCTCATCGGCTCACTGCTTGCCCAGACGGTTCAGGTAAGCAGCCCAGCCAGCGTCGCGGTAGCGCTTGGCCTCCACAACCGGGTCCTTGCCGGCGCCATAGATTCCACGGCCAACAATGATGATGTCGGACCCGTTCTCGGTGACAATGAGCTCCGGCGTGCGGTACTGCTGGCCCAGCGCGTCGCCGGCCGCATGCAGGCCGACGCCCGGCGTCATGGTGATCAGGTCGCGCTCCTCAGTGAACCGCTTCGACCCGATGAACCCAATGACAAACTCGTTCCTCACCGCCATCTCGACGTTCTTGTCGGTGTACGCACCGGTCGCCAGCATGCCCTTGCTCGACATCTCGGCCAGCAGAAGCAGGCCGCGGCCCTTGGGAACGCCCACCTCGGCCAGGCCCTGGATGATGCCCTCGCCCGGAATCACGTGGCAGTTGGTGATGTGGGCCCAGTCGGCGATCCGGTACACGCCGCCGCCGTACTGCAGCTTCACGGTGTTGCCGATGTCGGCGAACTTGCGGTCCTCGAAGATCAGGAAGTCGTGCTTGGCAGCCAGAGCCTGCAGCTGCGCGACCAGGTCCTGGTCAAAGTCCGAGATCACGTCGATGTGCGTCTTCAGCACGCAGATGTAAGGCCCGACCTTGTCTGCCAGAGCCAGCAGCTCGGACTTGGTGCTCACGTCGGCCGCCAGCGACAGGTTGCTCTGCTTGCGCTCCATGATGGCAAACAGCTCCTTGGCCACCGGGTGCGAGTGGGCCTCGCCACGCGCCGCGTATGTCTGCTGGGAAAACGAAACCATTTTTCTTCACTCAATTACTCAAACGCAAAATTAGAGATAAGAAATCTTTGTCGGCGCTGGAACAATGCGGTGGGGGGAAGAAAGTGTCGTACTTTTCGTCAAAAAAGGATGGCAAGAAAAAGGCTAAAAAAGAGGCTATTTACAGGGTAAAACAACGGTTTTCAGATGGGCGCTCCTCGCAAGCAAAAGCGAAGCTCGCCAGTCATACGCAAGTGCGCACACTATTCAGAAAAATAACCCCTCTCTTGGCGCCTCGATTCCTACATAAAGTTATGACGTCCCGTGCAGAGACAGATCTTGACATACGACGAAGCTTGCAGACGTTTTTTGCTTGTGAGAGCCACCCGTTCTACAGTACAGACGCGGTGTGGGAGATGGTTAGAACCAGCTGTTCTTGCTGTCGCCCTCCAGCGCAGGCGGCATGGGAGGGGGGCCGTTGGGGACGTAGTGGCCGCCGCCACCGCCGCCGCTGTTGTTGGCGCGCGACGAGAAGCCGCCCGAGCGGCCGCTGCTGCCCTGGTTGCCGCCGCTCTGCTGGCGGAAGTCGCGGTCGCTGCGGTTGAACTGCGAGCGGTGGTCGCGGGAGCCGCTGCTGCGCGAGCTGCCATAGCCGCCGCCGTAGCCGCCGCCATAGCCGCCACGGCCGCGACCGCGACCGCCAAAGCCAGTCGACTCGCGAGCCACAACGGTGAGCCACTGCGGGATCTCCTGGTTGGACTCCTTGAGCAGATCAATCAGGCCGCGCACAATGTTGCGGTTGCCACGGTTGAAGAAGCTGGTGGCAATGCCGGTGTTTCCAGCACGTCCAGTACGGCCGACGCGGTGCACGTACTCGTCGGGATCGGTGGGAAGATCGTAGTTGATCACATGCGACACGTTGGGGAATGTCGAGACCACGGGCAGCAACGGCAGTGGCAACCAGGATCGGCGTGCGGCCAGTGCGGAAGTTGTCCAGAGCGCGCTCGCGCTCGCGCTGGGTGCGGTCGCCGTGGATCGCCGACGCCGGGATGTTCTGGTCAAGCAAAAAGTCGCTCAGGCGGTCGGCCATGCGCTTGGTCTCAACAAACACCAGCGTCAGGCCATCGGGGCTGGTCGAGCTGAGGATGTCCAGCAGCACCGAGTGCTTGTCCTCGTCCTCGACGTACTCGATCTTCTGGGTGATGTTCTCGCTGGTCGAGCCGACGCGGCCAACCGACAGGAAGATATAGTCGCGGAGGAAGTCGCGCGCCAGCATCTGGATGTCGCGCGGGAACGTGGCCGAGAACATGAGCGTCTGGCGGTCATTGACGCCGGGCATGTCCTCCTGCTCAACGATGCGGCGGATCTGGGGCTCAAAGCCCATGTCCAGCATGCGGTCGGCCTCGTCGAGAACCAGGTAGCGGATCTGGCTCAGGCTGACACGTCCGCGCTCGATCAGGTCGACCAGGCGGCCAGGCGTGGCCACCAGCAGGTCGCAGCCACGCTCCATCTGGCGCAGCTGCTGGCCGATGTCGGCTCCACCGTACACGACGCACGGCTTGACCCACGAGCGGTAGCAGAACTTGCGCGCCTCGTCGTAGATCTGCGACGTCAGCTCACGCGTCGGCGACAGGATCAGCGCGATCGGGTGCGCCTTGCGCGAGCGGTACGGGTTGCGTGCCTCGACGTTCGCCAGCTCAGGCGGCCCGGTGCGGTACGACTCGTTCAGGATCGGGAACAGGAATCCCACCAGTCTTTCCGGAACCGGTCTGCGCACACGCCATCATGTCGCGCTCGTGGCGGCCAAAGCTAATGGACCACTTCTGGACCGGGGTGGGAACCGTGTAGCCCGAGAGCTTGATGTTCTCCAGCAGCAGCGGATCGAGATCGGCCTCGTCAAACTAATTGAATGCAGAGAATGCAGTGCGTTACGCAGCCATTAATATACCAGTCACAGAAATCCGGGGGCAGGGGTGGGAACAAAAGGGCCCCTATGCATGAGACCAATCGCAGTAACAGCATGCAAAGCACTTACGCTAGTGATGGGCTCGGGCACGTCCTTGCCCGATGCCTCGACGGGGATATCGTCGTACTTTTCAAAGTTGATGCCCGTGTGCATGCGCTCGGGGTCGTCGGGCGAGCCAAACAGCTCGACCTCGATGCGCTGGTTGCGCTGTCCGAGGACGTGCTTGCCGTTGGCCCACATGCCGTAATAGGCCTGGCGGCCTCGGCCGCCATAGCTGCTGTGGCTATCGTCGCGGCGCCCGGCCCAGGTGGTGGTGCGCTGCATCGAGTCGCCGCGGTTGCTGTTCCAGCCGCCGCTGCCACGCGAGCCGCGGTCCTCGCCAAATCCGCCGTGGCGGTCGCCGCGGGGAGCACGCCGGTCGGAGCCAAAGCCATCGGCTCCAGGGCGCTCCGAGGAGCGGCTGCGGTCGCGGGGCGGCACGCCGTCGCCGCTCCACGAGGCGGTGCGCTCCATCGCCGAGTTCTTGTCGACGGGCGACGCAGGAGGCTTACCGCGAAGGTGGGGCGGAATGTAGCGCTTGGGGGCGCCGCCGCCCTTACCCTTCTTGTTGCTGTTGTCATTTGAGCCATTAACACCCAGGCCAGCTATGCGCACACAAAGAGAAAGAGCATATAGTGGTTAGCTGCTGCTGCAGTGGTGTCACGTCAATAGTGGCAGGGCGAGAGCTGCTGCCACATGCCGCTTGGCGGAATTTGGTCCTTACCCATACGCTGATCTAGGTTTCCCGGGACATTGCTGTTGTTGGTACTAGTCATAATAAGTCAAAAGGGGTGTCTTTTGGAAGGCTGACTTTTTCTTTTGGAGGCGCTGCTGTGCGAGAGAAATTCTATGTCCGATTGGCGGTGTAAAATCACTGAGAGTGAAATTATGAGAGGCTTCTTTTGAATAAGAGACTGTAGATAATTGGCAACAGTGAAGTTGGAATTATACAGGAAAAATAAAAAGGCCTGGCGATGAGAAGGATATAGAAGAAAATAGAGAAAAGAGGAGGTTCTGCCCGCTGGCGCACTTGCCCGTGCCTCTTAACATGCTCTGCAGCGCCGGCTGTTGGCTGGAGCGAGTGCCTGTGGGAGCTTTGGCCAACCCAACAAAAAAATGCCCCACCCCAGCAGTGTTTGGAAAATTTTTGCTCAATCTGTGCAAGTGATGTAATTCGTGTGATCGTGATCATCGGAACAGGCGGGGATTGCGCCGAGACCCACCAGGGAAGGTCGCACCTGGACCCAGCGCGACGGACAGCCCCCGATCGCTGCTCGGCGGGCGAAAGCGGGGACGGGCTTTGGTGGGCAGACGGCCAGAAGCTGTTTTTCCTTATCTCCCACGGCCTGTGTGAGTGGCAGCCAGCCCCCAGGCTGTGTGATATGCGGCCAATTTACTAGCGGGCCAAGGCGATCAGGTCGAAATGATGGGCACATGGGAACGCTTCGTTTTATTTCGCCGCTTTTAAACTCCAGGAATTCCAATCATCTAGCAGGCTATCTCGGAGAGGCGATCGAATGGGCAGGCGCCTGGATGCATGCAAGACACCTCAGTATCTCTTATCGCAATGGTCATCCGGCCATTCATGTCGGTATATCTGGTGAATGGCAGCTGCTGTTCCTCTCGGGCTGAGAGCACGCCCAAAGCCTGAACCAGGCTGGCGAGATAGATGGCATCCCTCCTTTGATAAGGCATGGCAGGGAGCCCGGTATGGCGGCCAATGTACACATATGGCCAGCCTTGTGCCGCTGCGCCAAGCCTGGCTCCCTCTACCTGGGCAAGCTGCACCTTCCAGACTGCGCCTTCCAGATTGCACCAAAGGCCACCACCACCTCGCCTCCCTCATTTCGCTTATCACGCATGCCTAAAACGGGATGCCCGTCACAGCATCTCCGCAACTACTTGCGTTTATCGTACTGATAACGAGCAGTTAAAAGAAGGCATGGCTTGGGCAGGCAAATCCCTGGACCAGGCACTGGAGACTGCGGTACTTTGTTTGCATGTCTGTTGCAAATGCGCATTCTAAAATCCAGTTTTACATAGCACAGGGGGTGCACCATCCCATTGCTGGCAATCAAATATTTGAAGTCACGGTATTGGCCTTATCTATCTGCCACCCGCTGCCGCGATTGGTGCCAGCCAGGCCAGCCAGAGCAAAAAAGGGGCCATAGATAAGCAAGCTGGGCACGAGTTGGGCGTGCAGCACGCTCCTGCCCAAAAAAGCATGTAATATTGTCAGTCACAAATTCTTTGCCAACGGGATATAAAAGGCCGCAGATGAGCTGGCCATGACAGCCCATGAAACCCATCTTTCATTCAGCATTCAGCGAGACTGTGAAGACCCCTTATTCTACATTCTAACACCATATGCCTCCTACACTGTACATTTTGTAACCTCTTTCCCATACAGAAACCATGCCCTCCAGCAACTTTGCCGACATCGCCGCTAGCCTGCCCCGGCTACCGGTCCCAGACCTTGCTGACACAGCGTCGCGGTTCGCCGCCGTAGCAAAGCCGCTGTTCTCCACACAAGAGTACGAGGCATGCATGGCCAAGTTTGCACATTTCATGGCCAACGAGGCCCCGGTGCTGCAGGCCCGGCTCCACGAGCGCTCGACACAGCATGTCAACTGGCTCGAGGACTGGTGGAACGAGTATGCGTACTTTGAGAACCGTGCTTCGGTGTGCTTCAATGTCAACTACTTCTTTGGCTTCCGCCCCACACTGCAGCCCGTGCCGCAGTCGCGCCTTGCTGCCACCCTCATTGACAGCGCGCTGCGCGTGCGCCAAGAGCTCGAGTCGGGTGCCTTTGCACCGGACCAGATTCGCGGAAAGCACATGTGCATGCACCAGTACCAGTACCAGTTCGCCACATGCCGCCACCCTGGCGAGACGCGCGACCACACCGAGGTGTACTCGCTCGAGGAGAGCAGCCATGTCGCCATCGCACACAAGGGCCGCTTCTTTGTGCTGCGCCCGCCCGCGCTGGGCCAAGACCGCTACGCAGCCATTGCCCAGATTGAAGCGTAAGTATCGGAAAATAATTGGCTGCTGAAAGAAAAAAACTGCCGCGGATTTCATTGGCCCTATAGGAAAGCCCACTGATAAGGCCCGATACCGCCTTTCCCGCCAGTTATCGCATCTCCTATCTCCTATCTCATGCACAGCGCATGCGGCATGTGATTCCCTGATGCTTATTTCCATACCTTTGTATCTGTTGGGCTCGGCCATTTGCTCGCGTATATCGGGCTGTCGATCCCGATTGCACTGAAAGGATCCGCTGCAGGCCGCCCCGTCGGAGCCACCTTTTCCCTATATGGCTCCCGAAAATCCAGGTGCAGCTCACTCAACACTAACCAACTGATCTGCATTTTCTGCTATTTCCCCTGTAGCCAGCTTCAGCGCATTATTGACACCACCGCCGAGCTCGAGCGTGCCAAGTCCATTGGCATCCTGACCGCTGCTCTGCGCGATGACTGGTACGCTGCCCGCGAGTGCCTGCTCCAGGTCTCTCCTGAGAACGCCGCCAGCCTGCGCCTGATCGAGTCCTCTGCCTTCCTCGTCAGCCTCGAATCCTCTTCCCCGGCTACCCACCAGCAGTTCTCGCTTGAGTGCCACTGCAGCAACGGCATCAACCGCTACTTTGACAAGAACTTCCAGATCCTGGTCTTTGCCAACGGCCGCTACGGCTTCAACGGCGAGCACTCTCTGACCGATGCCACCACTGACATGCGCCTGTGCAACACTCTTGTGCACGACGTCGAGTCTCTGGCTGTCGCCAACTTCCCTGCGGCTGCTGCCGAGTCTGAGGCCGAGGAGATCAAGTTTGACTTCAACGGCCAAGCTGCTGGGCCACATCAGCAAGGCCATTAGCTACTTTGATGCCACCGTCAGTGCACACGAGCTGTCGACCCTCACCTTTGACAGCTTTGGCAAGGAGCAGATTAAAAAGATGAAGGTCAGCCCCGACGCCTTTGTGCAGATGGCCATGCAGCTCGCCTACTACCGCAAGTTCCGCCAGGTGCCGCCGACCTACGAGTCCGCATCGACCAAGGCCTACGCCCGCGGCCGTACCGAGACCTCGCGCTCTGTCTCCGATTCCAGCGCCGAATGGTGCAGCTCGATGGTTGACCACCCTGAGGCCACGAGCCTGCATGCCAAGTCGGAGCTGCTGCGCGCTGCCATTGTCAAGCAGTCGCAGTACACCGCCATGTGCTCGAAGGGCCAGGGCATCGACCGCCACCTGCTGGGCCTGCAGCTCTCGCTGCTGCCGGGCGAACCCGTTCCTGAGCTGTTCACCGACCCAGTTTTCACTGGCTCACGCCACTGGAAGCTGTCGACGTCTCAGATCAGTGACCCAATCCTGGATGCTTACGGCTGGGGTGAGGTCGTCGACGACGGTTTTGGCGTTGCCTACCGGATCGACAGCAACTCGCTGAGCTTCAATGTTGTCAGCCAGCACCTGGGCTCCCAGCGGCTGTGCCAGTACCTGAATGACGCTCTCATGGACATGCGCTTCCTGCTGGTCAACGCCCACAAAGAGCCCCACCAGATCAAAGCCGAGGTTGATGCTGTAGCCAATGTCTTGCGTTCCATCAAGCTTGCTTCGTCTCGCACCTCACCGATCCACACCCCCGCGCATGCTGTGGCACATGAGCTTCACGCTGCTGACGAGCTGGGCCGGCTGTCATCAAATGAAGTCATTTGCGCGCTAGAGACCCGCCTCTCGCGCTTTGTCAAGGAGTCGCTATCGTGGGCCATGCCCTCGACCAGCTAAGCTGCTGCCTGAGCAATATACCCATCAGTGTACATTCGACTGCGGCTTTGGAGTCTGGAGTGCTGCGCATCATTGCACGGCTCTATCCCCTTCATTGCAAAACTATGATTTTTATATAAATGCCCTAAGAAATATTCTCTATCGCAGTTGAAAGTTGGCAAGGGCCTGTGCCCTATTACAATGCCACTGTGGTCTAGCTCTAAACAACTGTGATGTCATCTTTCACAGCAACCCAGTGGCAAAAGAATTGTAAAGCCCTGGATTCATGCCTCGGCGCCATCAATCCACTTCACTTTCACAGCACCATTCTCGCGGAATGTTTCCGGGAGGCTGATGAACCGAGTTGGCAAGTGGATGTTCAAGGTACTGTAGGGGATATTGAGGGTAACCTCTGGCATCTTCCTTGCATTGTACTCCTTCAGGTCCAGGCTCACCTGGCTACGCTCGGCATATACAGCCATAAAGCGCTGGATTATCAGGGAGCCAGAGAGTTGAGCGTTTGTAGAGGACATTTGAAACATGCGCGCGCACACATACTCAGCCATGATGTCACCGCGCGTGGTTGTGAGTTCGGCGGAGCGCATGATGGCGTTATTGAGGCTTATTGGGGCCAGAGTGGTGGAGATCTGGAGTGAGCGGCGGACGTTTATCCGGTTGGCGTTCACGTTGCCCTCGGTGGTTTTGAGCACCATGAAGCGGGCATTGCACTCTGTGCACATTATCGGGCGCCTTTCGGTAATAACATCGATTGATTTCTGTGCCTTGGCATCGAATAGCAGCACGTACGTCTGCGTGCACTCCACCCACAGGAACTGGCACCGCACACTCGAAATCAAGCACCGGCCCTTGCTAGTCAGGATGCGGATGTCGCCAAACTGTGACTTGGCAAGGTCGTGGAGCACCATGTGGCAGTTTGGCGCATCGATGTGCAGGCCCGGCAGCACTGCCGTAGTGTGCGGCATGTAGATAAACACCTTTGTGTATATCAGTGGCGGGTCGATTTGTGTGAGCTCCAGGGCATATGTGTCTTTGGTGGTGGTGGCACGAACTGCATTGCGGATTTCATCGATTTGCGGTGCTGAGGTAATGTGGAGATCAATGCACACGGTGACAATAGTGGTATTGTATGGATTCGAGTCTGGTTCGACCAGAAACGAGCTGGTCTACGCGTGCGTAGAGGGTGATGCCAAAAGTATTTTTTAGTGCAAAGACCTGAGTAAAAATATTGGATGTTACATGGGATGCCTCCGCTTACCATATTAGTGTCTTTGCGGATAGATAGCAGTCGCAACATGTCGTACTTTACAACCACGGTGTGCTTTGGCGGTTCTCTCAGCTCGAGCACTGGCTGGCCAAGGCCAATTTGCTCTGGCAGCTTGCCCTTTGCCATTACAACAGGCTGATACATGGCGTATGTGCGAAAAAGGAAAAATGTGATGGCTATTATACTGAGGATGGAGCAAAAAGGAAATAGAGGAAGAAATTAAACGATTCAGAAAAGAAAGGTGGCAAGCGGTCAGGGGGGTCTCCAGGCCAGGCAGCAGGGGGACGGTGTATCTGCGAATCCCTGCCACCTGACGACAGAAGGGTGTGTCCAGGTCGGCGCATACCCAGAAAGCAGGAAAATGGAGACAAGTACGCGCACAATAGACGTCTATCTTTAAGCATTGCCTCTCTGGGCACGGACCCGGCGCTTGGCCTCCTCGAGCGACACAGCGCGCTCGCCGTACTTTTGCTCGGCGCACTGCTGGTGGTACTTTTTGCCCCTGGTCATCACGCAGTGCTCCTTGATGATGGCGCCGCACTCGACGCACAGGCGGCCGTTCTGGATGTACCAGTGCCATTCGCACAGGGGCTGGCCGTCGTGCTCGTAGCACTCGTCGCCGACAAACGGCGACTGGCAGATCGAGCACACGAAGCACTCCGAGTGATACGTGCGGCCCAGGGCCACAACCATCTCCCCCGAGGTAATCGGAATGGCACATGCGTGGCAGTTGGGCGAAAAGTGCTGCAGGTAGTCGCGCTGGCAGTAGAACTTCTCGCCTCCCACAGGGTCCTGCAGGTATCCGCCCAGGGCATACAGCGGGATACGACAGTCATGGCATACAAAATGCATGACGTGGAACCGCCGCCCTTGAATGTTGATGTACTCGTCGCTCAGCGGCTCCTGGCACGCCTCGCACACTGTCGGCGCGCTGTGTGCTGGCTGGAAGTACTCGTTCAGCGTCTGCGTCGACTCGAACTCGCCCGTGTTCGCCCGGTTCGGCATTGGCGTCACATTCGTCTCCTCCACGTTCAGCACGCCCTCGCAGTTCACGCAGCAGTATCCGATCTCGCTGTTCAGCGACGCCGAGCCGCTGCCCGCCAGCTGCGTCCCACAGTACGCACACACTGTCGGCGTCGCCGTGCTGCCGCCCTGCCCGCCGAACGCCAGTGATGCGCGGTGCGCCTGCCGGCTGCTGCTTGGCGCCAGGCTCGTCGAGCTCAAGGACGTCGAGAGCGGCCGCCTGGCGTCGTCATGTGATGTGCTTGCGGCTGTGGTGCCAGCATGGCGGATCACAGGCGGACTCGTGGGGCTGGTGCTTATTTCTGTCTCCACCTTGAGCGTTTCCAGCTTGTCGGCCAGCTGCGTGACTATTGCCTCCACTGTCTCGCGGTCTGCCGAGCGCAAAGTATCGACCAGCGGCTCCTTTGTTTGCGCAGAGGAAGTCATTTCGCCTTGTGTTTTGAAAATAAAAAAGTATGCGAAAAAGTGCTGGAATAAAAAAGCAGTTGGGAGAGAAAAAATGGCTCGAAGCTCCCAGTGAAATCGCTATGTGGTGGATCCCTTTTTATGAAGCTGCACCCAGCCGCTCATACTTGCTGCCAAACTCAAGCACAGACGGCTCTGCGCTTTCTACTCCTTGCCGAAAGACGCCTTTTCTCTCTTTTATAGAGTAGGGTTCCAAGTTCGCAACTGCCTTTTAGACAGAAAGAGGATGGTTTGGGCAAGAGCTCGCTCAAGAAGCAAGGCGGGAGGAGGGGTGTGCATGAGAGATTGCGGAATCCGCCAGCTTTCCCTCGCTGCAGCATCTGTTCACGATTGGCATTCCTACTCAGCAAGAGGTACTCTATTTGATGTTGTAGAGGCCAATGACATCGGCGTCAGCAGCGCCCTTCGCCTTGGCATCGTCCGAGCGCTGCTGCTCGAGGTTGTCCAGATACTCCTTGGTGACGTCGTTGGTGACATACTTGCCATCAAACACCGACGTGTCAAAGTTCTTGATCCGCGGGTTGAACTGGCGGCATGACGCAACCAGATCATCCAGGTCCTGGAAGAACACGCGATCAGCGCCCAGCACGGACGCAACCTCCGAATCGTCGCGGTCGGCAGCCACCAGCTCCTTCATCGACGGCATGTCAATGCCGTAGACGTTCGGGTGGCGGATGGCGGGTGCAGCCGACGCAAAGTACACCTTGCGCGCGCCCACATCGCGCGCCATCTGGATGATCTCCTGCGACGTGGTGCCGCGCACAATTGAGTCGTCGACCAGCAGCACGTTGAGGTCCTTGAACTCAGTGGCCATCGCGTTGAGCTTGCGCCGCACGTTCTTGCGCCGCATCTCCTGTCCAGGCATGATGAACGTGCGTCCCACGTACCGGTTCTTGTTGAAGCCCTCGCGGTACGGCAGACCCAGCTCGTGCGAGAGCTGCAGCGCTGCGGCTCGGCTCGTGTCTGGCACTGGGATCACCACGTCGATGTCCATGGTATCGCCCATCTCGGCGCGGATCTTGTGCGCCAGCTTGACGCCCATGTCCAGCCGCGCGTTGTAGACGGGGATGCTGTCGATGGTCGAGTCGGGACGCGCAAAGTACACATACTCGAAGATGCACGGGGCGATGACCTCCTCCACTACCAGCCGGCGCCGCGTCACTGCAAACTTGGACACGATGATGACTTCGCCAGGCTGCACGTCCTCGACGTCGGTAAAGTCCAGCGCGTCGAGCACCACACTCTCCGACGCAAACATGTAGTCGTACCCCTTGCCCGACGACGACTTGCGCCGCCCAAACACCAGCGGCCGGATTCCGTGCGGATCGCGGAACCCAATGATGCCGAATCCCGCCAGCATCGCCGTCACCGCATACGCTCCGCGGCATTCCTTGTACAGACCCTGGATCGCCGTGAAGATGTCCTGCTCGTTGATGCGGAACTTGCCCGTGCGCTGCAGGTTGTTGGCGAAGATGTTGAGCAGCAGCTCGCTGTCCGAGTCCGTGTTGATGTGCCGGTGCGCGTCGTAGTCGAGGTAGTGCCGCAGCTCGCTGTGGTTCGTCAGGTTGCCGTTGTGCCCGACCACAATGCCGTACGGGCTGTTCACGTAGAACGGCTGCGCCTCCGAGTCCGCCGGAGTCCCGGCCGTTGGGTACCGCACTAATCAGGGTGTTAGCAAATCCTAATCGCTTGCCATATTTCGCGATGATTTTTAATACCTACCATGCGCTACACCCATGTATCCGCTGAGCGCCATGAGGCGCTGCGGCGTAAACACGTCGCGCACCATGCCATTGCCCTTGCACTGGTACAGCCGGCCCTTGTGTCCGCACGTAACGATGCCCGCTGCATCCTACAGATCAATTCACTCTTTGTTAGGCCGATCTTGCGGGTAGCATTGTTGGATCAAGAACCCTTCATGGTAGCTTACCTGACCGCGATGCTGCAAGAGACCCAGACTCTCATGCAGCTCGGTGACCGCCGCCTGGTGCGGGTCGGCAAGAAGTAGAGCAGAAATACCACACATTACTTTATCTATTGCTTTTCCAGTTGCTACTAGCTCTACGAGGAATAGAGTGAAGGTGCTAAAACGTAGTAGTGGATCAAAATAACTGAAGCGAACGCTTAAAAAGAGAAAAGGAAAAAGTCCTTTATGCCGCCTGGACCTGCCAGATAATCGAGCGCTGTGATAAACCCACTCTTGACTCGGAGCCGTGGTAGCATGCACGCTGACTGGTCCGCGCCTTTTTATTTTGGGGGTGGGAAGCGCCGATCGCTGGGCACAGTGATTGCAATTAGCGATATCAGCTGTGATTACCGCTGACTCCCAAGCGATCAGGGGTCTCAGCCGATCCAAAGACCAGGCAAGTCGGTGGCCAGGAAGGTGCCGTGATGCCCTGGAGGCGATGTGCTGCAGAGGCATATCCGCCACTAACCAAAGGCGCAAAATGTGGATTTGGAAACACTATTGTGCGCACAGCAAGCAGTATCACTGACGGCCTTTTGTGTCGTCATCTGCACGATCCGATTTTTTGTAGCTCAGCAAAGGCGTGACCATGCCTTTCAAGATGTCCCTGCTACATGGAACTTGGGTGCTGACGCAACCATTGGAGGTTCTCTTGAGCCACTAGTGTCTGTCGCTATTGTTTATGTTCTCGGTCGCCTAATCGGTATGCACTTGGTATCATTCGGTATCTTGCGCTTATTGCAGGATTGTCGTGTCACACAAACTAGGAACAAGTACCCAACATCAATTCTTACAGCTACGTCCACATACACGAATACATGCTAGTGTTCCCTAACTCTGCGCTGGTTGCTACGAAAGCCATGCATCCTGCCCTCCTGACAGGAGCTACTCATGGAAAATATTAACTGGATAGACTAGCTAACACCATCCCACTCGACCCCTCTTGACTCATCTGACTCTGGCATACTCTCGATGGCTTGATGTGAGTATCTTCACCTTCTGCCGTGCTCCTAGTTCCTGCCTTCGATACCAGCTTGTTCAGATGTAGGATGGCCATGTTTTATATTCGGATGTCCTCCTTAGTATGGTGAGGATGATGGTAGGGAAATTGAGTGTAATGTTAATAAGAAATGAAGCTAGAACACAAACCTCAATCAAGAGGGATATTGCACAGCTGTATCTTGCTAGGGCGTTGTGCGAATACAATAAAGCCTCATTCGGCTGCTTCTTATCAGTTGGTATCACCTTTTATTTCCAAGCACAAAAGGAATGGTACCTTGATGGTCTTGTCAACGGCGAATTCAAAATCAAGCCTTTCTAGGATCTCAAATGAACACACATCATCGACCATTTCAGATATATATCAGGATGTTTTCCCGCTAATTTGTAGCAGAGTGAAAATTTGTAGACGGCATGTGTGAATAGGAGACGAATCGTCTCGCTGGCAGATGTGCTGAGCATTGATAGAAAGCGGGGTGAGGCTATCACGGAAGTTGTCGATGCCAAGACGTATTGGAATATGTAGCCAGGCAGCTTTGAGCTGATGGACTTTGTCCAAGAGCGTGTAATCTTCAAAAGGGCGACGCGCGGCGCTCATAGTTTCTCTTCCCTTTTCTGTTCATTAGTTTAGTAATTCGATTCCCTTAGGAACAAACCACAGAAAACCCCTCGCCACTACATGGCTGCGCTATATATCGCAACACTGAGACGACTCGTGGATCTGGGCAATATATCCTAACAGCCGACATAGCTGCTGGTGCTAAAATATCCTTAAGCCGGCTCAAGAGCCGAGCCAGTGCGTGAGGGAAAAACAGCGCCCCAAAAATTCGATTGCATGTCATCTCCTGCGCGCCCCATCTGTGCGCACAAGTGGGATGAGGGGGTCTGGGTGGGACATGGCTCGCGTCGAACCCAGATCGGGGGGTATAAAGCAGCACAAAAGCAGCAGCTACTTCTTTCCTCTTGCTTCCTCATAATCACTTTCTTTCTCCCTCTTTTTACAGAAACACCCTCGCGTTCACCGCATCAGCAGCAACAGCAAATCAACAATGGCTCGTACTTTCTGGGTTGGTGGTAAGTGTCCTTTGGACATGGAGCAGGGCTCCGCCATGGTTGCCAGATCGGCACCGGAGCCATTGGGCCCACACAGCAGCGTGCATGGCACTAATCGCGTGTTGGTGATTGCGTAGGTAACTTTAAGATGAACGGCAACTCGGCCAGCCTCAAGGAGCTCGTCGCCTCGTTCAACGCCGCGGAGGCTGACAAGAACGTCGAGGTTGTCCTCGCTGCTCCCTTCGTCTACGTTCCCCTGGTTGCGTCGTCGCTGCGCTCTGACTGGGCTGTTGCTGGCGAGAACTGCTACGTCAAGGCTTCGGGTGCCTTCACCGGTGAGGTGAGCCCCGAGATGCTCAAGGACGTCGGTGCCAAGTGGGTCATCCTGGGCCACTCGGAGCGCCGCAACATCCTTGGTGAGTCGGACGAGTTCACTGCTGAGAAGACCGTCAAGGCCCTGGAGGCTGGCCTCAAGGTGTCGCTGTGCGTCGGTGAGCTGCTCGAGGAGCGCGAGGCCGGTATCACGCAGAGCGTTGTCGAGCGCCAGCTGGACGCTGTCGTCAAGGCCGTCAAGGAGGAGGACTGGGCCAACATCGTCATTGCCTACGAGCCCGTGTGGGCCATCGGTACCGGCAAGGTTGCTACCCCCGAGCAGGCGCAGGAGGTCCACGCCAACATCCGCAAGTACCTCCAGAAGGCCGTGTCGGCTAAGGTCGCCGAGGAGACCCGCATCGTGTACGGTGGCTCGGTCAGCCCGTCCAACTGCGTCGAGGCCGCCAAGCAGGCTGACGTCGACGGCTTCCTGGTCGGCGGTGCTTCGCTCAAGCCCGAGTTTGTCAAGATCGTCAACGCCACTCAGTAAATAGCTCATGGGCTTCTCGCCCCTCGCGCAGGCGTCTTGGATAAAATATATATTCGTTCTCTACTTCTTGCGGGCATTCCTGCTCCCAACCCTGCGCTTCTTGAACAGCCCGGAAGCACCCGCAGCTGCATCATTATCAGCTGCATGCGCGCCATTACTGTCACTGCCGCGCAGGAGCAACGTCTTCTCGGCGACCTCGAATGCCTCGGGATTGCCGACATCCTCGTCGTCCAGCCATTCGGAGCCGCGCAGCTGGTTCAAGGGTTTTTGGGATGCGGGTTCATCGGCAGCGGGTGTGGCAGCTCCCCCATCAGCTGCAGTGTGGGATGACCTGGTCCCACCAGCAGATTCGTCCTCTTCTTCCCCGACGACTTCCCAACCGCCGACCAGCCCAATATCGGCCGGCCGACTGTCCACTGCGGGTTCCTTCTGCTTCTCTGTCGGTTCTGCTTCCTCCACCGGCTCGGGTGGGGCTGGTGGCAGCTTTGCGGCTGGCTGGCTGGCTGTGGTGGACCCAACGTCCTTGCTGTATGCATCGCTGGCGGCCTGCTCGATCTTGTCAAGCTGCCTCTGCAGGGCAGATTCGGCTTTGGCAGCGGTCTCGGCGGTCTCGTCAATGTTGCGCAGGTACCGCTGCACGTTCTCTTTGTGCTTGACGCCCGATTCGTGGATGCGGCGGCTCGAGCTGTTGTCGTGGACAAATATGCTGCAGTACCGGCACCAGTACTTGGTGTTGCGGTCCCAGGGTGCCTTGCGCTTTTGCGACATGATCAATGCGAGGAAAGGGAGGCTACGGTCTATCTAGCTGTGGACAGGGAAAAATTAGCCCGCGTCGCCTGAACGGCCTTCCCTAGGTTACCACTCGGACATGGGCTTGAATCTGTATGGGCACTGGAAAGGGGGAGCCGCGGCTCAGTGCGGATGGGCTGGATTTTAGCCAGCGCTTGTGATAGCACGCATGTTGGCTCCCTCCCCGCTCTGAAATCTCCGCACACGTTTCCGCATACACTTATTTTATTGTTTTACTATCTCAAATCGCCAACACCGAATTAGACGGAGGACGCGACCAATTCCCGAAAAGAATGAGCAACAGCAACGAGACAATAGTGATCGTGGGCGGCGGCATCGTCGGCGTCTCGACCGCCTTCTTCACAGTAAAGTCGCTGGCCGAGAAGTACCCAGCCGAGCAGCGGCCGAGCGTGGTGCTGCTGGAGCAGTGCGAGCCCGGATGCAGCGCCTCGGGCAAAGTCGGGGGGTTTCCTGGCGCGGCACTGGTCAGACGGCACGGACACCGAGCAACTGGCCGAGTTCGGGTACGATCTGCACGCGAAGCTAGCGCGCGAGTACAACGGACCCGAACGCTGGGGGTACCGGCCGCTGGACACATATTGCGCCGAGATCGACCGGATCCCGGTGACGCCGGCGAAGCAGCACAAGACCACCAACAAGCGCACCGAGGCCGAGAATATGGTGACCTCTATTGAGGTTATTGCCGCCAAGCCGCAGCAGTCGCTGGTCGCCACGCCAATGCACTACTCCGGACCGCCGTCGCCAGGCGAGGAGCACCAGGACCGCACGCACTCGTCTATTACAGGTGCCAGCTGAGGTCGAGGCCGTCAAGGTCGTTCGACAACGCCTGCGTGCCGTGGCTCAAGTCCCGATATCCTGACGCGGCTGCGGCAGGTCGGCAATATGGCAAACACCGCGCAAGTCGATCCGCTCAAGCTGACACGCACGCTGCTGAGCGAGGCCAAGGCGCTGGGGCTGCAGATTGTCAAGGCCAAGGTTATCGATGTCGAGGAGCCCGGATACCGCCCGCCCATCCTCGAGTTCCCCATCAGCAGCCAGAGCCGTCTGGCCACCGACGAGTTCTCGATCGTCGAGCCCGCCAATACACCGGACTCGACGCGCCGTGCCTCGGTTGTCAAGCCGTATCTGGTCAAGGTTGACCAGGGTGAGGACATCCCCGCGGACAAGATCGTTGTTGCGTGCGGCGCCTGGGTCACCTCGTGCCTGCGCTGGCAGGCCTTCCGCGAGGTATCTGCCAGCCAGATCCCGATCCAGGGCCTGCGCGCCCACTATCTGATCGCCAAGCCCTCGGAGCCACTGCCAGCCCAGGCTGTGTTTGCCGAGATCAACGGCACCGTGTACAACGGGGAGGACGCAATCGAGATCTATTCGCGCATGGACGGATCGGTGTTTGTGTGCGGCGAGGCCCTCGACGACCCCGAGATGCCGCCCCACAATCCCTTCGAGCCCGTGTGGAGCAAGCGCGCAACCAACCGCCTCAAGCAGATCGTCAACGACGTTAGCCCGTCGCTGAGCTTTGATGTCATCAACTACGGCCTCGCCTGCCACCTGCCTGTGCATGCCAAGGGCATTCCCGTCATCTCGCCTGTGCCCGACGCCAAGGGCCTGTTCATTGCCGCCGGCCACGGGTGCTGGGGTATCCTCAACGGTCCGGCCACCGGCCTGGCCATGTCCGAGCTGCTGGTTGATGGCAAGTGCACCACCCTGGATCTGACAAACTTTAGGCTCAACCGGTGGTACTAAGCCCTGCACTTTCTTCCAGTCTCCCATGAACGAGGGCTTTCTATATTTTTGAACCACTAAAATGAAAAACCCACACCCCACTTTCCCCTTCCCCTTTCTATCGTCTGTTGCGGCTGTCGCCCAGCCCGCCGCCAATGTTGCCGTATCGCGCCTGGATTTCGCTGCGTATATTGTACGCCTGGTTAATGACCTACACATCGCGGAAAATGATCAGCAGAGCATAAAACTCATGCACTGTGCACATCCACTGGTGACACAGGCGGACATATAACGTACCTGGCTGATGTTCATCTGGGGCAGACGTAGAAGCACCGAGCGGATCTCGGATTGCTCCAGATCTTCAAGCGAATCCTTGAGATGTTTCAGAATGGCTATAGTCCGAGACAAAATGGTCAAATTAGTAAGCTTGACAGCAGAACGTGCCACCCTTCATACATATCACTTCCCCCCGCAGCAACAGCAGCACCATACCTAAGCAAACAAACGGGTGGAACTCGACAAAGTCGGGCATCGAAAAGTACACATCCCACAGCCTCAGCAAGCTGCGCGTCGGCATCTCCTTGGCCAAAAGATAGCGCAGCCACGACGACGCCCACTCGCTGACATCCACATCCTCCTCTTCAAAGTAATTGTACAGCTCCGGCATCATCGTGCGGAAGTACGACAGGAACAGTGCCACCCGCTTGTTAATGTTGTTGTCAAGCGCCGACTCGTATATGACGTCCGCCAATCGCTCGAATCCGCTGTAGACGTCGCATTCGTCCTGCATAGTGGCCACAAAGGGCGCACACACTTGCACCAGGGCCGGCGAGTAGTCGACATGGTTGTTGCAGTTGATGTACGCGCAGATAACCGCCTCGAATACCGCCGGCGCCGAGTGCGGATCCACCAGCGCGTCCTTTTTTGTCCGCATCAGGTACCGGTTCACCTCCCCACGCACCCGCTTGCTGACATCGACGTTCTCCTTGTCGATTTCCTGGTACCCCTCGAGCCGCGCCTTGCGCTGTGTGAATTCATTGGCTACATGCATGTTCACCGCTTGTTAGATGCAAGTATCTTTGCCAGATCCAATCTGGTGGCAACACAATGTGCGCGGGATCTGAGTTGCCTCCCACCGCCCTCTTGTTTTACTGCCATTTACAGACGCATGGGCCCTCTGCTGCTTCCATGTCCGCTACTACTTACATCTATCCGACTTTTCGACGCCAAGCAAGTACTTCCACACCTGCTACAGAGAGAAAAAGCAGATTCCACCATTGAGTTGTCAGCTTCCAGCTAATGTGGGGGACTGCCCAAGCAAACACGCAATGCTCGCAGGCCACAAGAAAGACCCAGGGATGTGGTCCACAGAGGGGAGAGGAGGCACTTACACCACGGAGGTCGTCGGGAATGCCGTGCCGGGCGTACTTGCGCAGCTTGTTGACGTCAATAAACACCTCTGACTCTAGCACCTCGTCATAGTCGACCCGCTGCTGTGTGTTGGTGACCTGCGTCGGCGATGCCCGCCGTCTTGTCGGACTGCCGCTACCCGACGAATGCACTGGACTTGTGGCCATTCTTTTGGAAATGCAACAGACAAAAGTGTGGGAGAAAAATTGAAATATTAGACAAGCTGAACCGTGCGCCGAAAGAAACAAGAAAGCGAAGGGGAGGGGTGGTTAAGGGGGGCAGAGCACAGAAAGGTGGCGGTGGGCGGAGGAAAAAATTGGCTGGCAAGCCAGTATTTTTTATTTAAAACAGCTGTGCAGATTCGATGGCAAGCGATATCGCACTGTTCGAAGCGATCGCTAGCAGGCATGACCAGACCCAACAGAAACCCCGCCGCTTATAATAAGGTGCTGGTCAGTGACTGGATCCCAATGACCGATCCCTTGTCGCAAAATAGCCGATCGATGCGGTTCACGGCTCAATAGTCTATATCGGGGCATATGAAGCCAGAGCGCCCGTCTGTGCGATAAGCCCAGGAGTCTAGCACGTGTAGTGGATACTTCTCGGAACCATCTGCGCTCTGCATACGTCTGGGCGAATCCCTCGGCCATAAGCTTACCCAACTCTGCACGTTCTCATGGAAACTCCTGCCCGAGTTCCCGGGTCACATAGGACCAGTGCGCATATTTTTTTCTCACACTCCTCCCCTGAGTCCTCCCCTCGCACAATGTCCGCTCCCTCCGCAACCCGCATGTACTGGCGCCGAATCGCCGCCGGAACCCTGGCGTCCATCCCCGTTATAATATTCGCCAGCGACAACATCGCCTCCCTGCAGATGATCACAGGCCGCTCCATGCAGCCAGCGCTGAATCCCGACAGCAACCGGCTCTGGCGCGACGTCGTTTTGGTTGACAAAATGGTGCGCGGCCAGATGAGCTACCAGCGACTGAGGCGTGGCGACGTCGTCACCTTCTATTCACCGTTCAACCCAGATCTCCTGCTGGTCAAGCGCATTATCGCAATGCCCCACGACTGCGTGGTGCCGCTGGGCCGTGAAAATTCGTTTGTGCGAGTCCCCAAGGGGCATTGCTGGGTTGAAGGCGACGAGTCCTTCCACAGTGGCGACAGCAATTCCTTTGGGCCCATTCCGCTGGCTCTGGTCAAGGGCAAAGCTACCAGGGTAGTGTGGCCACCGCAGAGGTTTGGGACGGGTCTGTCTGGGATGCCCGAGTGGAAGCTGAAGCGTGTATTTGCCAATGGCGTCACAAAGTTGGGGTGAGAAATACCAGAGTGCCAGGTAGATGTGCATTCTCCAGTTCTTCAAAACGCTCCAGAAAAAGAGAAGGCGATTCAGAGCTTGCTTCTCTTTTACTCTAATCAATACTATTGCAATACATTGCACGCCATTCGATGGGTGTCATGGTCCTGCTGTCACATATCTAAATACCACCGGTATTGATGCACTTCAACACAAACTTCGCTGTTTACATCGGATTCATTTGAACGTGTCGGATGATTGTTAGTGCAATGGTGATCTTGGACATCTCCCATCTTGATGGCCTGCTCAGCGCAGGCGCTTCAGCGCTGGTTCGCTGCTGCTGGCAGCAGAATCGCCTACAGCTGCTGCACGCCTCTTGCGCGGCCTCTTTGTTGCCAGGGGTGGTGCCAGAAGCATTGGCAGCAATGGCCGCAGAACGACGGAACTGTTCAGGAATACTGCCTGAATCACAGAGTGACTGGAAAATGAGTCTGAAGTTTAGAACTGCTGCGAGATCGTGGTTCAAGAGCCGAGACGAATAGGCCCGCCTGTATTATGTCATGGCCCGCTTACATGACTCGCTTGTACAGCGGAGAAGGCCATGGCACTTCACAGTTTGGTTCTTCGATCTCTGGTAGGGCCGCGGGTTGGGAACATGCCGGAATGTCTGCAGCAACTTTTCGCAGCAGAACGGGCACATCGACGATGTCCGGAATTCGTCGATCAGATAGACTTCAAAGCCATGGTGCTTGAACTTGTCGCGCCATCCCTTGCCACGAATCAGCGCATGGTGTCGGATCATCGGCGCACTCCAATTGCCCATGACCAGCACTGGATCTGGACCGAACTTGCTCCGGAGTTTCGCGGCAAGCCTGTGGTCTGCACGGGCCTGGTTCATGAATGAATCAAGGCGCAGCTTGCGGTGAAGCGGGTACACCTTGGGACTGGTCCCGACACCTGGATGGGCCTTCCAGCGCCTCTGGTGCTGCTTGTTTGACTTAGTGGACTGCTGCTCTGGTAACCTTCGTGTTGTCATCGTGTTGGCATAAAACGGTGCTAGGACACACCGCACAGATGCACGGGCAGCAACGTAGGCACGGAATTTTACTGGGCTAAGGGTCCGGCAGCAATGCTTGGAAAGCTCTGCCTCCGCTCTGCGGACAGCATCTTCTGGGACTTGATCCTTTGTACCCCGACAAATCCTGTCATAGTGGCGCAGCTTGAGCTCCTTATTGCGCTGCTGCCGTGTGTAGCGGTAGAGCATCTTTTCATCCTCTTTCCCATTGTTGCTATTTTCGTGCATCATGTATAGTAAATCGCCCCCGACCTGGATCGATGAATACACAGCGGCCTTTCAGATTCTGCAGCTCTGGCTGTGGGATCTGGTGGATATAGCGACAGTCAGCTGTAGCATCGGCTGTAGCATTGCCTCCCACAGCATCGCCTCTCACAGTATCACCTCCCACACAGATTGTGTGATCCCTTGGACCGGGTCGTGTGCACAGACTGGGGGTGATGGTGCATATGCATTGTTAAGTGCTATAACAGTGTTTGCTGCCGCCAATGCAGCAGCAAGTGAATTGGCCACTACTACTGCAGTTGCTGCAGTGGCCTCTGTTGCATCCGATGGCATCTTCGCTGCTTCATGTGCAGCCTTCTTAGCTAATTTTTCGCCATTTTCTGCCGCTTTCCTTGCCTCTGTTGCTGCCCTCTTTGCTGCATTGATCCTGATAACCTGCTCACATGTTTTCGAAATAAACACCTGCTTGATTATTTGCTTATCTAAGCATATATGGCCTAGGATTCCCAATGTCCACAGAGGCAAGCATTGGGGGAGACTTGTTAAGCTGCTCATTCCCAATAAACTGGTAAAGGCAAGTATATGCATATAGATACATAAAGTATTTATTCTTAGATATATATTTTAATATAATAATAATTCTGCCTATAAGTTATAGAGACTTAGGAGCAGGTTGTTTTGATTGCTTTCAATTTCCTATTTAGAGATAGACATATATATTTGCTTACTAATAAGGTATTAATTCAATAGATAGAATAGTATAGCCATTTATATAGTATCTATCTGAACTATATCCCCTTACTCTGAAGAAGTATAGTAAAAGAAGTTGATAATAATATTGTACTTAATTCTCCTATCATTATCCTCACTATATTAAAGAGGATATCTAAATATGAATCACAGCCATCCTACATCTGAATAAGCTGGTATAGAGGGCAGGAGCTAGTAGTATAGCAGAAGTAAAGATACTCATATCAAACTATCTAGGGTATGCCAGAGCCAGATGAGTTAAGGGGAGTCAAGTGGGATGGTGTTAGCTAGTCTATCCAGCTAATATTTTCCATGAGTAGCTCCTATTAGTAGAGCAAGATGTATACTCCTCAAAGCTCCTTCTCAGATAGTTCATAGTCTGGCATAACTCACCATCAGCTTAGTTCTTAATGAATTGAGCTCGGTCTGCCATAAGTGCCTCTGTGACGTCTCGTATAGTATGTGAAGGCGCCTTGCAGCATATCCAGCTGCAATGGCCAAAACAGCGACAACATGTAGTGGTGTGGTTGGTGATCGCAGACATGTTGATCCGAATCTGAATCTGATCAATATTTTAAGGCTGTCGTGCTTTACTAGCGCGCAATTTTGAAAGGAAAAAAATTGTCCTTTCTACTCTACGCGCGTCAGATTCTATTAGCAAAAAAGTTAATTTCCAATAATGAGCACTGATACGAGGTAGGCAGCATATATACACACGCATTCTTCTGTTGTTGTGTACCTTATTGGGTCCTAAATTTGCCTATGTAACTTTATAGTTCTACGAAGCGGAGACGCTGGGACAGCGACCAGGTTGACGGCAAGGCTGGGGAGTCAGCACAGGATATTGGCGGTTCGCAGACGGGTCCCACAGAAATCGCCACCGCGACAGAGCAGGCGATTTTGGCAGCAAAGGCGCTGGCTGAGAGCGCTAAGGCTGAAGCCGAGACACAGGCAGCGTCTGAGACCGAGCCAGCTATAAATATTGAGAGTGCCAAGGACGAGCCAAAGACCAATGAGACGTTCGCCATGGATGTCGACATCAACTTTGCTTCAAATAGACAGCATCTGGCCAAGAGCGTCACGCAACGACAGATTATTGAGGCAACAGGCGCTGACATCTCAACCAAGGGCCGGTACTACACCAATGCGTCAGAGGCTACACCGGATGCACCAGCACTGCACCTGCATGTGGAGGCCACGAGCCAGGAGATGCTTGACCAGGCTGTGGCTATGATTGAGCGGCTGAAGACAGAAGGCGACCCTAGCGACACCGCCATGACGCCTGGTGCTATGTCCGCTTATAGCAATGGGCACTCTGACAGCTACAGTAGCTACCGGCACGAGCGTCACCCGCGCAACATCTACCACGAAAAGATTCCGGTCGGAATTGAATCGGAGCGCGGGTTCAATGTGCGCGCCAAGCTAATTGGCACCGGCGGCGAGAACATGAAGTACATCCAGAACACAACAGGTGCGCGTGTTCAGGTGCGTGGCCGCGGGTCTGGGTTCATTGAGAACGCTACTGGGCTGGAGTCTGACGAAGATATGCACCTGTTTATCAGTGCCCCCACTGAAGACATTACGCTCCAGGCCATGTACTACAGCAAAAGTCTCATTGGCACTATCCACGAACAGTACAAGGAATTCAAAGAGCATGGTCCACGGCGCCCCGAACGCTACGAGCACCACGATCGGTACGATAGGCATGAGCGGTATGACCGCCGTGACCGCCGCGATCGCCGTGACAGATACGACAGATACGACCGCCACCGCGGGGGCCGCGAGTCGCGCGACAACCGCGACTACTACGAACAGTACAACAGCCGGTACAGCCGGTACAGCCAAAACTCGCGTCAGGATCAGCAGCCAGCCTATGCACAGCCCGCTGCACCTGCTGCGCCTACGTATGCGGGCCAGCCTGCAGAGGCCAGTGCGGCTACAGGAGGTGCAGCTACGGCATCGTACGAGGAGTATGCAAACTACTATGCCCAGTACTACCAGTACTATGGAACATACCCTGATATGTCTGCCTACTACGCGCAGGGCAGTGCGAACGGTGGGTATGATCCGTCAGCATACTCGGCAGAGTATTACCAGCAACAGCAACAGCAACAGCAGCAGCAGCAGCAGCAGCAGCCGGCGGCAACAATGGGTGCTAGCGAGTCTAGCATCGACCCACTGGCTGCTCCGTTCGGAAATGGCGCTGAGGACGCTAATTACCACAGCGTACCTCCACCCTCGAGCTACTCTAATGGTTCAAAGGTAAGCAGACGCTAGAGAGTTTGGCTGAGCGGCACGCACACAGCACATGTCCGACAAATGTCCTGAACATCGTTTTCTTTTTGCCCGATTGCCTTCGTCACTCCAAATGCCTGTAGACGCCGCAATTCTAGTGACCTCCCAAACACCACCCTGTATAACTAGTAAGATGCTGTATCCAACAAAGCAAAAGCACAGTAGCCATTATACATTTACCGCATATTTACACGCTTGGTATACTAACATGCCACATTTGCTAACAACGTTACTAACTCGCGTTCTCAAATTGAACTTTGGGCCACATTCCCAATATTATTCACAACCTCGCATCCATGCGTACACACCCCTTTCACCTATTTGCATAGAGGGATTCAGCGCCGCGCGGCGAGAAACGGCCGAGGTCCGACTACGAGTCCGCAGACCCGCTGTCGATGGTAATCAGCAAGGGCGACAGAGCGCAGTCCAAGTAAGCCTCCCCGACATTCTTCGCGAATAGTGGAGTTGGCGGCCACGAAGGGACCACCACAAAAGCACATTTACACAAACACGCGCGTCTATTAACACAGCAGCATCCCGTTCTATGGAATGGAGGCTAGAGTAGTTTCTTCTAAATAACACTATAAAAGTTTGCAGTTTTAAACCTCGCTGGCCAGGGTAGCCGAGGACGCATTGCGGTCCTCGCCAATTAGAGCCTGAGCGTTGGTGTTGCTATCCTTTGTCACATTCTTGTATGAGGAGACCTGACGCATGCAGCGGTCGACCTCGTGCTGGAAATCAGCACTGACGCAAATATACGTCTGGCCGATGGCTGCCATAGTGACGCCGATGCTCAACCCGACCCACAGCCCAATAATGCCAAGCTTCCAGGGGCCGTAGGCAAAGTAGATGCTGAGTGGGAATCCGATCAGGTAGAAGCACGGGAAGTTGATCCAGGCACCGTGGCGCTGGCGGCCCAGGCTGCGCAGAGAGCCGCCGGTGACTGCGTTCACGGCGTCGGAGATCTGGAAGAGGGCGCTAACTGGCATGATCAGTGCCACGCACGCGATGACATCGGGGTCGGTCGAGTAGATCTTGCCCCACCACGACGCGGTGACAAGGAAAAGCAGCGAGTTGAGTGCGCCGGCAAAAGCACCTAGCGATAGGCCGACGTTCGAAGCGACCATCGACCGGCGAGCACGGGCCTGGCCCAAGAGATTGCCGACCTGGTTGCTCAGCGCTGTGCCCAGGCCACCCGGAATCTGGTATGACAGGGTGCAGGTGTTGAGCACAATCGACTGCGCAGCCAGCGGCACACTGCCCAGGTAGCTAGCAGCGATGGTCATTCCCTCCCAGCATAGCCAGTCGCTGCAGATCATCACCACCGACGGGATGGCAAGACGGTAGTACTGGCGCATAGCCATGAAGGGCTTCCACGACCAACCGCCCCACGCCTGGCGGGCATCGCACAGGTAAGTATAGGCGAGAATACCAAAGAACATGAGCCAGCAGGTCACGACGTTGGCGGCAGCCGCACCCAGGAATCCGAAGCCGACCGTCGGCGACCACACAAACAGGTAGTTGTTAACCATATGAATCGGCATCACCACCATCAGAATGAGGGTGCTGGCCCGCATGTGCCGCTGGGCCTGCAGGAACCGCTTGATGCACTCGAACACGATCCACGGCAGCGATGCCAGCATCTGGATGCGCACGTACTGCCCACACAGCCTCGCAATCTCGGGTTCCTGGTTCAGGGCAAGCAGTAGCCACTCCATGTTGAACAGCAGCGGCAGCACCATCAGGTAGTGTGCCAGCACTGCAATGATTCCGCGCTGCAGGTGGAATCCAACCAAAGTGCGGTCCTTGGATGCGGTGAACGCAGTTGAGCAGAACGTATCGAGTGCCGCTGCCAAGCCAACCGACGGCCCGTTGATAAGCATAACCACAGTCATGTTTCCGAGCGACGCAGCCGACAGTTCGTTCGAGCCCAGGTGGCCTAGCGACACGATGTTGGCGAAGCCAATGCTGAACTGCAACAGCGACGAGAGCGCTACTGGGATGCTCGACACGACCATCGTCCTGGCTTCCTGCTTGGCCATGACGCTGAGGCTGACAGAGTCCTGCTCGATGAATTCATTGTACAGTGTGGTGGTCGAGTCGTTGGTGGTCAGGGCGCCGGAGGACTCGATGATGGCATCGCTTGTGGGTGCAAGCAGCGGCGTGTACTCGCTGGAGATGGCTGCACCGGGCGGTGCGCTCTGCTCAGTCATTGCTTGTGGTATGGGGATCTACTAGTGGAAGTGTAGCACTCGCAGGAGTGTCGCTTAAATTAAGGTAAAGGATGTGTGCTGCACGCAGGGGTCACAGGTCTGTAGGGTGGGGCAGTAGGAGTTAAGAGAAATAAAATAACACAAAATATGAGATGCAGTGGTTGTGAGCTCGGGATGTTCGTCGTAGGAGGACGGACCTGGTTTTATACCTGTCCAGCTCATGAGCGCAGTCTCGAAAAAATCTTCTTCCGCGCCATTTCGGTGTTGGGTCGATTGGTGGGCACCAAAAAGCGAGGATCGACTTTGTAAAAAAATACTACGGCGGCCATCCTCTTCCCCGTGCCTCAAATTTTTTGGAAAAAAAAGGCGCACAGATTCACTCCCCAACACGCCTGGCAGAGGGGACTGCTGCCTGGCAACCCAGCATTCGGCTGCTAGATATGACACACGATGCCAGGTTTCGCCGGCGACATTGAGCGAGGAAAATGCCATGCTCTCGCTATAGCTGCTAGATATGCATGCGAAGCTACCGGTTCACGGCGCCTTCCATCGCCGCCGTGCCTGGTATTGTTGAACGTTCGCCAGCGCTTCTCAATTCCACAGCAATTTCCTAAGCTGCTGCGGCCAAGCACAGACTTTCAATGCATTGAGGGAACGATGGGTCATGAGGGGCCAAAGCAGGCGCTTATATTGGCGTGCCACAGCCTGCCGCTACATGCACAGGCTGCTCGCACGCATTGCGACAATGTGCGGAAGTATGTGCACCCGGCAGGAGGCGCTTTTGTTGGGCCAAGGGCAAAGCAAATGCATTTGGCAGAAAAAGGCCATATCCGCCTCTGGGCGATGCTGCTGGCACTATACAGGGAATAATCATGTTGAATTGAAACGGGGGAGGTAAAGACAAACAATGGCGAGGGATGCGTGTTCAGCGCTAGACGCTGTTTGTTAAAGTCACAGCCGATCCTTCGCGAGCATTGTCGGCTTCCATCGGGCTGCCGGTCTGGCTCCTGATAGCGGCTGCATCCTTGTACGACGACACCTGGCGCATGCACCGCTCGACCTCGTGGTCAAAGTCAGCGCTGTAGCAGATGTACGTCTGGCCGATACCGGCGCAGATGACGCTGATGCACATGCCGATCCAGAGACCAATGATGCCCATGTCCGGCGCACCGTACGTCAGATAGACGCCCGTCGGCAGGCCAACGAGGTAGTACGACGGGAAGTTGATGTAGGCACCAATCTTCTGGCGGCCCAGGCCGCGCAGAGCACCGCCAGTAACAGCATTCATGGCGTCAGCGATCTGGAAAATGGCGCAAATGGGCATGATCAGGGCGACACACGCAACGACATCTGGGTCGCTCGAGTAGATTTTGCCCCACCACGATGCCGTCGCCAGGCAGAACACCGAGTTGAGCACACCAGTGAAGGCGCCCAGCGACAGACCGACATTGGACGACACGTGCGAGCGGCGAGCGCGAGCCTGGCCCAAAAGATTCCCGACTCGGTTGGTCAGCGCAATGCTCAGACCGCCAGGCGCCTGGTACATCAGCGTGCACGTGTTCAGGACGATTGACTGCCCAGCCAAGGTGGCGTTTCCAAGATAGCTGGCGCCGATCGCCATGCTCTCCCAGCACAGCCAGTCACTGCACATCATGATCACTGACGGGATGGCCAGCTTGTAGTACTGCGGCATCGTCTTGAGCGGCTTCCACGACCATCCAGCCCACGAATACCGAGCGTCGCACCGGCACGTGTAGATGACGATGCCAAAGAACATGAGCCAGAATGTAACGACATTGGCGGCAGCAGCACCCAGGAATCCCATACCGACCGTCGGCGACCACACAAACAGGAAGTTGTTGATGACGTGCACAGGCAGCACGGCGAGCAGGACGATAGTGCTTGAGCGCATGTAGCCCTGCGCCTGCAGGAACCGCTTGATGCACTCAAAGTAGACCCACGGCATCGACCCGATCAACTGGATACCGACAAACTTGCTGCACAGCTTGGTGATCGTCGGGTCCTGGTTCAGGGCCAGCAACACTGGCTCCAGCTTGAGCAGGATCGGAAGAACCAGGATGAAGTGCGCAGTCACGGCAATGATTCCGCGCTGCAGGTGGAATCCGACCAGGGTTCTATCCTTTGATGCAGTAAATGCTGTCGAGCAGAACGTGTCCAGGGCAGAGGCAAGACCAACTGCAGGTGCATAGATAAGCATGAACACGGTCATGTTGCCCAGCGCTGCTGCCGCCAACTCATCAGCGCCAAGGTGGCCGATCGACAGGATGTTGATAAAGTTGAAGCTGAACTGCAGCATGTACGACAGGATGACCGGGATGCTCATGACTGCAATCGTCTGGGTCTCCTGCTTCACCATCGCCATGGTGCTGATCGTGTCCTGCTCGACGAACTCGTTGCCGGTCGGGGTCTCGATTGCGCCCGATGCCAGCAGCGCTGTGGTCTCTGTTGCGATTTCCTCATGCGTTGACAAAAGCGATGTAGACTCGGCGATGTCTGCCGTGCCCGACAGCGAGATGCTTTGGCGTGCCATTTCGTGAGGGATGTCTGCTGTGTGGTTGTAGAGGGCTTATTGTGTGCAAGCTGATGCAGGTACGTGCCTAAAGTGGGGAGAAGTGGATGAAGACCAGCGTATTCAGTGCAGGAGGCAGCGCAGATGCCTGGGGTTCGGGACGTCAGGGGAAAGCGAAAGGGGGAGGGAGGGTCTAGCTCTCAAGCAATTACTTTGTCGCCTACCCGAAGCAATGAATCCAGAGATCGGCCGTCGATATTAACAGACCGAATGAGGGAGGACAAACTAGAGGTACGCGAAAGAAAGAAAAAAGTACACTGTCGAAGAAAAATGGAGAACGGAGGAAAAGGTCGGAAAGAGAGAATGCGTGTGCCTGCCATTTATACGTTGTCTGGGGCCCGCGCTCCTCCCCATCGTTAATGCCGAGCCTGCTTTAGCACGCTAGAAATATTTAGTGGAAAGGGCTTTGAGATTGTCATACAGTCCGAGTGGTGACCCCGTTCTCGGTTCCTTCCTGTTTGGGATAACTCCACAGGCAACTGATATCTCTCCACCTATCGGGACAGCGGCGATCTCCCCAACGTCATGTCTTTGAAGCAAGAATCGGTGCTGCAGCACAGAAACCCGCTCTGGAAAAATGGCTTGCCTGGGATTGCACATAATCGGCTGTGCGGCTCTTGCGCAAGAAGAGGTTGTGCAGGGGCTGCGGGCACTCTGCCTTGGATCCATGCACTGGGTCACGCCGAGTGTGCGAAAGTCCGAGGCGAGAAATGTCACTCAATATTGTTGGCCTGAAAATCATCAAGGCAACAAATTGCACCACTGTCGGTGCGCGGCGGGGATCATGTGAACACGCTTTCGCAGCGTGAAGCCCAATGCTTTCCCGCTCGACATTCCTGTTGGCATGGGGGGAGGCGGTGGCGACACCCTAAACACGCACCACAGGGGCACATCTATTGAGCAAGGTCAGCCATGACTGCTGCCACCTGCCTTTGACAGGTTGCTGGGATGGAATAGGGAAGATTCGAGTAAAGGGGAGCCGGAAATAAATTAAAGTTTTAGAGAGAAGTTTTTGTTTGTTCCATTCACACCAACGAGCCGTAGCCTGGTGAGCGAGAGCCATTGTACTGCTCGCTATCGGAATTCGGTGCGGTAGAATCAGGCTGCGCGGTGGACGGTCCCGAGATGACCAAACGCCGGATGCAGCGCTCAACCTCCTTGTCCCAGTCGGTGCGGTAGATGATAAAGTAGAGCTGCACCACAGCCGAGATGACAGTGCCGATGCACGTGCCCCACCACAGCCCCACCACCTTCATGTCCAGCGGACCGTAGGCAAAGTACAGGCTCAGCGGCAGCCCGATCAGATTGAACGACGGCACAATGATGCACGCGCCGAGCTTCTGGCGGCCCAGCCCGCGCAGGATCGCGCCGAAGACCTGGTTCAGCCCGTTGCAGGTGAGGAAGATGCCGGCCACAGGCATCAGGTCAATAACCACCTGGGTGACCTCGGGGTCGCTGCTGTAGAGATTGCCCCACCACTCGCGCGCCAGCACAAACGACAGCGTGGTGGCAGTGCCCACAACGATGGTCATGATGGTGATGATGTGCGACGATATGCGAGCACGTCTGGCTTTGCCGGCGCCCAGCAGGTTTCCGATACGCGGGGTGGCAGTGAAGCCCATGGCGCTCGGGATCTGGCCCGACAGCGAGATGATGTTGAGGATGATTGCCTGCGCCGCCAACTGCGCTGCGCCAAAATACGAGGCTGCCAGGGACAGGCTCTCGTATGCCCACCACTCGCCGCACGTGGTGATCACAGCCGGAATCCCAAGCTTGTAGAAGGCACCCAAGCCATGCAGGCACTCGCGCGACCACCCGCCCCAGCACTGGCGTGCATTGGCATTCATGCTGGCATACGCCCAAATGCCCAGAAACATGAGCCAGAACGTAATGGTCAGGTTCAGCGGCGCGCCAAGGTACCCGATCCCAAAGGTCGGCGACAGAATCAGCAGGTAGCTGTTGACCCAGTGGATGGGGGCCGCAACCAGGATGACGATGGTGCTGGCACGCATAATGCCCTGCGCCTGCAAGTACCGCTTCGTGCACTCGTACAGCGCCCATGGCAGCACGCCCGGCAGAAACACCAGCATGTACTCGCCGCACAGCCTCGCAATCTCGGGGTCCTGGCCCAGCATCAGCATCAGCCATTCCATGTTCAGAAACACGATGCTGACCGGGATCAAATGCAGGACCACTGCGACCACGCCGCGCTGGAAATGCAGCCCCACCAGGGTCTTGTCGGTTGAGGCAGTGAAGGCGCTCGAGCAGAATGTATCCATGGCCGACGCAAAGCCAAGGGCCGGCGCCAATGCAAACACACCTGAGACCATGTATGCCAGCGATGTGGCAGCCAGCTCCTTGGCGCCAATGTTGCCGATGGCAACAAAGTTTGCAAAACCAAGGCTGAACTGCAGAAAGTACGTTGCCACGATTGGAACCGACGACGCGGCGAGCCACTCAAACTCCTGTTTGGCAACTATCCGGTACGGCTTCCTTCCGCGGTACTGCGGCTGGTACTGAGTGTATTGTGCGGCGGACTTGAGCAGAGATGTTGTCTCGTTGGTGTCTGCATCGGCTGAATCAGCCAGGGTTGCCTGCGAATCGGCACGCTGGTACTTGGTTAGAGATGACATTTCTGCGAGGGATGTTGATTTTGATCTGGCTGTGGATGGGCGTGATGCTTGAGGATAGGAAACGGAAAGAGGATAAAGAAAAAGAAAGATGAGAGAAAAACAACCAGAGACAGAGAACCAGACGAGGGCGTGGACGACACGAAGATGCTTGGGATGTTGCGTCGGCGGGAGGATAGTAGGACAGGGCATCTGCTTTTAAGTTGTTGGCAGACGAACAAGGCCTTAGCACCAACAAACAGGTGTCGACAATTGCCTTTTTCGCGTTCGAGAAAAGGGAGCACGGAATGGCTGGTAGGAGAAAAATATACACACGCAGACATTCCTCTGTCCTGTTGCAGCCCGGTAGAGGGTGTGAAATGATGCAGGTTGTAAAGTGGCTGCGCTGGGCGGGCACTGATGTTTCATGTCTAAAGGGGCAATGCACGAGCGTTCGGCAGCAGCGATTTAGACAGATAAAGCTCGGCAGCAGCATCTGTTGGGTCCTGCAGCCTCCCCACCTTCCGCTTGTATTTATAAAAGATAGTCGCGTACTAACAATACATGATGCATACATCCTGCCGAGCACTGGCGTGCGTAGTTTGTCCTGGGATTTGCGTTGGGGGGTGGGGTGGCCAGAAAATGCTGTGCAGCTGAGCGCGGCCGAGGATACCCACGTTGTGATGCCTGCTTCTGCAGCACATGCATTGCCTGTTGGGCAGGTGGGAATGCACCCTCCATGCCCGATGTGCATGGCGCAATGATGAACCAAATGCTTCACCCATTCATGAACCGCCGTCTGTATATACTGGGCCAAAATACACGGAAGGAGAAGCGTGCCGCCGCTTAAGGGGTCTGCTCCCAATCACCGTGCCAGGATGCGACCGATAGTGCTCAGATGATGGTAGGGGCCGACGCGTGTCTTGTGCACCTGGGCTATAGTGCCGCACCCAAATGAGGCAACAGCCACTGCATTCCCATTCACGCCCCTGCGATGACGACCGAAAGAGCCACAATTCCGTTTGGGTCGCGCGGTTCCTTGGATCTGATTCGTCGGCTGCTCTCCGAAGCCTACCCCTGACGAAACCCGGTCACAGCTCATGGGAAAAATGATGCTAGGAATATGTGGCATCACTGCTGACGAATATGCCCTGGAGAGAATACCCGGATTTGGAACTGGGCCGCTCACAATTAAACCTTTATTTGCAACTCCAGCAGTTTTGTGGTTTTAAAAGCGTCATGTCATCTGCTAGATTTCCAATGTCAAACAATGTTTCGTTTGCACCCGCTTACCCCTTCGGAGCTTGGCGTCCGACTTGTGCATTCCGCTTCATTTGTTACACGTCTCGGGGGTAGAAAAAAAAAGCCGCAACGAAGGTTGCGGCTTAATGCGTCTCGCTTTGCGAGACGCGATTAGGCACTCCCCCTTGACAATTCCCTATTGCTAATCTCATCATTATCAATTGATTGGTGAATTTTTTATAGCTGCTCTGCGTTTTGGCAGTCATGTGATAATTGTAAGCCATCTAGCTACGTTTCGTATGTATGTTTCTTCAGTCCCAATTACCTTCCACTTTCTGCTTTAGATATTCTTCTTACCTTTATAAGTAGGCTTATTTTGTTGTTGATAAATGGCCAAGCGGTGTTATAGGCTAATATTTATTATTTAAACATCTAAGACAATAAAACCTCGTCGCAGAAGTTAAAGCGAAGCCAGAGCGGATAGTGGAAACTTTTTGAGACCGTGGTGTATGCACCTGCCTCTGTATTCGACAAGGTTGTAAATATGTAATCGATTCTGGTGCCAGCGCGAGTAGAATAGCTGTCGCTTGGAGTGGTCATTCGCAGGTTGTAGTTATTAAGCAATGCCTGGATCTGCCTCTGCTGCTCTCCATTTTTGCGCAAGTCGATATTGATGTCACAAGCAAGAACATAGTGCATGGAAGTCTCGCTGAAGTATGGTGCAATTGTGCTGGTGATCTGCTCCACGCGTGTGCCAGGTGATGCATACATAGAGATGAAGCGTGTCCCCCTGATTGTTGCTGCTGCAACACTTACTGACTGGCGGCCGAATCGCTGGATCCCGGCCATTACACCATGGACTAATGACTGGAGACGTTCTGACACGTAACAACAAGCACCTACAGCAGATGAACCATGTGATCCTCTACTAGCCGAAGCAACCATAGTGAAGCCTGGTATCTCACATGACTGGTCCTCACACAGCCAAGTTTCTGCAAAGAGTAGCAAGTCGCTATGCATGTAAACCTTGTCGCTAGTAACCAATTGGAGATGTGCGCGAAGGCTCTGAACATTGTGAAAGAGCAGCTGTTGACACTGACGAGGCTCACGTAGAAACCGAAATACGGGTAGTAGCTGACACTGCTGCTGTCGTGCATATTCCCTCTGCAAAGATGAATTTCTGTCAGGCGGTGAGGGTTCTCTGAAGTCGCCGATAAGGTAGAGGCCACTAGCTGACACTGCTCTAGAGAAGGCAACATACATGAGAGATCTTGTAAGGCTGCGACTGCTCCGGCCAGCTCCACCATTGTTACGATTACCCATATGGACAACCACCTTGGGATAAGTAGCGCCTTGGGATTTATGTATGGTGATAGCTTCAGCAGGAGCAAGTGGAAATTGTTCCCGAATGATTACTAGCTGTGAAGCCTCCTGCTGGCTAACTGTGACCTTAGAGCGCTCTAGGCTCACCCACTCAGGGGGAATCTGTAGGGCTTGTACCAGACCACATTCTCGCTGCCGCTTCTTTGCACCACAGCGCGGATCCGTCGGCTCTAGCCATACACGAAGAGGAATTTTCAACGAGCTGTCACGTCTGTGCATGCCATAGTCTATCTGCCGCACGATACCTGTTGCACCATTCACTAGGCCATCGCTGGTATCGACATTTATGGTAATCATATAGCGACCACCAATACATAAGAATAAACAGGTAGGAAGACCACCAGTCTCGCGAAGTGACAGGCTCCTTACTCTCTCAAGCGCAGCATCACGATGACCTTGGTTTCTTCCTCCAGTTGCTGTGTCTCTCGCATGGAACTCAATGGACTCTGTCCTAAGCGCCCTTAGCTGTGTATAGTTATGTGCATCAGCAGCGTCATTGCAGTAAAAGAGATGGAATGGCCGAGTGCCTTCCAATGCCACTGCAGGGACCTCTGGGAAAACACGAGCAAGGAATAGCTCCCGGTCTGGCTGCTCTAGTATGCCGACTGCAAGATTGTTAAGCGCTACTGCAAAGGGTGCATCATCTCGCTGCCGCATGATCTGTACCAGGCAGTGCACAGAGAATCTGAACCAGAGAGGGTCAGCTACAACAGTTTCGACAGTGCTGTTTGGAATACTGTAGACAGGCCTGTCCATCACTGGTGGTAGCTGATTGAAATCTCCAACAGCAATTATCGACTTACCACCAAAAGGTGCCTCACTGCCTGCAAAGTGCTGCAGGCGTGTGTGGATGTTCGTCAACATATTTAAGCCAACCATGCTTATCTCGTCAATAATAACCACTTTGAGTTCACTGAAGAGAGCACCCATGGTATTGGAGACACTAGCTGAGAGCCGCTCAGTACTGCCTCTTTGATTGACAGGTAAGCGAAATGCACCATGGATTGTTGCTGCACCAATGTTGAAAGCAGCCATGCCTGTAGGTGCACACAGAAGAACAGAAGGGCGATCAAGGTCCCGGTGGCGGTTATTGTCATCGAAAATTCGCAACAGCATCTCCTGCAATGCTGCAATCAGTAAGCTCTTTCCAGTTCCAGCTCCACCAGTGACAAAATAATAGAACGGGTCATCCTGTGATGTCACCATATGAACAAGGTGCATCAAGAAATCGCGCTGCTCATCATTTAGTTTGGCTACTAGAGCCTCGTACACCCTGTCTGTCATGCGCTCAGGTTTGGGGAACTCTGCTGCTGCTGACCGTGGAACATAAAGCCCTGCTTCACCACCAACATCAACAAAATGTTCAGGGTTTTCAGGCACATAGTCACCAAGGTCATTGGTATGCCACAAGGGGGCTTCAGTATCAGGCTCACTCTCACCCTCACGATCTGCCGCCTGATCATCAGCTGCATACATCAGGCCGTCAATGTCTTCCCCATCAATCCGGTTGAATTCTTGCCAGTTCTCATATATAGAAACACTGTGCTGCACATAACAGTGTGCAATATCAGGGATATCGATGAGCTCTGTCTGCTCGTTTCGCCAGGGATGAAAGAGCATGAGCTGCGACCGGTAGTAATCTAGCTCGTCCGTTTCCCTATGATACCGGATATACCGAAGAACTTTTGCATGCCTACGCCGCCGAATATACCCACTGCCATCGAGCAGTCTCATCTCTGCCTCTGTCATTGGTATATTCTGTTCACTGTCCTCACCCTCAGAAAGTCCATCGTCATTGACATTGTCATCTTCCATTTGCCTAAGTCTCTGCCTCTGTCTAGTAAGCCTAACCTCGTACCAGGCAGCAAAGCTAGCAAGGGTGGTATCCTCCAGCTCCACAGGCCTGTTTGTGTAGTGGTCCAGCAAATTCTTGACAAAGCATTCTGTCGAGTTGCCATCTGCCTCTGCAATGCGCTCTATTGCTGCTTGTGGCAAGAGCATGTGTGTGCGAAAACATGGTGGTAAAACATTAATATAAACCATTTTTCTGCTTGCACCAACCATGGGCATTTGAAGGACATTATATGCAGCTTCCTGGGCTGACACCTCGCTGTAGTTGTAGTGCGTATTCACCATACTGCGTAAGAGGCTGCGGATGGGCTGGTTCTCCTCAGCACTGTTATTAACTATGCGGTTTAGCATTGTGCTCATGCCACGGTCAGCTTTGCTGATATAGTCTGCTATATATGTGCAGCAGGCATAAGGGTCAAGGATGAATTGAATATCCATGTTTGAACGCTGCAGGCATAGAATCTTCTCTGAATACCCATTGATTGATATATCGCAAGGCTCACGCTTTAGGAATAGTGCTGGACGAGAAAGAGAAGATTGGACTGCATTGCAATAGCGTTGCATATCACCACCAATCCCTAGATGCATGAGGAAAGCCTCCATCGTAGGGTACCTTCGTGTCTCAGCTAACTGCTCAATATATCGGCGGATCCGCACATTTAGTTGTATCGCTGCAGCACGCACATCAACTGGTGTGTTCTCTGGCAGTGGGCGCAGTATCCGTGTCTGGTCCATAGGGTAGAAGGGTGCCCCAAATCGGCACTTAACATCTGGACGGCTATGCTTTTTGCAGGTTCGTGTGTGGCGGTGTAGCTGGAGCTGCTGTGCAACTTGGCCAATGTCGACACCACCTACTAGGTGACTTGTTGTGCTGCAAGTGATGATCTTATCAACAAATTCACAAATTGTGCTGTCTGTCATATGGTCCTCTTGGCTAAACACTGGTGCATCGCTTAGCCATAGCAGTATATGAGCATGTGGTGACCCTCGCTGCTGGAATTCAATCCGGTGGTACTTGTCAGCAATCTTATGCCCAGGAAAAGGTCCATCTGGGCAAGTCCACATCTTGACCAGCTCTCTGAACCGATAGTCGAAGTATCGTGCACATGTGACAGGATCAGACTGGACAAGCCGCTCCTTCTCCTCGCTAGGCAGTGCTTCAGCACCAGCCTCAGTTATAACGACATTCTCAAGAACCTTTTTGAGAAGGACAAGAAGTTCAGGCCACTTAACTTCAGCTGCAGAGATAGTAACAAACAATGTAGGGACACCAAGCTGACGCACCATCGCCATGAGCTTGCGCTTCTCATTGCGCCAGAACTCACCGGCTGTCCTAACCCCACTGAGTACTTTATATGCCTGATCTCTATGAACCATTGCTGCAATAAAATCGCCATCAATGAGCTGACGCGCAGTGGGAATTCTGCCATTAAGAGTCCTCTTCCGCAGGCAAATACTAAGATTCCGTGTCAGTTGCAAAAGCATCTTTTTTCGGTCCATGAACAGTAAATAATCGACTCTGGTTACAGCACGGCGATCGTAGCGGCGAGCAAAGGACTTGATCATATTAACATATGTGATCTTGTGCCCATTATGCATTGGTACCAATCGCTGCCCACAGAATATCTTTGGGAATGCTAGGAAGTCAGTATCTTCATCCATAAGAAGATATATTGGCACATTCCCCTCTGTTGGTGCTATCCGAATACCAAGGGTACTATCAGTGCTTACTAGTGCTGTCTCCTGATAGCGCGGGTTATCTATATATGCGTTGGTGTTATGATTTACCTCCTCATCTTCAATCGCAGCAAAGAGTTCTTCTGCTGAGAACTCATTAAGGTCTACTGACACCTGGGTTTCGATTACCCTATCTGTATTGGCATCACCAGTGGCATCTAGCTCAGCAGTACCAGCAACAGTGTTATGAGTCCCATCACTCACCACAGTAAGTTGGGCCTCCTCAGCCATATTGCGGTCCATCTCCTCTGCTTCAGCAATGCTCTGGATTAGCCAATTACTTGTGAGAAAGATGCTGTGGTCACGATATAATGGTGTCTGTATAAGGTACCGTGCAGCTGCCCAGACAAGATCCCGGTTAACATTACCAGAGGCATAGTTACGGATATGCCGCATCTGTCTTGTGAGACACACATGAATAATGTTGGTATCACTTAGGCGGCGTGGCAAGCTGTTGACAGATAGGTCCATGTTTGCAGATATATTTACAATCGGACCACGACTACGGAACTGCCCATATCCACCCATTGCCCGCCAGACTGACTGGAATATATGACGAACTGCAACAAGCCGCTCCTCTAGTCGTGTTAGGTTATTTAGGACATCAGGGATAGTTGGAAATTGGAGACCATTTGCCAGACAGCAAGCTGGAATATTTTTGGCCATAATAGCAGCCAAGCATGTCCTACAGAATAGGCCTCTGTCCATACTGGGGTTAAGCTGGAATGCTTTTGCAATAACCATCAGTGGCACGTCTCTTTCCATAAAATCCCCTCTGCTCCTCTCCTTCACTGACTTTTTAAACCACAGCTCACCACAGCAGCAGCATACATGAGTCGGACCCTCCTTTGTTCCTTCACGGAAGTATGCAGCAGCCACTGCCCAGCGCTCTGAGCAGACTAATGCACGAGCAATACGGCGAGCAGCTGTATCCTGAATCTGCTCATGTATGCGATAGTCAAGGTTGCTGCGTGCAAGTTGGCGAGCAGCTGTATCCTGAATCTGCTCATGTATGCGATAGTCAAGGTTGCTGCGTGCAAGTTGGCGAGCAGATGTATCCCGTATCTGCTCATATATACGATAGTCGGGGTTACTGCATGCAAGCTGACGAGCAGCTGTATCCTGTGTCTGCTCATGCATACGATAGCTAGGGTTACTACGTGCAAGCTGGCGAGCAGTTGTATCCTGGGCCTGCTCCTGTGCACGAATATAAGGGGAGCTACGCCTTCTTCTCTGGGCCTGGGCATTTCTATTCCTCTCGATAGCCAATTGTTCCCTTCCTTCTGGTGTCAACTGTAACCTTGCTCTGCGTCGACGACTACGTAGGCGGGCACTAGCTCTGCGATGCTCATCCAACTCCGAGTTACTAATTGACATCGTTTTTCTTTTTTTTTTTTTTTTCAGTTCTATGGTGAAAGTGAATATAACACCTTAGAGCTAAAACGAATTTATTGACTTCAACTACATAGCGGCTTATACTTTGCAGCAGCTCATAAAGTACAAGTGCCTTCATGGGAAAGCTCGGCACTGGTGCCTTAATTTTGTAGCGGCTTATACTTTGAAGAATGTGAACATGGGCAACCTAAGACTGTAAATAGCACTAGCTTAATTGGGATCACATTAATTTACTATATTAAATTAAAGTGTGACACACAGACAGACAGACAGACAGACAGACAAACCGATTTGAATAGGCACTCTGCGACGCTGGTTGGCGGGGGAGTGCCTAAAAGGAAATGCAATGCTCATGTGCGTTTCATAACAAGAGCAACGAGGAGAGTTGGCGGAAAGAGGACAATCAGACAGACAGTTCTGCACAGAGCCTGCTCAGTCGCTGGCCAGTGGCTGTACTTTGTGACGCCAGCGGCTATACCGACCTTCATTGTCGCCTGCATTATCTGTTCACGCATTTACAGCCTCGGCATGGCTATTCTCATCATCCCCTTTCACCGGGAGATGTTTCTTGTCTGCCTGTTCTCATGAATAGCTCAGGCTATATAGTGCAGTGGTTCTTTTACAAATGCAAAACATCAAGAAAAAGGCGTGCAAAGTCTCGGAACTTCCTTTGTAGCTCACCAGTCGGTGTCGCCATCAGTTTGATAGCAAAGAGCCGGCATCAAGCTCGTCGCTGACCAGTGCAGCGTCGGGGGCCGGCTCCTCGTGGTTCTTGAGGCGCTCCAAGGCATGCCTGACCTCCGCCTTCCAGTCAACCCACATGTAAATGTAAGTAATTTGCAGGGCAGACGAAATCATAATGCCAATACACAGGCCCCACCACAGACCAACAGCCTGCATGTGGTATGGGCCGTAGCCTAGGTAGAGCGCGATGGGGACAGCGCACAAGTAGAACCCAACTATATAGATGTTGGCGCTGATCTTCTGGCGGCCAAGGCCGCGCAGAATGGCGCCCAGGATGGCATTCAGGCCATCGCAGATGAGGAACGTGCATGCAACAGGCATCAATTTGGCTGTCTCGCGAGCGACATTTGGGTCCGAGGTGTAGACCGAGGTCCAGAAGTCGCCAAAGAACACCAAAAACATGGTGCCGGTCATGCCGACCATAACTGACGCGATGATGGACACATCGGCAGCAATGCGCGCCTGGCGTGGCTTTGCAGCACCGATCAGGTTGCCGATGCGCGGGCTGGCACCGAATCCCAGTGCATTGCTGAACTGGAAGATCAGACTGACAGAGTTGAGCATGATGGCCTGGCCAGCAAGCTGGTTGGCGCCAAAGTACGAGGCACCGATGGTCAAAAGCTCGAACCCGACCCACTCGGCACACACGGTAATGACGGCAGGGATTGCAAACCGGTAGTACTGGGACATGTTGCGGAAAGCACGGCGTGTCCATCCACCCCAGGTCTCGGCGGCGCTGGAGCGGCGCGCGTAAATCAGGATACCAGTGAACAGCAGCCAGTTGGATATGACATTGACGATCGGTGCACCGACAAACCCGATTCCGTAGGTCTTTGAGCGAACAAAGAAGAAGTTGTTGAACCAGTGGATTGGCGCGATAATCATCACAACCACAGTGCCAGCGCGCATAATCTCCTGTGCCTGAAGATAGCGCTTGAAGGCTTCGAACATGGACCACGGCCAGATGCCCAGAATCTGGATCCGCAGGTACATGCCGGCCAGGCTCGCAATCTCAGGATCCTGGCGCAGAAGCAGCAGAATGTCCTTGGCAAACCACAGAACCGGAGAGACAATGAATAGATGGGTTGTGACGGCGATGATGCCGCGCTGGAAATGGAATCCCACTAACCGCTTGTCGCGCGACGCTGTGAAGGCTGTGGAGCAGAACGTGTCCATGGCGGACACCAGGCCGATAGACGGCGCCAGCGCAAGAATGCCCATGCATGTCACCGACAGAGACATGGCGGCCAGCTGCTTTGCGCCGAGGTGGCTGACTGACATGACGTTTACAAAGAAGAACGACGATTGCAGCATCATGGTCAGGATGACCAGCGACGACGACGACGCCATCCATTTCGTCTCGCCCTTGGCCACGGCCAGCCATGGCGAGGTGGTGTCATGTTTGGAGATCTCGAGGCTGGTGGCAGATGGCGATGTGCTGAGGAGCGGTGTTGTCTCGCCGCTGTTGTGTGCTGTAGGGGCAGCAGACTCGAGGTCTGATGGGCGGGGCTGCGCGGTCATTGTTGTCTGTGGGTACCCTCCTGCAGTCCGAAATGAAAAAATATCGGCGATATGGAGGTATTAAATGACGCAAAAAATCGGAACAAAAGAGGGAAAAAGGAGGAATTACAGGTTTGTGCTGCCGCCAGAGGGAGTACCTTGCGCTTTATAGCTATCGAGAGGCTAAAACTCCTGTGTGGTCTGGGTGCGGCCTCCCTAAAGGCAATCCCTAGGGCGGTGCGCGAGCAGAACGGACAAATTATTTGGCGCAAACAAATTTCCGTCTGGCCGCAGCGCTCCTCTACGGCTTGCTCGTGTCCAATGCAATTGTGCCTTTGAACCCAAAAAAAATTCCCATTCGGTGCTGCAAATGGCAAGTAAAAGCAGACGCAGTGGTCAGTTGTTGTGGCCAGAGCACGCTTGCGCGCCTCAGCAGCAGATCCACTCCCCTGCCGTGAGAAAGCGACATCCATTAAATTGGCCCCCTGGTAATTGTCCATGACACATTAACAGCATATGTGATTCACGGCAGTGCAGCGCTGTAGCAGACACGTCTTCATGGCGCAAATCCCCGAGCTGCTCCGTCTACTACACCCGGCCATCGGAGGCGGTCTACTGGAGAGGAGTCGCAGGGCAATGCCAAGGGCGTTTCGGGTTTCTGGCCCAGGCGGAACTGTCCATCAGAAAGCGGGCGCTCGTCGGGCGCTGTGACGACTCGGGGACGCATCCGCAGCGCCATGACATTTGTAAGCTGGATCAACAGACTCTGCAGTATGTCAAATGACTGCTGTGATGCATATGGATAGAGACAAGGCGAACCCAGCGCCGTCCACACCGCTACCATTGGCTTGTCCATGGGCCTGGTGGAGGGGGTCAAGCTGCATCCGATGCTGGCTTTTGTCCCGCTTTCGATGAATACGCGTGTTTACAGAAAAAATGATGCTGCTGTTTATTTGCTGTCTACATTGCTCACGAGTCCTTGGCGAACAGCTCGGGCTTGGGCGGATCGATCTTGAACTTGTCTGAGCGGTGCGACACGTATGCCTGGAGCTCGCAGTTGGACAGATCGGGCACCACGTACGTGCGCACCTTGTTCAGATCAACGACGTAGTTGCCGTGCTTTGTGTGCTGTCCCATCGAGCCTGTGCGGTTACCCTTGTAAAAGTTGCGGCCCTGCTTCGACGTCATGACCCCGCGCTTCGCACCACGGAAAATACCCTTGATAACCTGCTGCATGGTCGCCACCCGAAATTATTGTGTAAGAAAAAAGGTTGAATTGAGTGCGTGTAGGACTGAAAAGACCGCCGTATTTCTTCACGCTGAGATAAACCCGCCACGCTCGCAGAGAGGGGCTGATTACTGATCTAATCGATTATCTGAAAAAGTTGTCGAAAAAATACCCAAAAAAAAAGTCCTGCAGTTTGTGGTCGCTCCGTTGTATCCGCCCCACACGCCTCGCCCAGCAGCTCTCTTCTGCTCGCTCGCTCACACTCTTAACATCATTCACTACTAATACTATCTGACAGCCATGGGAGTGCAAAAGAAGGAGGCGTACAAGCCCAACAAGGTTCCGGGGAACCTCAAGCTCAAGGGCGAGAACTTTTACCGCGACCGCAAGAAGGTGCAGTACATCAACATGCTCAAGGGCGGCAAGGCCAAGTACGACAGCAAGGGCAACCTGCTCAAGGCAGCGCCGTTCCAGTCGCGGGAGGCCGGGCCAGCGCGCATTGAGCCCAACCGCAAGTGGTTCGGCAACACGCGCGTGATCGGACAGAAGGCGCTGGAGGAGTTCCGCGAGCAGATGGCGACCAAGATCAACGATCCGTACCAGGTGCTCATGCGGCGCAGCAAGCTGCCGACCAGTCTGCTGCACGACAACACAAAGATCGGGCGTGTCAACATGCTGCAGACCGAGGCCTTTGGCGACACATTCGGACCCAAGGCGCAGCGCAAGCGGCCCAAGCTCAGCTTTGAGGACTTTGAGCAGATGGCGACACGCATTACGGACTCGAACGACAACTACGACCACAAGAAGGACACCAACCTGCTGGCCAACAAGCAGACCGACTACACCGATGCCGCCCGCGACTGGTACTTCAACGCCGGTACGTCGAAGCGTATCTGGAACGAGCTGTACAAGGTGGTGGACTCGTCGGATGTCATCCTCCACGTGCTGGATGCCCGCGATCCGCTGGGCACCCGCTGCCGGCACGTCGAGAAGTACCTGAAGGCTGAGGCGCCGCACAAGCACTTGGTGTTTGTGCTCAACAAGGTCGATCTGGTGCCGACGTGGGTCACGGCGCGCTGGGTCAAGGTGCTGTCGCGCGAGTACCCGACGCTGGCGTTCCACGCCAGCATCAACCACTCGTTCGGCAAGGGCTCGCTGATTCAGCTGCTGCGCCAGTTCTCGCGCCTGCACTCGGACCAGAAGCAGATCAGCGTGGGTCTGATCGGATACCCGAACACGGGCAAGAGCTCGATCATCAACACGCTGCGGCAAAAGAAGGTGTGCAATGTCGCGCCGATTCCCGGAGAGACCAAGGTCTGGCAGTACATCACCCTGATGCGGCGCATCTACTTGATCGACTGCCCCGGAATCGTGCAGTTCTCGTCCAGCGACACCGACGTCGACATTGTGCTCAAGGGCTCGATCCGTACCGAGAGCCTGCTCAGCCCCGAGGACTACATCCCCGAGGTCCTCAACCGCGTGCGCCCCGAGTACATCCGGCGCCACTACAACATCGAGAACTGGGCCGATGCCAACGACTTCCTTGGCGAGCTGGCCAAGATCACCGGTAAGCTCAACAAGGGCGGCGAGCCCGATCTCCATGTCGTCTCCAAGATGGTCATCAACGACTGGCTGCGCGGCCGTCTGCCGCACTACAAGGCGCCGACCGAGTACGCCGAGCCGCTGGCCGACTACGTGAAGAAGTCGGAGGAGACCGCCGAGTCGGCTGTTGAGAAGCAGACCGAGCAGGTGTCCGCTGACGAGGAGGTCGATGCGGAGGAGCCCGAGGAGGAGGTTGAGGAGGAGGTCGTTGCTCGCCACCACAAGGTCAACGTGACGCAAAAGTTCAGCAAGATCCCGGTTGTTGCCGAGTACCTGCCAGTTGATCTCGAGGGCGACAAGGAGCTGCGGCAGTCGGAGCGCGACATGGGCTCAGACAGCGAGGCAGAGAACGAAAAGTCAAACAAGCGCAAGAAGTCCGACAAGGACTCGGACAAGAAGAGCAAGAAGGCCAAGCGCGCTGCGGGCGAGGAGAACGACAACGAGCCGGACTGGGATGAGGTGTTCCAGAGCGTCGTTGGCGAGGAGGCTGATGCTATTGACTCGGAGCTCGAGTCTGGCTTCTCGTCGTCTGACAATGACGACAACGAGAAGAGCGATGATGAGGAGGAGGCCTCTGATGCCGAGGAAGCCCAGCCCGCGCCGGTGGAGGATGGGTCCGAGGAGGAGAGCCCGCGGAAGAAGCGCAAGGCACCGCGTATGACCACCAACAAGATGAAGATCGGCAAGCACTACTACCCAGATGCCAACATCAAGAACAAGAACCGCAACAAGGTGCGCCCGGTGGCCCCCGACGCCATGGTCAAGCGCATGCGCAAACCAGGATCGTGGACCGTGTCCAAGAAGAAGTAGTTCCTCAAAACCAAGCTCCGTTTCCACAATATATACCCGCTCTTTTTCAATATGCAATCGATTGGCCAGTAGGCAGATCGGCGGTGCATGGGTCCAGCGAAGTCCCAAAAAATTCATGGACGTGCGCATGGATTGTCACCTGAATCGTGGGGGCTGGGCGGACGGTGGCTGCCCGGCTGACTGGCCTGAGGCACGCCTCATGCGCCTTTCTCCTTCAAACCCTCTACTTTCGTACGCCCTTTTTCTGTATTGTCAACAAGTAGTTAGCCATGGCACCCAGCGTAAGTGTTCGGCAGCGAGCGAAGCAAGGAGCCAGAGTGCACGCATTGCTCTGAATTTCAAGGCCCACTCATGCAAACGGTATCCTGTAGGTATCCTTCATATTCAACCCAAACACGCATGCGCAGTCGGTGTGGGAAAAGGTAAGCACTACAGGGCAGATCCAAGCACCAGCAAAAACCGGCCCCAGTGAATACCTCACACTCACCGTACACTCCAACACGGACCGTTTCTAGCTCAGGCCGCACGCAGAAAAGAGGCTAGCCGGCATAAAATGGGTGGCCAAGCCAACCAAGCGTGCCGGCCACGCCCGCGAACTGGCCTACGCCAGCATCTTCAGCGACCACTGCACAGTGGTGGTAGCTATTGGCGGCGACGGCCTCTTGCACGAAGTGGTCAACGGATACATGGACGCCCACGGCAAGCAGTCCGGTGCCGCCATTGCAGTGATCCCTGCCGGCACCGGCAACGACTTCGTCCGGTCCTTTCCGAAGCCGCCTGCGGTGCCGGCGCCCGGCGATATCCTGGATCTGATCTTGAATGACCAGCGTGCGACAGTCGATATTGGCAAGTATAGCTGCACGAGCTCGGCGAGCGTCAGAAGCTCAACTGGTACCAGCGGTTATTTTGTCAATGCGGCATCGGTCGGGCTGGGCGGGCATACCGCGATGATGCTGGCGCAGGCGCGGTGGAAGAAATACGTGCCCGGATCCATTGCATACCTGGCTCAGGCCGTCAAGACGTATTTTGTCGATTATCGGGCTCCACTGGTCAGGTACTCGTTCTGTCTGAAGGATGGTGGCGGGGCATCGCCTGATGTCACAGCCAAGCTGTTGATTAGCGTCGTAGCCAACGGAAGAGTATTTGCCGGAAACATTGGCATTGACGCAGCTGCGCGTCTCGATGATGGGCTGCTAAGCTTTGTGTGCATAAAGAACGCCAGTCTGGCACAGGTCCTGGCCAAGGTTGTGCCGGCTGCGCTGCTATCGACGCTATCAAGTGTCCCACCAGCTCTGGGTGATATAGCGAAAAATGCAGTCAGCGTACACATGGAGGCAGTCGACGAAGACACAGTAATTATTATTGAGACGGACGGCGAGATTGCCGGCGTGCTGCCCGCAGACTTTGAGGTAGTGCCGCGGTGTCTCGACATAATTGCACTTGAGTTATAGAATGTTGGTATATATTTTTAGACAGAGATGACATAGAAGATTTGGTAATTAGATGGCGGTAGAGGGTAGTGAGATAAAGAGGTCATACCTATTTAGGAAGCAAGAGAAGAACATGAGCTCTGCCATGTGCAAGACAGGGCCTCACTCGTCTGCCTCATCCAGCGGCTCCCTGCGCGTGCTTGCAAGGTCCGAGACAAATGACGACACAAAGCTCCGGGCGCTGTTGTTGTACACCTGCCGGTACAAAATCTCCCACCGATCGAGCTTCTCCTCCTCGCTCATCACCAGCGCATCGTTGATTGCGTTGGAAATCGCCCGCGTATCCATTGGGTTGACACCCAATGCACCGCCGCTGAATGCGCCGTACGTGCCGACAAACTCGCTCAGAATCAGCGGCGAGTGCTTCTCGCGCTGGCACAGCACAAATTCGTGCGATGTCAGATTCATACCGTCGCGCAGCGACATGACCATCATTGCGTCAGCAGTAGACAGCAGCGCCAGGTAGTGGGTGTACGGGATGTCTTTGTGGAAGAAGACGACCGGCTGGTGCTCGATGTTGCCAAACTTGGAGTTGATCCGGTTGACGACATCCATGACTTGCACATGCAGCTCGTTGTGCTCAGCTGTGGTCAGGGCAATCTGGATGAACACGGTCTTGGAGGCATACTCTGGATGGTCGTTCAGGAACATCTCATAGCCAAGCAGCTTTTGGCGCACGCCCTTGACGTAGTCGAGCTTGTCGCGTCCGACTATCAGGTACTTGCCCGCGTACTTTTCCTTCAGGAACTGGATAAGATCGCCCACGGCAACATTGCTCCTACATGGTGGATAATTTGGGAAGATATTAGATTCGCTGGTTGCTCGGAGACATGGCCGCCAACTGCCCTTGTGCATGCAATAGCTGAAGCACAGGTGACGTCCTAATTAATGATCGCCGATGGCTGCTAATTGGCAGCGGCATTCAGGATTTTGCAAGAGGATTCGCATCAGGCGTGGCCAGGGAGGGGAGGGGAAAGAGACATGTCGTATGTCGGGTTGCATGCTATCGATGATGGCTGCCTGGCCTTTCATCATCCCTTCTGTTGATCATTGATGGTGGGGAGTGCGGAGCCACTTACCATTTCTCCTCAACGCTGGCTGGGTCAAGACCCATGGCATATTGGCCAACGACCACTGGCCCCTTGTCCAGAAACAGGCCGCTCGGCGACCCCTCGACACCAAGAACGCGCTTTGCAGTCTGAATAAAGTGCCGCTTATATGAAAAGGTCTACATGGAGCGGAACATTCCAAGGATTGTCAGTGTGTGGGTGGGGTATATGTGGAAAGGCCCACAACAGATGCTGCGCCCGCAGTACCGTGCCAGAAAAAAAAACAACAGATATGATACACAGCCAATGTCAGGTTGAGGCATAGCCTTTGTTTTCCTATGGTGGACACAGCACAGCAAATCCAAGCCCATGTATGCACCATGTCATGCCATGCATTATCAGGCTTTAATTAAAAGAGGATAGTCCCCGCCATAGCCATTTAGCGCGCCTCGCGCACTCGTCCTCCTGGTTTCAGGCAATAGGAGAGGGCCTGGCCGTGTTGCCGACAAGAAATCACCCACAGCAAATGCATGTACATATGCCCAACACACTTACCTGCAAGCCGACGACATCAGCCCCCAGCATCCCCTCAAGCAGCTCCTTGCGGACATGGAGGCAGCGGAAGATCTCAGAGCTGGGGAAGGGGATGTGCAAGAAGAAGCCGACCTTGGCGTGCGGCAGGCGCTCGCGAATCAGCTTGGGCAGCAGCATTAAATGATAGTCGTTGACCCAGATGACGTCTCCTTCGCGGTATATCTCGACAATGCGGTTGGCAAACTTCTGGCAGGTGGACAGTGCTGCCTCATACGCCGATTTCTCCCAGCCGTGCCAGTGCGGCATCTCGGGCATGATGTAGTGGAAGGCTGGCCACAGAAGCTACATGACAGGGAGTGGCAGCGACACAGCATGGGTTAGCAGACAGAAAGAAAAGGGCCCCAGATCGATAGCGCACAGATGCGCTGAAAGAGCATGAAAACTGATAAAGTGCAGATAGCATGGGGAGCGGACACCACCCGCTTATCACGGCATCACAGCACACCTGCTGCGTGCATATGGCCACACGCCAAAGCCTGCGTTTCCTGAAGGAAAAGCCAGGCGCTGGCACGGTGCTGGCGGGTATTAGCGGCATATTGTGTACATTACCTGCTTGCAGAAGCGGCTGTAGTGGCCCTCGAACTCCTTGTCGCTGACAAACACCGGCACGGTCTCGAACTCATCCAGCAGGCGGCTCGACACGGCGGCCTTGCGCTCCTCGGACCAGCTGTCGGTGCTGACCCCAATCTCGCCAATCCAGATGCGCTCGGCAAACTGGTCCAGGCTGGCGTTGACGCTGTTGAACAGGCCAATGTTGCCGACGTTCAGGTGCTCGACCACAAACTCATCGCTGGTGCCGGGTACTACCGACGGCGACCACGGCATATCGCCGGGCGACACCATCGAGCTGATGTCGCTGCCACTGCTGCTGCGCGTGGTGGAGATGTTGAGCCCCACCAGCGACGCTGTCAGCGCCGGGTCCGCGTGGCCATTTGTATTACCGTTACTCTCGGATACTTCCGCCATCAAGCCTGCTCCCCACCAGCCCGCGCTGCGATGCTGCGACCTCCTTGGCAGCGCCCGCCAGCGTCGCCGACTGGGCCGCACGCCCCACAGTCTTGCGTTTTGCCGGACTGCTATGCATGCCGCTCCGCCTTGCCTGCTTCTCGCGCATCAGATCCCGCGTCGCTTTGCGCGAATAATCCAGCGTATTGGCCGGCGGCGTGTGTGCGCCTGCTGCCTCATCAATGCTGAAGCCCAGCTGCGTCGGGTCCAGCCGCCGCACATGCGGCTGCTCGTCGTGCTCGGTCGTGCGGCGCCAGCCGCGCTGCGTCGCCGTTGGGAGGTGACTCGCCGGGCTCCTTGCGATCGGCGGAACCCGACCGTGAGATCGGCGTCAGCTTGAACGCATTCACCGAGAACGACGAGCGCCGCCGGCTGTGCGGCTGCCCGTGGTGGCCCAGCGGCGTTGTGTGTGTGCGGTGGACGCTGCTGCGCCGCCCCTTCCAGACCGAATTGCGGCCAGTCGACCCGCTGCGCATGTGCCGGTCGGCCGCTTGCATGGCGTTGCCTGGAGGCGTGCCGTTCTCAGGCCGGTTGGTCAAAGTTGACAGAGTACGGCGCAAAGAGCGACACCACGAGTACACGCGACTCCATAGTGCTGAGTGGAATGTGCCTTGGCTAATTTCGTTCGAGTGAAGAAAAAATGCGTGGCCAGGACGGCGATCAAAAGAGAGGAAGAGAGAGAAGACGCTGTTAGTAATGGAGCCAAGCCGAACACAGCCAGACGGGGGAGGAGGCTGGGTGGGAATAATGTATAGAGCACACAGAAGCGTGCGTGCTTGCTTGCTAGGGCAGTAGGGCACTTTAGAGAGGTGAAAATACAGCGCTGGCGAGGCAGAGGTGGAAGCAAGGAGAATAGAGATTTGTGTATAGCCGTGTGGAGTCCGTTCTAGCGAATGCCACCTTTTCGTGTCTAAATACAATGTTTGTCCAGGGGTGTTGAGGGTGGGTGATGGACACACCCCTGCAATCTTTCTGAAGAAGACGAAAAATGAACTGAGCCTGAGCACGGATATGCACCCGTATCATTCGCTGAGATACTGCCGAGGATGCCAGAGCCTGACAATCATTGACGAATCGCACTCCCTTCGCTCCACAGATGTGATATTCGTTTCGCCAGAATGACGGCCCCACACCCTCCTCGCCCAGGGACATGTGCCCCGGTGCTGTGGAGAATACCTCGTCGCCAAATGGGACTGCTGATATGCTCAACACGGGCCCATCGTTCCAAGAACAATGACGCGATACTCTACCTGGTCTGATTTGCTTATGCGAAGCAGTATATGAATCGTTTTCAGGAGTCGCCCCAAGGCCTTGTGTGTTTACCTGAAGCACAGTTTGAGAATCAGAAAACAGGGAGGAAACAGCCCAGCAGATAATCGAGGGTGTCTCCTGCCTGTGCCTCCGCGCACCCGCCTTTTATATGTGGCTAGCGAGGCAGCACCGCATCACGCAGACCAACTTCGCATCACTGACTGACGTCACTCGCTCCTTCCGCTCCCTTTTTGTTTGCGCTGCGCACCTATGAGGAACGCCAGGACACCACTGGCAGAACATGCAGAAAGCGACACTGGCAGCAGACCCGCGCTCCTTCACACTCCCCAAAAACATGTTTGCTGTGCACAACCGCGCGAGGTTTGACGACAAGGAGAGCCCCAGAGCTATCAGCAAGGCATCAATGAACCCACAGTGCGACCACAGGAGAGCGCTGGTGCCTCTGCAGCAGTCGCCCACGCCTTTGGCAGTCGCCTTCGCCAATGACGTCGTCCTGGCTCGTTCATCGATAGGGGATTTTTTTGGGCTAGCCTGGAGTGTTCGCAGCGCACCATACTAGGCAACTTGGGATACATGAGCAACTCAGGCGCTTCCCTCGCCGATTCCAGAACCTGCAAAAATCCGCTTCACCAACGAAACGATCCTCCTATTTTACGCGCCAACAGCAGAACCTATGCTCTCCACTCTCACACGGCGAGTTGTCCTCAGGGACTGTGGCTCCAGCGCACTCACTCGATCTCCGCTGCATGCACCGCCTGCCCGCATGTTCCACGGCCGCCCGGCTTCCTACGAGCCCCGCCCATCTCCGTCTGATTTGCTAGCAAAGAAGCCGTCCCCCGCCGATGGCAACGACCCGACCAGCCGGTTCTTCAGACAGCGCCGCGCCGAATTTATGTTCACGGCCGTCAAGCCACAGCAGTACAGCCACCTGCATCTCCCAGAAGTGACATTTGCGGGCCGCTCGAACGTCGGCAAATCCTCGCTGATCAACGCCGTTCTGCGCTCAAAGTCCCTGGTTAAGACGTCAAAGCGCCCGGGCCACACGTCGGCGCTCAACTTCTTCAGTCTGGCGTCCGATGCATCGCCACGCGCTCTCACTCTGGTGGATATGCCGGGGTATGGTTTCCGCAGTCGCGACGAGTGGGGCAAGTTTATCATGGAGTACTTGGGCGGGCGCCAGGAGCTCAAGCGCGTTTTCTTGCTTATCGAAGCCAAGGTCGGCAAGCCGAAACAGACGGATCTGAGCTTCCTGGAGCTGGCCGAAGACTACGGCGTGCAGACACAGATTGTCCTGACCAAGACCGACAAGCTGAAGAAGCCAGATCTCGACAAGATCAGCGAGGGCGTGGTTGCTGCCGCTCTGGAGGCTGCGCCGTCGGTAGTCCAGCCCACAGCCATCCACTGCAGCAGCCGGTCCAAAGACGGCATCCACTCCGTGCAGAGGGAGATTCTCAAAGTATGCAATATGCTGTCAAACATCAAATAGAATGTATTACTCCATACGGCGCCTCCACTCGCTAACGATAGCGCCAACGCACTCTGCCAGCATATCTTTTGCCGGCACATCGGACGAACACACTGAGACATTAGAACTCCCGGGCGCAGCCGCAGCATCGTCGGCCAGGATGCATGGGTGCGCCTTGATCATGCCTGAGTGGTACTTTACAAAGTTGGGCCACACGATCGAGTCAAAGTACCCAGGCGGGTCCGTCCACACGCCCTCCTTGGTTGCATATGCTGAGCGCGCCTCCCGGCGCTGCTTCAGCGTCTCGTATGATGCATAGATAAACAGGCCAATGTCCAAGGCGCTCTGCGGGTGCCTGACGGCATCGTTGTCATCATGGTAAAGCAAGATGCCGTCAACGAGCACGATGCAGAATGGAATCTGGTCGGCACTGTCGATTCCCAGGTCTTGTATGATCCAGTGCCGCATGCCGTCAATAACGGTGGTCGGAATTAGCTTGTCGATGTCCTCGGGTGGGTTGGCCCACTGCGATGCGAAGTGGTCGCGCAGATCACCCACGCTATCGGTTCCGTCGATGCCCTCCAGCCTCAGCCGCGTGCTCTCAATGTCAGCTACCAGTTTTTCCATGTCAAACGAGCCCGGGCAGTCCCAGTCCTGCACCCCAGCCGTGTCGTTCAATGGGATTTGGCTGTCGGGCTTGTAAAAGTCGTCTTGGTGGATAACCACTGTGTGTGGAAACAGCTTGATAAGGTTGAGTGCCACGGTGGTCTTTCCCGAACACGATGGGCCAGCCAATCCGACAACAACAACACGCGACATGATGAAATGACGAATAGACTACCTAAATGAGCGCAAATGTATAACACACTTGCCAATCCGCCACATTTTGTGATGACCGCATAAAGTGATCATTGCACATGTGGTAACTATGGATCTCATGCACACTGCGGAAACAGAACAGAATAATGCGACTGCTATTGTTACAAGCTCAAACAAAGTATTAAGGGTCGATGCGACGCGAGAGTGAGTAGAGAAGAGGAAAAAGAACAGACTACAGTACAAGGGCTAGTCGTAACAGCGCAAAGTGGTAAACGATAGAAGGGCAAAGAAAGGCGCTTACTGAGAATAGGCAGGGAGTAACAGTGGATACGAATAAGGTGATAGTGCAGTACACGGAGCCGGAAGCTAGAGGCTGATGATAGGATCCAAGACAGACAGTTCGATCTGCTTGAACTCGATGTCGTACGGGTTGTCATTCAGCTGCTTCATGAATTCAGATTCCTCGTCTTCGGTCTTGGTGGGCGTAGTAAACAGATAAATGTGTTTGCCAGTCTTCTGCACGATCGGCCGGAAGAACCTTAGGAATACGCGGCGCAGGTCATCGAGTGTGATATGCTCGATGTGGCGGGCGGACCACTTGATCGACTCTTCAAGCCCCGAGAACCCGCGCAGGATGGCTGTTGCATCGTCAAACGGGATGGCGCTGCCTGGGCTCTGGTATAGGCGGAATGTGTACATCGACTTGGACAGCCTCGAGCTGGACCTCATTGACACGCGCAGCCCAGCCTTCTTCGGTGCACATGTCTTCGATCACCTCCCACAGCGCGTGCAGCGCCTTGATAGGGTCGACTGCATGGCTGATGTAGATCGCCATATGGCCGTTTTCTGCGCGAGCGTGGATGCCGATTCCGTAGGCGTGGCCGCGTCCGCGGATTGCGTTCTTCAATGGTCCTTCTGAGCGACTCAGCAGCCCAGCCAGGATTTGGAAAGAGAATATGTCAAGTGCTGGCAAGGACTCGAGCTGCTTGTCGATGGAAACCAATGCCGTATCCACTGGATCCTTGGGGATGTCGAGCGGGACCTGGACGCCAAAGTATGATGTGCGTAGCTCCGGCAGCTGCACATGCAGGCCCAGTGGCTTTTTGAGGATCGACAAACAGGCGGCTGCCGCGACGCTCACCAGGCGGTCCCGCAACCACAGGGCTCTTGTGCTCCGGCACAGCCTTCACTGGCTGTGCTGTGCTCCTGCGGCGCTTGCGTGGCGGCCCAGACGCCTGCAATTGTGCGGTAGTGATCAAGGGGATTGGCGAGGCGTAAGGCACTACGGGCTCGGAAGGCGACGATGGAGCGATGATCGTCAGGTGGGTCTCACGCCACATGCTTGTGCGCACCCGCCACTCCTCAATCAAAGCGTCCACTATAACGCGAGCCTTGATGTCGGTTTGCTTCTCAGGCAAAGTGACATGGAGCAGCCCAGTGCGGGCTATGCAGTTTGCAAAATGCATGCGGATGCGGGCAATTGCATCGCTTACTTTGTGCGTGCTGGATGGCATCGCATCGTCTCCCGACACTGCGCTTGACAGAGACTGCGTCACAGACTTCATGAATGATGCCTGGAAGTACAAATTCAGGACACGTCCCAGTGGCTCCTTGCTGGTGTTTGTGATGACACCAGGCACAAGCGGGTTCCTGACCAGCGAGCTGGCATCGAATGCACCAGGTGCACGCAGCCACTGGAACATGTCAATGAGTATCGAGTTGTGCATCTCCTTGTTGCGGTTCACCATAGCTCTGAGGCGGGTAGCAGTTTTGTGGATAGCATCGATGCCAAAGTCGCCAAACAGCAGTTTCAAAACCATCAGCCCTGAACGCAGCGCGCAGATTGCTGCCTGTCGTCGACCCGTACAGGGTCAGGACCTCATACGGCCAATGACCGCTGTTTTCCAAATCAGAGTAGTTCGCCAATGTAAGGCTCTATGCTGGGTAAGAACTTTGCTGAACGACGCATCCACCTGCTCGCTAGGAATGTACTGCATGGGCATCTCGGATGGCTGCATCTCCTGGCCGTCATCGCCATTCATCAGCTCGGATGCAAGGGCTGAGGGTAGAATAAGTCCAGTGCGGACTGGCCAGAAGCTCAGTAAACAGAACCAGGTACGGATACAAGTCGCAAGACAGGCCAGCCAAAGGCAGGGAGACCTGGAACCTGGCCTCAATCTCAGTCGGCACGACCAACACGCGACCGTAGCCAAACGGTGTTGCTTGGCCCGCACGCTCGCTAGCCAAGTTGAACCCGAATCCGTAGAACGGCGGCAGTTGCACTTTGGAGACATCGGGCGTCGGGGGCATCGCCCTCAGCACTTCCATCGGAATGTTGATCTTGGTTGACTCCATGGCCTCAGCGTTCTTTCGCTCGACCTCCTTCATCTTCTCCGGCGTCAGGCTTTCCAAGAATGAGCGCTTTCTCAGGTTGCGTTCGGCCTCAATCTGAATGCTCATCTTGGAGTCTGGAATCATTGCCAGGTGCACCAGCTTGTTGTCAATCAGCCAGCGCTGCATAAGTGCTTCCCAGAACTTGTGGTCCTTCTGCTCGAGCTCACGGCGGATCGTGAACTGCTTGGCACGCGAGCCAAACTTAGGCCTAGACTTTGCAATTGACTCGGGCGAGAACCGGAACGCTGTTGCATCGCGAGACAGCATCTGGACGAGGCCATACATATCAGCGTAGTCCATCGCCGTCTTCCCGAAGGCTGCTGCAATAGCCGCGTTGCGCTTGACAATATAGCTGTGGAAGTGTGACCACCGGTGTTCCAGCCAGTAGTCGGTCATGTATGTGAACACGTCCATCAACTTACGGCGGTAGCTGTTATGTGAGAACAGATTAACTACATCGTCGCTCTGTGTAGTCAGGTCAGTAGCCCCGTAGGCTTCGGCAGGCGACGGGTAGCTGCTTGCTGCACTTGCTGATTGGGATACAGGAACATATGTGGGCGGACGGCGGTTCTGCGTCGACATGGTAGTGGATGCCACTGCAGCTCCCAGGTGCGTGGCATACGATTTGAGAGGCACCTCGAGAAAATTGAGCTCAATCATGGTTGGGATATACGGGCGGATGGAGAAGTCGATATCCCCGGCAATCTGCACTGGGCGGTTGGTGAACCTCAGACGCATCGGTGATGTCGGCTCGTTCTTCAGATAGTCGATCAGCATCTCCAGCGCAATCTGGGTTTCGACATCCTCGCAGGCCGGCCCCTCCCACGCAAATGCCATTGAGCCCTTGGTGGTCCTCTCTGACGCAAACACGACGTCGTGGCGACGCTTTTCGCGGGTAATCTGCGGCGATTTCATTGGCTGAGAGATCTTGGGCGGCGCGGCTGAAATCTCGGCATCCAGTTTGTCCAGCGCATCAAAAATCTCGGCTGGGCACTCATCGTAGGCGCCGACGAGAAGCAGGGTGATGTCACCGTAGTTGTAGTATTTGGCGTGGTACTCTTTGATTTCATCGTTTGTCAGCTCGGAGATGCTCTGCGGAAGGCCGCCGGCTCCAAACGAGTACGTCGACCGAGGCGGGTACATGTTCTGGCGCAGGGTCAAGTGACCGCACAGAGTGGCTCCTTGAACGCAAGATCGCTCATTTCGCTGAGTACAACGCCCTGCTGCTTGCCATCAGTGTCCACATGGTAGACCTACGAAGGGAAAAAATCAGCAAAGGGCAGCTTTGGGCGCTCGTGATCATGCGCGGGTTGTCGAGGCAATAGTGAAAAGGGAAGCGCACCGCAGAGTGCAAGGACAATGCATGCCACGTCTGGTGGTCCACTCTTTTTATAGAACAGCGCATAGCCGCATTGTGCTATAGGGAGCGGGGTTCGTGAGCCCATGACAGGTTCATCCGCGTGAAGGCGCCGAACCTGTTCACAAGATAGCACAGCTGCATAGCTTGGGCATAAATTAACATTGCGGACAGGCACGCGCAGGGGCGCCTCGACAAATCACAGGCAGGACCCGCGTTGATTCCAGGACCCGCCTTTCGCCCAGCACACTATGCGGGTATTTTGGCGACTGGGGGCGGACTTGCCAAGCGTCATATCTCTTGTCTTTTCTCTAATGCACGAACCTGCAGCCAGCACTGTGACATTCACACATGGACGCATAAGGAATTGGCAAGCAAAAATAGACAAGGGGGCTGATCGCTGATGTGGCCAGCATCCATCGCAATGGCAAGTAGGAAATACAAAAAGCTGGGACACTAATGATGCCAATTTGGGCAGCTGGCAGCAGTGGGCGGATATGCATCGTGAACAAAAAAGGAGGTAGGTGCGGATACATTGGCTGCGAGCGATTTGTACAATCGACACGCAAGCGCGCGCCGACATTTGATGGACAAGAATGCATATGCAACTTTGCGTCTCGCTTGGGAGCAGCAAAAAGGAAATGCTGCTAGTCCATGCATGTGTGTTGAGAAGTAAACAATAAAAGCAAGTGACGGAGATTGCACGCTATTCTTCAGGCAGTGACTTCATCCCTGCGCTATTCCTGTCCATGGCGTCCATGACATCCATGACGTCCATGAAATCTATGACGTCCATGATACCCATGATGTCTATGATGTCCATGATGTATGTGGCGATAAAGTTGGGCAGGAGGAACAAAGAGGTGTGTCTAGAAAAAAACAACATAGCAATATGCATCCCTCGATCAAGCAGCAAGGTTTGAAACTCACCTCAGTTGCAAAATGCGTGTTCAGCAGCAGCGGGTGCATGATGTGATCAAGTGCGACGGGCAGGACATTTGCAGCGCCCTGCTGGGTGAGCCCCATGAACTTGAACAGTGTCATGTCATTAAAGGTCGTCGCGTTCATGGGCAGGCCGAGGTTGCGCGATGCCACTGTGTCGATGTATCCACGGTAAGGGAACGCCTTTGACCCACAAAACACCACTACATACGCGAGAAAAACCAGGCATGGGTAAATCGTGATATCCGAATATGGATCCGCACACTCCGCCTCGCCTCCGTGTACTTACAGTGCTCCAGCGTATGCGGCTTCCCCTTGTGATCCTTACATGGCGTTGGAACGCACACTGCCATTTTGCACACCGGGCCGGGCACCTGGCATACCACAACTCGGAAGTCGCTTGCCCGGTGCTTGTACACAAAACACGGGAATCCTTCACGCTCGCCGTTCTCGAACGCCGTCTGCTCCTCCAGAACGTACTTGTCGGCCATGTCCTGGTGTGGTTTTGTGCTCGGGAGAATAAGGGTGTAGAATAATGGGAATTACCGGGAATAAGGACAAAGTGGAGCAGGAGGTGAAATAGAGGAGGGGGAGCAGAGAGCTGGGGCTTCTCACGCGGCCAAGCTTTTTCTTCTTGCGTAGGTGCCAAAGAGGGGTTTCTGTTTTAGTTCAGGTGCACGCTTGCCCCTAGTTGTTTGCGGGTTGCCACTCTTCTCTATCGCCCCTGGTGATAAACAGATGCAAAAGGGACACGACTCGGAAACAAAAAGCAGTCCCTGCTGCTTACTTCAGAGAAGGGACAAGGCTGCGCAAAATGCAAAAAACAGTTGCGCTTTTTTCGCAGCGGCCAGTCAGAACGAGCGTCCAGAGGTGGTGGGTCCTGTAACGAATAGCAATTGCGCCCAGCGTAGAAATACAGCTGCTCAGCGCCGATGGCTTTTTATTTTTCACTAGACTAGCTTGCGCACAGGCAGCAGCGAGGAATGGGTTTACAAGAGACAAGGAGCGCGCGAGAAGCTGAAAGGTAGGTAGAGAAAGAATAGCAGAACTGGAAATCGAAAAAAGTGCGCGAAGGCAGCTGCCCTTTATAACGGAAAACCCACTTTTTAGGCGAACCCGGGAGGGGGTGGGTGGTGACCCCCAGTGGAATTTGCAAAAACCCGAGATGGTGCCAGCGCACTTTCTCCAACCGTCGCAATGTTCAGTGATGAGCTACATAAAAGCAATATATTTGGTTCTTGCAAGCAAATTACACTCATTGTTAAGGGTTTCCTGAAAGGGAGGAGTGAAGCTTAATATCGCGCAATACCACGGCCAGGGCGCCACAAAAGGACGTGGAATCCTCAGCAGATACTCGACAAAGAACCAAGCACAGACTTTACCAGCAGCATCTGTGCATTGTAGAGAAGCGCGGTTCTGAGTATGGACAGGTGTTGTATTTACATCCGGCCCCCTTTGCTGCTTCGAACAAACAAAGCTAGCAAGGCGCATCCTTTGGAAATGGACACACCGGAACGACAGGGAATGCAGATAGCGGTGGTGGGGAGAGGGGGGAAATGATCGTCTAATTAAAAAAGCGACATCAGTCATCCGGACACTGCTGGGTCTCACATACAAGTCGACATGGACATGCATATATTGAGTCGAGCCAGGGAAAAGCAGAAAGCAAAAAGCAAAACAAAGCAGACCCAAAACCACAGGCAGGCTCATCCAGTGGGCGAGGGGGCATAGGGTGAATGCCCGGGTATTGCCATTATGCCCACTCGGCTGCTGACATCAACCCACATACACTAGCTCGCAAACATCCACACCGCATGACTCTTGCCAGAGCACGCTCCACACAGCAAAGAAACAAAGCAGATTTGTGGCAAGTGCCCAAAAGAAAATCAGACATCACCCGCTGACACCGCCCAGATGATGCTGGCCACTCTCGGCAAGCCCAGCGAGCCATGTGAGCTTGCTGCACACCCAGCACACATATCCGCGTTTCAGCCCTCTGTCCCACGCGCGGCACACGAAACCAAGTCGCCAACCTGTTGTGTGCGAGCAACAAGTCTCATGTTTAGGAGCAAAAAGGAATATATATTTTGAAAAGTTGGCAACAACTAGTTAGCTGGCTGGGCTGGAGGCGCCCGGCTGCCGTGGACGCGGAAGGCGGTATACACAGGTGTGGTCGGGGTGGCCCCAGTTCGAGTTGACCTTGAGCACCAGCGTGCGCACTCGGACCGGCCCGTCCACCGGAATGACCTGCATCGGGCGGTCATCCGACGGCTCGTATTCGTAGGTGGTCAGCAGTTTGAGTTCGCCGATGCCATAGTCGGAGCTGCTGTCGGCCAGCGGCGGTATTGGCATGCCACTGAACTCGGCTGCAGCTGTGGAATGCGGGGCGGCAGCGCCATCATCGGCCGGCTCATCACTGTCGTCGGCAAAATCTTCCGGGTAAATGTCGAACGCCGAGTTGTCGGAGGCTGCAGCCGGCGCAGCCTGGCCAAGCACGTAGCCCCAAATCTCAATGCTGCGCGGGGCGCTGCGCCAGTCAATGGCCACGCTCTTGGCCACATGCTCCAGCCCAAATTCGGCCACATCCACAACCTGGCCCAGGTGCAGGGCCACCTGGCCCGACGGTCCGCGCATCGGCCAGCACTCGCCCACATGCGTGTTCGGATCGATTATAGCCGTGGGCGGCTGCGACGACGTCATGCCGATTGCACGCAGCGCCTTCTGGAACAGCCCGCGTGGCGTTGCCTCGTACGTCTGCGATGTCAGGCTAGGAATGATGCGCGATCCAGCCGAGAACAGCGCAAAGTCCGTCTTGCCCACACGGTCGTTGGCGTACCGGTTCAGCGCGCCTTCAATCATGCGAGCCACATTGTCGTACGCTACGTCGCCATCGGTCTCGAGCCATTCGGGCTTGAGCAGCTCCCGCAGCTCCTTCTCCTGCTCGCGGATAGCAGCATCAACCAGCTCACGCACTTCACGCAGGCTCACGCTGCCGCCGCCGCCGCTACTCACGACCCTGCGGCCGCCCTGCAGTTTGGAAATTTTATCCTCAAGCGCCCTCTTTGCCTGCTCGACCAGCTTCTGCGCCGATGCAGAGACATTGTCCAGCTTCGGAGTTGTATTCCTTGAGCTGCTTGTCGTGCGATTTGCTCTGCCGCACCGCCTCGGCCTGCGCACTGGCAATATCCCGCGCGAGCCTTTCCACCTGGCGCTTGATGCTCTGCATTTCCTTGGCAGAGACACCGCTGCCGCCTGCGGCCTTGGATGTCTGAGACTGCATGTCGTGCTTCAGCGAAGCATAGCTCCTCTCCAGGTCTGCAATCCGCTTCTTCTCGTCCTGGTGCTCAGACATCAGCTGCTGCTTCTCGCGCTCGAGCTTCTCCAACGAGTCAAACACATCCTGCTGCTCTTCTTCGCGATGGGTCTTCAGCGTATCCAGCAAACTGTACAGGTGCCTCAGTGTCTGCTCCACATCTGCCAGCCGCTCGGTAATGGCCGAACTGTGTCCGTTGGGATCCACAGGCCTGCTGTCTGTCAGCGGCGGCATTGTGATCGGGCGCTTGCTAGGCGTAGGTGAACGCATTCCGCCAAATAGACGGCCAGGGGACAGCATATGTGGTAGCGACGGAAGGCTGGAGAGCAACGGCTGGGCGTACTGACTAGCAATGATAGAAAACGCAACCATAGCAAGGCCTGTCAGGATCCCGGTCATGGTGCGCGCTGAATCGCGGTACTCGCCTGGGGCAATCAGCCGCCACAGCGACAGCGGCAGCAAGATGGCTTCGCGCGTGCCGCTGTAGATCGTGCCGATGATGATCCTGAATAGCAGCTTGGTGGCAAACGACACGATCAGTATCACCGTCTCCTTGATCAGATAGTAGACTATAAAGAAGGCAAACGACACGCGCTCGGTCGTAGTCCCTGTCGACCCACCCCAGCTGGCCAGGATGTTGCGGAACAGCCGCTTCAGCAGCGTTGGGTTGTCGTGGTTAATTCCGTTGCTGCCCAGGTTGTGCAAGTCATTGGACGAATTGCTGACAAAGCTATCGCTGAACGTACGCACCGTGCGTTGGTCATCTCGCTGCAGGTAGCCGTCCCACCCACGCTGTGCTTTTTTGCCAACGCCCAGATACTGGTGAGCTGCTAGCAGATCGCTGGCTGTGCGATTATTGCGGGCAGCATTGAGTTTCGGCCGCGGGTTGGTCGGCGATACTGCTGGGCCATCGCCCACATTTGTGTTGTTGCTATTGCGCTGCTGCGAGAATCGCTTTGCTGTAGGTGGAAACGCACCCGGGCCGTTAATACGTGCTGTGAATGGTGTAGGGCCGTAGCTGCGTGTGCCCTCGCCGTAGTTGCTAGCAGCACGCTGTCCGGTATGCGCTGTGCCAAAGTCGAGATCCGGGTCATACGCGCCACCGCCAGGCGTTGTGTACCGTGTGCGCATCGAGAGCCGAGACGCCGTGCCAGCAGCGCGGTTAGTGCTTTCGTTGCCAACGGCCGATGGGTGGAACCGGTCGCCGCCGTACGTGCTGCCGCTGTAGTTGTAGGGGTCATTGACGTTTGTGTAGCTGGTGCGGCCAGTGTCCATGATTCCCTCGTCATCACCGATCCCTCCGTAGGTCGCCGAGGATCGTCCAGTCGGATTATACGAATAGCCAATGTTGCCACTCCGGCCAAACGCACCTCCGCCAGCCCTGTGGCCGCCACCCTTGCCAATATCATCATCACTGATGCTAATGGACCGCAGTTTGCTCGGTCCGCCGCCATACGTAGGCCTGATCGGGTCATTGTTTCCAAGTATGCCTTCGTCAAAGAATGACTCGTCGAACCTGGCCCCATGCCCGCCGCCGTACGTGTTGCGGCCGTCCAGAAAGCTGTTTCCAAACTCGCTGGTCATACGCGTCTCGTTGAAGCTGGCCATGTCGGGTTTGCCGGGCGGCAGCGACGGCGATTCTGCAAACGGGTCCTGCGACGCGCCACCGCCAAACGGCGTGAGTCCTGTCCGGTCTTTGGCACGCCTTAACCACGCCGGCTGCTGTCTGTCCTCTGCCGACGTTTGATCGCGCCCAAACCCTATCCTACCGAGCGTTGAGTTGCCCGGCGGTCGCAAGAAATTCTCCTGGTCCTCGAATCGGCTGTAATTTGGTGCGCCCGCAGCCGACAGCTTTGATGTAATGTCGCGTACGGGCCGCACACTGGCACGCGCGTGCATACCTGCAGGCGGCAGCTTCTCAAAGTGTGGGTCGTCGAAGCTCATGCGCGGAATCTGTGAAGGTGACATTGGCATGCCCTGCAAATGCTTCGGCCGCTGCTTAATTGTGTCCGAAGTAATGTGTGCGCGCGCGAACGCTGTGGCGATATTAACGGAGGTCGAGTTGGCAAAGAAAGGAACCTGCACTCGTGTTTGCTCCCCGGCCTTTTTCTTCTCTGTCGGCGAATTGCGCTGCCCTTCAAGCCGCTGGTAGAAATTTTTTTGCTGGGTCCGTAGCGGCGTTTGCTGGCTCATAAGAGAAGAGCGACTCGCTAATTAGCCAAAAGAAATTATTTACAACAAATCGAACCAAGTAGCCCCTGTCTGCGCGGTTGGTGGATTTCAAGCCCAAGAAAAAACTTTGACGCGTCGTGCACGGAGCGAAGAAAGTAGCACGCTAGGAAAAGTTAGTAGCAGAAAGGTATACAAAGTCGCGTAAATAGAGGCGAAAAAAGAATGGCAGAGCCGTAGACGCGCCGTGTTTTCATCTTCTGGCCCGATCGACCAGAGGCGCATAGTTTTCTGTTTACTCTACTGCGAGCTGGCCAGTGAGCCTTGCACGGCTCTTTTGATTGTGTGCACAACCACTCTGCAGCTCCTGTCGCACATCCTGGGTACACGTATATTGAGGAATTCGGCATGAAATTGCATTGACCACCCATGTAGGCTAGCTATCGGTGCTACCAATATAAGGAATCCTGTGGTGAAGGTACATTCTACCTTTTCTTTGTGGAATATACTCAGCAGTCTCGAGCCTTGTTTGGCTAGGGTCGCCCGGGATACCACGATCCGAAAATGTGTCCTTTGCTGTGGGTAGCATACCATACAGAACGGCCAGCTTGGGGAGGAAAGGCAAGCCTGATACCAAGGTGCACATCGCGTCAAGAGAAGGAATCATCGGGGCATGGACAGTGCCCTAGAACAAAACAAGTTGTGCAAGTGCACCATTCCAGTTGTGGTGTCTCTGTATTGACCAAACCGTCTTCAGCGCTGTATATAGGCCCAACAGACAGCCAACGCAGATGGGGAAGCTGAGAGCGAATATTGACAAGATTGGAGAGGCAAACCAGGAACTGAGCAAAAAGTTTTCTAATGTGGCCCATAGAACAACATCGGGAAGTGGAATTGGTAGACTTGTTGGAGTGATTGTTTCTGCAGTGCGAGCTGCAAATGGTTGACTAAAGACACCCTTTGCAATAAACTGCGGCACATCGTCACATATTTACCTCTTCCACAGTGAAACCTCCCAGCGTAGCAACAGGATATGTCTAGATGTGGATATCGCTGATAGCTGAACTCTATCAACCATGGTGCCAACAGTGACAGCTTGTACTGAGCGGATAATTGCTTAGGCGTAGATATTTCAGCTTTGGAAAAGATATTTGCGATAAGTGTGTATCGGGGGTGGCTACAGGCAGCGTGGCTGAATAATGGCGTAGTGTCCGAAGGTCTCTGAGATTCCTGAAAATGTTGGATCCTGGCAGACTGCCTCTAAAGGTATCCCAATAATGAACAGTATCGTAGTAGATTAGATGCATTGCCACCAGTGAAGGTCCAGATGTCCTTGGAACGTGGTTAGCACTTTCACTACCGATAGGCAGCGACAGCCGAATGAGAGATTGCGGAAGATATGTGCTCGAGTGCAGGGAGTCGGACATACAGCAAATAGACTGTCTGCAGACATGGCAGGTAAAAGTCTAACGGCTTGCAGAGAGAAATCTGGGGGATTTTTCTTTGAATCCAGCTTCGGTATATATCTCAAATATGCCACATGAGGGATGTGCCTAAGGAGGTAGTCAGAAGTCTTTGGCGACCGTGTGTTTAGATTATCTGTAGTAAGAAGGGCAGTGCCAAAGCCCTGCTCTATACCAGGTGTGTTGTAAATGAAACATAGCCCCTTCAAAGAAACCCACCTACCAGAACCGAACGGGAAAGCCTCCAATATGCTGCCTAGGGCAGGAAAATCGATGTTGCAGCCGCAAGGCGAGATGAGCAGCTCCCTTGTGACGTAGCTGAACCCCCTATTTACAATGTGCGGAGTATTTACTCTCCATAAAACTGGGCATGGCGATGACGTTAAAAGGTATATGCCCCTGGATGCGAACTGGTCTGAATCAACCGTGCTTCTGTATCGAAGCTGCTGCTCAGCGGCCGATTCATGGCATAGCATGACTGCAGTTGTGTAGAGGCTCTCCTATATAGTGCCTCTCCGGCACTGGCATACTTGGTTCAGCTGCAAATATAAAATATAACCATCGATATCATTTGGGGTGTTCAAGCTGATAGTTTGTCTATATATGGCAACAACACGCTTAAGTATAAATGGCCTTGACGTGACCCAGGTCGCCATTAGTGTGAAAAGTGCCAGTGATAAGGAGTGGAAAAGAAATGCAATTTCTCTTGACAATAATTGACTACCCGCAGTTATCATATGTATGCTAATCCTTGTCAACGCAGCCCTGGCCCAACGCTGTCTATGGCAGTACTTGTCTCATATCTATCCTGGTCGCATAGTAGGTATATCGGTACCTCAGCACACACATACACATGTTTTACATCAGATATACACTTTGAATAATGTCACTCAATCGACTGTGCCTGATATGCAGCATATATGGGCAGTCGAGCACAGCAGTGCAGCGAAAGAATCGTTTATCATCATGAGGATGGCAGTCCATTTATTCACTTTTGGGCTCCCCGTGGGAGAGCCATTACCAGTGCGCATTTCTTCGGCGAAGAGCGAAGAGAGCAAAAAAACAGGAGACCGGAGCGGGGCGAGGGGAGTGGTTCAAGATACTAAAATACAAAAGGGCACGGCGGCTGCGCGGCGGCGTCAGCACATAATTTTTCCCATCCCGCACTTTTTTCACTGCTCCTGCTTATCGGCGATGACACGGGCCCGAATCAGTCCCTTACGGTGAGCCAGATCGAGCACGTACAGCATTCCCTTGCGGCTTTTGGCGATATTGTCCGAGAATCGCGAGAGACTAAAGTTCTCAATCTTTGAGTTCAGGCCATACCCGATGTTCGACAGGATGCTCGTCTCGTTCTTGCACAGCGTGCGCGAATTGTCGGCCGGATCGGCACAGAGCGTCTGCTTCTCCTCGACCTTCATCAGGCGTGTGTGCGTGATGTTGCGGGTTTTGGCCACCATTCTGTTGCCCTGGGCGTCCACCACGATTTCCTCCAGGATATACGCCTCGTTGCCGCGCATTATGCCCTTGGCCCAGCGTGGCACAGAGTTGGTTTTGCGGAGCAGCCGCACAATATGGAGCTCGCCGGTTTTTGCGTCAATTCGGTGGTCAATCGTGTCGGCTGTCAGTACATGCGTGGCGAACGGGTTCGGGTAGCGGTTCATGAACGCAAAGGACACTGTTCCCCACGAGTAGCTACAAAAGAGTGGCCGGTGTTAGCAAAACTGTAGCCGCTGGCCAGGAGGAGTGGGGTGCTTGTGCATCGGCCAGACACTTACTCGTAAGCATATTTCTGCTGGTAAAACTTGACCATGGCTTGTCAGTAGTTGGACGACGACGACAACGGGCGAATTTGGCAGAGAGACGCTAGAACGCAGAGGGCGTGGAAATTGGGCAGGGAGCAGAAACAAAGTGGGCGAGAGGCAGGAGCAAGAGAAAAAAGATAACCGCCCCACAGTTGGTGGAGGCGCACTTTTGCTCAATGATTTCGGCAGCTGGCCGATCTCTAATCGCAAAGGCGGGCCGATTTCAGATTACGCTGGTGGGATGACCCCCAGTTGGGCGCATCCTGGACCCAGGTGCGTGTTTCATCGGCACAGAAGTGGAGATTGTGTATTTCTGAGAGCATAAAAAGGTTTACATGGGTGTTTAGTTCTTGAGCGAGAAGCCATAGCCGCACTTGGTACACTTGTAGAACACGGTCTGGCCTTCATCTGCCGAGCGCATCTGCATGGTGTAGAAGCTCATCTCGTCACTGCCGCACTCTGGACATGTCTCCTCGACGGTGGCGTCGACACGGTCTGCCGACGCAACGCCCTGCACCAGCGACCGCTTGTTCTTCAGAGCTGACGGGAACGCACTGTCCTGGGACCGCGACACAGTCTCGATGCCCTCGAACTTTGTGCCTTGCTGGGCGTCACCGCACGCGTGGCACACAATATGGTCCTGGTCGCCCGGGTTGTCGAGCAGGTTGCCGCACGTCGGGCAGAAGATCAGCGATCCGTAGTTGTTCCTCCTGAGCTCGGTCTCCGTCGACATTGCTGTATGTTAATTGAGTGGTGGAAAGGCAGTGGTGGTGGTAGAACGAAAAAAAAAAAAAAAAAAGCTGAATTTTTCCTTGCCCGATTTCTAGCGAAAAAAAATAATAATTGGTGGTGATCGGTGATCTGGCTGCTGGCAGGGGCTTGATCTGCATTAGAAGTCAGCCGAAGCTTTCTGGTGTTTGTGTTTTCCTCTTCATTTTACGTTTCCCGCACACCCTTTTCCAAAGCTAATTCGAATCAGTGTGACGATGAGCGCCATTTACACGACTGACGAGTACGGCAGACCGTTCATTATTGTCCGCGAGCAGGACAAGAAGTCGCGCAAGACGGGCATTGAGGCGACCAAGGTAAACAGTTGGTTTATTTGCTGGTAGACGCGTGTGTATGCGGGGGTGCCCTTGTTCTGGTTACTGTGTGACCTGTATGCTAACAACACGCGCCTGTTCTGTAGTCGCACATCATGGCGGCAAAGACCGTCGCCAACATTGTTCGCACATCGCTCGGACCGCGTGGCCTGGACAAGATCCTGATTTCTCCGGACGGCGACATCACTATCTCGAACGACGGAGCCACGATTATGTCGCAGATGGCGGTGGAGAATCAGATTGGCAAGCTCCTTGTCGAGCTGTCCAAGTCGCAGGACGATGAGATCGGTGACGGAACGACCGGCATTGTGGTTCTGGCTGGCGCGCTGCTGGAGCAGGCTGAGGAGCTGCTGGACCGCGGCATCCACCCGATTCGCATTTCCGACGGGTTTGAGAAGGCGTGCAAGATTGCGGTTGCACATCTGGACGAGGTGTCGGACGTCATTCCGTGGAGCAAGAACGACACGTCTGATCTGTTCAAGTGCGCAAAGACTAGTCTGGGCAGCAAGATTGTGAACAAGTGCCATGACCAGTTTGCGCAGATCGCGGTGGATGCCATTCTGTCGGTTTGCCGATCTGGACCGCAAGGATGTCGATTTCGAGCTGATCAAGATGGAGGGCAAGGTTGGCGGAGAGATGGCCGACACAGCGCTGGTGCACGGCGTGGTTATCGACAAGGACTTCTCGCACCCGCAGATGCCCAAGGAGATCAAGGACGCCAAGATTGCGATCCTGACGTGCCCGTTCGAGCCGCCCAAGCCCAAGACCAAGCACAAGCTCGACATCACAACCGTCAAGGAGTTTGAGGAGCTGCAGAAGTTTGAGCGCGAGACATTCGAGAGCATGGTGCAGCGGGTCAAGGACTGCGGCGCCAACGTGGTTGCGTGCCAGTGGGGATTCGACGACGAGGCCAACTCGCTGCTGCTGCAGCACAAGCTGCCAGCCATCCGCTGGGTGGGCGGCCCCGAAATCGAGCTGCTGGCTATTGCCACCAACGGCCGGATTGTGCCGCGGTTTGAGGACCTGAGCAGCGCCAAGCTGGGCTCTGCAGGCACCATCCGCGAGCTGGCGTTCGGCACGACCAACGAGAACATGATTGTGGTTGAGGACTGCGCCAACTCGAAGGCCGTCACGGTGTTTGTGCGTGGTGGCAACAAGATGATTGTCGACGAGGCCAAGCGCTCGCTGCACGACGCCATGTGTGTGGTGCGTAACCTGATCACTGACAACCGCGTCGTGTACGGTGGTGCTGCTGCTGAGATCAGCTGCTCGATCGCCGTCGAGAAGGCAGCCGACCAGGTGTCGTCGATCGAGCAGTATGCGATGCGCTCGTTTGCACGCGCGCTGGATGCGATCCCGCTGGCGCTGGCCGAGAACAGCGGCCTGCCACCTATCGAGACACTGTCGTATGTCAAGAGCCAGCAGGTCACCGAAGGCAACTCGCGGCTGGGCGTCGACTGCATGGACACCGGCATCAATGACATGAAGGAGCAGTTTGTCTTCGATCCGCTGATCTCGAAGCGCCAGCAGTTCCTGCTTGCCACGCAGCTGGTCAAGATGATTCTGAAGATTGACGACGTCATTGTCCACAAGGCCGACGACCAGCAGTAAGGCAGACGGTCGAGCCCGATCGTTCAGGCGCTGCGCTGTCCGAGCAATAGTCGGCTGCCTTTTTTTCCAAAAAGAAATACAAAATCACTCTATTTCCGCTGATTAATTGCCATGTCTTCTTGCAACAGGGCCCGGTCGTACAGGATGCAGAGCGAATGCCTGTCGGCCATCCCAGTGCCTGGAACCGATCTTTTTCTTCCTTCTTCGATCGTGCAGCCCTTCGCTTCCTTTCTGACCTGACTTTTAATAATTACTACACTTTTTCTGCACCGACATAATGGACCGCTGGTGAATATGAGCAGGCTACTATCGTATATCGTACTGCTGGTATCTGTATTCTCGATTCTCGTGAACAGCGCTGATCAGCTGGCCATCGACGGGCAGGGGCACACAGGCGGCACATTGCGGCCCGGGGAGTCAGTAATCGTGCGGCTGAATATGCCTGCCAGCAGTAGCTCGGCCCCAACCGCCCGACACAACATATATCTTGACCTCTCCACCTGCTCGATGCCGCCCAAGGCTGGCGAGCTGGGGCCGCCAAAGGCCCTGCCCCTGATAGTCGGCCTGTTCCTGAACACCACCATTGGCCATGAGCTGTGGGAGACCGGCGGCGTGCACTTGCTGGGCGAAGTTGGCACCTCGCCGCATCAGCGGCGGGCTGAATACAATGTCACAGCCAGCGATATATTTTACGAAGTCGACAATACGTCCGGCAGCCTGTATGCGGATGGCTTTGTGCGGCTACGGTACTACGAGTGGGCAGGCGACGTCGCCTATGCTGTGGCTACTGCTCCCAGCGACAAGGGCCGGCAGAACGGCACGTATACGTTCAACTTGGCATTCTCGACTGTGTCGCACCCGATCAGCCTGGGTTCTGGTCAGCCAATGAGGGTTATAGACGCCGATGTCAACTCGGCTCTGCTTGGCGTCGTTTCGAGCATTGCGCCGTCAGCCAACTACTCGATATACGTGCGACCAGCTATGGCCGGGTACCTGGCACGCTCAATATGTGGCGTGCAGGGCACAAGCACGAGGCTGGAGAACGGGACGAATGCCATTATCCAGACCATCACACCAACCATCGACTTGGTCAACTCGGTCAGCAACGGGCTCTCGCTGAACAAGGATCCGAAAGCCAACATCACCTTGTATCTGTGGGAGCAGATGAACAAGTTCTCGGGACTGCGCGCACACATCCTGGGCCTATCCGCCAACACGTCCTACGAAGTATTCTACTTTGAAACGAGCGAGCTGGGTCCCAGCGTAGGTAAGCTGTGGGCCACCAATATCGTCCACACCATGGCCAACGACAACTGCCGCATCATCTATGATCTGCCCAACTGCCCGTTCATTGCACAAACCGTGCCTGCGCCCAGACAGCTCCACAGCTACTACCCGGCGTTCGACAGAAATATAACTGAAGACACGGCCATGCCAGACATTTCAAATAAGACTGCGCTGTCGATGCTGTACAGCGATCTGGCCGAGTCGCAAATGACAAACTTTAACCAGTTCCTGGCGCTAAATGACGAAACATCGCTGTTCTACTCGCAGATGCGCGACTGCTCGGACTGCAGAGTCGTCTATTTTGCGTGGCTGTGCTCAATCATGGCCCCCCGCTGCATTGACTCGTTTGAGCGAGATCTGAACGAGCCCGACTTTGCAAGCATGGACAAGGCCATTCCGGGTATATACAATGTGTACCATCAGCTTATGCTCAACTCGATTCCGCGCTACATTGGATCGGAGGCAGGGTCAGACTATGGCGTGAGCAGCGAGAATGGAGCAGGCTCTATGACGACGCTCAGCCAGGAGCTGCCTGGGCTGAGAGTGCGAGACGCAGGCGGCTCTGGTAACGGGAACGACAGTGGGCAGTGTCCCCTGGATGGGTCGGCAGGGTCGAAAGATTTGGGGTTTACATTCAAGGACCTACCCAGCGACATTGCGGGAAACGTGACACATAAGCGAACGGACCGGATATCCCCCCGCACACCTCGATCCCGCCAGCGGTTTGGCCAAAGACGGCAACGCCGGACATACCACACCCCCAAGAAATCCACATCCAAACGCACCAAACGCACAATCGAATGGGATGTGAACCTGGAACACAACTATGACCTCGACGACACAGCATTCGTATTCCCGTGCCGCGGCGCATCTTGTCTTTTCCCGGAAAGCAACGACACCTACCTGGAACTAATGCCATGCATAGACTCGTGCCTCGAATGCATCCGGTCGTGCCCGCCGACACTCAAATTTGGATGCCCGACCATGCGCCATATCGGCACATTCTACCGTTCGTACGGCCGGCCGATAGAGCTAACTGACGATTTCGTTTACAAGCTGCGCTCGGCGTTCCATCCATACATGATCAAGGAATTTGAATCAGGAATCTACACGATGGCGACGCGGAAGAACTGGACGGCGAGCTCGGCAAGGTTCGGGTACTGGCTGTACAACAGAGTCGGCAAAATTATGCCTGCGTTCCTGTGTGCGTCGAGCGGATCGCAGGTCATCCCGAGCACCACCAGCGACAAGGGCTCGCCAGCGACAGAAGAGGCCGCCGACTTCACCGGGCTGAACTGGGGGTACTGTGTAGCTATTGCTGCTGGATATTTTCTGATCCGCGCGCTGTTCAACATCTTCATTCCGTAGCGATATTAAGTGAATCCAGCTAAGGAATATGGCATGGCTGCTGTTCTCAGTCGGTATCTGTGCTCTGTGCAGCAGAAGGGCTCAAAACAACCAGCAGTGTACCGTAGACAGGATGCGTACTACTCCCAACACAATGACTGCGGAGCTCCATGCTTTGCACTGGAGGCATGCGGTGTCTGTAAACATGTTTCACCGCGCCATGTTCCTGAGTATTCGGAGTTGCTGACAAAAGCATGGTGATGACAGCAGCACGGCTTTCACGCAACGCGCTTGCGCCATGTCCGTCGCTGTATGTCAAAGGCACAACCTTACCCGCTGCATGCGTGCACACTCTGCGGACATTCGAGCTCTCACAATCGAGAAGGTTCCATCATCTGCAGTCCACTGCACCGTGTTGGCAAGGCCGAGGATCCTCTGCTGACCCTGGACACTGCTTATCCGGTAGTCGAGCTTGTCTGTGTAGCAGGCGAGATACCGGGTGGAAATTTGTTGGAAAATTTTGTTTTTTCCACTGGAGCAGCAAGCTGAGGATTTGCCCGCAAAAAAGCACCCATGTCTTGTACCAGCATTTGTCAGAGTGGGCAATGGTCCGAAGGCGGCCTCTCCTTTGCAGCTCCGCTGCCTGCTGCACTGTCTGCTGCTGCTGCGGATATCAGCAGCGTGTCGCAGCCTGGTTGTCGCTATGGTGATATCATAGCGTGGGGCACACGCCCGCGCCTCGTCCAATCCCGCTGGGACACTGCATCGCACGAGCAAGCTGGGCTCTGACAAATTACCCGCTAGTGTGCATTTTCAGAGTCACTACGCAGACACTGCTCCACGCCCCCCCCCCATTTATCGCCAGCTGAGCAGTCAACGAACGTGGCCGGGCTGAGGGGGGAATCCAGAGGAGAAAAAGCAAGTAGAGATCCATGGGCCCTCGCCCCAAGGCAGGCACGAGCCAGGCATACATTGACACACCCAACCGTGGTGTCGACAGGAATCGCAGTAATCCCGCCTGAACCGGAAGCTTCGTATCGCCAAAGAGAATGTCCGCAAACGTGGGCCACACACGGATACCCGTGAGCAGAAAGAACTACAAGGCCGGCGAGGGGGTGCACTGCCTCCCTGCGCAACACCCCCTCCCTCACGCTAGAAATGTCACATTGTCTGCTCGCCCTCCTCCCCGATATATTTTTCTACACTTCATTTGGCAATATGCTTTGCCAATGCCTAGCCAGTGGGCAGTGCACAGGGACGCCAGCTCCACTGCCCGTAAGCCGCGGGACTCTGCCAGCCCGCAACCAAGCGGGCAGCAAAAAGTGGGGACTGGCAACCCGAGAAACGATGGCAGACTGAATAATGTTGTGCACACTTGACCCAAGCGGCAACGCGCAATTTGGTGAGACGTCCATTATCCACCATACTCTTTGGTTTGCTCGCCTCCCACCCGCCGCCCTACTAGTTTTTTCCTTGCTGCAGACGTCGCGGAGGGGACAAGCGCCTTGGTATAAAAGACAAGCACCCCGCCATACAGAACGGCTCCTGCCTTCCTCATGCTTTCTGTCGCCAACCACATCTAGTGATTTCTACGCATATTTTACACACTTTTAGCCTAAACACCTATAATCTATTTTTAAACATGTCTGAGACCGATCATCCAGTTTCCTCGCATGCCCACGCCGGCTACAAGTCCGACGAGCCCCGCTTCCGCCCGTTTGCCGACCCCAGCGGCCCGGGATGGGGAGCCCTCGCGGTGTCTCTGTTCACCTTCAGCTTCTACGCTGGAGCCATCGGCATGCCGTTCGATGACCCCAACGTCAGCACTCTGGCGGCGACATCGCTAATCATTGGCGGCCTGGTCGTGTTCATCAGCGGCATGTGGGCGTTTGCTACCAACAACACTGTCCACGCCACCATCTTCACCCTGTATGGCTCGCTGTTTGGCTCGATTGGAGTGCTCAGCATGGTCGGCTTCAACATTTACAACACGCTGAACCAGGACAAGACCATCAGCCACGCTGCCGGCACCTTCTGGCTCGCCTGGATGCTGATCACCTTTGTGCTCTTTATCGGCACCGTGCGCTACCGCCCGACCACAACGATCTTCATGGGTCTGCTGTTTGTGTCGTTCGTCATCCTGGCTGGCGGCACCTGGGTTGGCCGCAAGAACGCCATCAAGGCCGGCGGCTGGTTCTCGTTCTTTGCCTCGCTGGTGGCCCTGTACAACTCGTTCGCTGTTGTCCACAACGCCGGTTACTCGCCCATCGGAAACTTTGGCAAGGTTGGCGCCAAGTTCCACCGCAAGAGCCACCAGCCCGAGGACGCCGCTGCCGTTGTCTAAGCGCAAGCGCAAGCACCGCTCCTGCCGCCTTGCAGAAAGCCCAAGGCAATACCTCCTGACTGCGTTCTTCCCGACTCTTTTCCCCCATGGCTGCTTGTCGGACCTTGCCACTAATACTCCCCTCTATTCATGCTGGCAAGGCGCGAGCAGCTGCGTTCCACCCCGTCTTCCTCGGGCCGAAGCGTATGCCTCGCTCGCATTAGCCAATCCTTTTATTATTACTGTTCCCCACCCCCCTTTCAGCCAACGTTTTAGTAATGTACACACCACATTTATTTCTGATTCTGTTCGCTGTGTCGGCCTTTTGCTGTTGTCCACGGAATTAATCGCCCAGAGCGTCCACGTTGGGCACATAATGTGCTCCGTTGACAAAGCAAAGAACGCGCTTGCTACTTCTTTAGTCGACAAGATGCTGTTTTCTACTCGAACAACGTTGATTGTGTCTGATCCATTTATTCCAAACCCCTAGTTGTATTGCCAGCCAATAGATCGGCGGGGGGTGCGGACGGATCGAAGCACCGCCAGACAGAGACAGACGCGTCCAAAGCTCCCAGCTGGCAACAATACAGGTCAGCGCCTGTGGCGCGACCACGCGTGCCAGATTGTTGCTGGTCCAAAAAGCCCACCCTCAATATCACAAGGATGGGAAGCAGCCAGCACAAATTGCGGGCAGCGCTTGTCTATCAGCTGTGTCTCTAATTCCTTGTGTCGCCTGCTGCATTGTTTGCCGCTTCAATGAGCCTGCCAACGCCACTGATGGCAGAACGCGCGTCCTTCTTGTACATGACAAAGTGCCCCTGCAGCTGCGCTGTGCTGACTGTATGCCCGGCCAGCGCCGCAGTAAACTCGCCTGCCAACTCCGCTGCCTCCTGCCCGTAGAACCGCGTGAACATTTGCTTGATCTGGAAAGGCGACGCGTTGCCCAGATACGTCTTCAGGTCAACACGGCCCGGGCGGATTAGAGCCGGATCGAGCCGCTCAATATGGTTGGTAGTCATGAAGATAATGCGTTCGTCGCTGGACGTAACACCATCCAGGGCATTGAGAAGGCCGCTAAACGTCACCATTGATTGCTGATACCCTGCGTGCTCTGACTGCTCCCGGTTGCGCGTGAACGCTGCGTCGACATCCTCTAGCAGGATCAGACTGCGCTCGGGCGCAACTGTCAATAGGTGGTTAAGTCGGTCATCAGTCAGCCCGCGCTCGCTCAGATTCAGGATGCAGATGTTGTAGCCGAGCTCGCCCGCCAGTGCCTGGATAAAGCTGGTCTTGCCGCTGCCGGGCGGCCCGTACAAAAGGTAGCCGCGGCGGTAGGGGATTCCACGCTCGTCGTACCACTTGCCATTGCTAATGAAATCCTTGACGTCATCCACAATCGACTGGCTGACGCCTCTGTCCAGCACCACGCTCTCGAGCAGTCGCCGCTTGCGTGGCAGTCCAAATGGCCGCCATTCCGGGCCAAAGCTCGTGTACAGCACCGTGCGGCCCTCGTTCTGCGACAAGGCGAATTCGCGTGACTCGCTCAGGATCTGGCTAAATATCTGCCGGTCCCTGCTCAGCGTCGTCAGCGTCACGGTCTCAAAAGGCGCTGCCGACTGCAAGTCAATCATTTTGGAATTGCGCTGCCGGTCCACCTGGATGAAAATGCCCTTGTAGTGGAAGATGTGCTTTCCCTGGCCCGGTACCATGGTGAAGTCTGTTGAAACACTGCCATTGTCGTGCTGCTTGTAGCTGGTCTGTACAGCAAGGTGCCGCGGCAATACAGCCTTGGCGATCCGCCGATTGACCCACGTCATGCTATTGTTGTTGCTCTGCGCATTACGAACTGTCTCTGCCCCACGCCGGCTCAACCACCCGAGCACCCACTGGTAGCTTTTGTCGTGGCTGGGAATCTCCATCGATACCAGGAGCTGTCGCCGCATTAGATCGGCGCCGCGTCGCGCGCCCTGCCGCATTACTGCCACGCCCGCACCCACGCCGATAAGACCAAAGCCGGCCGAGAAATACGGGTTGTCCGCAAGGAAGCTCGACAGGTCTACCATGGTAGGAAAAAAATGTAGAGGATGAACAGGAGGTGCTATAAAGAAACCGCCAAGGTCGACGGCCGCTGCGATAAGAAGCAGACCCTGGCGCACTGCCACAATGCTGCCATTCCAGAATTATGGATACTCGGATCAAGCCCTGGTGCGGATCAAGAATAATCGCCGGTCACATGAGTTGACCATGTCGCCTGTGAAATGGTACTGGAGATAGTACTTGGCCATGTACAGGTAGTGGATCTGGTTGCACATGGCTACATATTGAGCAGATACCGGCAGGTCAAAGAAGCACTCTGCCGTGCACCACTGGGTATCATGTTTACGTTTTGTTCCCCCTCCTACTGCTAGGGGCTGAGTGAGGTGCTGCACAGGAGGGATGCAATTGCCAATGCAACTGCCCCAAACACTCGTAATCCCGGCCCATTCTCTACTGCCTCTGGGGTGCTAGATACAAGTACACGCAGGTTCAACACAAAGGCGCTTTTATGCGCACTGTATGCCGTTGGACGCAGGACCCACTGCTGTTTCCGCCTATCCCTGCCTGGCTAGCAATAGCAGCACCCTGCCCTTCCCCTATTTGCTGCAACATATAGCAAAATTTTGTCAGACATGCATACTGTATGCGGATACTGCTCCTTGTGCAATCACAATGCTGTCACGCTCACACGTCGCTCCTTTGCAATATGTTTGTACAGGAGGAAGGAGAGGCAGCACGGAGACGAGGAGTGATGGGCACGGTGAACAGAAGATAAAGCGCGCGAGCACATGCCCCGCAAAAAGGAGCATTCCAATAGCTTCCTTGCCACTATCCTTTTATTGGCATGGAAGACATGTGCGTGGAGTTCAAGCGACAATGCAGTTGAATAAACCGTGGCCAAGTACGCTAGGGTCTTTGAGACACAAAGCGAGTCTATCCTGGTACTCGGTAATACTGAGCAGTGCCGTGCAAGATGTACATACAAAGGGGATTTTATTTTTACCTCAAGCCACCCTGCCAGCGGCCTAGGCTATTTCTGCCCACTTGAAGAAACATACTCCATGTGAATCCAAAAAAAAAAAAAAAAACAAGTAGCTGAACCCCAGAGAACCACTGGCACATGCAAGCGCCATTTCCAAAAGAAAACATTGCCGAGAGGCGCATTATGAATAAAGCATGTAGGAGAGAGCGGCGGCAGCAGCGGGCAAGATGGCCAGGTAGATAGCATTTTTTTCTCACACTTACCGAGGCCGGCTGTCCATTTGATGGCGTTTCAGAATACATGCAAAAGCGCATGCACAATTGCGGCTATGCATGTTGTCAAAATAAAACGAAAATAGCCCGGTGGTTATCAACACCTTTTGGCCAGTATTGTAGCAAAAGCACGGGCGAGCTGAAGAAAGGAGCAGTCGCCCTCCTCTGGCGAATATAAACCCTTGCCATCTCTGGCTTAGTTTCTGAGACATGGAAAGAACATCTTTTTCTTGCCCGACCTTTGTATTATTTTCCATCCTCCTCCTATTTAAGCCACTATGTCTTTCACGCTCGAGTTTATCATCGGTGTATCAAAAGCCAACAGTAAGACAGACGAGTCGCCGAAAAGTGGCGAGGAAGCCCCACCCAACACGTTTCCGTGCGAGTGCTGCAACGAGATGTTTGGCAGCAAGATTGATGCGATGCTGCACCTGCGGTACAACTGTCGCGCGATGGCCTAGTTCCCCAGCAGTGGGAGTTGTAAAAACGAACAGCCAACGCGTTGCTAGCTATCCAAAGCATATATTCATTACCACTCCAACGTCTTTCTCAACATAACCCGTGTATATCTGTTGCAAAACAAATAAATATTCGCTACTGCCATGTTGTGCAGAGTGGAGTACGAGAACCAACTAAGACATATTGTAGTCATAAGGAAAAGAGGTATATTTCGAGCCAAAGAAGAAGGTAAAAAGCATGGTAGCTGTCCCCGAGATGTTTTTTGTAGCCAGTCTACACGCTCAAATGTTGTGCTGCAGAGGGATAAGAACTCCAGTGTTTACTTTTTTCCCTGCTATTCTGCCGATAAATCCACCGGAACCACTGACAAGTAGCTCGCGCAGTGATCTATTGTCCGTACTACCCTATTGTCCGTACTACCGAGCTACTTGGCATTGTAGCACTGGTGCTGGCAGTACCTGAGGCGACATGCTGCTATGATCGTACTGCTGGCGATTTTACTTTTCATAATATCACAATTAACGATGATCGGCGGCGGTCTGAGCTGATTTTATTATACTGGGCAGGCATCTCAAAGCACCAGCACATCATAGTTTCTCAATGTCCTCTACTTTTACTGTTTACATTGGTGGCGCCAAATGATACAACTGCACCTCCTAATCGCTTTTCATATCTTATTTATCTCACCTTGTCTGTTTGTCGGAACACGGGCGTCACAGCTCAAGTGGTCCTGAACAGCTAAAAATAGTATTGTGAACCAAAAAAATACTGATGAATGATATACACGAATGTATATGTCTACAGGTTTATAGCTGCCAAAGTCACCCTTGTGATGCAAAAGTCGTGGTTATTGACTCATTCCATGTGGTTGCTAGCAGTTTGAACAATTTCCCAAACTACTACCTCCTTAGCTAAATCCATACTGCTGGGCGGTATTATATCTGACTTTGGAGTCAAATAGCATATTTTATAGTCTATTCTTGCATGACTTTGCCAAGCTAACTTCACGGCCATTCGATTATTTCGGTAGCCCTTGTCATGTTGTTAGCTCTGCCCTATGTTATTATCATCTCGGCCAACAGATCAAAGTATTATCTTATCCTAGAAGGAATGTGGTATCATTTTGTTTGTAGTTTAAGAAATCAACATGAAAATGATCGGAAGAAATTTATAAAAATGTTCCTAAAATGCTTCCTGTAGTCCACAATATCAATAAAAAGTTCCGAAATGAATTTAGGGCCAGGTACGTAGCGGGTAAGCAACTTCCATTGAATTGACAGCCAATGGTCTCAAACTGTCCTGGCTATAGTCAGGAAATCATTTGAATTTTCTAGTACTGACTGTTTTCCAAGGAACTATAGATCAGTAGGATATTCCGTCTTCTATCGTCTGGGCTGAAGATACCCTCTCTGTTGTAGTTGACTGAGGGCTTGCGAATCATCTGGGAAATCAGCCATGTTGCAATAATGGGCATAATCTTTTCCAACGCCAAACAAATCTATTGCCCCAATCTTGTTTTCAATTATTTTCAACTTTTCCTCACGCAATGCAGACTGATCCTGGGCCGTTCTGTTGTTCCTATTCATATTGCAAGATATAAAGTAAAATATGTAGTCCTTGGTGAAAATTTGCTCGGCCTGCTGATGCAGTTGACATTTTATATGTCGCTATGCGCTGGTGGATTTTTAGATGCTACACATTTACAATAGAGACTACATTTTAATGTATTTACCAACAAAGCCTTTGCCTGCAATGGAAGTAAATAGAACTGCAATAAGCTCCCTGTATATAAACCGTCTTTGCTGCTATGAAATCAATACGAGTTCTTTGATTAGCGAGAATAGCACTGCTGCAATCTATAAGACAGGACAATACAACTAAAATAGGAGTGTCTAGCTAGTAGTCTGAATAGTAATCTATTTCATGCTGTTTTCCTTTCTGCTCACAAATAAGGATATTGCATACAATTAAATCACCGTCTATTTTTAGAAGTGCTATATATATATATATTTCGTGCCATAAACAGCTTACAATAAACCGTCTACGCAAGATACGCCCTAAGCACATAATATTATAACCCAATAGCTATTTAATAACAAAATACTGAAAGCTATAATCAATAGGGCATACTAAGACTCCTAGGTTGATTTTACCCACATTTCTTCTAACTGCATCCACATATTCATCGTCTACAGCTAGCATCTGAAGCAATGGCAGAAAAAGCGGTAGCTTCGAAAGAGATTCCCCATCAAAGTAGCCCGGAGTAAAAATAGCGAGAACCTGTAGATTGTGATTGATAGGCTCGATACCTCGTGTGTTTGGTGGATCGTCCAAGCGAACAGAGTCGACAACAGTTAGTTCAGTGGCGGTTCGGATATCGGCCTGTCGGTCGTTTGTTCCCCAATAATACGCGTCAGGATCATGTGGATCCATGGTCATGCATGTGATCCGGAGATACTTCAGAACTGGCAGTTGCTCCAGCAGATGAACGATACGGGTCACGGTTGCCATGTCAGTAGATAGTGAAAGACACACCAGGTCGTGCCAATTGATATTTGTAGGGAACGGTACAGCTAACCCCAGAGCAGCACGACGTACGGTTGACTCTGCCAAATAGAAGCGTGTTACAAAGTCTGCAGGATCGTCCCACCAGTGGCCTTCGCCAGGTCTAATTGTTTCTAGGTGTAAACAGTCGATGTTGCGGATAATCTCTGTGCTGATATGCGCAAGTGTACGGTGATTCTCGTTTATCTGCAGCAGTCTCAGTGGTGCGTCACGGAATGAGGAATACAAATCTTGGTAAACACCAGTAGACTGCTTAATTGCCAGTTTTGATAGCTTCGGGTATGTGCGTATAAATCGACCAAGTTGCATCGGGTTTTGCTCTGGGGGATCTAGCATCTTTTTAAACCCAAGCTGGAGAACCCTCAAGTTCGGGAACGCTGGAAGCACAGTGTGTTGGGATTGAAAACCGATTAGTGGAATATCTCCTGGAATGTTGATGAGATTGATCGTTTCCAAAGTGGCGGTATCAGGTATTGTTATATGTTCCAGTCGTCTAAAGCTGTCCAAGTCAAGCTCTAGTGTAGCTAGATTGACTGTTATTGGCTCATGAAGAGTCACTGATACCGGAAAGTAACACTGTAACGATGATAATGACTGAACATATAGCCGTAGGAGAAGTGAATAGCGCGGAGAGATCGTATAGTTGAATGATTGGGGTGTAGCAAGGGCGCCGAAGGTATCAGAAACATCAGAACGGAGCGAGAGGATAGTGGGATGCAGAATGATTGACTCTAGGCTTCTGTAGTTGAACTGCATAAAATCACAAAATCCCGCTGCATCGGCCATCATGTCTGGCGTACGGATATCAGTTCCAGATCTGAGGATACCTCTGCCAAAGAATTGGAGTGCCCTAAAACCAGTCCAGAGAGGTGATGTGAGTCTGAAAGTGTTGAGTGCGCGTGGCAGCTGGAGCGGACCAATATAGTCGTCGTTCATGACAACGCGCAGGCCAGTTGCCAGGTGTGACTTGTGTTGGTACTGAATGGAGCTGACATTGGAAAACCACACCACCTTCTCAATCACCCTGTCACATAGCCAAGAGTAGGAGGACACGATCTTCCGCTCGACAAAGATATAGTGATAAACGAACGATGGCATAAGAGCTCCCCAGAGGCGGCACACGGTGGCGATATCCATGGCCTTGTAGTAATCGTCGAGAAGCGCGTGCTCATGGAATATGTCCTGGCACAGAAAAGCAAGGACGCTGTGGAGAACGGTGACAGGCATATCATTAAGGCTGTATCTAGTCATGGTTGAGAAAGGCTGGAGAGGATGGAGGAAAACTGAAGGATTCCGGCGTACACCATGGCAGACACCTGCATTTTTATACTCGTTTTGAAGCGCTGGACGAGGGTTGTCTCGATTCCTAGACATGGCAGCGACATACCTCCTCCACAGCGAGACATGTATCCGAGTTGAGCAAAAATGTACAAAACATGGTGGAGACGTAACGTCTAACCCTATGGCCATCCAGGAAACAGTGCCGTGGGAGCCAATTTTTATCCCGTCATGCATGCATGCAGCATGGGGCCGAGCCATGTGAGCCTTTGTAGGCTGGAAAGGACTGCGAACGCGGACAGGTGTCCGCTGTGTTCATGGTTGAGCGATAGATCAGCAAAATTAAAAAGGGCCCAGTTCCCTCCATGTTTGTCTCTTTTAGAGTAAGAGAGGTACTGGCGCTCTCCCAGCGAGCATCGGTAGTTGCACATGCTGCCCATACAGTCAAGTGGTTCAGAGTCAATGTACTGCGGTAATGTTATTCTGTTCAAACGTACTGCTGGTTATATACCTTTCCACTCTGCCATGAGCGCACAGCCCACACACATACTGGGGTTGTGCTGATAGTCTGCAAAAGAAAGTGTATATGCCTAAGCATGTTGAATAGTACAGGTCTGGCACTGAGGCCAGTATAATTCTACGTGGCCGGTACCTCTTGGCCCCAGGTTGTTGGGCTACGGGCTAGAACGAATTCATGTCTGTCCTGGAGACGCGTTGTTGTATGGAAGGCTTCTGCGCATCGATATATAGGAACTAACCATGTACTTCAAGGCTGTCTTTGGAAGACCGTCATGATCCTGGTTGTCACCTATCTACTTGTTTCAGCGCACTTAATGTACTCGCTTAGCGGAGGGTCGTTTAGCTGTAAATACCGCTCACAAGGTGCATTTGGTGGAGTCATCTCGGTGCAGAGATCGGCTAGTCGGTGTTCCGTAGTAGCAGTTGGCGATAAGCGGCTTTTGGCAATGCTATATTAGCGTTGCTGCTGTTATCGCCTACCAGCCTTGACGACCCAAGGAACCTTCGGTCAGATAAGGTCAGGACGAAACTGCGATTCTCCGTGCCATTAATAAGCTGCCCGGCGTGTGGCCGCAGCTGCACTGGATACCGGCGATATGAGGCCGTGTGATCGGGGAATAACTAACAGAACCAAGTGTGACTTGCTGTTTCGTGCTGTGTTGCCTGCGGGAAATCCACCTGCTAGGGAATCATCAACACGTAATTCACGGCGCAATAATTTGTCATCGGCTCGTTATCTTGCCAGCGTGGATAAATAGTGAAACAAATTCGCCGGAGTTTGGAATTGCTTTCTTTGTCTCTCTATTTTTTTGTCTCTGAATTTGACGTCCAGAATGCTCAGCACCAAGGTTCTCGCCCCCTCCAAGCAGCTCGCTCGCTCGCTCGCCTCTCTGGGTGGTGTGCGCTCAAAGCACACGGTCCCTGACCTGCCCTACGACTACAGCGAGCTGGAGCCGGTGATCTCGGCCAAGATCATGCAGCTGCACCACGACAAGCACCATGCGACATATGTGGCCAACCTGAACGTGGCCGAAGAGAAGCTGGCTGAGGCGCAGGCCAAGAACGACGTCGCGGCGCAGGTTGCGCTGCAGGGCGCCCTGCGCTTCAACGGCGGCGGCCACGTCAACCACTCGATCTTCTGGCAGAACCTTATCGGCGAGAAGAACGGCGGTGGCCAGCTGCACGACGGTGCGCTGAAGACGGCTATTGAGCAGCAGTTTGGCTCGCTCCAGACACTGTCGGCGAACGTCAACGGCAAGACCGCTGGCATCATGGGCTCGGGATGGGGATGGCTGACGCTGAACAACGCTACTGGCAAGCTCGACGTCATCACCACCGCCAACCAGGACATGCCGTCGTCGGTGGGCCACGTGCCGCTGCTCGGCATTGACGCCTGGGAGCACGCGTACTACCTCGACTACAACAACGTCAAGGTCGACTACTTCAAGAACATCTGGCGCGTCATCAACTGGAAGGATGTGGCCAAGCGCTACGACGATGCTGTGGCCGCGTACAGCGCCAGCAAGAACTGAATATAATCCATTTCTAGCTGAAATCTAAGTGAATCAATCCAAACACCACGTTCTGCAGAACATGGATAGTCACCAGCACCATGACGGGAACCACATGCGGGTAGCGGCGGAAATCGTCGACGGCCTCGTTGCTCATGTTCTGCTTGTACAGCCAGCGCAGCTGGAAGCGCACAACGCGGCTGGCAATGATCTCGCTCAGCCACACGTAGGCTGACGCCTTGATAGTCAGGTCATACTTGTAGTTGAACTCGTCGTCCTCGGGCTTGAACTGGAAGAACGGGTAGTGCGGGCTATTTGGGCCAAAGTGCAGCACGGTGACCCAGCACAGGAACCCGAGCATGGTCGCGTTCTCGGCCTTGTTGCGCAAGAAGAATGTGCGTGCCAGCTGCTTGGCATACACCTCGTATGGATAGTCGTCGCCCCAGCGGCACACGAACGCCTGGATCCGGTAGACCCACTTTGCCATGCGCACCGGGTAGATAAACACGATCCACATCGACAGGCCAAGCTGCAGGTACAGCACCTGCTTGGGGTCCTGCAGCCGTGCAAACAGGTTGCGGTAGAAGATAAAGTACGTCATGAAGAAGTACAGCGTGTAAATGTATGTCAGCGGCCAGGACCGGACCTTGGCACCCACCACCCAGCTGGCTGCCAGTGACAGGATATTGACGGTGACGATCCAAGAGTATACATAGTAGAAGCCGTCGGCAGTCGTGTGCGGCAGCGTCTTGATGTACACGTACGCCAGATACTCGCCAGCAGCCAGCGCCGCATACCACAGCAGGAACGACGAGCAGAACCACAGGAACCGGCGGTACGATGTGGGGGTGCGCCACTCAGCTGATGTTGCCATCAGCGGGCGGTCTTCGGCATTCGAGTGTCGGCGCGTCGACCGCCGGTGGTGCTTTTGAATGATCACAAACGAGATGAATATCGGCAGCAGCAGCGTCAGCAGTGTCAGCGCCGTCCAGAACATGGGCACCGTCTCAATGCCCGTATCGGCCATATACACGACGGCACCCAGCGCAGTCGAAAACACCCATGATATGACGTTGGCCAGCAGCCCCGACATGGACCGTGGCCACCACGTCAGCGAGTACACATGGAAAATCTGCGTGACCAGCGCCAGTGCCACTGCATTGTAGATGCCAAAGTAAAAGAAGAGGAAGAACCAAAAGTTGAGCTTCTCCTCCTCACCCCCACCTGGCTTCTCCACCGTATCTGTAGCCAGCGGCACCGAGCACCATGCAACCACGACTATGACCGGCAGCACCGTCATGCAGAGCGCGCGGCCAGCCGAATTAGTCGCCATGCGCAGCAGCCATCCTTGGTGTGCGTCTAGATCGCTGATGCTCTGTGCCGAGATCTCCGAGCCGGACCAAGCGCGCTCTCTTGGCACACGCACGCGCGTCTGGCGGAACGTAATCATGTCATCCCAGTGCGGATTGAACCGGTTCATGTCCTCGTCGTTGTCAGCCAATGATTCTAGTGTGCTGCGACGCTGGCTCCACCTTCTCACCATCTCCGGCTCCGGCACGCTCCACTCGGGCATCAGCCATGTCGGTCCGTTCGACACCCGGATCGACCCGTGGTTGTTTTTGTGCCACGTTAGCGGATCGTCTCCTAGGCTGCTCTCTGTGGGCGGCGGTCCTGGTCGCTTAGGCGTGTGCTGCCCGCTGTAGTAGTGGTGGTGATGGTGCTGGTGGTAGTAGTAATAGTGGTTTCCGCCGTGGATATGCTGGTGCTGCAGTCCGCCGAACCGCTCGCTGTGCTCATGCCGGGACCCCTCGTCGGCTACTGTCGATGTCTCCCAAGGCTGGTTCGCATAGTCATCAGAACTACTGTCGTACCCGTTAGCTCCAAGCACCTGCGAGGGCATGCGGAAGGTGAACTCGCCATATACTGATTCTGGGCGCTCGTCGCCCTCGTCTCGCCGCTTGCCCGTGTCTGTAATATCTGACATTATGTGGGCGAATAGCAGGTATCGGCCTACTGCACTTGCAGCCCGGTATTACTGGATGCTTGTCGGACTCCCCAAGAAAATAAAAAATATACACACACGCCCCGTACTTTTGCCAAATGCACGGGGAGGCGAAGGACAAAAGTCTAACAAAATAGTAGCAAGAAATAAATGAGAAATGAGAAATGCAGAGCCGAAAAAAAGCTACAACCCGCAAGTCACGCTCTTCAGACAGCGCAAAGCGGCAGCACCAAAGCCACTCTCTGGATTTGCAATGCCTTTTCGCAGCACCCGCTCGCCCGCATGCTTGCCTGCTAGTATAGTGAGCTCAGCCAGAGTGTGGGACCATCAACAACCACAAGGTGGCACCATTAGCGGAATGGCCGTATAATCACCCGCCTGCGATACCGGCCTCCGCTATGTTATCCCCCACTCGTTTATCCCCCGACCAGCAATGTTTCGCCCAAATATTTACGCCACTGCACGGCGTCTCACCCGCCCAACAACCCGCGCGTTCCAGACCCATGGACGCCCCACCTACCAGCGTTTCTCCAGCAACAAGCCACCCATCTGGCAATCACGCACATTCTGGTACGTCACCGGCTCAGTTGGCGCGGGCTCGTTCATCTACTACCAGGCACACCTGGAGCCAGCACCTGTGACCGGCCGCAAGCGCTTTATCAATGTGACCCCCGAGCAGGAGGCGCGGTTTGCGGCCCAGGCATACCAGGAGACGCTGATGGAGTACCAGGGGCGGATTGTGCCGCGAGGGAGTCCGGTTGACGACTATGTGAGGAGGGTGGCGAAGCGCGTGATCACTGCCACAGGCATAGAGGGTGTCGAGTGGGAGGTGCATGTGGTGATGAGCGAAGAGAGGAACGCGTTTGTGCTGCCCGGCGGCAAGGTCTTTGTGTTCACAGGCATCCTGCCCATCACCAAGACTGAGGACGGGCTGGCTGCGGTTCTAGGGCATGAGGTAGGGAGAATGCAATAGGCAGATGAACTGTGGCATTGCACTATCATGCGTCAACTAAGTCTAATATGCCTGAGCATATATCCGTTACATAGATCGCCCACCAGTACGCCAGGTAAGGTATCCTAGCGTCACCCCTTGGACCCGGATGCATCCTAATGAACGCATGAACTTCAGACTCCGGCTCTGACCCTGGCCCCAGCGACGATATCGCACAATGGGCGGTGCTGCATGGCGCTAGCCACATGACACGTACCACCCAACAGGAAGTCGCTCTCTGCTGCACCAGACCACTTGTCTGCGCAAAAGACCCAGAAATAGACACTGAATTCCTCGCTCTGTAGGCATGCGGCGGAGAAGATCTCGCAGTCGAACCTGCTCTCATTCGTCTACATCCTAGCCAGCTTCTTTGTCGACCCTTCTCTGCTGCAGCTCGGCCGCGGGATGACCCATCTGCTGACTGTCCTGCCCAACAGCCGCGCCTGCGAGCGCGAGGCTGACTACCTGGGGCTTTTGTTCATGGCCCAGGCGTGCTATGACCCGAGAGCCGCGGTCGGGCTGTGGCAGCGCATGCAGATGGCAGAGCAGGGCTCGCCGCCGCAGTTCCTCAACACGCATCCGGCGACAGGCGACAGGATCGAGAAGATCACCGAGTGGCTGCCGCAGGCAGAGCTGAAGCGCGAGGCCAGCTGCCCTGCGGACATGGCAAGCTCGTTCTTCGGCCAGTTCCGGCACTGAGTGAATGGTGGAGAACAAACACAGACATCGTTTATTTTTAGAGCGCAATTTGGGATGGAAGAAATAACGAGCATGAACACGAGGTTATGAGAGTCGGGAGATACATGTGAATTGGTGGCCGGGTACACTCAGCGGCGGCCGTAGTCTCTGTACCGGTCCTCGGCATGGCCGTACTCCCTGTACGGTGCATCGTCCTGCGCGTAATCCTGGTAGTGCTGCTGCCCGCCGTGTGACGGAGCGTACGCTTGGTACGGCTGCTCATTGCTGGGCGCGGCATATGCCTCGTACGGCTGCTCGCTACTGGTTGGGGAATAGGCCTGGTACGGCTGCTGGTGCTCACCGCCGGGCGTGCCATACTCCTTGCTGTATCCGTGCAGTTGGTCATGGTATGGCGGTGGAGTCAAGAACGGATCCGAGCTCTGGTTCACCGGCTGCGAAAAGATATCGTCGACGCCGTATTTGCTGCTGACCGCCCGTCTGCGCATGAAGTAAAACACGATAGCACACACCAGCAGTCCACCGGCCGTCACACACGGCGCAGCAATAACCGTCGTCAGGTTGGTCGATGCACCGACGTCGGCCTTCTCACCGTTGGCCTGGTCGATGGTCGGGAAGTCCCGCAACATTGTGGTAGTAAGCCCGGGCCGCGTAATCGTCACAACCACCACATTCGGCATTGCTGTGGTTGGCGTTTGCGAAGTTGAGCGAGTGGATGCCAGCGTTGACTCGTTGGCTTCTGTCTTAGACTCTCGGTGTATATTGCTGGTTTGAGTCGTCGTAACGAAACTGGTAACTATCTCGTCACCATCGTCGTCTGTGTTGGTGTCAGTATCAGCGTCAGTTCCAGTGCCAGTGCCAGTGCCAGTGTCTTTGTCTGTTGTTGGCGTCGACTGTGTTGTTGGCGTCGACCGTGTCGTTCGTGTTGGTGTTGGTGTCGATGTGAGAGTTGGTTCTTCTGTGGGCTCCGTGGTCGGGGTGGGTTTGGTGGTTGGGGTGGTCGGCGTTGGAGTCTTGTCGCTGCCTCCGCCTATAAGATCGCTGGCACGGCTGCCGATGCTGTCCAGGGCGTTCTGCCGCGGAGCCAGCACGACCTTGTCGTCGATGTCTGCTCTGATTTGTACTGGGGCTACACCGCCCACACCGCTAGCGGATGCGGCGAGCATAGTGGTGGATGCCAGCACCCAGCACAGCGTGTGGAACTTCATTATTTACGAAATGGAGGAAAGTGGAGATAGAAAGGAGTAAGAGTCTTGCCAGTGCCCTTCCAAAACGGAATAAATACAGCAAGACTTGTGCCAAGTGATGAAAATGGACTGGTAGCTGCGTGAACAGCTATAAATAAGGGGGAAATGGTGTGGCAGAAGGTTAAAGGAACAATAAGCTAGTGAAGGAGAAAAAGAACGGAGAACCCCTTGCTGGGGCGTGGCTGGCTTTGGCTGGGCACTTTTGTAGCCTACCACATAGCTGTTTCCCGCCAGTGATACCACTCCCTCGCTTGCCAGGAAGAATGAGAATGGGTGATTTTCAGCTGCTTGGTTGGCGTCGCATAGTGACTTTTTTTGGCTCAGCGGTTCGTGGTCTGTCCACTGTGAGGCCGGTGCTGCGGTGATCTCGTGATTGGCTTTCAGGAGAACACAAAATTATTGGGGAGTGGGGCGCGTGCTGAGTGGGTCTGACCAGCAGCGTCGATATCGACTTCTTTTTCCCCTCGCCTTTGCTCGTCAAGTGCGCTTACATTCCCACACCCCCTCTTGTCGGCTCAACCTTGCTCACACTTGTCTCTCCCTCTTGGTCATTCAGTACTTTCAATGAAGCACATTCGGCTCAATGACCTCAGCAGTAGCAGCGAAACAAAGGAGAATTTGGAGAGCGTGCAGCGCGCAGTGCTGAACAGCCAGCGCTGCATTGTAATAACAGGCGCGGGCATTTCAGTATCGTCGGGAATCCCCGACTTTCGTTCGCCCGACGGGCTATTCCAGCAGCTGAAGCAGCGGTATCCGCAGAGCGTAGCTAGCGGACGCGACCTGTTTGATGCGACGCTGTTCAACGACCGCGACATGGTCGGGCTGTTTTACAATTTCATGGGCGAATTGCGCGACTTGGTGAGCCAGGCGAGCTGCACGCCAACGCACAAATTCATCAAGCGGCTGGATGAGCAAGGGAAATTGCTGCGCTGCTACACGCAGAATATCGACTCGCTGGAGAAGCGGATTGGGCTGGAGACGGCGTTCCAAAAGCCAGTGGAAAATGCAGAGAGCGGTGCCACGCAGGCAGTGAAGCAGGAGAATGAGGATGCGAGCGGCGAGTCGTCAGAGGAGTCGAAGGAGGCATTGGATGCGAAGCGCGCGCTGCAGCGAGCGAATTCGGCGCGGCGGCGGCAGGTGCTGGACAAGACATTCACAAAGGCAGTACAGCTGCACGGCGATTTGGAGAACGTCGTCTGCACGATCTGCTTCACTAAATACCCGTTTACAGAGCAGCTAGCAGAGGAATTCCGGGAAGGAGCACCGCCGCCGTGTCCGCACTGTAAGGAAATCGAGACATTGCGTGACTTGGTCGGTAAGCGCTCGATAGCAGCAGGCGTACTCAGACCTGACATTGTTCTGTACAATGAGTGCCACCCGCAAGGAGACGTTATCGGCGCACTGAGTGAGTTTGACTTGCGGCGGCGCCCCGACCTGTTGATTGTGATTGGCACGTCGCTGAAGATCCCCGGGGTCAAACGCATGGTCAAGGAGATGTCGAGGTGCGTGCAGTCGTGCACCATGAGGGCGAAGCGGGCGGGCGCGGGCAAGGCCATCTTCATCAACCGCGATGACCCTCCCAAGGGCTGGGACAGTGTATTTGACTTCTTCATTGCTGGCGACTCCGACGACGCTGTGAGCCACCTGCCGCTGACGCAGGAGGGTGCAGAAGAGGACCGTTCGGTGATGGCCATCAAGCAGAGAATGGCGATCGAAACCATCTGTGACCTGGGGGATGGCAACGTGGCGGGAAAGCCGCTGGCTGAGGAATCCGAAGCTGACTCGACTGACGACTCTGATACACAGGTACCGGTAAGGCGGCCGCGGTCTCGCAAACCCAAGGACACGGCGAGGACCCAGGCTGGTACCAAGCGTAGGGGCAGGAGCCAGCCTAGGGCCAAGAAGCTGACGACATCAATGGGTGTGGTCAAGGCCAAAAATACCTCTTCAGCTGGCAAGCGGAAGCCCAACATGCCAATGAAGCTGACACGGTCTGCCAGCGCTGCGGCTGTCTTTTCAACCTAAATCCTATTTAATCACGACTGTATAGTATTCTGACATGTACCTTATTAGCGCTACCAGCTACAGCGTGGGCAAGCTGCTTGTTTTGCCTGCGGTCTCGCTTGCCTTCCCACATAGCACACATACTAGTCAGCAGTGAGTTGATGCTCGTAGAACAGACTACCGACTTCACTATCGTCTGCAAGTACATCTTGAACGATAGATGAACAGCAGCAATTCCACTACAAGGTAGAGAGATATGTAGCCCTGGTGCTCATACACTGCGATACACTGCCCTGTACCACTGTGCATATGTGTAGCACTCCGCATAGCATGTGTGGTTCGAGAATTGAAAAAGTAAATGCTTCTGGCAAGTAAAATACCGTAGAGTCATTCGTAGTAAAGAAGCGACAGCAAACCAGAATCATTTGCTTCGATGTACTACACATATACCATAGGTGCCACGATCAGATCTGCTGCCATGCAGACACATGGTACACGTGAGACCAGGTGAGACTCATATCCAGCCGCATATAACTTTATACCAATAAGCCGCGAAACATGGAAACGAAGAAAAATGCACCGAGTGTATCCAAAAAGACAGCAATCCTGCCTATACTGCCAGCCGAGAAGCGATTGCCATTTTAGGTTTTGCTGCTGAGCGTCTGAGCCTGGTCGATCCATGTATGTCAATCAATCAATATTGCACGATATATTCCTGGCCTGGCATATGCTGGTTAGTTGCATAAACAATGTGGCGGGTGAGGATATGCCGCCTGCAGTACACCTTGCTCAAAACTAGACAGACAACGTAGACCCTAGTACTCGAAGCAACCGTCTTTTATGTTTGAGAGAACACGCCTATTTCCTTAATTCCCCTCGTTGATCGTAGCACTGTTGATATCAATCAACCCCGCTTGTGTACAATAAATTTAGCTACCCCGCAAAAACGCACTATACCTCACGGTCAGAGAAGCGGACCAATGTGTAAAAGGTGCCTGGTCTTAACGCATGAGTTCGACAAGGGTACCGGTGCCTCCTGGTGTATTTTCCGAGCGAGAAAAGCTCAACATAGGACATTCGTACATTATTTGCGGTAGTTGACCAGCACCGTCAACCCCATGCGTCACTGACTTTACCCTAGATTTTACATTTAGCCCTACGCATTTCTTCAGATGCAGAATGGAGAAACAATGTATTGAACGCTTTTGTTACTGAGGTATGTAATTGCACGAATAGTCGAGGGTAGATGGGAGGATAACAGCGATGAATCTCATTTTCGAGAGACACGGCGCGACCCCTGAGCCAGACTGCTCCTCAGAAAAAGAAAAGAGGGACCACCGCTGTCTCAGGTCCCGGCACATGACCTGCATCAACTTCGTTTTTGGCAAAAAAAAAAGGCTGCAACGCTTAACGGAAGAAAGCATGCATGTACCATGGCCCAAACATAGGTATGGTTATTACGGAGCTGCAATGAGGCTTATTTTCAGGCGTTCTAACCATGTCATATTTTTTGCAAGACTGAGCTGCTGTGACCGAAGTATCTGGCACTGTCGAGTATAAATTTGTACGGCCGGCCTGGTCAGCGCGACTTGAGCCTTTTTCTCTCAACATTTCCCACTTTCGTAGTCAAATATCATCATGAACCTATTTTATTTCTCTGCTCTATTCCTGCTTTTTATGCACGTTTGTAGGGCAGCGTGGCTCTGGGACATCGGGGAGTCCCTGCGAGCCCCTCGCGCCGGCCTTGCTCGCATTAGTGGGTGCGTGAGACTCCCAGCTGTCCAGGCCACAGGGGTATCCCTTGCTGCGTACAGCTTGTACACGGCATATATCAAGACCAACTCCAAGACAACCTCCCTCGTTATTCACTACCCCAGGTCTCTGCTCGGCAGCCCAAACTTTCGGCCAGGTGCCAAAGCGACAGCCCGGGTGTACCGGTGCAGGACCAGTTCTGTTGGTGGCATCAGGCACAGGACGTGCCGCAGCCTGAAGACGCCGCGCCTGGCTCTGGTCCCAGCCCACATGGGCTCGGGAACAGACCTCAGCACGTTCGTCCGCTGGAAGCCCAATCCTGCTATACTAAAAATGGAGGACTCTTTCTTTGCTATTGATGAGTACCGCGGAAACATCACTAGACCGACCCTGACACTAGCAGTCATAGATGCTGAGCACCAAGCACGAGTCAAGGTCACTGCCGCCTATCTCACCGAGTTATTTTCAAGGCACCAGGCTGCAGTCAAGGTCACCGCCGTTCATCTCGCTGGGCTGTTCGCACTTATCTACCTCCTTCTGTTGATCTCATGGGTTTGGTTTGTTGGCCAAGCAATGGCGTGCAACCCGGTGGAATTCGTTGAGGTCGCAGTGCAGACTCAGATGGAGACCACCGAGGTCAGCTGCCAGGCTTTGGCAGAGACCACTGGGATTGGCAGCCAAGCTTCGACAGTGACCATCGAAACCGCCACGCAGACTCAGATGGTTGGAACTGAGGCCTCAACGCAGACCGTGGTGGTTTGCCCTGAGACAGTTGAGGTTGGCACCCAGACCGACGAACTCAGCCTTGGCGGCGATGACGGGGGCAATAGCAACGGTTGTAGTGATAGCAGTGATATCGTCAATGATGGCAGTGGAAGCGACTCAGAGGAATCGGTTGTCTTCATCCCTCCTGCCCACTGGGACGAAATCCCTGGCACAGATGATCTTTCTGGCCACCCGCAGCCGAGCACCAGCGGCAGCAACAGCAGCAAGACCAGCAACGGTCGCCGCCGCCGTGGATGTCGAGGTGGACGTAGACGTGGACGAGGCAGCAGCACCAGCAGCAGCACCATCACTTGTGGTACCAGCAACAGCAGTGCCTTTACTTTCAGAAGCAGCCCTTTCACTTTCAGCACCAGCGCCTTTACTGGCAGCGGCAGTAGCAGCGCCCTCACTGGCAGCAGCAACAGCAGTGCTATCCCTACCACAACTAGCAGCAGTGACACCATGGTCGAGAACAGCAGCAACGATAACAGCAGCAATGACAACAACAGCAATGACAACAATTGCCGCCCCCGCCGCCGCCGCTGCCGCCGTGGGACACGTGCCGGGCGCGGACGCCGTACGCTCTATCCGGATAATCCTGGACATGTGCGGCCGGGAAGCAGCCCTGGCCGCGGAAAGCACTTCCGGCCAAATGCTGCGCCAGACACTGACTGGCGCAGCAGCCACAAGTAATCCATTCTAGTTTTGTTTCTTGTTTTGTTTCTTGTTTTGTTTCTTGTTTATATTCTGCCAATACCACATCTGAGATCTAGCAATGACATAAGCTGGTCAGACGGCAGCAGCGACTGCCTGCCCATGATGACACTACGGGCGATACTACAGCCCCTCAGGTTGGTGTCAGTGTGGGTGCACACATCGGGCTTTTGAGCAATCCCTCGACACAGGGCCATAAAACCAAGCTATGAATATATTGATGGCCAAGTTTGGTGCTCACCGGAGGTGCTTGTCTTTTGCTGAAAAGTCACAAAGTATATCTTAATTTTTAACTACTTAAAAAGGTTCTAGCGGATGGTTGGACACTTTTTGGCCTATAAAATCTTATATATAGGTAAAGATAAAGATAAAGCTGTTTTAAACCTCAAAGTGAGTTTGGGTGACTTGCTTCGTAAACTCCTTTTCATCCTGTGCGGTATCTGACCTCATCGGTGAAACCAGGGCGACAAGCTGGTATTGTAGCGGTCACAGGTCTCCACTAGATATCTCCATTGGTTCAGTGCAAGAGCTGCTCTCATTGTTAGTCAGCCTGATGCCAAGGATTTCGTCAACCGGAAGAACAAGTCAGAACTGTCGAGCGTAGATTCCTGTGATGTAATTAGATATCATATTTATGATTATCTATTACATAATGGCAATATCAGGCTACATGGTGTATGCGAAATGAATCAGGTGGCGACACACGTGGATACCGAGCTGATGACAGCATACAAGAACAACATTGTATTGCACTATGGCACTTGCCTACAGCAGATTCTGGCCAAATTGATTGATATTCACAGCCGCAAAAACACACTGCACAGTACAATGGGCAATGTGTCCAAGGCTGAGTTCAATAGTGCTTGTCAAGTGTGTATCTATACGCCTGCACAGAAGCTCCGCCAGGCAGTTGCCTCTAGGCACCCTGATCTCAGTGTGCTCACCCCACCGATGCTTGCAATCTACAACAAGCTGGCACCAGTCCTTAATGCCTATGATGCCAAGTACAGATTCGCCAAAGACAGCCGATACTATGATGCCAAGGTAAATCCACTTCAGCATCTGCGTGCATATATTCGTCTATGCCAGCTTATCGAGAATGAGCAGCTTGGCAAGTCTCCCCCCAATGCTTGCCTCTGCGGACATCATGGATCCCAGGCCATGTGCGTTTGGACAAGCAAATAATCAAGCAGGTGTTTATTTCGAAAACACGCGAGCAGGTTACCAAGATCAACGCAGCAAAGAGGGCAGCAACAGAGGCAAGGAAAGCAGCAGAAAGGGGCGAAAAATTGGCCAAGATGGGAGATATCCATGATCGCCATTACATCAACAACCATCCGACACGTTCAAATGACCGGTTTGCCGTGATGCTCTTATCGACGTGTCAACTCATGCTGACTAGCAGCCGAGCTTGCATCGCGAGCAGAGTATTTGTAGTATTACTTGAGCTAGGGGGATAAACTTTTACGCTGGAAACGAAATAGCCAAATAAGCAGATAATCAAATGGTCAGTCAATGTAACGGAAAGACCCGCGGGCAGCCGACGGCTTGCGCTGGATGGGTGGGCGCCGCTTCCGTCCAGCAGCAATGCCCAGGGAGGCTGGGGGTGGGCTGTCCTCGGTACCCTCGATATACCAGCGGACGAAGCGGCCGACGGTGTTGGAGACGTTGGGCGAGTCGGCGTCGTCTTCAGACTCGTGCTCAACGCCCTCGATCTGGGCGATCTTGTCAACAGAGTTCATGACGCGCTTGCCGGCGACCTGGCATAGGAACGAGTCGAGCATCAGGGCACCCAGAGTGAACAGTAGAGTCCAGTACAGCAGACTGGCCATGCCGACCAGAGCAGACGGCGCGGGTGAGCCAGGGTGGGCAGGTGCCAGCAGCCGGGTGGCCTCAGCAGCGCTATCATACTCCTCGATAGCATCGGGGGTGCGCACTGGGCACGTGCGGCTCCGCCCGGCGTCGCTCTCGGTGCTGCTGCGGGCTACGTCTAGTGACCAGCGCGCATCGGCATCGCGGAAACTGTCGGCCAGCGCCGAGACTTCGGCAGCGGCATCATCCCAGCGCGCAAACGACGTTGAGATCTCGCTGACGGTGGTGCTGGAGCGCGTGCGTGCAGCGCGTGCAGCAATCTCGTCGTTGACGCTGCCGTCCACCAGTGATGCTGACATCAGCGCCGCGCGTGTCACCGAGTTGCGGAATCGCCGGATTAGCGGCACACCCTCGTCGCGCGACACGCTGCGACGGTGCATGGTGCGGTCAGTGCCCAGGTGTGGGAACTCGCGTGCGCCATCGAACGTGGCCCGCGTGGGCGTGCAAAACGCTCGCACACCCATGGCCGACAACCGCCGCGAGCTGTGCGACAGCACGTCGCTGGCCACGCATGTCTCGGATGAGTTCGACAGAACCGAGTCGGCTGTGTCAGCGCGCTGCCGAGCTGGTCGGAAGCTGCTGCGCCGGGATGCCCGCAGCATGTCCGACTCGCCGTCGGCCTCGGTTGGGTCGCTGCTCGAGTACGCCGCTGGTGCCCGTCGCCGCCGCCGCGCGCCCTGTGCTGACGATGGGCGCCGTGCCAGCAGCTCTGGCGAACAGTCCAGCGCCAGCCGTGGCTTAGTGCGCCCAGCCCGCTTCTTTGTGTGGAACGCCGGCGGCTGCGATGCACTCTTGGGAATTATTGGTTCGGGGAAATCCGACAGCTGTGGGTCGTCTGAGGCCACTGCCGGCTTGGCCTCCAGCGCCGAATTGGCCTCGCTGATCAGCGAGTCGATCATCTGCTGGATGCGGTCGTACTGCGGGTCGGCCGCCTCGTCCTGGGGTGGCTCTGCCTTCTTTTCCGCTGGTGCGCTTGCCGGTGCGCTTGCCGGTACTTCAGGCGCTGCCCGCGTTGCGTGCGGAAGCGCCACGCCCAGCTTGCCGATGCGCGCATTCAATCTATGCTGAGGAGGCCATTGAGCTGAACAAGGCTGCAAGAAAACAGAAAATTGCTGCTGCCAGACCCATGTGCTCCCGAGAAGAATGGAGCACAAGCCAAGGCTCCATTCTTCACATGCCAGGCTACTTACTCTGCTATTTGCGAGGCCACCGAAAAGTACGACGATGCATGGTTGTCCAGCGAGTTCTTGACCGTCGCTATCACGTTCTCCAGCTCCACCACGCGGCTCAGCACCGCCGGGTCGCCTCCGCCGCCCATCGTACCATACCCAGACGGGCTGCTGCCGGTGACTGGCCGCACTGCACTACCTGTTACCTGTCGCGCAGCTTCATTCTTGTCTCCCATTTGCCGTAATGTGTGTATGTGTTTTTTTGTGAAGGCGAGCTGTTAATACAACGTTAAGTGTACGTTAATGCAGAATGGGCTTCTAAAAAATAAAGGCAATAGTCGTGAAATAGGGAGGGAGGCGAAATTCGCGGCTGGAGAGGAGAGATGCCAGACTGGTTCTTCCATTTTTTTTTTCACCAGAGAGCCTATGTTTCCCACCAACATCATCGCGCACTCTCCCTAGGAGATTTTCTGCCATGCCTAGCAATCACGGCCGCTTTTATGAAGTGTCCTTCTGGTAAACACAGGAGAAGATCCCTGCCTCGGCCACACTATAGCTCAGCGCAACCTTCACCAACCCGCGCCAACTCTATTTCTTTGCCTGCACCGCAACAAACAGCGCCTTGCCCTGGACAATAGCCTCCCCTGATTCCGCATCCACGGCGCTTGCCTCAACAAACACCTTGCGCCCCTCGACCCCCGTAACCCATGCATCCAACACCACAAACCGCTCCACCGGCTCCTGCCGCTTGAACTCGAGCTCAAAGCTAGCTGTAAACGTCGTCATGCCCGGCGGAGCCGCCAGCAGCGACGTGCGTGCCGTCAGATCATCCAACAGCACAAACAAAACCCCCGGATTCGCCATTGCGCGGCTTCCGAGATCCAGCCTACTGCCCAGGTACTGGACAATCGTCAGACCCTGATTCCCCGCCCCGCACGCAACATGATCCGGTGTTTGCATCCACTTGAAAATAAGCGGCAGCAGCGGCAGCTCCCCAGGACTTGCCAGTCCCCCGTAGATGAGCGTCTCGGCAGCCTGCGCAATCTTGCGTTTGCCAAATGGCCAGTAGAAGGGTGTCTGCGTGGTCTTCTCAGAACTGCTCAGCCTCTGCACAATCGGGAGCGCCTGGCGCTGCGCCATGAGCGGCCGGGTTTGGGCAATGTGCGACTGTGTGTAGGTGGGCGGATACTCGGTTTCACTGGGTCCTGGTGGCTTAGTCGCGGTCATGCATGTGCGTGCAATTGCCTGTGGCGTCCATGCTGCGCCCGTCCGTGCGAGGGACCTGAACACTGCCTGCATTTGCAAACTCGGAATTATTCAGTACAGGTATCTAGAGAAACAGAAAAAGTCAACCATCGTGTGTCTTGCACTAGCCAAGATAAGAAGGATAGTGCCCACTAGCTTGGCCACGAATTCCGTGTTCGGTGGATCTGCCCCATGACAAAGCAGCGGGCTGTTATCAGCAAAAAACGGAAAAACTGTCATCCGTCGCTCACGCCCACGTCTCTTTTCTCACGCGACGGGCCCGTCTGTGCGCCCTATCGGTCAGTTCCCCACGCCCTCCCCCGATATCTTCAGATCAGACACTGCCTCGTACAGGAGCTGATTCTGGAGGTCATAGAGGCGCACGGCTGCGCTGGCTGTCCCCTTGCTGGCACCATACAGCCATGCGTGCACTTTGACAAAGCTGGCTGTGAAAACCGGCTTCCGGTAGTCCATCTTCATCGTCGACACTACTACGTCCTGGCCTGAGAAGTTGAGTGCCGCCGCCAGCCCCATCAGTGAAGTCGCCAGCGTTGCCGTCATGCCGCCATGGATCACGCCCGGGTGTCCTGCCACGTTCTCGTTAATGTAGTCTACCATTGTCACCATGGGCACGCTAAACCTGCCTGGCTGTCGGGCGGCAGGAATGGTCGTCTGCTGGAGCTGCTGGGAGAGGTCGCTGTTGGCTTTCCATGCGAACAGCAGTGGCGGGACGCGGTTGAGGTTGGTGTACCCGAAGTGGTTGGCGAATTCGCCGAGCTGCTGCTTCGCCTGCCTGATATCGATCGCCTGGCAATTGCTGTTCTGTTCAAGCTCCTGGACTGCTGGCAGCGCTGCCCGCTCTCTGACGATGCTGTCGATGCTCCGCAGTTCGCCGGTCATCAATTGCCGGATGCAATTCCTTGATAATGGTCCGAGAACCTGTCGGCGTGCCCGAAAAAGTGTCGCCATTGAAAAAAGCACTGGAAGTTGCAATTGCAGAGAGAAAAGGGGTATTTCTGTGTATCGCTTTTCCACACTGGATGTTTATCAGGCTGCATGAGAATGGCTCGCCCACTTGTGCTGCGAACCAGCTGTCGCTGCCATTGCGATAGCTGGATCTGGACCCGACTCTGCCTTCAAACTTTTTCTTGTGTAATTTTATGTGCAAGTTGCCACCCGTGCAAGTATTTGCTACCAGCTATTTTGCTCTCAGGACATGAGTATTGTAATCATGGCTACTTTATTTTTTTACCTTTGGAACCCATCTCCTCGAAGCTTTTTGTAAAACACACAGTCGCCATGAGCTTTCTACATACCCGGCCTCTGTTCTTTCTGATATCGCTGTTGTGATTTATTCACTCCTCCAATGGCTGCAGTTGCTGAACTGCTAATAAAATCAAACGAGTGGAGGCACATTCACTCGATTAGCATAAACTGTCGCTATCAGCCATGCCATGCCATGCCATGATCTGCACAGGAGAACTCCCATGTCGACATGACGAAGAACATGGGGCGCTGGAGTGATCCAGTAAACTACCAGCCTCATCGAGCCCTCCCAATTTCTGCAGCTGCGCAGTTATTTTTCATCAATCACTGCTGTAGCATTGTATCTAATGCCACTTGTCGATGCTCAGCCTTCAGCAGACATGCATATAAACACACGCGTAACCACCGTACTCTCTGCCAACGGATTCTTTTGCAAGATTTCATTTCCAGCTAGTATTGTAAGCATTTTAAAGCCATCTCTATTCCACGACATTCTTCTCTAGCTCTTGTGCCATGGGTCTCTTCAAGCTGTTTCACAATGCTCCTATCTACGAGGCACCGGCTATCCAAAGCTCTCTATTCGGATCCCTGTGCAGGGTATGTAGTTTGCAATAACCGGTGCATGCCCCAGCAACACTGTGCTCTTCTAACCGCTAGCATTAATATAGATACAGGAATGGACTATTATCGCTGCCCTATGTGCCTTGCTTTACTACCAGTGTGCATTCTGTATCTATTTGACTCTCGGTGCAGTGCAGTGCTCGGTTATAAACAAGATATTTAAGCAGGCATTCCGACAGGAGCATCCCAATCAGCGTAGAGCCGGTGCTGCAACATGCAGGATGCTGTCTACCCATAATGTAACAGCTGCGTATATTACCGCCATCCTGTCTTCATTGCTGCTGTCAGAGTACTACGACGATCCAACCTACATTGTCTACATGTTGATGGCCAGTCTGGTCAGCATCCTGGCTATCCTTGTTTTTTTATCCCGTGTGACTTGCAGATCTCAGGCGGTTGCCCAGGTTTCTGTAGGGCTCCTAGTCGGCACGATCTTTGGGACGACATGGCAGCTGCAGCGACACACACTGCACCCACATATTGACACGGCAGTGGTGGTGGCTTCTGAGCACATTTCCGATTGTTTGTAATCAGGATAGCCAATTCGCTTCAACAGCTATTTTTACCTCTGAGATGCGAACATCCAGGACACAAGCCTAGTATGAGAGGAACTGCGTCAAGAGGACTGGCTGTAACCATGCGAGGAGACCTGGCGGCTCCTGGTCTGTGGAGGGAATGTCGGTGCGGCAAATCGCATATTCGCAGACACGATCAGCTGATTACCTGATGTGATCACAAAGCGCTCAGCTCAATATTTTTTTGTCGAAAAGGGGTTAACGATAAGCGTGCAGTGCAGTTCAAAGTCAACGGCTGCTTTTCAACCTTCAATTCCAGCAACTCAAAAAACCATTCTTTAATACATTCAGGTCCATTGCGATTCGATATGCAGTCAGTCTCAAAGTTGCTCAGGACATCGCGGGTCGCTGCTGCCTTGCCGCGGATCGAAGGCGGTGCGGTTCCAGTCGACATACACAAAGCCGCGGACGGGTGTGAACCCCGCCTACGACGAGGCCCTGAAGGTGATCGAGGCATACAAGATCAAAAAGACATCCGAGGCAGAGGCTGCGGCAAAAGGAGCTGAAGGACGCGCAGGCAAAGAGCGCCAGCTCTGCGGAGGTCAGCGCGCTGAAGAAGAAGTACTTTGATCTGGCAGTGGAGGCCGAGATCAACGACTCGGAGGTCCTGTGGAATGCGCGGCACGGCAACTACGATCTGTCGAAGCCTGTATACGCGCACCTGAAGGAGCAGGCGTGGCGGGCGCGCCCGCTGGAGATTCTGATGCAGCGCCTGCTGCAGATGTACGTGCTGCCGGATCTGCTGGACCCGCGCGAGGTCGGCATTCCGCCAGCGCAGCTCAACGTTGCCCTGGCAGAGACCCTGCTTGAGCCTGGATCGGTGATCGAGCCCAGCGAGGCGCGCAAGCAGCCGGAGATCGAGTTGACGACCTTCCACGAGGACACGCGGCTGCACACCCTGGTGATGGTGGACCTGGACGAGCCGCATGTCGAGCAGCAGACGTTCCGCGAGCAGTTCCACTGGGTGGTCGCCAATCTGCCGTTCTCGATGAGCCAGACCAAGACGCAGATCAGCGAGGGCAGCGAGCTGCTGGCGTACATTCCGCCGCACCCCGCGCGCGGCTCGCCGACACACCGCTACGCGTTTGTTGCCTTTGAGCAGCCCGACGGTGGCAAGCAGCGGATAGAGAACATTGAGGTGTCGCGCGATCTCGTGCTGCGCGAGTTCGCCAAGCAGCACCATCTGCGCCCCGTCGGCCTGTCGTTCTTCCGCGCCAACTGGAACGAGTCCGTCGACGAGGTGTACCGCGATGTGCTCAAGCTGGCCCCGCCCAGCTATGGCCAGATGCCTGCGCTGCGCACGAACGTCACCCCGATGGCCGCCAGATCAACGCCTATGCCAACTACTAGACCTTCCTTCCTCTTTGGTTCCATAGCAGGGACAGTGATCTTCACAAATACATCATCTGTGATAGCAGCGGTTATAATGCAGGAGGACGCTGGGAGGGGCTGGAGTGGGATTTCTAGAAGGCAGCCAGGGCGATGCTCACAGCAGGCTACTGCAACTGTGCAATTTCGCCTGCAGCTACGTGTCTGCAAAGCCCAGATGCCCGGGATCCTCCCAGGCGCTACCAAAAAACTGCCTCGCTGTCAGTTTTGCGGCTGTGTGAAGATAACCTTAGCGAGCTGGTTCCTTTCACGTGAAGATTGGACGATCGCACCGGCCTTTGGGCGCAAGGTAAAAACTACGGCGCGCCAAGTGCTTGCCTAGGAAATGAGGCGAGGGGACAGCAGGCAGGCGAGCGGCTTCTTTGCCATGGACGCAATGCCGGAGCTAGCGCGCTGGGCTGTATGCAGGCGCCCTGTGGGTGCGATGACGCCTGCTTGACGCACAGGGCGCGCTCTGGCCAGCAGGCAGAGATAAGCGGGATGGGGGCAGGGCTCTGTCTGCGCTCGGGAGTCTGTGGACGAGTAAGAATCCAGAGTCAGCTCGCGCCTGCAGTTTTCCACTCGCCTCCCCCAAAATAAAAAATCACCGGGGCCGCCGCTCTGCGCCAGAGTCGGACAGCGCTCGAAATAAATAGGCTGGTGGCGGACCCCTTGCCTTGTTGCTTCTTTTCGAAGCTGTCGGCTGTTCAACTCAATTTTTTTCCTTACTCTACCTCTCATTTCCTTCTGAATTCGCCTTTGTTTGGGCGGATATATTTGGGACGCACCCCTTGCTACCACCACACCAGGCAAATAAAGATCGAAGCGGCTGCTCCTCAACTATGTTCAGCAGCATTAGACAGTACTTCCCCAGCGACGACGAGTACGTCTCGGAGAGCGCCCTCAAGAACCTGCGCAACTACCAGTACCGGGCTGTCGACAAGTCCTTCTTGACCAAAATACCTGTACCGGCACTACTGGGAGTGGGCCGTGACCCTGTTTCCGCGGTGGATGGCGTAAGTATCTGCGCACCTGCGCGGCTAGGGCAAGAGCAGCACAGGGCACCGACATGAGTGCAAACAAATACGAATTCGCTGCGTGCACTAACCCCTCTCATCGCCGCCCCCTCTCTTTCCTGTGTTCTAGGCCCAACCTCATTACGCTCACTGGCCTGAGTTTTGAGATCTTTGACGTCTTTCTGCTGCTGCTGCTTATGCCCGATCTCGCGGGACCCGGGCCCTGGTGGCTCTATTTTGCCTTTGGTATCGGCATGTGGCTGTACTCGACCTTTGACAACGTCGACGGAAAGCAGGCGCGGCGGACAGGCACATCGAGCCCGCTGGGCGAGCTGTTTGACCATGGCTGCGACGCGCTTGAACTGCACGATTGCGGGGATCGTCGAGGCCTCGGCGTTTGGATGCGGAATTTCTTGGCAGACAGTGACCATTATTTTCCTGACCACATCGACATTCTTCCTCTCGACCTGGGAGGAGTACCACACGGGCGTGCTGTACCTGGGGTACATTAACGGCCCGACCGAGGTCCTGACGTTCGCCGTGTTCGCGTGCTTTGCGTCGGGAATCTGGGGCCCCTGGGATCTGGCATGTGTCGGCGGCTACCGGCATCCCCATTTTCGGCTCTCTGTTCCCCGCCACCTGGGAAGTCATGGATGCTGCACTGTTCGTTACTGTCCTGGCCGCTGTCTTTGGCCACTACGGCGTGTGCTGCTGGAACGTGTACAAGGCATGCAAGGAGCAGAACCGCAGCTTCGCTGCCACCCTGCCCCAGCTCCTCCAGTACGTCGCCTACGCAACCAGCTGCTACGTCTGGCTGACCACCTCGGTCAGCATCTTCCACAACAACCACCTGGTGCTGTTCCTCGTCACCTCGGGCATCGTGTTTGGCCGCATTGTGGTAAGTACTATGTATACGGCGAGGTCCATGCGACGCAGCACTGCCTGCCACCCGCACCCCGCTACCATTGATTTTGATGTGCTAATCCTGCCCAATCGCTTCATACTTCTCTCCTGTAGAGCAAGATCATTCTTGCGCACCTCACCGAGATGCCGTTCCCGTCCTACACCGTTCAGATGGTCCCGCTGGTCGTCGGCGCCGCACTCTCGTTCTTTGGTTTGTTCTCGGCCAGGACCGAGCTTTTGTTCCTGGTCATTTCGTTCCTGTTCGTCACAGTCGCGTACTTCCACTGGGCCCTGGTCGTCATTGAGCGTTTCTGCGAGTTCCTCGGCATCAACTGCCTCACCATTGCACCCCGTAAGAATCGAAAGAAGGCAGAGTAAATTATTATTGCCAACCCCTCCTCACACTGCATATTCTCATATTTGCACCCTCTATCCACCACTACGGTATATCATTATCTTTTCTTATTCTGCCCCTGGGATTGTGTCCCTTCTCTGGCACCACTCTATATCCTTACTCTCCAAATCCATTTTTCATACTCGATCTGGCCAGACCTTGCCGGTCTTGGATCTTTTTCTGTCTTTTGCGCCTATTTCTCATATTTGCACACGCCTTGCGTTATCCTCCCCACCCAGATAATCTTCTGCTACTGCTTCACTGTCATTATCGATAACATATATTTCCCAATGCATTAAGGCGCTCCCAGGTACCTATGTGGGAGCCTGCGTGACGGCGGGCCGACGTCATCACAATATATTTCGCGGTTGGGACAGGACTGCATGTCGCTACTGCTCGGAGCCGGTGAACGCTTTTTATTGCTCATCCTATGGTCACAACACTAATCATCACCACTTGCCCTTTTGTTTCGACGTGTAGAGGTGGAAGCTGACCGTGTCGAGGCTGGCCTGATGGGGCACTAAAAGCACTATTTCTTCAATCTTTTTAATTCCTACTTCACACAAATGTGAATCCCATGCAAGCGCCTGAAATGTAAATGGCAGAATTGGATATTTTTTTTTGGAGAAAATGTGCGTAGAAAGGAGCGTTAAAGATAAAATCAAGAATGGATGGCTGTAACCAAAACCTTTTTATATGCACCTGGAGTGGTATCACAGCTCCATATGTGCCAGACCGATCTTCTTATCGCGGATATTGTATACAGAGTAGTGCGACTGCAGGAAAGGAATGCCAAGCACCCACAGGTACTCGCTGACAGGCATCCACTGGACTTCGCACACATCATTGATCTCATCGTGGTAGATATACTCCTCGGGCCTCATTGTGAAGCGCCTGCCACCTAGCACAAAGTGGAACGGCTTCAGCTGGGGCAGCACCGAGCACGGCAGCTCGCCTGACATGATGTTGGCACCAATGCGGGCGCTCATTCCGGCCAGCGTGAAAGGGTCGCCATATATCAGCGAGCTGCCTGTATCGAGCAGCGCCTTGCGGCTGGCACGCGCCCGGTCATGTTCGAGTCAGATTGGCTGCAATGCTGTTGATCTTGTCGGCTCCGTACAGATAGTTCTTCGGCTCATCACCGTACCAGATGCCCTCCATGGTTGTCACCCAGAACAGGCTGCCGTAGACGTCGAGCCAGACGATCTTGTCCTTGTATGCCCTGTCGTATGTACCAAAGGTGATCTCGCCGCTGGCCTTGCCGCTGCTGCGGAACAGCTTGACGCCAAACAAGGGCTCTTCCAGAGCGCCCTGCGCTACCATGTTCTCGACCGGCGATGTGACACCGCCTTCGGCGCCGCCAGTGAACCCAAGCCCAAAGAGTCCGTCGAACTGGCTGCGTGGCAGCTCGAACGTCCTGTCCTCGAGGTTGGTGGTTGCAAACGGCTGGTCCTTGATGACCACCGAGTCAGCGACACGCACAGTATCGACGCCGACATCGCCGGCAATGAACCCAGTTCCATACTGGATCTCGATTCTCTGCTCGGTATTGGCAAACGACGCAGACGTGCCCTTGTTGAACCGCCGATGCTGGGTGCACGCCGTCGAATTGCATGTAGCGCCAGGCACCCAGATATTGGACGAGCCAGTGTCGAAGATCACCGAGAAGTGCTGCACTGGATTACCAATCCCAATGTAGCCGTAGTAATAGTAGTCCTTGACATCGGTCAGCGGCGCTGTGTTGTTCGACAGCGGGACTTGGGCCAGATTTTTCATCTTGTGTGCCCGTTCCGCCATCCGATGTTTGCGCTTGGATTCAGGGTCCAGCCCGTTCTTCAGAAACAATGGTACTTTGAAGGATCCCTCGCCGGAGACACCGCTTGAGTGGATCTTGGCGCCTGCGCCGAGCACCGTCGGGTCGTCATACCCAAGCCCCTCAGCCTGGACCTGTGTTTGTGGCGGCGCTGAGAGCGCGGTGTGGACGAGGGCAATGAGGCCAACTGCTATGAACTTCATTGGAGAAGCAGGATGTGTATGCTGGTTATATGTTGACGACTAGAGAATAAAAGGGGCTTAAGTCGCTGTCTCGAGATTGAGCCTTTATCTCCAAATGTCCAGTACTAATACACGTAAATGAGTGAATAAATAACCTGAGGAAGTTGAAAGTTTGACTAGGAAGATACCACCATATATAAACGAGTGTGCAATGTTGTTGTCAATACCGAACAGGCAGCTCAAAAGTGGTCTGAGTCGAAAGTGGAGATCTGGTGTAGCTGGTAACAAATGGCTGGATGAGTAGCGGACGTAGAGGATGGCTGGAAAACAACCCGCCCCAAAAGGTCAAATACGGATATGGTGGAGGAGGGAGAAGGAAGCGAAGTAATTGGAGAAGATGTAGTCGCAAAAGACCAGTCAATAGAATAAAAACGGATGTTAGTGTTGTAGGCAGCAAGACATCTGGTATGCTCCCCCGATAAACCTTCTAAACGAAGAGAAAGAGCGGAGAGAAAGGAAAGAGTGGGTGAGGAGAGACAAGCTAAATGCGGAAGAGAAACAGGTTGTGCATGGCAGGATGTATGTGCCCGCATCAGGATCTAGGGAATGGAGAGGGATGGCCACATGTCGGCGGTTTAGGAAAGCTGTGCGGGAAAGCGATTGTCTCATGGATGTAACCTTTGCCAGCATGTTGGTGATCTGGGTATATTACCACTGCAAGCTGTTCACACACTCTATGCCGTCTGACGAAAACGCCTACAAAAATCGGGATGTCCAGATTCCTGAACCCGGTGAGGCATTATCATTTGCTCACATCTCTACTCCCACACGCAGCCGCCTCTTAATAAATCTCCGCACCCTTCCATCGTTCCCCCGCACTGCAAAGGGTCTGCCCTAACGTGGGCGCGAATCAATCCGCCGGCTATTTTCACATACCTGGGAAATAATTTCAGTTGACATTAGCAAGCTGCAACTAGTGTATAGAAAAGAAAATGAAATTAGATGTGAACCCACTGCCATATCAGTAGTGCTTCAGCGGCATGTTGATCGGAGCCAACCCAACCTTCTTATCTTTCATGTCGAACACAGCGTAATAGGCACGCAAGAACGAGTCGCCTAGCACCCAGAACGGGCTATCATACGAGGGCACCCATGCCGAGCTACATGTCTTCTTCTCTGGGTCACGATAAACGTAGTGGTCAGGCGTGATCTCGAAGCGGTAGCCGCCGAGCGAGACCCAGAACGACTCGAGGTTTTGTAGATTCGCGCACGACATGTCACCGGTCTTGTAGTCGGCGCCAATGATCCGGCTAATAAGCTGTATGGTGTTCGGGTCACCAAGCAAAAACGACGTACCAGTATCGAGAATTGCCGAGGTCTCAGGCTTCTTTTCAGATCCAGTCGGCAGCAGCTTCTTAATCTTGACTGACGTGTCTTCGGGCGGGTGTTTCTTCTTCCTCATGATATCCATATCTGGGTCAGTCCCCTTGGCCTTCTTCTTCATTTTCTTGATCGCCATCTCCTGATCCTCGATCTGTCTTGCCGCCTGCTCCTCGGATGTTGCCACATCAGTGATGTTGGTCAGCACAACGTTTAGTGGCAGAGTGCCGAGGTCGTGGTCCTTGCTGAGCGTTAAAAGATTGAGCTTGCCATCTCCGTACCAGATACCCTCCATTGTAACTTGCCAGTATTTGGGGCGTGTCACATGCATCCACTTGAGGTCGCCCTTGTAGTGCAGCTCGTTGTAGCCACCAAGAAGCAGCTCGCCAAACGATCGATGTCCCTGTGACAGGGCAAAGGCAAACACGGGTTCGTCAACCAGGTTTTCCTCAATCATCCTGACCATCGGCGGCACCAATCCACCCGACGACAGCGACTTGAAGGCTAACCCGAACAGGCCGTCGAACTCAGGTATCAGGCAGCTCAAACACCTCGTCTTCGCTTGTGGTTTCAGCGAACGGCTGGTCCTTGATCGTGATTCCGCCGACCTTGACTGTGTCCTGACTTGTGAATCCGCGTACCTCACCAGTTCCATACTGAATGGCAAACGGCATATTTAGCGGCTTGTACGTGGCCAGACAAATCGTGGTCGTACCGGTTGTGTTGCAAGCACGCCTTCGACTGACACCGCACTCCCGGGATCCACATGTTGGCTGAGCCAGTGTCGAAGGTCACCGTAAAGTTTTGCGCAGGCATGCCGACAGAGATGACCCCGTAGTAGTATGTGTCGGTGGCGTCAGTGAGCCGTACCTGGCCAAAATCTGGTTCAACGTCGTGCGTCTCCTCGTCAAAGTCGACGTCAGCCGGCAGCATCATCAGCTTCTTACCGTCCTTGTTTTCCCGTGCCTTCCGGCGAGCTACCAGGATGTTGTTGTTGCGGTTGTACGATCGCTGGAGCGGGATGGATATCCTCTTGCAGTTCTGCTGGCCCAAGGCAAAGTTTGTGGGCGTGGTTAGCAGCAGCAAGAGCAGCGCTGTCAGCTGCACCATTGTGTGAAAAGGAATGTGTGTTCTGCAGTCTGTCCTTGGGCGATGCTGGGAATAAAGAACGGCTAAAGAAATGTGTAGATTTCGCTGGAGAGAAAGCAGGTATATCTGGACTAGACAAACGCAACAAAAATATCGATGGGAACTCGACTGTGTTCAAATACAAAAGGCATGTCACGGTCTACTATTTTATGAAAAGGGGCGGGCTAGTTAGCGGTTGCAACCAAGAATGCCTAGGACACAATGGCAAATATAGCCATCTCCATCCGCCTTCCTCCTCCCCGATATTTTTCTCCTCATGCGAGCTATTTGGCAAGGTCCTACTGCGTGCCTGTGTAGCATTTCGCACCGCTTGCCAGAATCTGGGCGTGGATTGGAAAGTTCTTGGCACACTGAAATGGTGGAGGCAGGAATAATCTTTGAAAAATAGCGCACCCGCCCCATTTGAGATAGGAAGGGGCTGCTGAGGGGAAGACGGTGCATGCCGCTTGGACGTAGAGAAGAAGGGGAAGTCGTAGCGGCGCAGAAAGGGATGGCCGTAGGTGCAACAGCGCCCATTAGCCCACCATATTACTTTCTTTTTTTTACCAGCTACTGCCGCCGAGGAATTACTGCTCTGCGTCATGGCCAATGTCTATAAATATACACGATGGGTGGTGAAATATACACAGCCCGCTTCGAAAGGAGCACGAGGGCATTGGCATTGCATGGAACATGGATGCAATATACAGCGCCTTTTATGGAAACTGCGCTGTGTTGATGGTGCTTGTGTAAATGTGGATGTATGTTATAGAAACCAAGTCGGCAGGATTAAAAACGATTAGAAAAGCATGTTGACAGGGAAACAGAAAAGTAAAAAAGTAAGCGAGCGAAAGGCCTGCCGATGAGGGTCCGCAGCAGGTACATTGGACACCCATGGCAGTGCCTCAGCCCAAGCTCCCCGCACTCTCCCCACATGGCCGAACAGCTCTGGCACGCGGAGGGGAGAGGGGCAGAGAGCGCAGGGCGGAAATAAAATAATTAGTTGGTCTTTGCCATCTTGCGGGCCCGGGCCTTCTCCATGTTCAGGTCGGCAGTCTTCTTCATCTTGGCAACAAAGGCGGCCTTCTCGGCGCTCAGAGCCTTAACCTGCTCCTTGGTGGGCACCTTCAGGTGCTTGCGGGCGTACCGGTGGGCATCGAGGGTGCGCACAACACGCGACTGCGGAGCCAGCAGCGCCGAGGTGACAAACATGTACAGGACAGCGCACCACGAGGTATGGTAGGCAAGGTCGTCGTAGTACTCGGGGGCAATGCGCTTGATCTCGGGCAGCTTGGTCCAGGGAACGAGCGGGAAGTCGTGGTGCTCGTTGTGGTAGCCAATGTTGAGCCAGAACCAGTTGCCAGAGCCATAGTACGAGTACGTCTCCTGTCCGTCGCGGAACGTATAGTGCTCCTGGATGAAGTGGGCGGCTCCGGGATGCAGGCCAAATCCAAGCAGCACCGAGGCAACAAGGTACAGGACGCCACGCGCACCGCAGAAGTAGTACAGGGCGACGTCGCAGCCGATGGTCCAGGCCCAGTTGATCAGCTCCCAGCGCGACAGCTGCTTCTGCTGAGCAAGTCCGCGACCAATGTACATGACGCCGTAGATGATGAGCCACAGGAACTTGCGCACGGGGTCGTTGCCAATCAGGCGGATCTCCCACTCCAGGGGCAGATCCGGATCATAGCCATACACGCCCTGGTAAGTGTGGTGCTCGAGGTGGTACCGGCGGAACGACTGTGCGAGCGGCGCAAGCAGCGGGATGTTGGCAAAGTTGCCAACCCAGCGGTTCTGCAGTGTGGTGGCCGCACACAGGTTGTGCGTGAACTCGTGGAAGATAATGCCAATCTGCGTCGAGATGGAGCCGCCCACGACGTAGGCCACGAACAGCATGGTCCACGTCCAGTCAGTCAGAATGTTGCCAAACACATACGCCAGGCCAACCTGCACGCCGACGACGGTCGCAGGTAATCCAGATGGTGTTGGTGTCGTAGCCATACAGCTGCTCGATCTCGGGGTGGTCCGCCAGAATCTGGTTCTTGCGCTTCTTGTGTGGCTCGTCGTACATGTCAAAGCGGGGCGCCTCGTCGTAGCCAGGAACCGACCGCTTCCAGAACCCGAGATATGACGGGAACCGCATGTCGTACTCCTCGCCCTCGTGAATTGCACGAATCTCGTCGACCGAACCGGTATCACGGGGAGGCATGGTCGTGTAGTCTACTGCCCCTTGGGAGAAGGAAAAAGAGTTGCCACGGAAAGGATATCAGGGGATAAATGGTTTGGGTACCTGGCTAGTAGAACCAAACGCAGGATAGCAAACAGTGTAATAAGTGAACAAAAATGTATGAAGAGGAGAGCAGGGTGGAAAAAAGAAAGTGTAAACACCGGCGCCCCCTTCTTAAAGCCGCTCGCACTCTCCTTTCACGCACTCGCAAGAAAAATTATCGCGAAACTGCGGCTTCTTGGCCGAAGATTCGCTGTGTTTTTCTTTTTTGCTTTCCCCAATTTAATTTTCCTCCTTTCCCCTGCGTCGCGTCTCTACAGACATCACCCTCACGCAGCGCCTTTCTTTCGCCAGCTGGCATGCAAGGCGCTAAAAGATGCGGTCCAGAATGAGGGTCCTTTTGGCTGCAGCATGGACCGCGGCGCTGGCAGGTAATCAATTGGGCTGGGCTCCGGCCCCAGTCTATAAAAAAAGGAACACAAAATGTAAACTGGTGACCGCTGATGCGGCTCACAGTTTGCTCCCGCTCCTCCCACTGCCGACTGTGCACGCTTGGACGGGGCGGATGTTTTGGTGGTGCGGACTAAGCCGATCAGCCCCGACCTCACATTCACCTCGGGCTTTGGCCGGGAGATGAGGGAGGCACGACCAGAACGGCTGTCCTAATTTTTTGGGGCGGTGGTTGAAGAGGGGAGACGAGGATCTGTTTGCCGCAATCCCGCATCAGCACTGCAGGCCGGCTTTTCCACCACACCGCCTCTCTGCCTGCAAGTCTGGGCAATCTTGGCGGTACTATAGCTCCGCTTGGCGGTCTAAGCTCTAAATGAAGATCCTATGTCCCTGGAGCTGTGGATTTGTAATCGTGCTTGCTTTTCTTCTGAAAAATTACTCGCATGCCCCCTACGAAGATACATAGCCGAGCCCAGCTACCCACGCAATGCCGCCCAGGGTCAGGCACGCAGTGTAGAACCCGACCATCCACCCGATCTGGTACAGGTAGCGGGGCGAAAACACCGACCAGATGAACAGATGCGTGCGCAGGGCGGTGACCACGATGCTCAGCAACAGCAGGGCGCACGATTGCCAGAGGTGGGCTGACACCAGCGCTTCAGTGATGGAGCGGCCGGCCAGAGCCGGTTTCCTGAGAGAGAGCACACACAGGCCGGCCGCCGCCCACCACAGCGGACCAGCCCAGTTGGCCACAAACAGCAGCAGGCCCACCAGGTTCTCGTTGTACCGCGACACGCCTGTATAGGCATTGCTGAGGTCCAGCGACGCCAGCGAGTTTCGAGTTGCCCAGCACGTAAAACGACGCATTCAAAAGGCAGAACACAGTGATTTCGACATGATGGTCGCCAGCCAACGCGACCACGGTCCTCGCGGGTGGTCTTTTGGATCCATGAGCCGCGCAGCACCCACAGGCGGATCAGCCGGCCGTCAAACAATGCAAAGATCGACGTGAACAGGGCAAACACCGCGATGTTGTGTGGCCGAGAAAGCAGCATCAAAAGTGGTGTGATCGCGACCAGCGTATCCAGCGCCGCTGCCTGTGCCAGCGTCGCCTGCTCCTCGCCTGGATTCTGCCCATCAAAGCCAGACCGCGCTCGCCACCAGGCACAGGCGGCTTCCAGCGAAGCCAGCAGCCCCTGTGCACATATACACCATGCGCGCGACATTGGCCAGATCTGGCGGCGCGCACTTGCGGACAACACCCCATGTCAGACGCCTCCAGACCCAGTGCCTCCCATCCTGAGCTGCGGTCCAGGTGGTACACCACAGCGCATGTGGATGCATAGGCAACCAGTGCTCGGAATACACGCTGGCCAAGCACCAGCGCCCGCTGCTCAGACGTCTCAACGACCTGTGTACAGCGTCACTACTCGCCGCGCGCTCTCGTTGATCGCCCGTCTGCGCTCGGACAACTCGTGGTCCCTGCGGTATGCCATCAGATGTGCGCTGGCCTTGTGCGTGCGCGAATGGGGGACGGCCCTGCCGCATCACCTCGTCGATCGGCCCTGTGATGCTCTCGCGTGATGGACGCGGGTACAGGTAGATGTGCAGGCGGTATACCCACACGTTAGTCGCCAGCGCTGCCACTATTGCCATCAGCCACATCTCCCGCGCATAAGTTGTGTTGAGCGAGTGCCGGATGTCGAGCTCACCAGCCCACTTCTGGCCTGTCTGGCTTCCATGCCCGCGCAACACGGAACATGGCACATCTGCAGCAGCGTCCGCGCCAGCGATCCCTTTGGTGGGGCTGGACATCAGCCGCAGAACCAGCATTGTCTGCACCCAGAAATACCAGTACTGGTGCTCCTCTTCAATTAAGCTGCTGGAGGCCACCGACACAGCGTACGTGGCCAGCATGCCGATCGCTGGCCAGTTGGCCATGTTGGAAAGGATATTGATCCCCGCCCAGGGAAGGCCAAGACAGAAGGAATAGCCCGGTCCGCGGCAATACCGATAAAGAAGATGCCTGTGCCCATTGCGCCGAGATCATACCCGCTGAATGTCCGCGAAAGGTGCTCATTGGCGTGCTCCATGAACTGGTAGTACTTGCGCTCAGCTGCCCTGGCATCCTCACCCTCGCCGCCACCCTTACCAGCCCTGTGGTGGGCTGCCAGCGCCTGCATGTATTTGCACCGCAAGCTGTTCGCCAACGTTGCTAGCATGCATGCTGTCGCAGTCAGTCGATGGATCGAAAGTCAAAAGCTGCCATTTGCATGTCGACATCCGCTACCGACGGATCGTTGGCTCGCACCACACCAAACATCTGGAACGCCGAGAGCTGAAGAAACCTCAACAGTTCTCCATCCGAGTACTTGCCAAGCATATCGATCAGCGGAAGGCCCAGGTTGTTTTTGGGAATGGGCACGCCAAACAGCAGCGACAGAGTCGGCACCAGGTCAATCTGCGGCACCTCCTTAGTCAGCAGACTGGACAAGCGCATTCTTGCCCTTGTCAGCAAACTCTTGTCCCTTTATGCCCTGTCCCATGAACACAAACACAGTCGACGTCTCCAGCTTCGAGTTGCCGCCATGGTTGCCGATCTCGTTCATTGCGTGGTCGCCGAGCAGCACAAATAGCGTCGGCTTGGCCGCCTTGTCCTTGGCCATTCGCTCAGCGTCCTGACGCAGGATGATCTCGTTCACCTGCTTTCACGACCTGGTCCATCTCCTGTTGCTTAGGCTTCATCAGCGGGCTATTAGGTCCCGCCAGGTGCCCGATATGGTCGAGTCCCAAGTAGTGGAAAACAGTCACATCCCAGTCATCCTTCTCCAGGTCTGGCTTGACATGCCGTGTCACATTCAGGTCTACTTCGACTGTGTCAGTGACAAAGAATGATGACGTACCATCCGTGCGCGAGAATGTGTCGGGGAACAAGCGCAGCCAGGTGTCATCGACCGAACAGGTTGATCGTCTTGTTTCCATGGTTCTTTAGCTGCCACAGCAGGTTGTCGTGGAATTTGAGCGACGAGCTCGTGTCGGACTCGGCAGTATTGAGCACAGCATCCAAAAAGTTTGGCACTGTACCGGTCATCAGCGCCTTGATCCGCGGCATCGTCACTGTTGGCGCCAACGCCTTGGCTGTGTATCCAAGCGCGCGCCCATCACGCAGCAGGCTTTGCGTGTACGCCATGCCAGAGTTGTTGCCAAACACAAAGTCATTGCGCAGCGCGTCTACTAGCATCACCACCAGCCGATCGTACTGTGCGTCTACATGGCTGCCCAGCTGCCCGAGGTCTGCTGGCTGTTCTGCCCATGTTGCAAAGCCAGGTATGCTTTTCTTGTAAGGAAAGAAGCCCTTGATAAAGAACCCTAATCCCACCAGCTCTACCAGAATGAGTGGGAGCAGAATGAGCAGCCGTTCATTGCAAATTATAATGTGTAGAGAGATGAGCTGTTCAACGAGCGAGAGTTGTTTTAAACGCAGGGAAACGTAGGAGAGATCAGTTTGCAGCAACACAGCGGACCTCAGAATCAGCCAGGCTAATTTCCGATTAATTGCCATCCAGGATTCGATCACGCTGGTGTTGCGTGCTGGCCCTAGGACCATGGGCATCGGCTACCAATTGGTTAGCGGCGATGCCCATGGTCCTAGGCAAGTGCGTGGCGATGGACGCTCTGACCCCACTGCAAACAATGACAGCATGGGACTCTGAGTTCTGAGGGAGACAATGGCATTTCCTCACAACGCGATGTCTCCAACCAAACATAAAATCGAAGACGTTCGTGCTATGATGGATATATATATGCCAATTCTCAAGGCTCGCTGCCTTTCTCCCTTCTCATTGCGTTCTCTTTAAGTGGAACCTCCCATCCAAAAGCTTTACTCTCTGTTACGTTTCTTTGGTTTGTTGGTGTCGGCGCCCAGGTCTGGCGAAAAGTAACACCTCAGAAACTAAGCTGTGAGGAAAGGATATAGTACATGACCACAGGAAGAAACGAAAGGGTGAAAAGACTTGAGAGGCCGCTATAAGCGTACCGTCTCTCGTCAGAGGAGACAGATCCTCATCCAGAGCTTTCAGTTGATACCAAAAGGCTAGTGGGTTGCATGTTTGAGCCTGGCCGTTGGCTTGCTGCCCCTCCCAACCGTCAGGGGCTTGCCGCTGTTGGCTCGACTCCGTTACAAGATGAACAGAATGTATTTGGTCTACCCGCATTTCTGCTCAAAACCCAATATATTCAATCTGGCGGATATGCGAGCTGTCGTCGAATATTGGGCGATGGACGAAGCAGTCAAGGCTCAGCGCTGTCTCAGGGAATTCTGACCTACGATGGACTTCCATTATGACTGTGGCCAACAGAGGAAGTTTTGTGAATGCGATGGCTAGTAGACAGTTTGTCCTAAGCACCCCTATGGTGATTATTGTCAATGCCGCAGGTATCCGTCAGAGTAAGCTTTTGAAGCCGAGACGCTTGTATAGCAGGCAGCTCCTCGCGGATGCCTGAGATCCTCTCGTCCGTGAATTCGTCGGGGCAGCGACTAAGGATTCTGTCCATGCTATACGGCAGAGTCAAATGGATACAGCGCCGGCAATTGGTTGACCAAGTAGAGCAAATCTGCAATGCCCATCTCCAGACGACTTGCCTTCAGGATACGGAGGTCTGGCAGGTTGAGCGAAAGCGCTGAAAGCGCTCCCTCGCAAACAATGTGGTCGATGTCGTACGAGAAATACTGGACCTTGAGTTCCAATGCAGAGAAAGGTGCTGAGGTGCCCAACTGCATCGTCGCGAGTGTGAAAAGCTCCAGCAAGACTTAGCGTCACGTGCTGGAGCGCTGAGAATAATCCCTTGCGGCGTCGAAATACGATCCCTTAGATGTCGATAGCATTCATCGTCGATGCTCAAACGAGAGGTAGCGGAGGGTGTCTACTGCAGCTAGAGCCGCGGTGGCTATCTCTGGTGCGATTCCATTGCTTGACTGAAAGTACTTCAGCCGCGGAAAATGATGCACTGTGCATTTGTAAGCGGAGACAGGGCCGCCAATATCGTCGAGATCAGGTAGTGTGTCAACTTCAAGCCGGTGCAAGTTAGGATAGATTATTGGGATCCCGGCATCGCTGGTGAGGATCTGCTTTGGGATGCCCGTATAGCCAGACTGTCTACGCAAAATCTGGAGGGTCTGTGAGCTGCGACGAACTAGCTCGACTTCTTTATCCTCCAAAAGAATCCGCGCTGATTTCGATAAATTGTAAGGGTATGGATTCTAGCCTGCGAGCCATAGCCTTGGTGATCTGGTCAAAGAGCGACAGCCGTCTAAGCGTATGCGAATATGCACCAACGATCCCTGATAAGAATATGTTCCTAGGGGTTTTTGAGGTATCCGTCAGGTCCGTTTGCAGGTAGCGTACCTTTGGAAATGACATTGACAGGGCTGCATTAAGTGATGAGGATAGCCTCTCAATATCTGCTCTGGTGATCGCCTCAGAAGCACTATTCTCGGAATCGGGCCGCCTAGCTGCATCATTGCGGATGCACAATGAGATGCTGTGCACAGATGGGAACACATGGCCATGAAGCATTCGGCAAAGGTTTTCGATGTTGTTTACAAGAGCCTGGCTGGAAAAACCAATGTCTATCCGTACCGACGTCAGTAGACCGTGATGCCTTTTGGCAATGACATCTTCCAACTTGTACTGAAGCCATGTAGCAGGAATAGTCGGGCCAAGGCTTCTGCCTACAGCAACTTCTACTGACGCAAACGAACTCTTCTTCATATCAATGATCCTGCTCCACGTCTGGTTCATGGCTGGAATCTCTGAGTATATGCGTATCGGGCCAATATCAAACAGCTCCTGGCCAACGCGAAAGCACATCGTATCCACTATCTCGCCAATAATTTGGTCGATGATTGACTCTGGGATGTTGTCAAATGCAGAACGAAGCATAGCTGGGTGCAGTGGTGTTGATTTGAGGGTGAAAATGGACCAGCAGCTTCCACCGACCATGGCTCTAAGGTGTACTTCCTCCAAACTTTAACTCTATTGTGGGAATGGTACTGAGGGAGAAGCACAGCGTGGTAGCTGGCAGCAATATATAGAGCCTGTCTGGATTGCATACAAAAAGCCAGTTATGTAGTAGTCTACGATTGAATGAGGTTGGGCTTGACTTGCAGTATTGAAGCATATAAAAGGCTTTGTTACTATCTCAACTTGGAGTTGCACCAGATATTTGTATCGCTCACAGAGCAGCGGTCTGCTCAAGCTGTCGCGATACTCGTTGTATACATGCTTCTTGATCCAATCCTTATATCCGAGTCAGCGTTCTGCGTGAGTTTTTCATATCAACTGTAATCAGAGAGGGTAGCTTTGTAATAGCAATAGCCATATCTGTGACAATAGTCATCGACTTCGCAAAGTCAAGCCGTCTCAGACGAGTACTGAAGGCTGGGGGCTCAGACAGTAAGGCACCGATCTCCTTGCCTATTCCATTACGTGCAAATTGCTTGCCAGATGTGATACTTGCCACACCAAGACGAGTGGGTCCAGGGAAGTAGGATAGAATCTGGCCCAGTTGGCTGAGAGAAGGTGAACATCTACTAATATCCAGACAACGAAACTGCGGGTTTGAGTGACTGGAGCAGAACGATGAATGACAAGGAGCTACTCGGCCGACTCGTATCGACATGATGCTCGATATGCTCAGCATTGGGTGCAATCAAAAACGATAGTTATGATGCTTCAACTGCATCCCTGTCCTCTATTTGCTCAATTTCGAGGGTAGCTCCTCAAATGCGCGCACAAGCAAGGTTAGGGAGCAGGCAACCCCGAAGAGATTCGAACAGAGGACTAGTGAGATGAACCATAAGAGATACTAGCGTCTCATTGCGATCGCCGACAAAACTCCTAATGTCAAATGCACAGTATGTAAGGAGGGTGAGGCTGGCCATCGATGGAAATGTGTCAACCTGTTGTCTCTCAACCTTCCCTTCCATATCCATACTCGTAACAATAGATATCTTGGTGAGTTTCGGATACGTTTGGCCAAACAGTAGATCCAATTCCCCTATGGTATCCCTCGTAATTCTATCACTGAAGTGCGTTGTTGTTATGCGATGCACCAACCCTTCTACAATATCCTTGCTAGAATGAATCAGCGAATATTCAGAGTCGTAGTTGGCTTCATGGTACATACCCTGAACACCAGAACTGATACCTTTGCAAAGACGGACATATGATCAGGCGTTATCTCGGCAAATGACAGTCCTCAGAGTGGTGACAATGTTCCTCAGATTGTCTTCACCTATAGTCTCATGGTCGTTCCAGCTTCTTGAGTATGAGACAAACGAGCAATCGTGTGGGTTGGGAAGCAGCTGGCGGATACACCGAGTAAAACAATCGAGCCCTGCCGAATAGTCAGCATCGTCAAAGAGGTTGCTGCTGTAAAAATGAAGCACAAGTTCACTGACATTTGAGAATGTTGCAGCGAAAAGGGCACTGCCATTCAACAAGCAAGCGGTGGTGCCGTCGACAATATAGTTGAATGATAGATAGAAATGTGGGGAACAAACTGATAGGCCGTGTCCAGCAGTAGCTACCTGAGAGAGATCAGGATAGACGATTTCCGGCGATGCATGTCCTTGCGAAAGATAGGTTTGAGAAAAATCTAGGTGCTCTGGTAGAAATAATCCAAAGCAGCTGCCCTCCATGGATGGCAGACATGCACTCAAGCGTTTGTGGCTCCTATATCGACCTACGCTGTGGCCTGTGCTCTGTTGTCATTTTTTTGTAGAAACGCCCATGTATTTCTTCGCCGGATCACAGCAATGCCGATGCCAGTATCTCATGTCCATGCCAGTTGTTTTTGCAGTGCCACTCTTTGATGAATGAATGGATGTATACATGGAAAGATTCTCGATTATTCCCTTGTCAATACGTGTCCAAATCGATGCTGTGGCGACCTGAATTCTAGCTGAGAAGGGACCTGGGTAGAGGCCAGTTGGGTTCCAGAAATTCCTTGCTTCATGAATGTCCTGGGGCAGTGGCTTTGGACGAACAAATCCCTAAATTGGAATTCGTGGACTATCTGGGCATTAGTTCAATATTGTGCCTGGTGGGCTCACCACTGGGTTTTATTATATTGAATTCATTGTATAGCGCACAATACAAGGCAATGTTTTCCCTTGCTAGCAAGCCTGCTCGAGGGCCCCAAGGAGAATATCTGACACACATACTGAGGTATTTAGAAGCGCGCATGCCCCTTCCCAGCTGTTCTGCTCAACTTTTCAGTTTATACCAATACTATATATTTTCTAGTCGCATCTCGCCACATTCCGCTGAAATACATTTTCATACAAGATCTATTCATCCTGTTTACCAGCAAGGAAGGCTAGATAGCCACGCCCCCAGATTTCGCACACATTTTCACATCTCAGATGCCACACCCAAATATCAGCGATGCCATTGCACACGATAGTCTTCTGTTCAGTCGGGTGTCGCTTCATAACGAGCTGCCAAAAACAAAAAGCATATACAACGCGGTTCTGGATTATTACAGCCACACTGAATACAAACCAAGCCCAGCCCAGATCGAGCGCAACCGGTGGGTGTTTTTCGGGCTCCTGCGGTGTCAGCCTTGGATGGCTATTCCTGCTGGCATTCTGATCCAGTTCTGCTACGGTTCCGTCTACGCATGGTCGATTTTCAACGGCCCCATTAACCAAACCTTGGCAGACAATCCTGACAGAGGACGCGCAGAGGTAACGTTTTACATTGCGCTCGGTATATTGGGCGTCACAGGCGCGATATTCGGGCCCTGGATTGAATCGAGCCACCCCCAGAAATCGGGCATCATTGGCATGGTGATGTTTTTTGCCGGGCACATAACGACTGCATTGGCCATCCAAGTGAAAATGTTCTCCATGCTATACTTTGGATACGGCTTTATTGCTGGCATCGGACTCGGAATCGGATATGTATCGACCATCGATGCCGTCAGCAAATGGTGGCCAAAGGCGCGTGGCACGGCGGCTGGATGCGCTGTGATGGGGTTCGGTGGCGGGTCTCTTGCCTTCAGTTTCATCAACAAGCGGCTCATTGATTCATTCAGTCTTTCGTCGGCCTTCTTAATCCTTGGTGCGATTAATATCTCGGTCATGTTCGTCTGCATCCAATTCATCTGCCCGCCACCGCCTGGCCACAACATCGACGGTATCCCAGTCATTGAAACAAATAGCGATGTCCATCTCACGCTGGGCCGCTCAGCCAAGAACGATATTCCCGATGGATTGCTGACAGCAAAAGTTATAAGCCAGCAGCCACGGTACATGAATGTTCTTGGTAGCGAGCGCCCAACAATCCATATATCCTTGGGCGAGGCCCTAAAATCGCGTGATTTCTGGCTCCTGTACGTGGCATTTCTGGCCAACATCGTTTTCTGCCTAGTGATTCTGTCGAACCTGCCAGCGCTAATCAACCGCCTGTTTGGACGCGAAAGCAAAACGCCGCATGATCCGCCTCTGGAAGCACACATAGCCGTATCGATTGAGGGCGCCTTCAACATGACTGGCCGTATCTTGGTTGGCTTCATATCCGATTTTATCGGCCGCAAGACGACATTCCTCATTCTGCTCACTGTACAAATTGTCGCACTTGTGTGCATCCCAATCACCATCTCTGGCGACCACTTCTGGCTGTTCCTAATATTAATTTGGATCGCCACAATTTGCTACGGCGGCGGGTTTGGCATGATTCCAGCATTTCTGTCCGATATGTTTGGCTCCAGCAACACAAGCAGCTGCCACGGCGTGTTCCTGACTGCCTGGTCAATTGCGTCGGTTGGCGGCGGCCTGACATTCACAGGTATTGTCAACTACTACTTGTCGGAGGGCTACAAGCCGTACGATATAAGGCCGTACAACGTGAATTTCGCCTGGATGATGGCACTGGTAATAGCCGGGTTCATATGCTGCCTATTTGTGCGGTCGTCAATCCGGGACCGCCTATTCCCGGCATTACCTGACCAGATCCTGCGTATCCGTATCTTTGGCCGTGTGTTGCGTGTTTTGTGGGTGCGTGGCAACCACGTCGATGATACTTCATCAATAGCAGACTCAGTATCAATGAACCGTACAGTGCAGAGTACAATTCCTCTGAGGCATGGGTGGCGGCGTAAGCGTCTGCATATTGAGCTGCTGTCTAAGGAGCAGGAGAAGGTCGCGTGGGAGGAGTACCTGTTTTTGCGCGCGGTGCAGTACCAACTACTCAAGGAGCCAGACAATGTCATTCGATAACTTTTATCCCCATTCCATATATTCACTAGTTGCTAATTTATGTTTCTCTATGAATCAGTCTGCTTCCGACCTGTTCCATTTGTAGATCCATGTGTCTTACCCTCACGACTGACCAGCAGGAATGAAAGAAACTAAGAGTGAGGCTCATATAATGACATCTATTCCTCCAAAAGATGTTGCTGTACAGCTCTGTTGAGAACATTAAAGGCGTTTACTCATAATTCAACCTCTGAGCGCGCATCCAGAGTCTAGATACTTCACTTTTTGATTACTTTTATATACACCTAATATGCACCGTACGGAACAGCTGTTTGGATAAAACGCTAGCAGACAGGGGTCCTGCACTACACGTAGTTTACGCTGAGGACAATAGTCCAAGACTACACACTGGTTCGTAAAGCTGTTCTGAATGTGATTGTTAGATTTCCGACATGTATCTGTTGATTCAATCTGGTGTGTCTAGTTCGCCACTGATACCGCGCCTACATGTCGTATTGTTCATTTATTAGGATACCTGACGGTTCTGAAGTATCTTTGCATTAATTGAATATCCATGAATCCTCCTGAAGCAGGTTACTATTTCTGGGGATCAGACAGCTGACGGGCCGATATCCGTGCCGCTACAGAATCAGCTGTTACTGATGAGTATGCCAATACAGCCAGAAGCAGGCTGGAGCAATTCCACATATATATTCGAGCGCATGGTCAGTTGGAACAGTATACAGGCTATGGATAGAACCATTAGCGTCAATGGCCGGCAGCAGGTATGACAGCAAGGAATGTGGTGGTGGTGTTTCGAACAGGGGGCGTCGGCTCAGCATTCCGAGCCGCGATTGATGGGAGTTAGCCGAGATGAGCCACTTTTATGACGAGCCGTCTTTTGGATTCCGTCACAGATACATTTTTTCCTCTTGTTCCAATTATTTGACACGCATTTCTCGACACAATCGTACTGCAGCATGTGGGCTACAAAGAGACCCGGGCCACTAGCAACTGGTCCTCAGAAGAAACTTATACTCCAAGGGCTGAAAGCGATACCAGCGCTGCCAGTGGCATTCAAAGACGAGACATGGGTTCGACTACAGAGTGCAATACGCGCAATTCAGGCCAGCAAGCCTACAGCCCAAGGGTTTGAGGAGCTGTACCGGGACTGCGAGAATATGTGTCTGCACAAATTCGGCAGCGAGCTATACGCAAACCTGCAAGGTGAATGTCTCCTGTATGCGCGCACGCAATTGTCGGAAATCAACAAGGAGCAGGACGAGACAGAGAACGGCACAGTGCTGACGGCGACCCGGCAATTCTGGACGCAGTACACGCAGCAGCTGGCAGTCATACGGTGCGTGTTTCTGTATCTGGACCGCACGTACGTGCTACAGACGGCCAACACGCCGTCGCTGTGGGCTATGGGTCTGGCGGTGGTGCGGCAGTGCCTGGAGGACTCGGGGATGGCGGTGCGTCTGGCGCGTCTGATTGTGCAGGAGATTGCGCGTGAACGCGATGGCGCGACAGTTGACCGCGCGATGTTGCGTGTACTGACGCAGATGCTGGTCGACCTCAATTTGTACTCGCAGTACCTGGTGCCGAGGCTCATTGAGGCTACGCGCGAGCACTATGAGCGCGAGAGCCGCCGGATGGTTGGCAGACTGGTGCCCGTGCAGCCTGCAGGCGCACAGAACCAGATGGACGTACCGCTGTACCTGGATCATGTAAAGCGCCGGCTGACAGAGGAGACAGATCGCACAGCTCAGTACCTGAGCGCCAGTACCAAGAGCACGCTGCTGGCAACGGCCGTGGGCGAGCTGATCGAAAAACACACAGACCACCTGTTGGCCACAAGCTTTGACGATATGCTGGCGCAGGATTGCGTAGCCGATCTGGGCAACCTTTACACGCTGCTGGAGTCGGTGGCTCGGCTGGACATGCTCAAGCGACACTGGGCCGGGTACATCAAAAGGACAGGCATGGCGCTGGTGCAGCAGCCAGACTTGGACGTGGCTTTGGTCACCGAGCTGCTGGCGCTGAAGCAGCGCCTGGACAACGTGCTTGCGCAGTCATTTGCTGGCAGCGAGTCGCTGGCACATGCGCTGCGTGAGGCCTTCGAGGAGTTCATCAATGCGCGACGCAACAGGCCGACGCAGCTGATAGCCAAGTTTGTCGACCAGTGCATGCGTACCGGCAGCCGGATGGCGCCTGACCAGGCCCTGGATGCACTGCTAGACCGGGTCATGGTGCTGTTCCGGTTCATCCAGGGCAAGGACATGTTCGAGGCCTTCTACAAGCGTGACCTGGCCAAGCGTCTGTTGACAAACAAGAGCGCGTCGAAGGATGCCGAGCGCGCTATGCTGCAGCGGCTCAAGCAAGAGTGCGGTGCTGGGTTCACAAACAAGCTCGAGGGCATGTTCCGCGACATCGAGGCGTCGGAGGACTTGGCGGGCAAGTTTGCCGGCAGTGCATCGGCAGCAGGCATCGGCAGCATGTCGTTCCATGCCAGCATTCTGGCCCATGCATTCTGGCCCACCTACGAGCCCATGGATCTTGTCGTGCCCAAGGCTGCCGAGGAAGCGCAGAATGCGTTCACCGAGTTCTATGGCGAGACGCACCAGGGGCGCAACCTGCAATGGCAGCCGATGCTGGGCACATGTCTGCTCAAAGTTGAATTCGATGAGGGCCCCAAGGAGCTAGCGCTCTCGGTGGTGCAGGGCACAGTGCTGTGTCTGTTCGGCGAAGCCGACGAGCTGTCGTATACCGAGATCCAGCAGAACACCAGTCTGGACGATGCCACGCTGCAGCGCACACTGCAGTCGCTGGCCTGTGGCAAGACGCGTGTCCTCACCAAAGAGCCAAAGGGGAAGAACGTAGACAGCACAGACAGGTTTATCTTCAACAAGGCGTTTTCCAGTCCGCAGGCTCGCATCAAGATCAGCCAGATCCAGACCAAGGGAGCCGAGAAGGAGACCAAGGATACCGAGGAGAGGGTCCAGTTTGACCGCATGTACAAGGTCGACGCTGCGATCGTACGCATCATGAAGGCGCGCCGCACGCTGAGCTACACCGACCTGCTGACCGAGATCATGGCTCAGCTCAAGTTCAACGCATCGGCCACCGAGCTCAAGAAGCGCATCGACTCGCTGCTTGAGCGCGAGTTCCTGGAGCGTGACGACAACGACCAGTCGGTCTACAAGTATGTGGCATAAATGCCTAATATAATTAACCTCTTGTGCCTATCAATTCACAAAATGAAACAGCTAGTCGGTTGCCGGACGGCCCTGGGCGAAGATGTTGTGTACGGCTTCAGTGATCTCGGGCAGCGAAGACCCTGTTGCAGCAGGGTTGTCTTGCTCTAGCTCCTTGCCCTTGCCCGCGTCGTTGACGAGCGGTGTGGTTTCGGCAGTGTTGGGTGCCACTGACTCCTTGTCCTCGTCCCAGTCGAACGAGATCAGCTGCACTTCCTTCTTGCCATCGCCACCGCTGGCGCTGCTGCTAGGCTGCGGGGAGCTGCTATCTTGCCCCTCGACATCCTGGGACGCTGCCTTAACAAACACGGCCAGTCCGTGCTCCCTGCGCTTCTGCTCGACAACAGCGACGCGATGCCGCACAATGTAGAAGCTGGTCTCGGCACCCTTGAGAGCGTCGTTCAGGTCAATGGTCTCGCTCAGATCCTGCACGTACTTGAGAATATCCTCGGGCGACTCTAGATGATCCATGATGACATCGGCATGGCGCTGCAGCACAGCCAGGGCAACGAACAGAACGAAGCGGTCGGTCAGGTAGTCCGTCCACAGCACCTCCCACAGACGCAGCACATCCTCGAAGCTGAACTCGCGCTTGAACCAAATCAGTAGCCAGCGGTAGCAGCAGAACATGTTCTCCGCGTCGTACTTTGCCAGGTGTTTGTGCAGCGGCGGGTTGGCGATCTCCACCAGCCGCGATATCGTGGTGAGCTCGTCTTGCATGCCGCTCTGGTCGCGCAGAAAGTGCGGGCGCATGCGCTGCATAAAGTGGGTGAACGCCCAGAAGGTCGTCGGCTCGTCCTGGAATACCGAATAAATCGGCGCCAGCAGATCCGACATGCCCTGCACGTAGCCAAGCTCTGCCTCGTCGTAGTAGTGGAACGTCATCAGAATATCCTTCATCTGCTCCAGACTGGCGCTGGATCCAGGTAGACCGGTCTCGGCCAGATTCGACTCATCGTTGCCACCAAACGTCGAGTCCGTGGCGAACAGCGGCAGGGCACGGTCGGTGCGAAGGACATCCTTCTCGATACGGCTCTGCTGCTCGATATAGTCCTCGCCGTTCTTCAGCTGTGGGTCGCTCAGCCATTTGTCTTTCAGAATCCAGTATTGGTCAGCATTGGCCTTGTCGATGCTGGTGCGGTCCGCCTCGGTGCTCGACCAGGGGTGGATCTTCAGCAGGTACTTCCAGACCACAGGCCGGATATCCTCCTCGACGCCGCCCGCAAAAATTGCGCGCCGCACAGTATCCGGGTCGGCCACCAGTCGACGCTCGGGGTTCGACGGACCACCCTCAGTTGCCTCAAAGAAGCCAAACCACTGCTCCGCCGACAGCGCCGGCCTGGTGCGGATCGGCGCAGGAAGATTGGCGGTCTTGTCGGTGCTGACCACCTGGAAGCGGCCCAGGTCGCCCGACTCGGCCACCCATTCCTCCCAGATGCTGTGCGGTTGCACGTCTGTGCTGGCGCCACCCGCAGCCTTCTGCGACTCGCGTTGGCCATCCTCATGCTGCTGCTGGATTATATGCTGTGCTGCCCACTTTGCGAGATAGATTCGAGCGCCCTCGTACTCCTTGGCCAGGCTGCCGGCAGCGCTAGCTCTGTCTCCGCCCAGTGACGGCGGCATGTAAGGAAGCACCTGGCGCGCCACTGGCGTCTCGACCAGGGAAGTAGCGGCGTCACGCACAGTGCGGGTAATACGCGCGAACCGCTCCAGGATACCCCACTGCAGCTCCTTAACTTGGCCCATCAGCGGATCCATGTTTCCATGCAATACCGAGTCCAACACATCGGGCGTGCTACTGCCGCGCTCTTGCGACGCATCTCCGTGCGCTGCAGTCCGAGCTTCTGATGTCTGTCCTCCGTCGGCAGTAACATTACTGTCGGTAGACCGTCTGGGAAGCACGCCTGAGGCACTGGGCGACGTTGCCGTGCTGAGCGTCACATGTGGCGACTTGGACTGCCGCATGATGTACAGATTCGGGTCGCTTGGCGCCCGTGCGATATCGATGGCGTGTGCCAGCCATACCAGTAGCTCGTCGCCACCCCAGTGCCGCGTCATGCCAAGCAGCGTGCTAGCACTCTCGTCGTCATGGAACCAAAGCGGCGCCAGCGAGCTGCCGTCACGCAGATTAAGTATCACTGACCCGTACCACTGTGTCAGCGACGGCGGGTGGATCAAAAGCGAGGCAAGCTCGCCAACAGGCTTGCAAAAAGCGTAGCTGGAGATTGACGTCATCTGCGGCCCTTGGCTTAGTGGGCCAGTTGATACCAGCACAGCGCTGTCGTCGTCCGACATCATGCTCAGAGATACGGGCTTGACAGGGTCCTTGGCTGTGGGTGCAAAGTTCGGGCACAGCTCAACTTGCACGTAGCTCTCGCGGTCGTGCTCGCTCAGCAGGGCTTCAGGTGTCCATGCAATGTAGTACTGGCTGTCGGGTCCTTGTACGATGCAGACGAATCCAGACACGCGGTCTTTCTTGTGCGCTGACCGGTAGATATATACTTTGCTCTTGGCATACACGAGCTGTACGCTCGACACTTCGCCCACGATGCAGTAGTCCGAGAACTCGGACACCGTCAAGGTCTTGTCTTCGACTGGTCCTCCACCCATCGTTGGCCTGTTGTATCGGTATGTGAGTTTTTTTTAAATAATAAATATAACAACACCTGAATGTGAGGTGGAATGAGGTAAAGAAAAATGCTGGAGAGAGAAAAGTAGCGAAGAGGAGAGCGCGGTGGCCGCAACCGAGCTCAGAGAGGGCTTAAGAAGTTAATGCCAAGACTGAGTCTTGGCACATCTTGGTGACAAATCACGTGGGTTGCATATCCATGCATTGCCTAGGTCCAGGATTCGTTGAGCTCCATGCTCTCAACGAGACTCTTGAACAGTGAGTCCTGAGCCAGCAGGTTGGCCGGTGAATCGAACTCTGCTACCTTGCCTTGATCCATGACCAGGATCCGGTCGCTGTCCATGACAGTGTTAAGTCTGTGCGCAATGGTCAAGATCGTACACTCGGCAAACTCCTGGCGGATGATGCGCTGCACTGCGCGGTCAGTTGCCAAATCAACATTGGCTGTGGCCTCGTCCAGGATCAAGATCTTACGCTGCCACAACAGTGCACGGCACAGGCTGATGAGCTGGCGCTGGCCGACGCTAAAGTTCTTACCGCCGCTCTCGACCCATTTGTCCAGCCCAACGCCTGCAACCCACGGGCCGCTGTCCTCGTCCTTCTCCTCGTCGTAGGAGCTGGTGGGTGTGCTGATCATTTCCTCGATCTGCCCCTTGCGGATTGCGCTCCACACCTCGTCATCAGTGAACTCGTTCATCGGATCTAGGTTCTCGCGGATAGTGCCGACAAACAGCGAGGGGTCCTGCGGGATGATGCTGATTGCCGAGCGCAGGTCCTTAAGACCGATTTTCGAGATGTTGATGCCGTCGATGTAGATGGAACCCTGGGCGGGCTCGACTAGACGCAAAAGCGCGTGGGTCAGTGACGACTTGCCAGCACCAGTGCGGCCAACGATACCGATCTTCTCCTGCGGATGTACCCTGAGCGCGAGACCTTGCAAGACCAGATTGGTGTCGTCGCGATAGCGCATGCCGTAATCACGGAACTCGATAGTACCAGCAGCAGGCCAGTTGGGCGGTGGGCGTGAATCCGCGATGACGTCAGGTGCCTCGCGTGGTAAATCCGTGTAAATGAAATAACGAGCGAGATATGGCAAGACCCTGTAGATATTCAAATCTGCATTTACAAGCCACTTGAGCCCGTTCAAGAATTTTCTTGAAAGACTCAGCGTCAGGTCAATCTCAGCCAGCCCAATATTGCTTGCCGGATCCAACGACCTGCACATCTGGATAGCAAATACGATTACCTGCATTGCTGCTTCGCAAGTGGAGTCGACCTGGAAAACGACATAGTCGAACGATACCCTTGTGAAGTGTTTGAAGATGTGTTCGCTGGCAAAAGAAACGTGAAGCTCATCAACAAGGTGAGGGAGAGAGCCGGTGATGCGCAGTGTTTCACGTCCAGCGATGTATTCGTCCAATTGGGTGTCTGGGCTCACCGATCCCTGGTCTCCTCCAGATCTTCTCCATTGCCTTTCGGGCCGAGTTGACAGAGGTTTTTAGGTAGTATCTGGCCGCAATGTAGGGAACAACGACAAACAGTAGTACCGGCATACGGTCAGACAGCTGGACCATGGTCTTGATCGCATAGAAGACAACCTGCACAAATTCACTGAGGTCGAAAGGAAGACGGTAGCACGTCACGTAGCGACAATAGTAGAACAGCTCACGCAGCTTCTGGTTCGGCAGGCTCTCAATCAGGGGCAGCGGCATGTTTGTAACTCCATCAAGGACTTGTTTGCGGGTAGTTCTTGTAACCGTATCGCACCACAGCACTTTGCGGAGCCACTGCTTTGATTTTATGAGCTGAAGATTCATGACTCCGACAAAGGCGTTGATGACGACGTACTTTCTGATCGATGCCGCCATGGTTTCTGGGTTCCGATCCAGCATTGAGTCCATACGCAGGTTCTCAACCCGGTACACTGCATACGTACTGAGTGCCTGGATTGCAAGGGAGACCGATAGTGCCACAGGACCACTCAGCTTAAGATAGCGCCACAAATATGGCCATTCGAACTTGTCGACATTGCCGTCAGGCTTGTATGTAAAGTGCTCTGGTGCCGTATTCGCCTCAGAGCCGTCCGAGTCGGTGCCCACTAGCGTCGGTGATCTGGACGGGCTAAGGGCAGCTTTAGCTGGGTCCTGGCTGGCAGAAGCTACGTGCCCATCGTCAAGCGTGATGATCCTGTCAGCGAAGGGAACAACGTGTTCGGCATGCGTGACCAAGATGCGTGTCTTGCCTGCCAGCATACCGTTTCCAATCAGCACTCGATCAATCAACTGGCGCTCGACGTAGGCATCCACAGCAGCGAGCAGATCATCGAGAATGAATATGTCTGCGCGCGAATAAACAGCGCGAGCAAGCGCCAGCCGCACCTTCTGGCCACCAGACAGATTGATGCCCTTGTGGCCGATTTCAGACAGATCCTTGGCGGGGAATAGGCTAATGTCGTCGGCCAGTGCGCATGCCTCGATAACTCTCCAGTAAAAGTCCTCGTCAAAAGGCAGGCCGCACAGTATGTTCTCACGAAGTGTTGTGTTCATGATCCAGGGCTTCTGGCTGACATAGCCAATTCGCCCATACACACACCCCTGGCCGCCGGTCATTGGCATCTCACCGCAAATAGCAGACAACAGTGACGACTTGCCGCTACCAATGCGGCCTACGACCACAGCAAACTCGCCGCTCATGACCTGCAGTGTGGTAGGCTTGAGAGCAAATTTGTCGTTATCCCACTGGAACTGCGACTCGAGCAGGTCTACCGAGACTTTGCCGCTGGCTGGCGCATTCACGATGTACGCTGACTCGTCGTCCTTCAGAAGCTGTTCAATATGCTTGGTGTTCTCTTTCAGAGTCTTGATGAGTTGCGTTGCATACATACACGAAGCAACAAACCGCGTTAAGTTTCCTGATGTCGACATAACCAGCATCACATCAACGTATGTGAGAGTAGGCGATGAGCGCATATATGCTGTAACGGCGAGTGCAGCGGCAATCTCAGTTGTCGAGCTTCCGACGAGGTCAATGGAAAACCGCAACACACGCCAGAACATAGGCGGTATAAAGTCAGGCTCGTCTACCCACATAACAGTATCATCAAATGCGCGCTCCCAGCCGTAGAATTTGACCGTGCGGATATTGTCGATGAGAGCATAGTATCTTGTACGGAAGCTAGGCTGCTTTTTAGCCTCGCTGAGCTTTTTCAGGTGCTCAATCTTCGCAATCGTCAGATGTGAAACTCCAGAGTAGACCACCATTGCGATGACAGGAAGAACCGCCGCCCAGCCAATCTTTGAAGCAAGCATCCACATCTCGAAAACGCTGGCGAGTGCATTGCACACGATCTTTGCGATCTCTGATGCGCTACTGACAATATCGTAGGCACCGCTGTATCGAATAGTATCGAAGCCCTCGGCCAGCTGCACGCTTCCTTTACGCTCCAGGAACTTCTTGGTAAGGAAGGCGTTGATAACAATATCTGCGCTGCATATTGCCCGTCTCTCAGTGCTGTATACGTACGAGCTGAATATCGGGGTTAGTGCCAATGCAGCCCACAGCCCACACAGAATATACACGCGTGTATAGTCGGATTCCTGTATGTTGTGCGCAAATATTTTCGCCATGATAATGCTCTGCACATGCGGTACCTTTCCAAGGAAGACAGACGATATCAAAACAAACACCAAAGGTTTCCACACCAAAGGCAGAACTGCACGAAGCACAAAGAACCGCTTGTTCACATCGAATGTGATGTTGTCAATATCGTCCAGCATCTGCCTGTTGCTTTACCGGGTCCATGAATTCCTCGCGAGAGATCGACTGGTGCTTATATATGCGCATGAAATCCACCGCACTGAGGTTGAACGCTGCGCGAATATGACTGCGGAGAGCGCCCTTAACAGACGGCGCTAAGAGTGGACCCAGAAAAGGAACAGGTGGGCTAGAGCGCTGCCAGGTTTGGCCAAGGCCTAGCGTGTGTGTTGAAAAATACGCAGAGGCGAAGGAAGCGCACAAGGTGCGATAATGCGACGGCATTGGAGTCCATATTGTATGCGTATGTTTGATAAGCAAGCATCAGTGAGGCCAGCAGCGAAAGCGTCCCGCTGATCTGGCTGAAGTCGGTCGTGTCCAATAATTCGACACAAAAGAGAGTAGCCCAAGAAATATTGCTGGCCAAATATATTTCTGGGCTTTATGCCGAACCCTTCGTCCTGCGGAGGGGTCCACAATAGGCCTCCAATAAGGAGCACCGCGTCGATACTGGCACCCGTGTCCCTAGAGTGAGGAAGTTGAAGGGTGATTAGCTCTGTGCTGAATTGGCTATGCTGCTGCGTTGTCTTGTGGCCATGTGGACATGTGGCTACGTAGATACCTCTCCTAAACAACACAAAATATTGTGCTAGCTTCAACATAAAAACTGTTGGACCCTGCCAAGGCACTTACATATGACTCAGTGATATAGTCGAAATGGTGTGGTTCTTGGTAGTGTTTTTGAAGCACTGGATGTTTAGAGCTGTTTAGTAAAAACTACTTTAAATGGAGTGGAGACAGGCCATGAGATGAAGATGATCCTGCCCATCGCCTTTTAAAGTGTCTCAGTTCCAGGGGACTTGAAATCATCAACCGACCACAACCCTGCGGGTACCGCAGCACAAAAGCTGGCAAGGGAAAGAGAGGGGCAGGCTGCGGATGTACAATGGGATAGTCTCTCGGGCATGTGGTATCCGATTGCCTGATGCATTTACTACAATGAGCGAAGCTATGTGCCTGATATTTGGCGCATGATTTTTGCACTTTGACAGGATGCAACCGCAGCAATCCGCCACAATGGACACCTGCGCAGACCTGCGCAGACTTGCGTTTCCGGATATAAGCCCCGTTAGGCTATTCTCCGCTACCATTCTATGTCATGCCTGCACCCAAAACATGCTGCATATGGCTCTCATTATTGGGTGTGTATGCGTGAGGCATTCTTGCAGGGGTGAGAGAAAGGCATCCCCGAGCCATCTCCTTTTTCACACTCGGCCTGTTTTCATTTCACCGACGGTTTTACCTATTCTGCACACGCACAAGACACTGGAAATGACAGACATGCAGGAAGCTGAGAGCTGCGGTCAAGAGCAGAGTGGGCGGGATAGATGGCGCAGTGGACGCGGTGGTTGATCGATTTGCGGATTATATTCGGCTTGCTGCTGCAGGTGGTGCAGCAGAGATGCCAGCTGGCGTCATATTGAGCGGCATTCCTGGCTGCGGCAAGAGCAAGCTGGCGCAAGAGTTTGCCAGGGGCACGGGCTGGCATACCTCACCGTGCATTGCCCTGATTTGTTTTCGGCAGATCACGGCAGGAGCGAATCGAATCTGCTGACTGCCTTTGCTGCACCGGCTGGTGCCAAGAGCGAGCAGCCGCGGGTCCTGATTCTGGAGGAGATTGATGTGCTGGGCGGGTCGGCGAAGCCCGAGTCAGTTGAGGCGCGCATGCTGTCGCTTGCTGCTCAGCCTGCTCTCCAGCTCTGGTGTTTTTGTTGTCGGCACGACGACCAGGCTGCAGGCAATTCCACCCGAGGTTCGTCGTCCTGGCCGGCTGCACACAATCGTGGAGGTCCATCTGGCTGACACGGGGGCGCGCGCCAAGGCGCTTGGAATTATTCTGGAAAATTTCGAGACAATTGCGCCCGGTGACATCCAGGCAATTGCCAGAAGGTCGCATGGATTCACGGCGGCCGACCTGCAGAGCCTGTGCCTGCGCACCTTCATGGAGTGCAAGGGGAGCGCAACACCGAGTGACTTTCTCAGGCACGCTGAGGACGTCCGGCCGTCGAATCTGAACAGCTTCCAGTCCAAGATTCCGCGGGTCCATTTTTCTGACATTTTTGGCCTTGACGACAAGGTCGAGAGGATTCGGTCGCTTGTTGTCGACCCGCTGTTGCATCGCGGACAAGTACCGCACAATGCAGGTGGATCCGCCACGCGGGATTCTGATCCACGGGCCGCCGGGAACGGGGAAGTCGATGATGTGCTGTGCGCTGGCGGGCGAGCTCGCTGTCAACACGATCTGGGTAGATGCGTCGCAGATGCGGTCAATGGATCGTTGGCGAGTCGGAGAAGGCGATTGCCGAGCTGTTTGCGCAGGCCCGCCAGAGCGCGCCGTGCATTCTGCTATTCGACCATGTAGGTACCACCTGGGCTCGGCAAACATCAATGCAGTGGAAATTTCCTCCTCAACCGAATCTCGCCTATTTCATATGATTGTCTGTTGCCCTGTAGATTGACGCGCTCGCGCCAAGGCGAGGAACCAGCAAGACGTCAGAAAACACGAGTGACCGGATTGTGACAAGCCTGCTGATTGGTAGGTAAATTTGTATTTGATGTTTGCAGCTTCAGGGGCCGTTGCGATGCGCTTTTTGCCCCCTTGCTGCAGAGCCGTGCTGTATCATTTCACCCTTGTTCCATGGGGTCGACGTGGGCGCGATTTGCCAGCACACCTCGTGCACACGCATTTTTAGCTGTGGTGGGATATGTGCTGCCGATGGATGACATGGCAGCACAAGTTGCATACAAATTAATCGAATTCTGCAGTGGAACCTCCACACCTTTCTTATGCAGACGACAATGCTCGCCAGGCGTAGGGGGCCTGCGAGGAGCTGCCCAGCCATCGTCGAAACGCCAATACGCGTTTGCCTGCTGCTGTATCTGTAACAATGTTTCCAATGTGTATGACCTGGTTCTAATTTCATCAGGCTGCATTTTGTAGAGATGGACGGGTTCGGGGCTGCCGGCTCGGATGTGTTCGTGGTTGCAGGTATGTTTACGCGCGGGCTTCTTTGTCACCGCATGTGTCAGCTGCTGCTGTTGCTGCTTGCTGTTGCTGCCGCTTGGCTGGCCCACTGCTGAATGGCTTGCTTTTTCTTCGTGTAGTCACCAGCCGCCCACATGTGGTAGATCCGGCGCTGTTGCGGCCGGGACGTCTGGATGTGCACATCGGCCTGGATGTTCCTGATAACAAGGCAAGTGTGGAGGGGATTTCTCCATTTGTTATTGTTTCTGCTAATTTCGTTGGTGGACATTCCGCATTTATTTTGGTCTCCGCATCGTTGAGGGCGATTATCACTCCACCATTTTTCTCCGCACCCGCAACTTTCCCGGGTCAGCTGTGGGCGCACGGGGGCTTGTTTGCAATCGATAGGATAGATAGAGGGTGTTCCACGCCTTTCTCCTGGCTGCTGAGCACGAAACATGCGGATTCCTGGACGCCTACTCTTTGCAGAGTTCTCCGCGGGACTTTTCTGTGAGACAAGCTCTTGGCATCAACAACAGCACTGTGAGCTTTTGGGAATACTGCTCCCTGCCGCATTGACGGGTCGCCTCTCTCCTGCCTCTCCCGCATATGCAGCAGGTCCTTGTGCTTTGGCTATTGGCCAAGATGTTGATCATCGCGCTGGATTCACTGGCGCTCGCAAACTGTGTCCAGACCCGGGCTGCGGCCAGCATGTGAGACAAGGTTCAGCCCAGTGATTTGCTTCTTTTTTTTTTCGACTCAGGGCAAGGACGGTTGTCAACACCGATCTCCATCGGTCAGCCCGCCGCGCTAAAAAGGATGCTCTATGGATAACTATTGGGTAACGGTTTCATTCGCCATATGTTTTGCAGTCGCACCTTACTGGGGCGGCGCCCCGTGACCAGAAACAGCGCCCATCCTGCACAAATGCAGGTCCCTCAGACGTGACAGGCGTTTGGCTTGTCCAACAGCATGCAGTGAGGCCGTGCTTGATCGGCACAAATGAAAGTCGGCCATGGCACCTTGTATAGAAGCACCGCCGGCCAAATGGCAGAGGCCGGAATCTCAGCCATCTGAGCACATGAAAGCAGCTAAGCACTCGGATAGTCTCTTGTGTAGCAAGCGGAAGGCGAATTCTCGACGGGTACCTGAACAAGATGCCCGCGGCAGCATCACATGTCCGGCACAGCGGTGGTAGATGAAATCGTCGCCCGCACGGGGGGCTGGTCAGGTAGGTTCTAGCAGCAGGCTCATGGAAACGGCAGGGCCAGGTGTGCTGTGCTGTCTCCTTGTGACTAACAATCCTTTGCGCCAAAAGCGGGCCGTGCCACAGGGCACATGCACATGGGAGTGGTTCCTCCAGCAAGCATCGCATGCGATCCGCATATCCCGCATTTCAGATCTGTTTCCGGAAGTCACTTGCTCCGGGCAGGTTTTTGTTGGGTTCTTGATTTTGGAGTCTGAGCAGCCAAATGCCGGGTGGTATGGTGTGTGCTCCTTACCATCAGCATGTAGTATGCCCGCTTTGCGAGCAGGTGGTCTACGAGATCCTCTTGCCCCAATACAGCCGGCGATTTCTACGCCAAGCAGCGCCCTTGCTGCTTATGTCACAACATGTATTTTTTTTGGGTGGGAACAATTTTTTTAGCCCGGGTGCAAAGAGGCAAGCCAGCAACGAGAATCAGCACCCCAGAGCGACACAGCCAGCCCACGCTCGCAGTCCTGCGGCGCAGAACTGCAGCAGCGCTATTGTGAAAACGGTCTCGCTGTCCCCCAGCTCCTTTTTGTTTTCCAAGACGTCGATCTAATGGAGATGCATGTTGTGTAGGCGCCGATTTGGCAAACCTGTGCCGCGAGGCGGCATTGAGCGCGCTGCGGCGAGATATTGAATCAGCAAAGGCAAGTAAATTGTCGGAAATATGCGGCAGCTCCATTTTATAGGTGGCCATGGGCTGCGCTAACAACAAGCGACGCCTTATTCATATTGTAGGTCACCAAGGCGGACCTACTGCAGTGCCTCAACTGAGCGGGGGGTTGAGACTCTTTCTGGCGGCAGTGGCACCACCGAATTGCCTGCATGGCGGCGACGGTGGCGGCTACTGCTGATGGTCTCTGGCGTTCCATCTATACGGCGGTAGAGCCGTGGAAACGGCAGCATTTGGGGGTGTGGTTGTGCCGATGCCGAGTGCAGAATAAAATATTGCGACAGGCTTGTTCGCTGAGCCTCCCCTTGGGTATTGTCTGCGGCAAATGCAAGTGCTTGTTACCTACAGGTGCCAGTTGCGGCAGCCGCCCGCCTCGCTCTCGGCGATAGACAGTTCTTCCAGACCCTGAGACAATACAGCATATTCCGGGACACTGCGCAGGCCAATGCACACTTCAGAGTGGATTTCAGTGGGAGTAGTATTGGATGTAAAATTACAGAGCGGAAAACTAGTGGAGGGGGCCTATTTATGTGTGGTTTTGCTTTTGTTGGTGTCTGGGGAGGCAAGGGAGTCCCGTCTGCTTTAAGCGCCAGCGCGAACCATCGAGGTGGACTTTGCGCGCTTCCAGATATCCTTGGACAGTGCGCGGCAGTGGCAGTGCTTGCGCCAGCATAGCGTGCAATACGTCGAATCGTTTGTGTTGTAGACGTCGTTGAGCTGCATCTCGTTGCGAGTGTAGTTCACCATCTCGTTGCGCATCTCGGCGCGGCTCTCCCTCGTCATCAGCTCCCAGGGATCCACCACGCGGCGGTCGTACTCCTCGGCCGAGTATGTATGCGAGACCTCGGGGGTGCTCGAGTTGAAGTGCACACGTTTGCGGGGCTTCGTCGGCGACAGCGGCGGCGACGGGTAGGCGCTGGCACCCTTACTCGAGCCCTCCACCACGCCGTCGTCGCTGGTGCGCCGCTTCTCGGACGAGTACGACTTGCTGTTCTGATTTGTGTTGTCGCTCGCGTACAAAGGCAGCGAGTAGAACTTCCGCAGGCGCCCGTCGTCCGAGGGGGCCGGCGAGTGCGAGCGCGCTGAGGACTTGTGCTTGCGGAACCCGTTGTACAGCCGCTTGATGCCCTTGAACGGATTCAGGTGTGTGCTGGACCCTGTGTCGCTCGACCGGCCGTCGTCCCGCGAGGCCTCGCGGGCCAGCGCCAGGCTGGTCTGACGCAATGCTCCCCGCTGCCCGTCCGGCAGACGGTACATGTTGAGGTTGAGTTGGTTGAATGTCTGGCCAAGAGGTCGTGAATACGCCATCATATTGAGGTAATAGTAACAGCGATATAGGGTTTGGCTCTTAAGCTCTACGTAAGAAAAAGTCTGGTGGCTGTGGCAGCAGTGGGTGGGTGGTAAAAAGATTTGTCAGTAAAGAGATTTGGAGACTTGTTGCAAGGCTGGTCTGCGACGGGGTCTTTTATAATCCTGCTCGCAGCTGCCAAGTTTTTTTGCGCTCCACAAAGAGTGCAAGCCGCCGAGCCAAATCTGTTTTCGCTTGCCCACACCCCATCGCCCGGGTAATCAGGGCGGGTGGATTTGCACCCCCCATGTGTGACCCGCCAAGGTCAACCCAGTGACACCAGCCTTTTTCCTGATCGCGAGTGAACTGCCCGCCTTTATTTCGCTGGCTAATATTTTGCATTGTCGCACCATGATTTGTCCAGAAATACCAGAGAATTTTTTCCGTTTAGTCAGCACTTTTTTTTTTTTTCCTGCTCGGGTACGTGCTCGCGCAACAAGATAGAAGCCCTCCCCTAGAATATGAAGTGTGTGTTGCAGCGCGACTCCTCGTGCACAGCCATCTCGTAGACCTTGAACTCGTTGAGCTCCTGCTTGATGAGCTGGACGAGCTCCGTGTCGAGCTTGATTGCAGGCACTCCGCGCCGGTCGTAGTCTTCGGAATCCCAGGTCTCGTACACAGCGACCAGCTCGTTGAACCGGAAGGCCTTGCGCGGCGACTGCGAGCTGCTGCTGTTGCTTGTGCTGGACAGGGACATGGACCGCTGGTGTGCGATCTTGCGCTGCAGCTGACGCAGACCGGCGAGCTTCTTGCCCTTGGCAAACGCGCTCCTGAGCTTCCGTGTGGTCGACGACAGCGAGTGTGACGACGACGAGTCATGGCGCCCATCGCTGGCATTGGCTGGACTGCCCGCCTGGCGGGATAGCGCGATTCCGCCGGATTCCTGGCGAGGAAACTTCCGGAACTGCATGCATCGCGTGTCTTGATGCAGCATGCAAGCCGGAGTGATGGCCAGATCCAGAACCTGCGTCTGAGCTCGGCTCACGCGCATGCGCACGTAGCCGCTGCTCGGCTGCGGACGCGGACTGTGGCCTGACGCTGCTTACAAAATCGCGATCGCCAGGCCGCTGGGTCCTGTAGGTTTGCAATTGGGGAGGACAGGCTACCCAACGCGTCGTGTCCACCGCCAGCACCGCCTAAAATAGACGCGCCCTCGTGCTGCGCGTCACTGCTGTGACCGGGGCAGGCTCGCGCGGGCGATCCCAAGCCCAACAAATCGCCTCCCCGGCTGCTGCAGTTGCTGAAGGATTGGGAAAGCTCCAGCGACACACTCGAGTCCTTGTGGACGGTCGTTGATCCGCCCGCTGCGGTTGAGCTTCCCACGGACCCGTGCTCCTCGCAGTCGTCTGCAAAGGTCGTCAGCGAGTCGCCATTGCTGCTGCCATCAGACTCCGGATGATCTTGTCGGGCAGAAGCATCTCTCGTCCCTGCATCAGCCGATGCAGCAAACGGTACACCGACCAGCAGGCGCCGGAAGGCAGTGTCTTCCGGCTGTGGCGATATGCTGGAGGTTGCGGTATTTTTAGCCCCAGTGGGTTCCACTGAGCCAAAATCCAGCTCACTGCCCCATTCTGCCACCACTCTAGCCTTCCCCGATCCGCCAGAATAGTTGGCCGCAACAGGTGAGCGGCCGCTAGTTTGTGCGACTCCATCACAGCCTGAGTCTATACGGGCAAGATCCCGGATAGTGCCGTGGAGACTGCGTTTTTGGAATCACAGCCCTGGCAGTGTGTCTGAAACTGTCGGTACTGCCATCTGCACCGGTTGCACGATCCATGTAGCTCATCAAATCCGCATCTGGCGTGATCCCCTGGTGAGGCGGACAGGCCACCAGTGACTCGAGAACGGCCTGTTGATACTTGGAGGAGCGTCCCGTGTCGCATGTAGCCAAGCACGGCATGCTGATGCCAAGGTCTGTGGCATCCAGAGCCAACAGCTGCGCCTGGCCTGCTTCTGCTGGGGAGCCACTTGCACTCGCCATTGAGGGCTGGCCTACTGGCGGGGATTCTGCCGCCGCCCCACCGCTGCCGCCACCTCATCTGATGAGGACATTGTAGAGCCGCTCTCTCGCAGCGACTGCTTGCTGGGCTTGATGACCAGCTGACCGTCATTGGCACGAACAATCGTGCTGAGCCGCGGGGCGTACCGCTCGCTACACACATAAGCTGGGCCGACCAGCAGCAGTGCCTCGGGCAGGGACGATGCCGGCCCGCTGTCGCTGATGCTGGTACCCACCGAACACACATCGCTGGCCATGGTGCTGGTCCGTGCCCGGCACCCCTGCTGCCCAACTTCCCTCACTCTCCCATCCTCCTCCTTGTCCTTGGTTTTGTCCTGCGACCAAAGCACCTCGTTGACTGCCGATAGAAGCGGAAGATCGGCGCTCGTATATTGCGTAACGCCGTCGCTGCCTTGCTCAAAACCACCCAGACTTGGAATACTGCTGACGCTGGCATACCGGCTATCCTCATCCAGCTCACGATACAGCGACACAGCGATGCTTTCACACGACGCAAAAGCGTCAGACATCGTTGTGACATCTGTACCAGCGCATGACGGATTGCGCACCACCAATGGCTCATCGGCGGTGGTGGCGGCAGCGGTGGCAGCGGTGGCAGTGGGCAGCAGCCGGAGTGGTGTCATCGTTCTGTACTGTGTGGTACATTGCGTAGATCAGTGACCGCTTGCGCCATGGGACCCGCGACTTGGCCTCCATCCGGGGCAAAAGCCGCGAATCCAAGCGCGTCGGGCTCACCACTACAAAGTCACTGTCACCATTGCTTGGCTGCTGCATGATTCCATCCAGTTGCAAAATCGTCCCCGTGCCGCTGCCCGCACCCAGTGGTGCTCCATTCGCCGCCAATGGCGTCGGCGATGTGTACCGAGCCGGTACCCGCCGAATCATCGAGTCCTTTCGTGTCTGGAACGTCCGTGTCGACGGTAGCAACTGCTCAGGCGGTATCATGGCCAGCGAGTGCTCCGCATCTGGGACTATCGTCTGTGATGCATCGCCCGCAATTGGCAGACTGGCTATGACCGGCATGCTCCGGCGGGCACGCTGTTTGTGTGCATCTTTAATCAGCTGTGCGTCGCCAACACCTATTGGCACTGCACTGCTGCTGTAAACCTCGGTGCCACTGCATGACTGCCTGTTTGACGGCACCACTGCCGGTCCTGCTGGCCTGCGCTTGCTGCCTGACCCGGTTGATTTGCGCGCCGACAGCCATTTCTTCAGCACACCACCACTCTGCAGCCCGCTTTTACGCCCACCACCCCGCACGTCATCACCCCCGCTTACAAATGACAGGAACACCATCCGCTGCTATTGGTCTTGACGCTCAAAAACGCACACCTGGAGACTATTCGTTCCTATAGCTAATAACGCAATTCTAGATTGCTGCAGCACATTCAGTCCTTTGTCACTCTGAGTAACATCAACCTCATCACCCCCATCTGCACTCCCTCCATGTCACAAGCTTGGATGTGTCAAGATCTAAGCCCGAGACTGACCCGAACCTACACCGCAGTCTTGTATGACTGAGATATGCAATCGGAGGACCCAATTTGTCAGGTTGCACGCTTGCTACGAGACGACTCACCAATAGAAATTGCAATACCTCAATGGGCTGTCGATGATATGAAAATAATTACAAATATGCACCAATATGAAAACGCTAGACATGCAGAATGCCAAGATGAAAGATGAAAAAACTGGATAAAGCTTTCTTGTGCAAATGAAAAGTGGATTGGAGAGGGAAATGCGCAAGGAGGGGTGAGGCCAGTGAAAAGAAAAAGCTGCTGCGAATGACTGCGCTGTTTACGTTTGTTTTCTTTAGCTCGAAGCCGTAGCAAGCATGAGCACCAAGCTAGACAGCTTCCCATGCTCGTGGCCAGCCAAGGAACTTCTCCCCTCCTCCTACCTCCCGCAAATGTATTTCCAAAGAATTACTTTGGTCCTAAATATATTATCGACCTTTCCTGAGCAACGAGGTGGGGTCAGCCATTCATTCTCATTCATTTCCCCTCCTCCGCCTTTTGGTCGGAAAATGTGGAGATGTTTGTGTAGGCGGCGAGAGGGGAGGGGCCAGGACGTAGGCGGCTGTGTTTATTTCAAAGACGACGATGTCATTGAACAAAAATACAGAACCCACACAATCAACGACAATGAATGCGCAATATGACATCGAATCAACAGCTGACAGGCAGTAACTGATTCTGCGAATTGCCGTGCAGTCAGCAATTGGTAACTGTGCAAAAGAGGGGAGCTCTGCACACACCAATTGGATTCCAGGATGCAGGCTGCCTTTCTATTGAAACCCGCCCTCTCAATCTCGACTTTCGCAGCCTTTGGAAATAGCCGCACAAAATCGGCTGCCATCTATCGCTGAATAGAGCAGAATGGAGGATGAGAAAAATAGATCTGTTTCCCCGTCATCCGAAAAATGCAGTAGTATGAAACGTTGGTTTGACTGTATTTTGCTGTGGAGCTACTGCATATACCGGGCAATCAACCCAGCAGCAATACAATAGTACTGCGCTCCACAGAACATGATGCGTGGTGGATTCTGCAGTTGACCAGCCATTTGAATTGGCAAGCTGAGAGAAAAAACGATGTTTCTACATCCAAGAAGCCGCTCTCCTCATGGCTCAAATACTGAAGCATGTGGAGAGTGAGCTGGATGTCTTTGCTCCAGAAGAGGCTTATAATTACCACCAAACAGTTGAGTGCTGGCTCCTGGATGGCGATAGCAACCCTATCCAGTTTGCATTTACGCTGGACTGTGTTCGCCTCCCCACAAATGTAGCTACAGTTAACAAACCAGTTTTTAGCACTAGATTCATTTATAGCATGGTATATGTTCCAGAGCAAGCTTCAGCGCCAAACGAGCCTATCGCTGGTGGCTGTGTCAATGAAAAACGCATTATTATAAACACCAGCCGCTATCTCCATCCATCATCCGAGTTCGCTATTACATTGTTTCGATTACCAACCTGCAACAGCTTTGTTTCAATGGCCTCTTTTTTCGATAGCACGGCATTTCTACTTACCACGCCTGATCTGTCAATCGGCGTTGTAGAGGGCGGCAAGCTGTACACTAACATCACAGAGATCCCTTCTCGCTCCAAGGCCCGTGTGCGGAACAAATCGTTGTCCCGCATCCGCCGCATCCATGAAGAGACCCCTGCCAATGAGCCGCTTGTGGTCTCGCTCAAGAAGAAGTTCAAGGTGGTATATACCAAAAAACGTCCTATTGTCACCTCAAGGTTTGCTGCCATGAGCCGTCGCATCTCAAGAACATTCGACGACTTCTTTGTCGGTAAAGAAAGGCGCTGACACAGGGCCTATTGGCTCAAACCATTGATAATAGTAGACCCCGGTTGTACCTAAAAAAAACCTTAATAAAATGCTCATTAATAGATAGTATACTACAGTCGATATCTGGACAGTTAAGATAGGTCGCGCAACAAGTAGCGCTTGCTAATGCCTGCTTTACTGGTGTGGCTGATATGAGATGGATTATTTCACATATCATTCGCCACGCATACGCCTGGTCAAGCATGGTACATACCAGTCCGTTATCCTTCGCACTGTCGTTTGCTTTGTTTCTATTTCATCTTCCATATTGTATCTGCAATGTTTCGAAAGGCGCTGGTAAGGATTAGAAGGAATTGCTCCACAGATATCTACAGGATACACTAACATCTGCACTGAGGTAGTCTATTGTATACTTTTTCATACTCACATTCTTCGGCCAGACACTGGGCCAAAAGCTGGATGTTGAGCCGGGGCGGACATACCAGGGCAATGAAACACAGCCTTACTTGGCTATTATGGACAAGTATATGAGGCAAGTATCGGTAGTGCCAGCAACATCGCTCTGGAACGGGACTCTAGCTAAAGCCTCTGCATGTAGTTTCGCTGAAGCATCTTACTATTTCCTGCGCCATGGAGATGGCTTCTCGTGTGGAGCGGCTTGCAACTTCTCTGCGATTCCACGACACAATGTTGAATACGACATGGCACAGTCCAAACCCGGTCTCAGACGGCTATCTGGCAGTTAACCCAAAGGAAAAGGAAATCTATGTGGTCTGGACTGGTACCCGTCGCATTCGGTCAGTCCTGGTCGACTTCGCATTTGTATTCGAGGACTTCCCCACGGACATTCCAGGGTCGGCTGTCCATGCTGGATTCCTCGAATCAACCAACGCAGTGTACCCGTATATCGTGAAGAATATCAACTCTCTTGCTGAAGACTATCCCGACTACACCATCGCGTTTATTGGGCATTCTCTAGGAGGAGGTAAAGTAGTAAAGCTGTGCAGGCGCATTCATCATTCGCATCGATGCTGTACAGCTAAATAGTAAACCTCTGTAGCAAGCGCAGCTCTCTCGGCGCTCCAGTACGCCAAAGACACCTTATTCAACAAGGACCGCATCCAGGTGTGGACATTTGGCGAGCCTCGTGTTGGAAACAAGCGGTTTGCAGAGTACTACACCGAGTTGCTGGGTAACCAGACGTACAGAGTCACATTCCAGGCCGACGTTGTGCCGCATGTGCCGCCATGGCAGTTCCTTGGGTACCAGCACCACCCGCTGGAAATCCACATCATCAATCCAGAGGGCGACTTTTACGTGTGCCAAAACACTGTTCGTGAGGATCTGGACGGTGCATACAGGTGGCCGACAGTTGATACCAGCTTCTCGGACCATATCAGCTACTTTGGCAAGCCGGATATTGTCAATTTCGACCCTCTGGTCCGCTGGTAAATGAGTGTTTACATTAAATCCGAAAACGGTATGGAAAAAGGTTGTAAATGTGTGCTCAGAACTCGATCAGCGGTGCCTCCTCTGGTGCACTGGCCGCAGCTACTGGCGGTGCCGACGCCTCGGGCAGCGCAGGGGCGGCGCTGGCTTTGGGCGCATGGGTTGATGTTGGCTGCAGCACCGGGAAGTCGGGAACATGCATCGCGGGCGGAACATAGTGCGGGTTAACTGGTGGCGACTGGGGCTGAGAGCTGCCATATGATGCAGGCATTGGTGGAGCCTGAGCATGGATCTCGGTAGATAGCATACGGCTGGGATGTCGGGGTAGGGTAGACTGGTGCCTGAGGTTGGCAGTTGGAGCTGCTGCTGGCTTGCTGAGGCGGGGGTAGTGCATAACCTTCGCTATAAGTGGGCTGAGGACCAAGCGGAGACTGGGCATGCTGGGGATTTTGTTGCGGTGGCAGCTGTTGCTGTTGCTGTGGCGGTGGCTGCGTGTACTGGACAGGTACAGGTCCTTGAGGGCTCTGGGGAAGGTAGTCTGGGTGCTGGGGCTGGGAAGGAGTCGGGTGCTGCTGCTGCTGAGGCAACGGCAAGTACGCGGGCTGGGCAGAAGGAGGCTGGTAGAATGACTGGTGTGATGCTGGCAGCGGCGACTGGGGGGGAATTGTCGGATACATCGATGTAGGAGCGGGCGTGTGTGGAGCAATGCCTAGAGGCGCTATGCCAGTAGAGAGGAACGAGCTCGAGCGCAGCCGCTTGTCCAGTAGCTGGTCGTAGATACGGATCGCAGTGAGGATACGGTCATGGAGCTTAATAAGCTCCCTTGTGTCTCTGGTCAACGTGGTCAACCGCATCAGTGATCTTGGGATGAAGTTGCTCAATGCTCTCGTGCAGGTACTGGATCTGAGGGTCATGGCGAATATCCTGGCCACTGTCGCGGATGCGAGTCAACAGGGACTCGAACAGCTGTACGTTCTCGCGCTCGTCGGATGTCAGCGGCTCTTCGTCATCGTTGTCCTCTTCCTGCACATGGGGCATGAAGTCCAAGCTGTGGTGGGTCTCAGCGTAGACAGGTGCTGGCTGCACTGGTGCGCTGAGATAGTCGGGTCCAGCAGTGCTGCTCTTGATATCCTGAAGAGAGGCTTCAATAGGCTGCACGCAGATCAGGATCATCCTCATCGTCCATGTCGTCGCCGTGCTCACTGGTCAGCGGATAAGGCTCGCTGCTCGACAGCGCCGGGTATGTGATCTGTGACGTGTAGGCGGGTGTTGAAGCAGTACCAGCAGCCGTGGTAGCAGCAGCAGTCGTGGTAGCAGCAGCAGCAGGCAGCAGCAGCCGTGGTTGTGGTGGGCCGCATGAAATCTGCATAATTGGGCCGCTGCTGAGCCTCCTTGAGCGAAAGCTCGATGGCAAGCTTGAGATCTTCGTCCTCATCGTTGACGTCAGGCGTCCCAGCCGGCGCAGAGCTCGCCGGGATGCTGGTCTTTCTGTCCATCTGGCTCCAGTCAGTCGTATCCTTGGCATCGTTGGACAAGGGCTGATCGTCGGCGGCAGGCACAATCTTCTTCAAGCGCAGATAGCAGCCATGGCACACGCGTACCGGCTCGTAGATGGCAAACTTGGGGATTGGCGTGCTGTTTGACGAGCAGTCCTGGCAGAAGCACTTGCCGCAGTGGCGGCAGTGGTGCTTGCGGTTGGTGAATGAAAAGGCAGTGCGGCACCGCTGGCACACCGAGCTGTCCTCCCACTCGGGCGCACTGGCTGTGTCTCCCATGGCCGTCGACGCAGCAGCATCGATTTTGGGCATTGTGTACCCCATCCGCTTCAACCGCTCGCACACTCCAGCGACATAGCCCATCTCGTTGTTGTCCTTTAGCACCACGGCCCACTCTTGGATCACGGTCAAAATAAGCTGCCGCAGCTCGTAGTCACGTCCGCTCTATACAAACAAGAAACTGATTAGCATTGTTTCGCAGGGATAGTACGGAGTGGAGAATGTGCCACGCTTACCTTGGAGTCCAGGAGCCCCACGATGGTGTCAATGAACTCTCGGCTAGATATCTCGAGCTGGACCAGGCTGCCTCCGTTCTTGACACATATGTCCGTCAGCTTGAGGTTCAGAATGAGCACATTGGGGTTCTGCACCTCGAAGCGCTTACGTAGAATACGAGCCACCTCCTTGGCGCTGTACTCTTTGGAGCGGACCTTGTCGGCAAAGTTTAGTGCGCTGGAAATTTCGAGCTCGTGGTTCGGTACGTCCTCGGAAGTCAACGTGTCTATGCAAATGGGGTTGTTAGAGAGGTGCAGTCTGCAAATCTACGTGCTACAGCCGGGTCGGATACGTACTGACTTCCTCCTCTATCGGGTTCCCGTAAAAGAATCGCGCAACCATTGGCGTGTACAGCTAGATATAAATTGAGAAAAAGACAAAGTAAGAAATAGAGGCTGGAGAGAAATGGAGGTGCCGTGTACAAAATACTAATGCCAAGAAAGCCGGCCCATCGCAGCATGACCACAGCGCAGCATCGCTGATTGCGTTGAATCACTCAACTCCACTTTTCCGTCACGTGCACTGGCCATCTTGGAGCGAGGATTCTGAGCCTTGGCAACAGTGGGCTATCGCATGGAGGTGGTTTGGACTGCAGTGTGGTCCGGCCATGTTCCAGTAGTCGCAGACTGGGTTACTTCTGGTAGACAGAGTTTATTTGTTTCAAGCTTAAGCATGTCCGATGTTGAGCAGCATCTGGTTGCCGTTCGAGTTTCCTTGGGGCAGGTATGTAACGTTGCGAGCGCCCGAAAGCGTCTCGGCGATCTCGCGCGAGGCCTCGATACGACGCAGCTTGACCAGGCCAGGGCCGGCCTTCTGCAGAGCCGTTGAGATGCGGTCGGCCGCCATGGCCTCACCCTCAGCGCGGATAATGGCTGCGTGCTTCTCCTGCTCGGCCTTCTCGACAACAAAGCGGGCACGCTCGGCCTCTTGCTGCGCAATCTGCTTCTTCTCGACAGCAACGGTAAACTCCTTGCCAAAAGTCATGTGGGTGATTGAGACATCCTCAAGCTCGATGTTGAACTCCTGCGCACGCGCCAGCAGCTCGTCGCGGATCCGGGCCGACACGATGTCACGCTGGGTAATAAGCTCACTGGCGTCAAACTGGGCCACCACGCTCTTCAGCACCTCGTTACCGATCGAGGGCAGCACGCGCTCGTCATAGTCGAGACCCAGGTTCTGGTACAGGCGCGGCAGGTTCTCCTTGTTCGGGCGCTGCAGCACACGCAGGCTCAGGCTGACCATCTGCATGTCCTTCGATCCGGTGGTGGTCGAAATCAAGCGCGGGCGGGTGCGCACATCAAAGATAATAGCGCGCTGGAGCCACGGAATGAGGAAATGCGTGCCCTCGCCAATCGTGACCTGCTTCACTCCCTGGAGACGGTCAAAAATAACTGCGCGGTGCCCGCCCTTGACTACGAGAGATAACACTGGTTAGAAAGAGTCGCGTCTTCTGGTGCTTTCTGCGGGGTTGAGCCTTACCATCGTAAATGCTGGACTGCACAACGCCAGCTCCCAGGCCGATCGCAATGGCCGCGTTGGTCAGTCTCTGAATCGCTTTCGCCGACATTTGAATTTGTAACGGGTAAAAATTTGGAACGGAGGATAGAGAGCACAGCAAGGCACGTTACGACATCACAATTGCCCTAAGCATCAGCCTAATCTGATCTCGCTGATCAGAACCAGATCAAAAATACCTGCACTCCAAACAGCTGCTGGGTTCTGTGGCCTGGCTGCCAGAGCCGTGGCCGGGATCTGCTGTCCTTTTTCAGCAGTGGGCTCTTGACAGCGCGTCTCTGTTTCTTCTCCACACACGCACGCACCTCAGCTGGGTACTACCGAGAAGCATCAGCCAGCACCAGGAGCAGCTTTCTACCCCCTCTGCTTATTTATTACGCTCTCTCCTCATTTCATACCAACCGACTACGCGTCTGCCAAGAGCTACACGACTCTGAGCAGCCCTTGCCGGAAAAACAGGAGCGCGTGCCTCTTCCTTGAGTGCAACAGCAGCAACAGCAGCAGCAGCAGCAGCAGCAGCAGCAGCACTTTTAATAGCGATACGTCGAAAGTGCTGGCGGCCGCAGCGCCTGACAAAGAAACAAGGCGCGTCTTTTTCTGCCAAACGCTATTTAGCTAGCTCATCGGCACCTTTTCCAATTTTTCCTCTTTTGCTTCCACTTTCTTTTTTTTCATTTCTTTTTCCCTCTCTTTCAACCATATACACGTTCTTTCTCTGATCTAAATCGGCTTTCTTTTTCATTCCGGGTTTCTTTGGTCGTTCAACTTCGCCTTAGCGAACATTCGAGAAAAAAAGCCTATATTTCAGAAAACAGAATCCACCATGGCGTACAACTTCCAATTCGCGTATTCATCGGCGCCTCTGCGCACGGTCAAATACGTGCAATTTGGAATCATTTCTCCTGAGGAGATGGTAAGGAGGCTAAGTTAATGAACCCGCCAACTGGGGTTGCTGTGTTTACTATTGCCTGAGCCCAGTCTGGTCCTTCTAGGCGCGCGGTCCTTCTGTGTTTGTTACTGCTGGTGGCCACCGCCAACTTTCTTGTTACTACTAACTCCGCGCGTGTACCTTGGTCCTCTATGGAGTTGCTTTCGTAGAAGTCTATGGCAGTCGCAAAGATCGAGCATCCTGAGCTGCGCGACGAGGACGGCAAGCCCAAGATTGGCGGCCTACTCGACCCGCGCATGGGCACGATCGATCGCAACTTCAAGTGCCAGACATGCGGTGAGAACATGACCGAATGTCCTGGCCACTTTGGCTACATCGAGCTCGCCAAGCCCGTGTACCACATTGGCTTTATCAGCAAGGTGAAGAAGATTCTGGAGTGTGTGTGCTGGCGCTGCTCGAAGCTCAAGGCCGACACGAGCGACCCTGTGTTCCAGGCAGCGCTGAAGATCCCCGATGCCAACAAGCGCATGAAGCGCGTGTGGGACATTTGCAAGTCGCGCACGATCTGCGAGCTGTCGGGTGAGGAGACGGCGACGGGTGAAAACATGGCAGCCAAGCTCAACGGCATGCCGATGTCGGAGGAGGACCGCGCGCGGCAGACTGTCAACGACATGCTGGGCGAGGCGCGCAAGCACACCCACGGCGGATGTGGTCATCGCCAGCCCACATACCGCAAGGAGGGCCTGAAGCTGTTTGCGACGTACAAGCCTGGCGCCAACGACGAGGGCACGCCCGAGGGCAAGCATGTGCTTAGTGTCACTGCCGTGCTGCAGGTGCTCAAGCGCATCTCGGACGAAGACTCGTTCGCCATGGGAATCAACCCGGACTATGCTCGCCCCGAGTGGATGATCCTGACTGTGATGCCAGTGCCGCCGATGGCGGTGCGCCCCAGCATCCAGATGGACGCGACTCGCCAGAGCGAGGACGATCTGACGTACAAGCTCAACGACATTCTCAAGGCCAACGCGCGCGTGCGCAGCTGCGAGATGGAGGGTGCACCCATGCACATCATCGAGGAGTTTGAGGCACTGCTGCAGTTCCACACAGCGACGTTCATGAACAACGAGCTGTCGGGCCTGCCGCAGGCGCTGCAAAAGTCTGGCCGCCCAATCAAGTCGATCCGTGCCCGTCTGAAGGGAAAGGAGGGCCGTCTGCGTGGCAACCTGATGGGTAAGCGTGTCGACTTCTCGGCACGTACGGTTATTACTGGTGACCCAAACATCTCGATCGACCAGGTCGGTGTGCCGCGCAGCATTGCGCGCAACCTGACGTACCCGGAGACGGTGACACCATACAACATCGACCGCCTGCAGGACATGGTCCGAAACGGGCCCAGCGAGCACCCGGGTGCAAAGTATGTGATCCGCGACACTGGCGAGCGTATTGATCTGCGACACAACAAGCGCGGCGGCGACATTCCGCTGCAGATCGGATACCGCGTTGAGCGCCACCTGCTCGACAATGACGTGATCATTTTCAACCGCCAGCCATCGCTGCACAAGATGTCCATGATGGGACATCGTGTCAAGGTCATGCCGTACTCGACGTTCCGCCTTAACCTGTCGGTAACATCGCCGTACAACGCCGATTTCGACGGTGATGAGATGAACTTGCACGTGCCGCAGTCTGAGGAGACCCGTGCCGAGATCAAAGAGATCTGCATGGTTCCGAAGCAGATTGTGTCGCCGCAGTCCAACAAGCCCGTCATGGGTATCGTGCAGGACACGCTGTGCGCCATCCGCAAATTCACCAAGCGCGACACGCTGCTAGACATCGACATGGTTATGGCGCTGCTGCTGTGCGCACCCGACTGGGACGGTGTGATCCCGACACCGTGCATCCTGAAGCCCAGGCCGATGTGGTCGGGCAAGCAGGTGTACAGCCTGGTCATCCCCAAGGGCACCAACTGCATGCGGTTCCACTCGACCCACCCCGATGACGAGACGACCTGGATCTCGCCTGGAGACACACGTGTGATCATCGAGAACGGCGAGCTGCTGTGTGGTATCGTGTGCAAGAAGACCATCGGTGCCACCGACGGAGGCTTGATCCACACCATCTTCAACGAGTTTGGTCCCTGAAGTTACGCGGCACTTCTTTGACGGAACCCAGCGTGTCATCAACAACTGGTTCCAGCACAACAGCTTCAGTATCGGTATCGGCGATACGATTGCCGACGACTCAACCATGGAGACTGTGGGTACTATCATTCGCGAGTGCTACGAGCGTGTCGACGAGCTCATCCGCAACGCGCAGGAAGACAAGCTGGAGTGCATGCCTGGCATGACCCTGAAGGAGTCCTTTGAAAACAAGGTTAATGGCGAGCTTAACCGTGCCCGTGACCAGGCCGGCAAGACTGTGCAGCGCCGACTCAAGGAGACCAACAACGTGCGCCAGATGGTCGATGCCGGATCCAAGGGATCGTACATCAACGTCTCGCAGATGACGGCCTGTGTCGGCCAGCAGAACGTCGAGGGCAAGCGTATCCCGTACGGCTTCAAGTACCGCTCCCTGCCGCACTTTGCCAAGGACGACTACTCGCCCGAGAGCAAGGGCTTTGTCGAGAACTCGTACCTGCGTGGTCTGACGCCGCAAGAGTTCTACTTCCACGCCATGGGTGGCCGTGAGGGTCTCATCGATACTGCTGTGAAGACTGCTGAGACCGGGTACATTCAGCGCCGTCTGATCAAGGCGCTTGAGGACATCATGTCGCAGTACGACGGCACCATCCGTAACTCGCTGGGCCAGGTCGTGCAGTTCGTCTATGGCGAGGACGGCATGGACGGATGCTTCATTGAGCGCCAGAAGCTGGCGTCGACTCGCCTCAAGAACGCGCAGTTCGAGAGCAAGTACCGCGTCGATGTCATGGACCGCAACAAGAGCTTCAAGCCCGGGTCGCTGGACTTCTCGGTGCTCAAGAACGTCGAGGGTAACGACGAGGTGCAGCGCGTGCTTGACGGCGAGTTCAAGCTGCTGACCGAGGACCGCAACATTGCCCGCAACTTTATTGTCACTGACGGCAACAGCAGCAAGCCGCTGCCAGTCAACCTGGAGCGTCTGCTCAAGATTGCCCAGCAGACGTTCAACATTGATCGCCGCAAGCCGTCGAACCTGAACCCCATCGAGATCGTGAATATGGTCAACATGCTGTCGGAGCGGCTCACGGTTATTCGTGGCGACGACAAGCTCAGCGCAGAGGCGCAGCACAACGCTACGCTGCTGTTCCAGATCCACCTGCGCTCGACCCTGGCGTCGAAGCGCGTGCTTGAGGAGTTCCACCTCAACAAGGACGCCTTTGACTGGGTCCTGGGAGAGGTTGAGACGCGCTTCAAGCGCTCGCTGGTCAACCCTGGTGAGATGGTTGGCGTTATTGCTGCGCAGTCGATTGGTGAGCCGGCCACGCAGATGACGCTAAACACGTTCCACTTTGCCGGTGTCAGCTCCAAGAACGTCACCCTTGGAGTGCCGCGTTTGAAGGAAGTCATCAACGTGGCGACCAACATCAAGACGCCGTCGCTGACTGTCTTCCTGACCAACGAGGCTGGCCGCAACCTGGAGCGCGCCAAGGATGTGCAGGTCGCCATCGAGCACACCACCCTGGCCAAGGTCACGGCAGCAACTGAAATCTGGTACGATCCCGATGTGCAGGACACGATCATCGACGAGGATCGCGACTTTGTGCAGGCGTACTATGAGATGCCCGACGAGCAGATCCCAGTCGAGACCATCTCGCCCTGGCTGCTGCGTATCGAGCTCAACCGTAACATGATGATCGACAAGAAGCTGTCGATGACTGAGGTCACCAACAAGCTGACCGAGGTCTTCAACCGCGACCTGCTGTGCATCTGTAACGACGACAACTCGGAGAAGCTTGTGGTGCGCTGCCGCATCATCAACGCTGAGGGCATGAACAAGGACGATGACCTTGAGGACGGCCAGATGGAGGAGGACGTGTTCCTCAAGCGCATCGAAACGCACATGCTGGACAACGTGGTGCTGCGCGGTATCCCTGGCATCAAGCGCGTGTACCTTGTTGAGAAGGACAAGATCATCACCAAGGAGACCGGTGAGTACGACAAGCAGACCGAGTGGGTCATTGAGACTGACGGCATCAACCTACGCGAGGTGATGTGGCAGGACAACGTTGATCCCAAGCGCACGTACTCCAACCACCCCATCGAGATTCTCGAGGTGCTGGGTATCGAGGCTGGCCGTGCTGCGATCCTGAAGGAGGTGCGCAACGTTATCGAGTTTGACGGTTCATATGTCAACTACCGCCATCTGTCGCTGCTTGTCGACCTGATGACATCGCGGGGTATCCTGACTGCCATTACCCGCCACGGAATCAACCGTGCCGAGACCGGTCCGCTCATGCGCTGTACCTTCGAGGAGACGGTCGAAATTCTCATGGACGCCGCTGCCGTCGGAGCCATCGACGACTGCCGCGGTGTGGCAGAGAACATCCTGCTGGGCCAGCTGGCGCCTCTTGGCACGGGTTCGTTCGACGTCATGCTCGACGACGAGATGCTGAGCCAGGTCGTCATTGACCCGCGTGCCCAGGGCTTCGACTTGGCCAACGCGCCCTCGGGCGTGCCAGCATATGTCCTGGCAGGATCGCCTGGCCCGAGCGGCAGCATGTCGCCGCAGATGACGCCTTATGACAGCCGCAGCCCCGACTATGTGGGCATGGGCGGACCTGGATCTCCGGTCAGCGCTATGTTCTCGCCCATTGTCGACAGCGGTGCCACGTCGCCTGGGTGGAATGGCGCCAGTCCGTACTCGCCGGCGTCGCCCTCGTACAGCCCGACGTCGCCAACATACAATGCGACATCGCCGTCATACTCGCCAACGTCGCCGCAGTATTCCCCGACGTCACCCTCGTACAGTCCGACGTCTCCATCGTACAGCCCCACCTCGCCCAGATACGGTCAGACATCGCCGCAGTACTCGCCCACGTCGCCGTCCTACAGCCCGACGTCGCCGTCGTACTCGCCGACATCGCCCTCGTACAGCCCCACATCACCTTCGTACAGCCCGACGTCTCCGTCATACTCGCCGACGTCGCCTTCATACAGCCCGACGTCGCCGTCCTACAGCCCCACGTCCCCGTCGTACTCGCCTACGTCTCCTTCGTACAGTCCCACGTCGCCTTCGTACAGTCCGACTTCACCCTCATATAGCCCGACGTCGCCGTCCTACAGCCCGACGTCTCCGTCATACTCGCCGACGTCGCCTTCTTACAGCCCGACATCGCCGTCCTACAGCCCCACGTCCCCGTCGTACTCGCCGACGTCTCCTTCGTACAGTCCCACGTCGCCTTCGTACAGTCCGACTTCACCCTCATATAGCCCGACGTCGCCGTCCTACAGCCCGACGTCTCCGTCGTACTCGCCAACCTCGCCATCTTACAGCCCGACATCGCCGTCGTACTCGCCCAACTCGCCCTCGTACAGCCCTGGCGGTGGCTTCAATGGCGATAACCAGCATGGTGGAAACCAGAGCAACGGCAACGGAGGCTCGGCATCCGGCAGCGGGAGCACGAACGACCAGCAGCAGGGCGGTGGTGCCGGTTGGTCTCCATCGTAAGCGCCCAAGCACCCTTGGATCATCTGCCCGGCTTGGCCATTTCTCACCTTTCTCTTTTCCCACTACTCGATCTCTATGCTCCACGAGTATCGACATAACTCATTACGATGCTACCAAAAAGAAAAAAATAAATAGCCACATACATAACTAGCTTGACGATGCGCACGTGCATATGAACAATAGCATTCGGGCTTCTTGACCAAACACTGAGGCAAAGCCAGCGCATTATCGTGCAGCCGATACGATAAGCGCATGCGGATACATGTGAGGATGGTATGCTTACTAATCGTGGTATTAACCCCGCAACAGTGGCACGCAAAAGAGACGAGTCGAAATAGACTACGTGGCTGTTACCAGACCCCGCCCATGGCACCATCGCATGTGAATATTGTTTTTTTTTTTTTTTTGGCATATCTGCCTGGCCACATATCGCGACCCACCTTCCCGGACGCAAGCAAAACTCCGGTCGGGCCACCGAATCTGCCGAGGGCATTGGGGAACCAGTCTGCCCTTTTACGAGTGTTAGTTCCGGTTATTCTGTTCTGGGCAAAACTTCTTGGCTCTGCAGGCCATGGAGGCTCGCCCACTACTGGTGCAGAAAAGGCAGCGGTCTCCCACAGTGCAGCGTTTCCCCCCAAAGCCCAACCGAGTCTGTGCGCCGCACAGCGGATATCATGCTTTCGCTTGGTGTGCAAAGATCAGTAGTGGGTGTGAGCAACAATCTGGCTGCCAAGAAGGCAGGCCAGGTCTGATCTCTCCAAGGTGCTAGCAGTCTGCTCCGCCTTGTCTCCGCCTTTTGCCGCTTCTCTCCGCTTTCCCTTACTTTTGCGACTCTTTGTATAAATAGACGGCCGTCTCCCGCCACTGAGCAGCAATTTCATATCCATGTCGATATTCGCGACTCGCTTCCTAGCCAAAGCACCCGTTTCCCGACTTTCTGCGCCTCGCCAGTCCGCAGTTCGAACATACGCAATCCCGCACACTGCCACCCAGCGCATAGCCGCCGCGACCCGCAAACAGCCAAAGATGGACTCCCAGTACATATTCTCCAAGCCCATGCTTGCAACGTGGGCCACCTGCTGCATTGCCTTTGGCGTGTCAGTGGCGCTCCTGGGCGTCGACCAGGGGTGGGTGCGTTTCAGCACGGCCAAGAAGAGCGTCGAGAGCGCTGATAAGCCGGACGAGATTGAGGAGGCGAAGCGGATCAGCGATTCGCTGATGCAGACAGAGATCGCCAAGCAGTGCCTGGAGCAGCCCGACGAGTGGAAGCGGATTCCGTACTTTTGGTCGCAGAACAGCAGGGCCATGAAGCGTACGTTTGTGCAGGGTGCGCTGTACGGCCCAGACAAGCTGACGGCCGAGCCGCTTGTGTTTCTGAACCGCGACCGCAAGCAGTTCATCGTCATTGCGCATATCGGCAACAGTCTGTGCGGCCACGAGGGCATTGTGCACGGCGGTCTGCAGGCCACGCTGTTCGACGAGATCACGGCGCGCCCGGCGTTCTGGAACCTGCCGCGCAGCGTTGCGCTGACGGCCTCGCTCAAGGTCAACTACCGGAGACCGGCGCTGGCCAACCAGATCTTTGTGTTCCGCACCAGCCTGGAGCACATGGAGGGCCGCAAGGCCACGATTAAGGCAACCATGGAGGACCTGAAGGGGAACGTGCTGAGCGACGCCGAGTCGCTGTACGTCAGCCCCAGCAACGAGAAGCTGGTGTCTGACAACTCCAGCTTGCTGAAGATGATCGAGGGCGTGTACCCAGGCGCCTTCTGAGACCAGCATATACATACGCACTCTTTTGTTTTTAATACCAGCAACCGTTCTAATATCCCACCGGATGTGTCTGCACTGCATGTATTTGGCCCAGGGGCATTAGAAAGGCTAGGCGCAGGCATTCCAGACATTGTACGCCTGGGCAGCAGCAGCGACGGTGCCGCACACGCCGACTGCGACGTCGGGGAACGTCGAGCCGCGAATCGACCAGTGCAGGGTCAGCGGGAAGTAGCAGGCGTTGATCAGCAGCTGGATCTTCCAGCTCTTGGTGTCGCTCTCGACGGCATCCAGCTCCTCCTGCATCTCGTGTGCATTGCGCTTGCCCTGGGTGAAGATCTTTGCGCGTCTGTTCTTGATGAGCCGGTACTCCTCGCCAAGGTGCACAAACTGCAGCGCGACCCAGATCGCCCAGAAGCGGCACGACCAGTAGCCGGCATCTTCGATCACCTTGTCGGAAATCGGCACCAGCTTGTGGGCGCCCAGCCAGTACGTGTGCTCGAGCGGGTAGTAGATGATCAGGGCCAGATTCATGATGCGGTCGAGCCACTGCAGGAGCTTGGTCTGTGCCGGCACCTGCTCGCCGTACCGCACATACTGGGCCATCGGGATCAGGCCCGTGAGCCGGATCATGATGCGGTAGTCGGAGACCAGGCCCGAGAATGCCTTGATGCGGTTGGCTGTCGACATGTGGCCCTTGTTGGCTGCAATCCAGGCCAGCACCTTTGTGAAGTACTGCGTCAGCTACAAAGACGCCAGCAGCATAAAACAGGGATGTTAGCGCGGTTTCACGTGAGGGCACAGGGACATGCCAAAAATCACTTGCTCTTGCAGGCATGTGCAGGCTGCTGTTAAAACTTACCATCCACGCCTTGTCGTGGCCGCTCGACGACGAGAGGAAGCGGATGATGTGGTCCAGGGTCGGTGCCGGGCCCTTGAGCGCGCGCCTGAGGGCCAGCGCCAGAATATGGCTGCTCCGGAGTGACGCCGGCGGCTTGCCTGCTGTGGTCTCCTTGGTCTTCCCGGGGGTCTCCTCGTCGGGCTTCTCGGCCGGTGTCTCTTCAGGCTTTGTCCCGACAGCGGGTGTCTTCTCTGTGACGGTCTCGTTGTTGACCAAAACGCCGGAGGTCTCGAGGGAGTTGTCTGTGACTTGGCTGCCGCTCATGGTTGCAAGAAGAGTGGTTGCGAAAGGTGCAATTCAGTGAAGGGGGAAAGGAATACAAGTAATGCAGGACAAGGCAGAGATCCGCGAGAAGGGAGGCGTATTTATGAGCTTTTTCTCGGTTTCAGCCGCCAGTGTCTTCTGAGCAAGCGAAAAAACGGGTGCACGCGGCAATTTCAAATCTCCGGCTGAACCGTGCGATTGCCGCTGTGGTTTTCTGGTGCTGAAATCCTCCGCGAAGCCCAGGAGCGAGAGCGTGGCCAGGTGCAAAAAAGCAAGAGCCGGGCTTTCTTCTCACACCGGCGGATATAAGCAGCTGGAGCGTGCCACCTGTTATCTCTAGATAGCGGATTCTCAGATAGAGCGTCGTCGTATAGATTATCTCATGCCCCATGTATGCGCCGTCAATGTATTGCTTTTATCCTATGCATAATCTTTACAGCCACTCGGGCGGATCCCCGGGGATGCGGACCAGGTCGGTATCAAACAGCTCGATGAACTGCTCGTTGAGCATGCGCACCTTGGGCCCGGCGAACCTCCTGTACTCCTCAAAGATCGACGCCAAGTTCCATCTCTGCAGCTTGCGCAGACACCCGACGACAGTGCCTGTCCTGTGTCTGCCGATATTGCACATGATGGCCATCGGGTGGTTGGCCTTGTCCAGGATCAGATTGAATGCCTCCAGGATCGTGTCCTCGGTGATTGGGTCCGACGCGTTGCCGCTTTCAAGCACGCCCAGGTGGTGCAGTTCTATGTCCTGGTCGTCGACAAAGTTCATAACGTTCTGGTTAGGCTCCTCGGGCGCCAGCCAGACGAATGCAGCGCAGGCCGAGTTTCTCCATGAACGGGAAGTTTAGCTCGTTCGGCTGGCCGCACCGGTACAGATCGTTCTCGACATAGCCAAAGTTTACCGGCGGAATGTAGTGCTGGTATGCTGTGCGTCCCATTGTGGCAGATGTGCAAATAAAAATTATGTATATATGGCTCAGGAAATGCGAAGTCACTCGACCTCGCAAAGGAATGCTGCATAAAGCAGTGTGCAGCTAGACCTGTGACCAGAATATGGGGGTACAAGTGCAAGGGACGTATCCCCTGCCGGACTTTCAACATAAAACTACTACTCTGCTAAGCGGCTTCGCCATGGGCATTAAATCTCATAGAAGCCGGCAGATTCAATCGTAAAAAGAAATACGCAGTCCTTATCCTGTGCCTTAACCTGGCTGTCAAAGCTATCCCGCAGTGGGCTTAGTTGCTCACAGGGTCATTAGAAATCATGCCTATATGCTGATCCACATCATGCCAGGTTTTCTCGCCATATACCGAATCATATAAAAGCTGCTCCTGCCGGTCAAGGACTGCCATGTACTGTTTAGCTCTCTGCTGTTCTTTTATCTCCAATATACCCAATAGTTAGCAAAGCACCACCAAGCACACATACCACCGTCTTATACCGCAAGGGTGCCTGACAGCACCAACCATAGTACCACCACACGAACTCCAGCTGGCTGGGTGGTGCTGTGGTCAGTGAGCCGGAAAAGGAGAGCAGCAGCCAGAGCGGCAACAACAAGAGGGGCAAGAGGAAATCCCACACATGGTAGCTCATACATAGCTCAATCCTGTGCCTGCCAAACAGATGAATAGACTATGCCTCGCAACCACATACCACCTGAATGCGATGATGCATCCATGTGTTTGTTCAAGATGGATGAAAGGGGGTACTGCCAGTAGTTCTAAATAGATGTGGATAGCAGTCCCCACAAGTCATCGAAAAATCGCATAGTGAATATATTTTCCTAGCGAATACATTACCTTTATTAGAGATACTCGCATCCCATCCCATTTTACACACAACTATGAGCATACGCGAGTGGATTTCTGACGCAATCATTGAACTAATTGGCGAGAGCAATTCAGATATCGTCGATTATGTGCTGCATCTAGCAAAGACGTGTGCCAGCGAGTCCGACCTGACAAAATCGCTTGTGACAGCGGAGCTGCCAAGCAGCCCTGCAACCGAGGCGTTTGCTAAGCAGCTATTCGCGCGGGTTCCTCGGGCAGCTGCGAAGCCAAAACCATCACAGCGATCAGATCCCCGAGAAAGTCAAGCCGACAGTTGCATTAGCTGACGATGAGCTGACACAAAGCATCAAGATCAAGAAGAGCGAAGGTGGCTCAGAACCACGGGTGCGTGGCAGGAACATTCGAAAGCGGGTCGATACTAGCGAGGATGAAGAAGACCGCGAGGAGCTCGAGGCGCGCATCAAGCGGGCCAAGACCGGAGTTCCCGACGACGACGACGACTATGAGGACAGCGAACAAGGCGCCGAAGAGGAAGCCGAGGATTCCGCCGACAAGGACGCGCTGGAACGCGATGCATTCGCAGAGCGGCTGAGGCAAAAAGACAAGGACCGCACTAAGCAGATCGTCGAAGACCGGTCAGCAAACCCTGAGCAAAAGAAACGGCGCGACCTGGCCAACGACCGGGAGGCGCGGCAAAAGGAGGTGGGCGATATACGCGACCGTGCACGCCAAGAGTACTTGAAGCTGCGCGAAGAGCAGCGCCTGGAGCTGCTGCGGCAGGAGATTGCCAACGAGGAGTCAATGTTCAAGGGCGAGGTCATGACCGACAAGGAGGTCAACGAGCTCGAATACAAGAAGGAGTTGCTGCGGCTGGCGGAGGAGCGCAGGAACCTGGGGGATGAAGCCGACACGTATGCGATGCCTGAGGACTACATCACTGAGAAGGGCAAGATCGACCGCAAAAAGAAGCAGGACGCACTGTACAAGCGATACGAGGACAGCAAGGCGGAGGTGGTGCTGACGGAGCAGCAGCAGTGGGAGCAGCAGCAGATCCACAAGGGCAAGCTGCCGGCTAAGGAGAAGTCGGGCGGCAAAGAGTACGACTACGTGCTGGATCTCGACAACATCGACTTTGTGCTCGAGGAGACAATGAACGCCGAGAAGGAGCAGGATGCGCGACAGCAGGCCATTGAGGCGATCGAACAGAAGGAGCGGTCGATTCGGGAGGTGCGCGAGTCACTGCCCATCTTCAAGTGCCGCGACAAACTCCTTGACATGATTGAGCGCAACCAGATCATGATCATTGTCGGCGAGACCGGATCGGGAAAAACGACGCAAATCACGCAGTACCTGCGCGAAGCAGGGTACACGAGAGACGGCAAGAAGATCGGGTGCACCCAGCCACGTCGGGTCGCAGCCATGAGCGTCGCCGCACGTGTTTCCGAGGAGGTCGGGACGAAGCTGGGCCAGAAGGTCGGGTATGCGATTCGCTTCGAGGACTGCACGTCTGAGCGTACCGAGATTGTCTATATGACTGACGGCCTGTTGCTGCGTGAGTTTATGACTGAGCCCGACCTTGGCGGCTACTCGGTCCTCATGATTGACGAGAGCCACGAGCGCACACTGCACACCGATATCCTGCTGGCGCTGGTCAAGGATGTCGCTCGCTTCCGGCCCGATCTCAAGCTGCTAATTGCCAGTGCCACGATGAATGCAGAAAAGTTCTCCGAATACTTTGACGGTGCGCCGATTTTCAACATCCCCGGGCGGACGTACCCCATCGAGATGCACTACACAAAGGCACCTGAGGCCAACTACCTATCGGCAAGTGTGGGATCAGTCCTCCAGATCCACGCATCGCAGCCCAAGGGCGATATCCTGGTGTTCTTGACGGGACCAGGATGAGATTGAGCAGGCGCAGGAGAGCTTGTCGCAGGCCATGAAGGCACTGGGCAGCAAGGTGCCGGAGCTGATCATCTGCCCTATCTACGCAAACCTGCCAGCCGACCTGCAGGCCAGGATCTTCGAACCAACACCCGAGGGGGCGCGCAAGGTCGTGCTTGCCACTAACATTGCCGAGACATCCATCACCATCGACGGTGTCGTGTATGTGATTGACCCGGGCTTTGTCAAGCAGAACTCGTACAACCCACGCACCGGCATGGAGTCGCTGCAGGTGGTGCCGTGCTCCAAGGCCTCGGTTAACCAGCGTGCCGGGCGTGCTGGACGAGTCGGACCAGGCAAGTGCTTCCGGCTGTACACGAAGCAAGCGTTCCTGACCGAGCTCGAGGACAGCACGCCGCCCGAGATCCTGCGCACCAACCTGTCGAGCGTGGTGCTGACGCTCAAGTGCCTTGGGATCCACAACCTTATCGACTTTGACTTCATGGACCCGCCCAGCGCCTCCGCCCTGCAGCAGAGCCTGGAGCACCTGTATGCCCTGGGGGCGCTGAATGAGCGTGGCGATCTGACCAAGCTAGGTCGGCGCATGGCCGAGTTCCCGATGGACCCGATGATGGCCAAGGCACTGCTTGCGTCCGAACAGTACCACTGCTCGGAGGAGATGGCATCGATCTGCGCCATGCTGTCGGTTTCTGCGGCCGTCCTGTACCGCCCCAAAGACAAGAAGGTGGCGGCTGACCGGGCCCACGCAAACTTTGTCCGTCCCGGCGGCGACCACATCACGCTGCTGACGATCTGGGAGCAGTGGGTCGAGACCGGGTGCTCAATGCAGTGGTGCTACGAGAACTTTGTGCAGTACCGCTCCATGTGCCGCGCCCGCGACATGCGCGACCAGATCATTGGGCTGATGGAGCGCGTCGAGATTGTGCCTGAGTCGAACCCGAACCCGAACGACACTGTGCCGATCCGCAAGGCCCTGACCGCCGGGTTCTTCTACAACACGGCTCGGCTGCAGCGCTCCGGCGACAGCTATGCGACCATCAAGCGGCGGCAGACCGTGTACATCCACCCCAGCAGCTCGCTGCACGAGGAGCGGCCCAAGCTGGTGCTGTACTATGAGCTGGTGCTGACGTCGCGCGAGTTCATGCGCCAGGTGGTTGAGATTGAGGCCAAGTGGCTGCTGGAGGTGGCACCCCACTACTACAAGAAGCAGGAGCTCGAGGGCGACTTTAAGCGCAAGATGCCCAAGACAATCAAGTAATCTTTTTCTTTTCTCTCGCTGATGCTTTCGTTGCATTTTTCAACCACTCTTTCGACACATTCTACTCATCATGGACATTACAGGCGAATTCCGCAGGCTGGTTCAGCAGCAGACAACGAAGCTTGAGGCCCAGGCGGGACGTGGCGAGAAAGACACAAGGCGGCGCGACATCCTGCCGCCAAGACGGCCCGACTTCACCCGCCCAAACAACATCTATCTGAGCGAAGCCTACATCATTGCCAAGCACCTGCGGGCGCTGCACCAGCGCGTTGTCTCTCTGCGGCCGTCGTACCTGAACCTGCAAACCAAAAGCCGGCGCACTTCAAAGCTGAGCGACCCGGAGCGCGATGAAATCGACCGCGGCATCAAAACAGCCATTCGGCAGATGCTCAGCAAAATACAGGCGCTGGGCGAGCTGGGCGAGCAGACATTAGAGGCAGAGGACGATGAGCCCAGCGATGCCAAGGTGCTGTTCAAGCGACTGGTGGGGGCTCTGGACCCGCGGCAGGCTGGCGGGAAGCCGGTGGTTAGCGGGAAGGATATGATTGCTGCGCACCAGAGCTCTGTTGCGTGGTGGCTGAATGTGCGGCTGCAGCAGACCAACACGATCCATGGCAACATGCAGGAGCTGTACCTGAAGCAGAAGCTCGAGCGACAGCGCGGCATGGTATCGGCCCAGTCGTTCTCCAAGCGACCTGCAAGTGATGTCAGAAAGGAGGACGACCCGGTTCTGAGCCATCTGTCGGAGCAGGAGCTGCAGCAGCTGCAGGTCGAAAACAACAGCCTGATGATGGAGTTTGAGAGCGCCATGGACAAGATCACCGAGACCCAGAAATCGCTGCTGGAGATATCGACGCTTCAGACGCAGCTGGCCAACGAGCTCAGTGCGCAGACACAGATGACCGAGCGCCTGTACAGCGAGGCCGTGGGCACTGTGGATGCAGTCGACAAGGGCAACGAGTTTTTGATCTCGGCGCGCAAGCACCAGTCAACAGCGCGCAAGTGGGTGCTGACTGTGTTTATTGTGCTGAGCCTGGTGCTGCTCTTTTTGGACTGGTTCGATTAGAGGACCATCGCGGTTCAGCCTGGTGGGGATAAAAAATCATTTCTCAGCTCTGCTACAAACTTCACTTCAATAATTATGCTAAGGGTGCGATTCAAGGCAATTCAGCGACCCGCGCAGTGCATTTCCAGACGCTGGGCCTCGACGGCGCTCCTAGAACGGCGAGTGCAGCTGTGGGACCAGGAAAAGAAGCGGCAGGCAGAAGCACCGGTCTCCGAGTCGCCACCTCTGACTCTGTCTCTGTTTGGATCCAAGCAGATCACAGTGCCCGGTGGGTGGAGTGCGCTGGACGTTGCGCGCAAGTACGAGCAGTCCGACTGCCAAGAAATACGTGGCAGCGCAGATCAACGGCACCACAGCCTGGGACATGCAGCGGCCACTGCCTGCTAACGTGGAGACACTGAGCCTGGTCAGATTTGATACCGACAGTGAGCTGGCCAAGCAGGTGTTTTGGCACTCGTCGGCGCATGTCATGGGTGCAGCACTGGAGAAGGTTTATGGCGATGACCTGCTGCTGTGCGATGGCCCGCCGCTGTCCGATGGCGGGTTCTTCTACGAGTTCCTGCTGCTGAACAACTCGGGCGTCGAGCGGCTGGATCGGCGATCCTACACCGAGCGGATCCATGATCTGTGCGGCACGCCCGAGGCACTGAAGAGCCTGAGGTTTCTGACGCCAGCCGACCTGGCAGCTGTGAAGAAGGCAGCGAGCAAGATTGTCAACGAGAAGCACGCGTTTGAGCGGCTCGAGGTCAGCTATGAGTTTGCATGCGACCTGTTTCTTGACAACCCGTTCAAGCTGCATTTCCTGGACCGTGCCCGTCAAAACCAGCACTCCACCAGTGGATCAACTGGGTCGGACAAGACCGTTAGTCTGTACCGGTGCGGCGAGATGATCGACCTGTGTCGCGGCCCGCATGTGCCAGTGACAACCATGCTCCAGGGCATGTCGTTCGACAAGGTCTCGTCTGCACACTGGGTCGGCCACCTTGACGACTCGTCGCAGAACTCGCCTGTGCTGAACCGCGTCTACGGCATTTCGTTCCCCAGCACGCAGCTGCTGAAGGACCACCAGACATCGGTGCAGGCTGCTGCCAAGCGCGATCACCGGGTAATCGGCAAGGAGCAAAAGCTGTTCATGATGCACCCGTGGGCGCCCGGCTCAGGCTTCATCCTGCCGCACGGCCAGCGCATGGTGAACCGGATCATGGATGCAATCCGCAGCAAGTATGCCGAGTTTGGCTTTGACGAGGTCAGCACGCCGCTGATGTACAACAAGAAGCTGTGGGAGATGAGCGGCCACTGGGAGAACTATCGGGACGACATGTTTGTCATTTCGAGTGCGCAAAAGGCGGCTATTGAGGGCAATGGGACGTGTTGCAACGGCGACCATCACCACGAAGGCGAGCCCGAGTTTGGGCTCAAGCCGATGAACTGCCCGGGCCACTGCTTGATCTTTGCCAGCGACCAAAGGTCGTATCGCGACCTGCCGATTCGCTATGCCGACTTCAGCCCTCTGCACCGCAACGAAGTCGCTGGTGCGCTGTCGGGTCTGACGCGGGTGCGCAAGTTCCACCAAGACGACGGCCACATCTTTTGCACGCACGAGCAGATTGCCAGTGAAATGGCCAGCTGCCTCGAGTTCATCGATGGCATGTACAAGATCTTCCACTTCACATCGTACGAGCTGGTTCTGTCGACGCGACCCGAGAACTTTATCGGATCCGTCGAGGACTGGGACAGGGCTGAGAATGCGCTGAAGGCGATCCTGGACAACTCAGGCAAGAGATGGACCGTCAATGAGGGCGACGGCGCGTTCTACGGACCAAAGATCGATGTTCGTGTGCGCGACGCCCTGCGCCGCAAGCACCAGACGGCGACCATCCAGCTGGACTTCCAGCTGCCCCAGCGGTTTGACTTGAAGTACACAGGCAGCGACGGGCAGACGCACCGGCCGGTGATGATCCACCGCGCGGTTCTGGGCAGCATCGAGCGCATGCTGGCGGTGCTCATTGAGCACTGGGGCGGTCAGTGGCCGTTCTGGGTCAACCCGCGCCAGGCCGTGGTGATTCCGGTGACGGCGTCGGACAAGGCGCCAGAGATCACCAAGTATGCACAGCATGTGCAGGAGGTGCTGGCGGGGAGCAGCGACAAGAACCCGGGACACCGGTTTTTTGTGGATCTGGATACGTCTGGCAGCTGGCTGAATCGCGCAGTCAGGGATGCGCAGGTCGCCAAGTACGGGTTTATTCTGGTGGTTGGCGAAAAGGAGGTCGAGAATGGCACCGTTGATGTCAGGCAGAGGCAGGGCGGCAAGCGTATCGGATCCATGACCGTTGCTCAAGTTCGCCAGATGTTTGAAGAGCTGGTAGACATATATCAGTGATAGCACACTCATACCACACAAGCACTTGTATTACATGTTCATATTGTGCAAGAGACGTGGCATATCCTACATACGGTGGAGAAGGTAGTCCATCAGTACAGCAACCACGCTGACGCTCAGGCTGTTGCCGAGCAGCCGGTACCGCTGCTTGATGGTGCTGGAGTCTGGAAAGGCAAACTCTTGCGGGAATCCCATCAGGTTGGCGATTTCGCGGGCGGTGAAATACCGCGTATTCTGCACCGTCATCGGGTCCTTGCCAACCACGCCTTCAAGCTGCAGGATCGATCCAGTGCCCTCTGCGTAGTTCTTGTATCCCTTGGTGAAGCAGCATGTGCGGCTACTGTCTTTGGTCACCACGTCATACACCCACGCGTACTTTTCGAGCGTGCGGCCGCTGATCCGGTGCAATTCCAGCGTCTGCTCATCCAGCGGCTCCAAGAACTCCTTGACCTTGCGCACCTTGTCGTGGTTCCACACGGCTTTGTCAAAGTCAACCCGTCCATCGACATCAGCCGCCGGCTGGATCAGATCGGCGCCAGGCACGTCGTGCAAAAAGCTGGGCTCAAACTGCTCGTCCTCGGCGCACTCGCGCGGCTCGGCACAGCGCTTGGCCAGCAGGTAGTACCGGGTGCGCGAGTTTGGATAGCAAAGCTGCAGCGGGTTCAGCAGGTACTCTTCAAACCTGTACCCCAGCCGTGTGAGCTGCCGGAGCAGGATCGCGCGCGTATCCGACTTTTCGAACCCAGCGACGTTCTCGACCAGCAGGTAGGTGGGCTTGCGCTGCACGCGCTCCAGCAGCTCGATGATGAACAGGAAGCTTTTGGCGCGCGCGTCTTCGGACCCCTTCTGCAGGCCCTGGCGGGTGTACGGCTGGCAGGGCGGCGACATGGTCCAGAGCTCGCACTTCAGGCCCTCGAACAGCGACATAGGCAGGGACTCGATACTGCGCTGCATGATGCGGATCTCGGGGAAGTTGTGCTTGTAGACGTCGTTGGCGACCGGGTTGATGTCGAAGGCGCGCACCACCTCGCTGTCGATGCTGGCCGCCTTGAGCGCATAGTGCATGCCGCCGATGCCGCTGTAGAACTCTGCTACCCTGAGAGGCATTGCTTTTTTTTTTGGGAGGTCTGAAAATTGCACAAAAGGAATGAGAAGAAAGAAGGAAAAATTTTACATCAGAAAACGCCGGCCTTGTCAAGCTTGTAGGCTCTTCCGTGCTGCCAGTCTGCCATTGCTCCCTGTGCAGCCTGGTATTTTTGCATCAGCTTCGCCTCGGTGCGGTCCAGCGACTGCACAAACTCCAGGCCCTCGACATTCTGCCCCTGCTGCGAGATCTGCGCAACCCGCTGCACCCGCTCCATGTACATGTTGCGCAGCACCGCCGGCAGACCGGGGACGATGTCTGCCAGCTGCAGACCAAACTGGTAGTAGTGCGGGCTGATGGCTCGCAGCTGCATGCTGGTCGCCGAGGCTGCGTACATGCGGCTGGCGCGCTTGGAGAAGACCGCCGGCGTGCTCATCTCAATGAAGCCCTCGGTGTCCAGGCGCTCGCCCATCCAGTACGGCAGCGCCCAGCGCTGGTTGCGCTGCACTTTGCTGGTGCCGCTGCCGGCAGTGCCCAGACCGTCGAGGTCGACGCGCAGCAGACAGGGGACGCGCTCTTGGCCGGCCAGGATGTCGTCAATGTCGTAGTAGTCGCGCCGTGCCATTCCAGAAATCCAAAGCTCAAATGAAAAATACCATGCAGAGACAAAAGGGGGGCGTGCTGTGTTTCTGATAAACCAGTGTATATTTATCAGAAAATGGTTAGGATAGCGAGGGAAATTTAGAGCTTCTGGGCCTTGACACCGTCAGCGAAGAAGGTGAAGTACGGGGTGACACCATCGGCACGGTAGTTGAGCAGGGCAACCATGCCATCCGGGTCCATGGACTCGCCAGTGTAGAACTCGTAGTCCTTGATGTTGGACAGGATCTTCTTGACCAGGGTAGCGGCGTCCTTCTTGAAGCCCTCGACGCGCTCAGGGTTGGTCTCCTCGAGCTTGGCGGCAACAGCCTTCATGTAGCCCTTGATGTAGACCATGTACGACTTCTTGTCGAACTGGGTCTCGACCAGGCGGAACGAGTGCACAACGTTGTTCACGGTCTCGACACCATCCTCGAGGGCCTCCTCACCGTCCTCAGCCGAGGGGTTGGCACCGATATCGATGACATCGCCACCGGTCTGGACCATGGCGCAGTCGACCTCGAAGGCACCCGGGACCTCGGTGATGGGGTAGGCATCCGAGAAGAGCTCGTCACCTAGATACAGGGAGGCAAGGGTTAGCTTATTGAATTCAGACCATCTGCCGCAAATGGCCGTGCACCATGGGCGCCGTTGGTATTGGAGTGCTGTTTCAGCAGTGATAGTTACCAGAGATGATATCGTTATACAGAAGCATTTTGTGATTTAGTTGCGTTACCGACTGTAAATTAGAGAGCGACAAGAAACGTAAGGCAAAAGGGACGAAGGGGCGAGCAGCTCAGGATCGGGTAGGCCGAGTAAATTTTTTTGGGGAGACCATCGGCTCGCACAATCCCCGATCGAGAGAAAAAATTTTCATCCCACTAATAAAAGCCATGGCACGGCTCGGCTCGGATTTGTCGGTCACTGGTACTTGGGCACAAGCCTCTGAGCCGGGACCGGCAGGCCAAGCAGCGTCTGCGCGTTCTTGAACGCCAATGAATCGGGCACGACCCACACGTTGTCAGGCGACGGCAGCATGCCGATGTTGCGGAAGTCGCCAAACTCGCTGATCCGCAGGCGGCTGTGGCCCTTGACGAAGCCGTTGGTGCGCCTTGCAGTGGCAGCTGCGTGCTCGACAGCCATTGCCAGCGCGGTCCGCACGCGCGAGCCAGGCTCGCTCAGCCTGCTGCTCATGGCGTCAATATCTGCCAGGGTCTTGGAGCTGAACCCGTCCTCGATGCCGCGCTTGGCCATGTCCACGCAGCGAGCCAGCAGCGTGTCAAAGGGCTCATCGGATGAAGCCGCAATGCCATCTACCAGCCTGTGCACAGCGTCCAGCGAGAGCTCGGTCGCATTGTCCTGCTGCAGACACTGGTGCAAGGCAATGGCAGTGGCTGGGTATCTGGCCACATCCTCGGTTGCAGGCATCGGAAGCTTGGGCGACCACACCTGCACCGCGATTTCGGTGCAGTCCTGCACTGGTATCTGGATTCAGGTGCCTGTCCCAGAACTCGATCCAGATCGTCTCTGGTAACGCTCTTCAGGCTCTCGGCGTACCGCTCATCAACATCGAACATGTAGTATCCCGACATGATGCAGGACCAGAAGCTGGTCCCCTCTTGAGTCTGGTTGCGCTTCTTCTCTATCCACGACTCAGCCAACGCCTCGATGCACCTGGTCAACTCATCCCTCGTCCATCTCCACCAGGCTGTGCCCGGAATCCCTGCAGGAACTGCCGAATGCGCAAAAGGAGGTACGCCGGGTTGCTCTCGCCCATGAGTTCGAACTCGGAGGATACGGTGGCTATACTGCTGCATCATATAGCAAGACGCATCTAGGCTATATCCGAGCTGCTCCTTCGTGCGTAGCTGGCTGAAAGAATGGCCGGTACATGATCTGGGATAACAGAGGGCCCATGGCCTGAGATTTAATGTCTGGCAGATCGCGCATGTAGATGCGCAAATTGACAGCGCTGTTGGAGCTGTTTTCTGCTGATCCAACAATCTGACGCAGGTATGAAGCCAGCCTCGATCCAGTGCGTCTGCCTTGCAGTCCGAAGGTGCTGTGGCAACGGCGTGCATCCCAAAGAATCAATGACCATATCGCCAATATCCAATGCCTCTTGCTCGGAATGGTTGCCAACTACCAGCATCTTGATTCGCGAACTGTCAAACAATGTGTCGGCGAACTCTTGGATCTTGTCGACCGTAATCGAGTCGATTTCCCGCAAAATGGCCTTTGGCATCCAGTCCGGTGTATATGACATATACTGGATCTCCCTAGCAGCATACACACTAGCGCTGTCATTCAGCTTGTTCTTGAAGTGGTCGAGGTGCAGAACCTTCGCCGCATCCAGCAGCTTCTGGTCCACCTTGGTCGACTTTAGTGCCTTGAGGACCGTGTCGAGCAGCAGCGGCAGCTTGTCTGAGAGTCCATAGACGGTGAGGTAGATGCCCTCATACCCCATATCAATCGAATAGTACACACCAGCCAATGCCTGCACCAAAGGTATCTTTCTGTAGTGCCTGGACACACAATGTACTCGTAGATGTACCCCATGACGGTCATCCGAGGCGAGCGACCGAGCTTGGGAACCTCGATATTCAGGGTGATGTCTCCGCGCGGCAAAAAGAACTGGTCGTCGCGCTTGAACCACAGCTCAAGGCCCATCGTTCTGCTTCAGCAGGGTCGGCTCCTTGGCGGGCACCGGCAGCACAGCCGGCCTCTGCACCTCCAGGTTCTTGGGGATAAACTTGTTGCGGCCAGGCATATACAAACCTTCATACACAAGCTCGCCATGCAGGTCGTCCAGTAGCTCGCTGGGAATTGCATCGGTGCGGTATGCTGCGCCCATGTACGGCTCGGTCTCGGGAAGCTCAATGTCGAAATCCTGCTGTACCAAGATTACACGCATGTTGTCTGGATTGAGCATGTCGGTGTAATGCGCAATCAGTGGTGCGTTGAACTCGCGCAGCTGTACCTGCGTCGAGGCAGCGTTTGAGGGTGCGACATACTCATCCTGCAGATGATCCGCCAGCGATGTGACTATGTGCATCGCAAACTCGGTCTCCTTGAACTTGAATTTGGCCTCTCGCGAAACGCTGATCTCGTCGTAAAACCACTTCTGCGGGCCGGCTTTTTGCAGAACCTGGATATATGCGAACACAGCCCGTACAACATCCTGCCAGTGCTCCATTCCTTCCTCGCTGGCCATGATATCTATGGCCAGTATATTATCGCAGAAGCGGACCTCGGAAATCAGATCAGACTCGATGCCGTGCGCCAACCCACGCACCTTCAGGTATTGCACAAGTGCGCCAGGTCCGCCATGCGTTAGCAGGCTTGTCAGATACGCGAATGGCTTCACTCTGAACCACGGATGCGGATTCTCAACTGGGAACTCAAGCCTGATCCTGCGCGTGCTGGCGACAGTCTGGATCCGGATAAGTTTGCCCACCTCTGTCTTGGTCAGCAGGTGACCGGGCAGCTTGACCTTCGTATCGCCCTTGCTTGCGACAGCAGAGAACTTGCTGACAGCCCACTCGGTCAGCTGGTCCAGCGAATGGCTGCTGTAGACTACCAGGCGCATGATATCGCTGGAGTAGTACTGCTCGTAGAACTTGATCATCTCGGCGCGCAGATCGGCCCCGCGCCTCTCGGCTTCACCCTGTAGCGTGTCGATGGTGCCAACGCAGAACCGACTGAACGGGTGGTTTGGGTTACACAGCCGCTTGCTAATCATGAATGCGCGCCACATGTCGTTTGACGTCAGCCCATTGAACTCGGATTGCACGGCATTAAGCTCACGCTCGACCGAGCTGGCGTTGAAGAGTGGATCGATGAATATCTGCGCGAAGCGGTCGAGGCCGCCCTCAAATGCCTTATCGGACACCTTGAAGAAATACTTTGTGTCGTACATGGATGTCTCAGCATTCGAGTACCCGGCGTTGGATGTCAAGTACTGTGCGTACTCCTTCTCGCTCGGGTACTTCTTTGAGCCCTACAGTGATAAAACCACACATATCAAACACTGCATTGTTTCAGCACCAGGGTAATGGCCATGTTTGACAATGGGTGCGCGGAATATTTACCATGGTCAACAGGTGTTCGCAGAAATGAGCCATCCCGAGGAACTCTGGCGGGTTTGCCATGCTTCCGGCATGCAGCGACAGACATGCGCTGGACTGAAGCGTGTCGTTGTTCTGGATACATAGAACCACCATGTTGTTTGGAAGGCGTAAGAGACGGTACTGCTGCGGGTCGCTGGGTGAAATCTCCAAAGCGCCTGTGAACTCCTCGTACGGCAGCCCCGAGTCGACAGTCTGACGCTGCTCAAAGTCCGTGCTCCAGTCGGCGGGTGCTGGCAGCGGAATCCCTTGCCCCACCGACTTCTTCGTATGTCCGCTCGAACTCATGTTTCTCTGTTTCATAAATACGTAGAAAATAATGGATGCAGGAAGCGAAAAAGAGAGCCTGGAGAGGAGAAGGGCTTTTGTGCTGGCACGGGTGACCAACTCAGGGACAGCCCCTCCTTCGACGTAATCATCTCTGTCGATTCAAAGGTGAAAAATAATCCTGGATAGTCAGGCTGCATATGCACGAGTGGCATGGGCGAGCTGTCGACAAGCCGCCCTGTCTCCCTTCGCGCATTGTGCGAATCCAAACAGGGAACCCGTATTCGCCCAATGCAAAAGTCTCTTTGAGACGTACTTATTGTACCAAACAGGAATCTCTAGAACTCATTAAAGGGACGGAACCCAGGCCCACCTCTCCTCACACTCCTCAGCGGCGTCGCCTGCTCCTCTGCCGCCGTCTGCTGGCGCACGAGCTCGCGCAGCCTGCCCATCACCAGCTCCAGCTTGGCGCGGCGCTCCAGCAGCGCCAGCTGCTTGCCAACCCTTGGGTTCTGGCAGGCAAACTCGCGCGTCTGCTCCAGCGTCTTGCCGTAGTACAGGTTCGAGTCCAGCTCGCGCGGGAACTGGAAGAAGAAGTCGTGCAGGAGCTCGAAATTAATAAACAGCACGGCGTTATACGCCAGCTTCTCGGCCACTACATCCAGGAACACCTCGGGACAGAACCGCTTGTTGTCCATGGACGCGCACGCAGAGCTGTTCAAGGCCTTCCTGCGCATATGCAGGATGGTCAGGCGATCCTGGATCATCAGTGCCTGCTGCGCACGCCGGACCAGCCGCGGGCTGAATTGTGCGTACCCGAATTCATCGGCGGGCGCCACAGCATCATTGTCAGATGCTTGACCACTGTCTGCAGCTGACGCTGGTCCAGAAGAGCCGTCAGTTTTTGCAGCACTGTGCTCGGCATTCCTGCGCGCAATCTCGATCTGCACCGACACCGGGTCGACGCCGCTCTTCTCCGCCGACCTAACAAACTGCATTGCTTGCTGCAGCTGCTTTTTGGGCGTCGACGAGCGGATCTCGGCCAGCGACTGGCGGCACAGCCGCATCTCATTATCGATCAGAGATGACGACCGACGCAGTGCCTTCTTCCACTCGTGCGGCTCAACCTCGACCTCGTACTTGAACGGTTTGATCGTGTTCTCGACCTGGTCCACCGTCGAATGATACTTGCTGCGCAGAATCTCATGGCTAAAGTTCAGCACTGCATTACGCGTCTCCGGATGGTGGGCAAATGGCTCGCCATCCACCATTGACGCTACACTGTCCATCAAAAGATTGACCACCATCTGCGTTGTCCATCTGCCCACGCCACTCTTAGTCAGCAATGCCGATGCCTGCGACAGACGGTGGTCCCAGAACGCATCGTCATCTTCGTCCCACTCGCTGCCTGCAGGAGCAGCATGGCCATTCTTTGCGTCTTTGCCCGCGCTGTTCTCTGACTTTGTCAGCCGCGGTGTTTTCTGCTCCTTGGCAGTGCTGGCCACCAGCAGCTCCGAGATCACACCGGCAGCTGCCGATGCTGCCTGTCCGGCCTGGCTGCGGATACCAGCCCACCATCCGGCAGCCCGCGACCGGGTGACCTGGTTGCTAAGCTGCTTGATCTCGGGGTCGCTCCAGTACAGCTCAGCGCACACGTCCATGACGCGGCTCTCGAGCCACTTTTGTACTTCAGAGCGCAACTGCGGCTTGCCAAACTGCTGCTGGAACGCCTTGAACCGCTGCTTCAGCGTGTCCAGGCTCTCAGCCATGTACGACTCGGGGCTGACTCTTTCGTCGTTGTACTGCACCTTGATCTGGTACTTTGTCTCCTCCAGCTCGCTGCGCACCGCATCCACCAGAGTCGACATGCTCCGCCGCATGCTATCTTCGAGAACGCGCACCAGCTTACGCCGCAGCGTGCCCACGCCTACCTGAACCTCGGGCTGGCGGAATTCGGCGTGCCGCTGGAAGTATTGTGCTTCGGAGAGCACAATCTCGTGCGAGGACTTGCCCGCCTTTTCACGAACTGGCTTGCACACCACGCCAATGTACCCTAGGTGCAGCGGATACTCGTTCTGTGTCAGCATATGGACTGCCATATCAGGCTCTGCCATATCGACCTTGGTGATAACACCAATGGTGCGCATGCCCAATGGATCATTGCGACGGCTCGCCTTCAATGCCTCGGAGTTCGCCAGGTCAACATCTGCTGCACACACAGCCAGGATGATATTGGGCTGCTTCAAGTAGCCTTCGCATAGGTCGCGGATCTTTTGGCGCAACACCGGCGGCTGCTTGCGATTGACCACCTGAATGTACCCCGGGAGGTCAACCAGACGCAGGTCGGGCACATGTGGCGAGTAGATACGCAGCTCAACAGGCTTATCTGACACGCACTCGGATTCAGGGACCGACATGTTCAAATCATGTAGCGTGCGCTGGATCTGCTTGAAATCGCGGATCCGATCTAGCCCAAGCTGGGGGAACTCGCCGTACTCCTCATCAGAGTCAGGAGTGTTCACAAGTGTCAGCTCGATTGGGCGCCTCGTCACCATGTTGGTACCCTTAGGCAGAAACTCCTGTCCTACAATGGCCTCCAGTACCGAGCTCTTTCCCGAGCTCTGCGACCCAATGACAACAATGCTCGGTAGCTGCAGCGGGCTGACCTTTTTGTCCTGGCCTGGATCCGTGCTCTCCACGGTCCTCAGGATGGTCTGGATCTCAAGCAGCTTCTTTGTCAACTCCATCAGCGCGTTCTCGTCGCCAGCGTGCCCATTCTTCGGCGGCTTCTGTGGTGCGCTTGACCGAGGCGACTCAATGACATCGTCGTCCCTCTTTGGTCCGGGATCAGGGCTAGTGTAGTAGTCGCCCTTGGGTGGAGGCAATCCGCTGCCGCCATCGTTGCTGCCTGAAGCAGAGTTTGAGCCTCCACTGCCAGCACCCGACCCGAATCCAGCACCCCAGCCGCCGCTGCGCGACCCGACAGCCTTATCGACCGACTCTTCGGCAACACCCTCATTGCCGCTTTCATCACTACTGGATCCAAGTCCCTGCAGCCAGCTTGAATCCCTGATGCTTTCAAGCCACCCGCGCATCGACTCAACACCGCCCGACATCCACCCAGGCGCTTTCATCTGGCTCAGCTTGTACTCAATGTATGCCAGCGACGCAATAGCCGCTGTCAGGATCATGACCGGCAGTCGCGTACTAGCCTTGATAGTGCCCATGATAACCTTTAGGATTGGGACCAGCATCCGGCTTCCCATGAACTTGCCCAGGCTGCTGGTTGGCCCGCTTGGCACGTAGTAACGCATCGACGCTGCCGCAATGAACCGCTTACCGGCAGGACTGTACAGCGGTGGCCGCAAGCCGGTTGAGAAAATTGAGGCTTGGCGGAGCCCTACGCCCATGGTTTTATGGTATGCAGAGAGCCGCGGTGTCGCCAGGCGCGACAGCCCGCTGCCGGGAGTGTGTGTGTGGAGGAGCCTGCTTTTGACTAGCGCTGTGTCGGCACATTGTAAATTTGCCACAGCCAATGGACGCCAGGCACTGGCGGTCCTGCTGCTCAGCGACCGACGCGCAAGTTTGCTAGCACCAGCCAACTGCATTTGAACAGTGATTGAACTGAATATAAAAGAAAAGGAGAATAGGAGAGGTTTACGGAAGCAAAAGAGCTGTTTATCTTAGCCCTGGCTATGATGGGCTGACCTCAGCACCCATCGGATTCTAGGCTTTGCGTGTTTCTTGGCATAACGGCTGGCGACAAGAACGCCCGATTGCAGCCAGATGTCCACTTCATGTCGAGTTTGAAATTTTTATGTAGTTGTTAGCGAGAAAAAGAACAGAGGAGATGTTTGGCTGTAGAGTTGAGGTCCTGTCGTTTACTTGAGCTTGGCAAAGATCTGGGGAACAGCCTACACAGCAAAAAGGGGTGGTCTTCATGATTGAGATACCTTGTGCGCAATGATAGCACGTATATATGCCATATGTGTACACGATACTTACGCACTGGTCAACGCAGTGGAGGAAGTGCAGGAACTCCTCGGCGCAGCTCTCGCTCGAGCCGTCCTCAACCCGCTGGGCGCAGGCCTCAAGGTGGTGCTTGAGCGACTTGCACGCGTGGGTCTCACCGCAAGCTACAACAGAAACAGGTTGGCAAATTAGCTTTATGAATTCAGCTCCCAAACGGTAATTTCTCCCAGAGCAGACTGAAATTACTCACCCTCACGGATAGCAGGAGCGGGATCCTCGGGATCCTCCTCTTCCTCTTCCTCCTCCTCCTCAGCCTCTTCAGCCTCCTCCTCCTCCTCCTCCTCTACGGGGTCCTGGGCAACAATAACCTCGGGGGTGGCCTCCTCCTCCTCGACGGCGGTGGTCTCAACGACAGCAACGGCGGTCTCGGTCTGCTCGTCGTCGGCGTGGAACGTCAGGGACGAGGTGAAAGAGCTGACAAAATCGAAAATCGACATGGTTGGTATATGGAGAGCGCTGCCAGTCACAGAAATAAAGAGCTGATTTTGAATTGACGGAGAAGAAAAGGAGAATTTGCAATGCACAACGTCTTTTGAATTCGGCGCCCCAGAGCATCGCCTGCTCTGCGGTCCGCTGGCGGCAGATAATCTCTCCCTGATAAGACCCGTTATTGGAGTGCACGATCTCTAGATCAGATCAGGAACATTGCTCGAATTAGCGACCAAGCTTGGCTCAGATCACCAGCTCAGCCACAGCAGCACAGGCTTTCGCTTGGCAGCTTGCCGTACTTGGACATACGGCATGCTACAGGCGGCGTCATATAGCTACTCAGCAGCAGCACCACAGCAAGTCTGGTGACAACCATTCCCAATTTTCTCTTACAAATAAATCGCCGGTCATGCCAAGCATTCCTGGCATTGCCCGGGCTCACAAAGCAGCCTTTGGACAATTGGTGGTATACCTGATTGTCTGCGTTAGCATGGTGAAGAGGCAGTGAATGGGGGCAGCCGCACTATATTGTGGCTTTCTGGCCCATCAATGAACGATAGGTGTCAAGTGTGAAAACATCAGACAGGACCAAATGGACCGCTGACTAGGGGCAGCCCTCACACGGCCACTCGCCTAGAACCCTGTGCTCCACTCTCTCTTTTGACTTTGCTGCCAACTATTCTAATTGTCTAGCTCCTATAAAATACCACCACAGCAGGGCAGATGTCTTTCAAGTTGACACCGTTTGAGCAGTCGCGGGTCGAGATCGCGGCATTTCTCGACATGAAGCTGGATCCGATCAGCTATGTCGACATGTCAACTATCATCGTAGTCGCCACAGTCTACATCGTGGATCTTTTCGCTATTATTTTCCTTATTGTCAACCGCAACTATCCGCCGATAAAGAGCAAAGGAGTCGTCATAATGTGCTCACTCTATATTTCTGGGGTTCTCTGGTTCGTTGGCGACATCATCACAAGCGGAATGGTGCACCTTTATGTGAATAAGGCATTGATGGCGTGTAAGGTGACGGTGATCTGGTTCAGACTGGGCTTTGGCACCACGTACATCGCTACTATATTTAGTGTGCGCTGCTATGCCTTACACCGCGTGTTCTGTAAGCAGCAGCCATTTAAAGGAGTGCTTATGTGGAGTTTTATCGCACTGGCACTAGGATGGGTGGTTCTTTACGCCGCTGTTTCATCGGCATTACCTGCATCGATGACGACCTATTACGAAGATACGCTGGATATATGCACTGCCAACAAGACATACGTAGCCGTATCTATCGGGATGATATGCTGCTTCTATCTTTATGTTGCGTGGATGACCTGGCGACTGCGAAAGATACCATTCTCGTTCAACGAGTTCCGTGAGGTCGTCTCAGCCCTGATCATCATCGGCGTGGTTATTATCGTGAATTCGTTGGCTCTATTCTCTGTCAAAATATACCCCGTCAGCGCAGCATGGCGAAACTCGCTCGTCTATATCGACCACGCATGTGCCAATATGGCCTTCTGGACTATCATGTGGGAGCCGTTCTACCAGTGCATTATGCATCGCGAGGAGTATCTGCAATATTGGATCGACACCCTGGTGGACGATGGCATGGAAGATGCATACAGTCTTACGAATCGTCTCCTGACTGGAGTTTCCCAGTCCGTCGATGAAACAGAACAGGCCACTGTAGTCGAATCAAGGAAGGACAAAGCTGGCCACAGCCATGCAAAGGATGGTGGCCTCACCAATGGCACCTACTGTATGCCCGCCACCCTATCCAATCTGTATCTCACAGAAAAGCTTTCACACGACTAAACCACACGAGCCAGAAAGTAACAGATCCACTTTTGTTTTGCTCGCTCTACCTTGTGGATATCTAACGTGTATGTGACAGCCCTTCTATTAGTGTTCACTGCAGAATATATATCCTATGCCAATATTGTCATCTACGCCATGGTACTTCTCATCTCTGCTAGCATATCTCAGCCATATCCCCTGCGAGAAAATACGCATCATTCATACTGTATACTAGAATCCATGCTGTGCTTATCACAAGTACAGACAGTGCAAAGGCAACTCGGAGCTGGCTATATGCAATCGTCATGTGTTCTTTGCTTTAACGTAGTTCACAGGTACACCTTCCTAACAAGGCTCCATTTACTGCATGCTATTGGTTTTTACACGGCGGCAGAAGGACGCACACCAAACATACTGCTCGGACAACAAGCTGATTACTGTAAGTTGGCTGTAGAAAAAAGCGTACTATTTCGAATACCATACCTTATTGCCTTGGGTACCTCAGTAGCTTGCATGCAGTCCTTACACGTACTTTCGCTGTTCCACTCTCAATATGCTTGAAGTGATGTATTTGTACAACGACTCGGAATCATATCTATCATCAGGCCGTTTTCTATAATGCAAGCGGATACTCAGAGTTTTTAGTGAGGTTGCAAAACGCTTTTGGTGTGTATGCAAGCAGTGTCAGCAAGCCGCTAGCAAGTTGCCTGTAGCTGGGTGATAGACCCCAGAACATACCACCCCGACACTGCATGCCCCGTCCGTCGCCTGTCAGAGAAGCAAGAGACCAGCAATCGTATTGTCTGGTTCTCGCCGCTCAAGGCTCCAGGTGGTCTATACAGGTGTGTTCCGTTTAGGCCTGGTACGCATGCAGTCTTGGCGAAGGTGTTTAGCAAGGCACAAGTAGGCAGGCACGGGTGTCTTGAGAAGCACTTGTGGGGGAACCTAGATAGTCATTATGAAGAGCAGATTGTGTTTAAGTGAAGAGTACTATTACAAACGATATATAGGAGTAAGACATTAAGTGGTGTTGTCGGAGGCTCGCTTGACATCAGTGCGCCGGGCTGCTTTTATACCCAGCAGGTCCAGTCCGTTTGTAATGAAGAAACTGGTCTTGCTGTTCCCGAGCCGGGGCAATGTGCTGCCTAAATTTTTCTGGGTCACGCTGTTCACTCCCTATTGTACAAGTATTGTGATCTGCAGGCTCTGCACACCCTAGCAATGGCGAAACATGCCTGCAAATTAGGCTCCATTTTTGTGCAGCAGTGTATTCGCGGAGGTGTTTTTTACTCAGTGGAACTCAAACCCTGCTTAGGTCCATTTCGAACAGGTGCAGCTCGGGCTCACTTGCAGGTGTAGCAGCAGGCGAACAATAGTGATGCACCTTTATATTTTCATCACTGCGCATTCCCTGGCAACTGCTGATTGCACGATCGCTAGATTTTTGAACCTCTCGCCATGTAATGACATCATCATACCTACACACATACATGTCTTTGGGGTACACAGCATATACGGTAAGATAGTATTTATATGCGCCATTCACCACATATAATTATACATGGTATTCAGTATTTTATAGATATCGCTTCGATGCATATACTAGTGGCGGTGGCAGTTGTTAATATTAGCCTGTATCTATTATATTGTAAGATTGTATTATAGAAAAGCCCCCAAGCTGTTGAAGAAAAAAGGGCTACTGGAATCGCCCATACAGTTGCTGCTCTGCACCGACGGGGGAAATTGCTGTATCGGTGTGGTTATGTGGAATGGTGTGTTTAGCAAGTGGCCAGTGTATCTATGGGCGGCGTATATGAGAGGGAATTAAGAATTGACAGTGTGGGTAGAGGCTGCAATATGAATTGCATCTGCGAAAAGTCAAAGACTATCAACCCCATTGCTATCAGCTGATGAAGTGCCGTCAGTGCTGTTGCTTCATCCACTGGAAAGACAATCGGGGGTGCCATATGGAAATACGAGGGTTCTGTCGGTTGAGGCATCGGCCGCCATCGGATTGGGCACAGGGAACTGCTGATTCCAATAAATCGGCCTGGAGAGCATGTAGTTGCCTCTGGTCAACGTGCAGCGCATCTGTCGTTTCCTGTACAGCCTTCCCCATCGTATCAGCAGTCCCAGAAATTGCATTGTCCGACATCCCACCTTAGGTTCCGGTCGTCTGTAAGGATGCGAGCTTTGTCTGGCTTTCTTCCGTGCAGGCTTGGCAGCAACCTTACCACTGCCTTTTTGCGACCGATCAACGAAAAACGCCCCATCGTCTTTGACGATAATTCGTCGGTCCCGCTTGTTGAGCTTAAAGTATAGCCCGCAACAATTGCAGACAGAGTTCAGGCTGATACCATGTCGCCGCCATGTCGACGAAACACGCGCATTACAGATCGAGCACACCTTGAATAGATTGCCATACTCATCGCATTTCGGCAGTGAAGCAGCACGCTCTTCGAAACCTTGTAACTCCCTCATATCAGCTGGACTCAACGGCCTGCTTGAAGGGTCGATGCATGGCAGGCATTCCATACCACCCTTCAACCGGATCTTGCATGTGTGATATCCCTTGATTTGCGCATTCAGTGGAGGTACACTGCGTGTTGGCCGCTAAGCGATAAGCCTCCAGTAGCCCGATGAGGTATTGGTCGGGGACACGAGAAAATGCAGGTGGAATATATGGGAACGGCACATTTGGCTTTATCAACTCCGCCGTCAAAAGTTGTGGATGATTGGGTCGGAAATGGCTTTCGCTTAATATCAGTGATAGCGGTTGCTAATAGGTCTCCACCCTTGCTGCACTTGGCTGGGTAAAGAGGGGCTGACGAGCAACCCGTGGTATCGCTGGTGATTGCTGCACATCACCCAATAGCGTTTAAAGAAAAGTATATTAAATGTTGTAGCTGGCCAAGTGTTGTGGATGGATAAGAGCAAAGCAAAGGTAGTGATGATGGTGATTGCCAATAGAACACGGTTGTTGCCTGGGGTTCAAATGCTGAATGACGAGATGAGCTCAAACAATTTATACTGCAATTTGACATACAGCAATAGACCGCTCTTGCTCTGCTGCTTTCTTTTCTGTCGATTCGGAGTAGGGCCGGGCTGCCACGTAGGGAGAGAACAAGGAGGATGGGTACCTTCTCTCTTCGGTCTGTAACTTGGCGTTACATTCTTGCACTACATCTACGCATTGCATTCGTTTTGACAATGGCTCATTTGGCCCGGTCCTAAAAGCAAATATCAGAGTACTAGCCAGGGCAGCATCTGGCAGGCACAAGTGCAGTGGCGGGCTCGTGGTTGCCTGAATTCCACTCGCTTGAAGCACAGATTCACGCTCCAAATTGCCTTGCTGACACTGCCAGACGTGGACGGTAGAGATCAAAGGATTATCTGGTAGCAAACGGTTGAGAATACCGTGCTTCAAATAGATCCTTTTGATGTGCATCACGGAGGTTGCTGGAATTTAATTTCTATATTTGGCGAATGATATAATGTGCGGCTCGCCATTTGCAAAGTATTTTTAGGCATAATTAGACTGATCAGACCTACGCCCTCGTTTCATTCTCAAGAGCGTATGCCGTCTGGTTACTAATTCCGCACTTTCGGACTTGGACTCAGGAAGAAAGACAAGGCATGGGTAGTCTCTGGCTCTGGGAGTTCAGTTAATGTAGCCAAAGGGTGCTTGAAGAGCCAAGCATGCCTAACTACAGGCTTGCATGTATCTTGACTTACATGCCATGCTACGGTAAAAGCTAAAATCAGTGCATTGCAGATGTAAGACTGACATAATGGAGATAGCAATATGAGTATACTGACTATTTCATCTCAATGTAAGATTCCTACTGCAATTACTGGCTCTGTAAACAAGTAGGGATGGGAGCGATAAATTGTGTCGGAGCGAGTTCATAGAGAATAGTGGACTTAATATACCAAAATTGATCAAGGGATCAGGAGGGGTGATGGTACTGAATACAAATGCCTAGCGTGCAACTAGCTGAACACACTGTGGTTGTATATCTGTATGTGTATGCGTTCAATGCTGTTGGTTCCAGAGCGCCAAAATCACTCCTGCATAATCACATGCATAACCAGCCGTATGTAGCTGGGCCCATGAGTCAGACTCGCCTTTTCCTCAGCACAGCTCTCATACTCATTATTGTTTTATTAAACTGGCAACCAGTCCATTCTCTGTTTTGAAAGTTGACGAATACAATTTTACCATCAAATTACCTACATATCTTGACAACTACAACTTAGACTGTTGCTGTTTGGTTGGCTGTATGCTTGTATTCACTCTGAACCCCTTCAATGGCTTCTGACAAGTAGTATGTCTCCAAGGAGCAACGACATAAAAATCATTCAGTGCTTGAAAAGAACATCCCAGCTTCTCAGCTGGAGTCATCAGCTCAGCCTCTGGAACACAACGTTGACGGCATAATCTTTCACCTATATATAAGATTTTATAGTCCAAAAAGTGTCCGACCGTCCGCTAGAAATTATTTAATTGGTTAAAAAAAACTCTTAAGCTTCAACACGGGTTTGAGTGACTTGCTCTGTAAACTCCTTTTGATCTTGTGCGGCATCTGACCTCATCGGTGAAACCAGGGTGACAAGTTGTTATTGTAGTGGTCATAGGTCTCCACTGGATATCTCCATTGGTTCAGCACAAGAGCTGCTCTCATTGTCGGTCGGCCTGATAACTTCTATGGCGTCATCATGGTGGTCATCACCGGCTGCGCAACACCCTTAGGATATTCATTCATGAGCACCTATTGAATAAGGCCATATAGCTCTTCTGGTGGTTATGCAATATTTGTGGGTTTATTTTATAAATTAATTTGTCTTATGAACATGTGTAAGCGGTAGTATTTGGGTCACAACGGACCCAGTATGTATAGACTGATTCAAGAGACTATATCAGTGCTAAGGGCCCCAAGAACCATGCAAGCCAGATAATTTTTAATAAAAAGTTCTTAATGCTATGCACACGCAATACAGCAAAACTGAACAGCATCATTTCTCTTCTTACTTGCCTATTGAATTTCTCAAATGAATATTACCCGCAGCACTACTGTCATAAAGACATCACTTGGTGGTATTGGCTTCCGTGATTCTATGTTGCCCC